AATCTTGGCGAACAACTCGGGCCCTTTTCCCAGATTCCAGGCAACGACACCCGGTGGGGCAAATGGGGGTGTGGATATACCACACCCGACCGGAGGCACAATTCGGGTGGAACTGCAAATAAGGGGGAAAAATGGGAGTCTGGATGCTGCTTCTGGAACTCGGATCGAATTCTGGAATCCGTTCATTTGTTTCCAAGAACGTAGTGGTAAACCCCCACGGGAAAAGAGTTCTGCCCTTGACTTCCCCCTTTTCTTCTCCCCCCCCCCTTATAGGATTATAGGACCCTGTTGCATATAGCATCGGTATATCTTACCGTAGAGAGTAATCGTGTACAGCTGAGTATTATAGATGGAGGACTCGGGGGTAACACGGACCGTTAAAACGAACGTGCGAGAGTGGCTGGATGTCAAGTAAGGAGATTGTACTCCGTTATAATTCGTATTTATGTACCGAGTTCAGTTGAATTGTTGACCACAGGGATCATAAATATCACGTTACTCCCCCACCTCCCTTCCTTTCTCTCCACTTGTTTTCTTCTCTTTCCAAGCTTCTCTGTTCAATGCAAGAGCATTGACATTTCCCAACTCTGGTAGGTTTGCCGCCATTACTCCTCTTTATCTCTCCGGGCCACGCCAATGACGGCACCCTGTCGACATCCCGTGGCTCCTTGGCCCGGGCTGATCGACACCTGTGGCAAAACCCCTCTTCAAATAAAAACATTGCGGCCACGTTAGCTTGCTTGATTTCACGCTAACTTGCTATTTATCTACCAGATTTTCCCCAATCTTTAATTTTTTTTTCTTTACACCTCCTTCCCCCCACATCTTTCATAATGGCCGGCAAGGCACTTCCTACCCACCTGCGGGCTCCTGGCTCTGATGCCACCTCTGGCTCCTTCGAGGGCAAGCACCACGGAAAGTCTCAGTCGCACATGGTAAGTGGAATCAGCAATCTATCTACAATTCGCGTGGGAAGATTAGAATCATGGGGGATTTCGGGATGAAGCTCCGTTCCTGCTTGTTTGGGCAGTAAGCACAGTTGTACCTGCTTGTTTTGGGATAGAAACACGAAGCTGGAGCCTGAGCTGAAACATGAGCCCTCTTATGTCCTCTCTTACTTGCTCTGTTTCAATTGTTTTTTTTTTTTAACCCACCCCGTCCGTTTACAAAACAATACTGTTTACTTCTCGGATCTCGCTCCCGCTCCTTAGTGATCCCGATCCCGAGCCCCCTCCTTTTGCTCATTTTTGGCGATCTCATTACCCCTCTTTGCATATCTTGCCCACCATGGACCCTGAAACCGCAGCGCTGACCCTAATCGCCTCTAACCAGGCCTTCGAGAATGCCTCTACCAGCGTGGCTGCCTCTCAGATGCGCAATGCCCTGAACGCCCTCGCCGACAGCGTCCCCGATGGCAACGAGAAGAAGCGCTTCGAGACTGAGATGGATAACTTCTTCGCCCTGTTCCGCCGCTTCTTGAACGATAAGGCCAAGGGTAACGCCGTTACCTGGGACCGCATTGCTCCTCCTCAGCCCTCCCAGGTGGTTGGCTACGAAGAGCTCGGTGCGGAGGCCTCCGTCGAGTTCCTCAACAAGCTGGCTGTCGTCAAGCTCAACGGTGGTCTCGGTACCTCCATGGGTTGCGTTGGCCCCAAGTCCGTCATTGAGGTCCGTGAGGGCATGTCCTTCCTGGACTTGTCTGTGCGTCAGATCGAGCACCTGAACCGCACCTTCAACGTCAATGTGCCTTTTGTCCTCATGAACTCCTTCAACACCGACCAGGACACCCAGTCCATCATTAAGAAGTACGAGGGCCACAACGTCGATATCATCACCTTCAACCAGTCCCGCTACCCCCGTATCATCAAGGACTCCCTCCTCCCCGCCCCCAAGAGCTTCGATGCTCCTCTTCAGGACTGGTACCCTCCCGGTCACGGTGACGTTTTCGAGTCCCTCTACAACTCCGGTACTCTGGACAAGTTGATTGAGCGTGGCATCGAGTACATCTTCCTGTCCAACGCTGACAACCTTGGTGCCGTTGTCGATCTCCGCATCCTGCAGCACATGGTTGACTCCCAGGCCGAGTACATCATGGAGTTGACCGACAAGACCAAGGCTGACGTCAAGGGTGGTACCATCATTGACAACGACGGCAAGGTCCGCCTGCTGGAGATCGCTCAGGTCCCCAAGGAGCACGTCAACGAGTTCAAGTCCATCAAGAAGTTCAAGTACTTCAACACCAACAACATCTGGATGAACGTCCGTGCTATTAAGCGTGTTGTGGAGGAGAACGAGTTGGAGATGGAGATCATCGCCAACGAAAAGTCCATCCCCGCTGATAAGAAGGGTGAGGCCGACCAGGCCATCTACCAGCTGGAGACCGCTGTCGGTGCTGCTATCCGCCACTTCAAGAACGCTCACGGTGTCAACGTGCCCCGTCGTCGTTTCCTGCCCGTCAAGACCTGCTCCGACCTCATGGTCGTCAAGTCTGATCTGTACCGCCTGGAGCACGGCCAATTGGTGATGGACCCCAACCGTTTCGGTGGTGTGCCCGTCATCAAGCTCGGTTCCGACTTCAAGAAGGTTTCCGACTTCCAGAAGCGCATTGGCAGCATCCCTCGCATTGTCGAGCTTGACCACCTGACTATCACTGGTGCCGTCAACCTTGGCCGCAACGTTACCCTCAAGGGTACCGTCATCATTGTCGCCACCGAGGGTAGCACCATCGACATTCCCCCAGGATCCGTCCTTGAGAACTGTGTTGTGCAGGGTAGCTTGAGAATCCTTGAGCACTAAGCAGTTGGCAATTAAAACTTAATATCCCGTTTGATTTGTGATCGTTGGTTTGGCATGAGGATACGGTCTCCGATTACAGTGTGCAATTCTCTGTTCTGTTATGGGAGGTGCATTCGTGGCTATGGAAACCATGGAGTATGCAACTTATGTGCTTGTATTACATTTGAATAATCCAGCGTTTGTCCTTTTTTTTCTTTCTTTCCGTCCGTCTTTATCCTGGTTCTAGCTGCATTGGGATTGGCGGCTTTCCTTTTCTTCTCAAGCACTTTTGTCCAGGACTCCGAGTCAATGCCATCCTTTGATCTTTACTTACTTCACCCGTAATTCTCAATCGAAGCTCACGCTTTGTAAATATTCAGCTAAAGTGGACCTCGAGTATCTGGTTGCCGTCGTTCGGCTGACCCTTGACCCGCACTGAATGGTTGTTAATCCGATTAGGTAGGTATATTGATCCTCCAAATTCTTATGGCTATGTGAGGTCGTAGTACCTGCTGTTCCGCAATTTCTTCGTCACTCCTGGTTGAGAATGGTGGGACCATTGATTCCAAGTGTGTCAAATTTAGCCCTTTAGCCTTTATATTCCTTGTCCATTCAGACTCAACACAACCATATTCTTTTTCTCCTTCAGAACTATGATGATTTGTATATATTGATCATAGTACGTGGATATTTCTCCGTTCGCCTCAACATGTGCCTTGGTGCAGACCTCAACGGTGTTCCCGAAATTAAAACTTTTTACTACGATACACCGAGAGGCGAGTTTGCAAGCATGACACTTCCAGTGCGCAGGCTGTGGAGAGTGCGTGGTTATCTTTCGCTTAAAAAGAGGAAGGGGAGACATCTGTACCGGTTTTATGAAACTGAGATGGGATGCCGGTTTTGGGTGTAAGTGTCTTATTTTCTTTGCCGCCTGAGTTTTTATTATTTACTTGGAGAATACTACTGATTTTTTCAGGAATACTGTCATCAATGATTTGAATAATGAAGATGGTCCTCTTGCGTCCTTGGGTCATGCGAGATTCGTTAAGGGCGCTTGAGTTCCTACGCTTTCACTAGTAGCGGGAATGTGAGCCAAAGCTCCAGAACATTCTTCATGGTAGCTTTTACAGAACTAGAAAGTCGGGGGATTTGACGGTGTTGATCACTAGAGTATTTGAATGCTGCTTTTCCTTTTCCTAGTGGTTTGTAATAATTGGACGATGATCTAGTCTTCCATTATAAGTTGGATAGATTCAAATTTGCAAGGTTTGGCGAGAGAACAACTGGGCGCATGTGTACCATTTCTTTTCCATTGAAGCTATTGGATGCAATAGAGTGTTTAGTATCGCTGTACAACTTATCATATTAACTCCACGTGGCATCGCTCATCCATGGATTGATTTACATCCAGTTTGGTTTCTTACAACAAACATGAGTTATTTATTTGGGAAAACAATGGGCTCATTAAGTCATTCCAAGTCTTTGTGATATCAGGACTAGTCATGTTTAAATGTTCGGCCTTATTCTCCGTCGTTGGGAACCTGCTATTCTTGAGACTTGACTCAAGCTTCTGAGAATGGTCGGCAGTAAGTACCGCGAGACCATGTAACAATCCCAGCTATTTATCCCCTGTCAGATAAAACAGGTTATCCCCAGAGCAAGCACTACGTGCTACAATACTGTACGGCCGTGCATCCACTTTAATTGAATGTGTGGCCATTGGCGTCCCGCTAAGATAGGCGGATGTTTTTCCCGGTGACTTCATCCTGCGTCACTGGCCACTGATAATACCGCAAGTATGAAATTGTCACCATTGCACGATTCATCTTTGAGACTAGTCTTGAATCACATGCCCACGTCCGGATTCTTATTCAAACGCCTGTTTCTGCGGTGAGAATGTCACCAGTTCCAGCTTTTTTTTTTTTTTTTATAATTGGGTTTTATTACCTGTCTACCCTCAATGAAGAGCTTTGTCCCACCTCGGACTCTAGCTCTAAACCTGTTGCCGCCGCCATCATGGAGGCGCCTGCGTCGAATATGATATAACTTTTAGTCCATCGCTGTGGCTATTCGCTGTCTGTGCCACCGCCACTGTTGATGATCTTTTATGCAGGATACGTTGTCTTCCAAGCTTTTCGCCATCTCTGCATCCAGCTTGTACATATCGGTGAATACCTGGCAACGATTGTATATTTTACGCCGGCACGTTGTTACGCTGTTACGCTATGAATGATCATAACTACCATGCATCTGACTTGTCGCCGACCTCGGACCATGAGAGTTCTTCGAGAGAGGATACTAGATCATGGAAGAAGAGAGTGTCGACTGCTTGTCTGGCTTGTAAAAAGTCAAAACGGAAGGTATGTTCCCTCCAATTCCCTTCTAGACTCACATGGCTAATGTTGATGATTAGTGCTCGGGAACACCGCCTTGCGATAACTGTCGTGCCTTTCAGCGCACTTGCATATTCGATGAATCCCTTGACCAGCGCCGCCGTGTTGCTGCCAAACGAACTGCTGATGAACTGGGCTACCACCGCGACCTTTTAAACGATCTGTTCAAGTTAGTCCGTGAAGCAGACGAGTCTCGCGCATTGGCGCTACTGGACATAATCCGACGTAATGCTCCTCCCCATGAGGTCAGGTCCTATATCAACGAAACGCTGGCCACCCTTGGTGCAAATAATACCACACCCCGTGAGGCGGTTGCTAAATTAGAGGATGCACGCCACCTCCTTAGTGTCGAAGCTGATGGCCCTGCGTTTCGAAGCAAGGTGATGGATATACATTATCTTTGTGATGAGGCCCCGTTGAAGGTTCCTGCACATCCCTGGACGAACGTCACAAACGATGCAGATCTGGTGTCGAACCTCGTCTCGCTTTATTTCACCTGGGACTACCCATTTCAAGGAGGTTTGGACCGAGATGTCTTTTTGAAACATATGGTTGCCGGAGACCTGCGATCGGAGTTTTGTAGTCCCTACCTGGTGAATGCGATGCTGAGTAATGCCTGTGTATGTTCAAGATTCCTGGGATTAATGAATGGTCACTGATGCTAAGTAGTATTTTTCAGAGTTCTCCGAAGCATATGGTGTCCCCGGAAATATATCTTCCAAAGGCTGTGATTTTCTTGCCGAGGCCGAGAGACTGAAAGAATTGCAGAGCCCCCAGCCTAGTCTTGTCTTACTGCAAGGAACGCTTCTCATGTATGAGAGATATGCTATGTCGCACAACAACGACCAGGGCTATATCACATTGCATGAAGCTATCCGAATTGGTGAATCACTGGGATTGGTTGGAGACAAGGGGCCACGAATAGCATCGGATCAGCTATCGAGGGACATGGATTCGTCGTGCAGACGGGCAGCGTGGGGACTTTTCAACATCGACACGTAAGTGCAATTTAACGATGGGTTGTCGCAGGGCTAACGTGTTCCAGGATGATCCATACTGGCTTTCTCAGGCCATCTTTGATTGATCATGTCAACCTTCCCCGTATTGAGGATGATTTCTCCGGTGGTCAGTCCCAATGGACTCCTTATCCGACGCATCGGAAGCCACGCCCATCGTATTTCAAACCATTCTTCGACGAAGCGTGCAACTTATCCACTATCGCGCGTGATATTTCACGTAGCATGTTCGCCGGCGATAACCGGGATAAGTCACTCCAACGCCATAATCGAGAGGTATTATATGAACGACTCCTCCGGTGGCAGGCCTTGTTACCCGATGCATTTGCCTCAACGGACCCGCCACCGCATATACTTTTGTTGAAGTAAGATGAAATCATCATAAGTTGAAAGAGCGAATGACAGGATGGCTAACTTTCTACGTTGTAGAATGCGTTACCATACCTTGATCATCAATTTATTCAGCTGTATTTCCGACAGCGAATTCTCGAGCATTACACCCGAAGCACCCCATACACCCGAAAGCCCTCCAAGACAAACGCCCGAGTCCAAGTATAATGCTTGGGAGGTAACGCAATTGGCAGCGCGGGGCATTGCTGAGCTCGCGCAGCTACATCGACAAGAATATGGATTGAGCCGCGCACACCAATTTGCCATGTACGCCATCAACCTTGCGCTATTCACCCTATTAGAACAGGAAGGGTTTGACGTCGTTGACGAAGATTTTCTCGCCCTGGCAAGCTCATTTTCCATTGTTGCTAGCCGATCGGCACTCGGGCGAAACCTGTTTCACATCTTCAGACAATCCGTGCGGGCCAAGGCTCAGGGTGATCGGATTCGAAGGGCAAGTTTAATTTCGGATGAGCTCAAAGACCTTTTTGATGAAGAATCAACTGGGAGAGGTCGTGATCGATTTGATGATTATGCCGATGGGTTGGAGAAGCTAAATCAAGAACAAAAATATCATGGCATTGGTAGGGAGGGTACCAATCTTCAGGATTATCCTGGAATGGGGCTTTCGGATATGCTTGATCGGTATGAAAGTCTAAGTCTAGGTAAAGATGACGTCTTCTTGGAAAGGCATCGTCCCGTGGAGTGTTGATATGGATTCTTTTTCCATGGAACGGCATTGGTGAAAAAAGAAGGGACCTCCTACCTGTTTAATATTTTAGATCCAAGGAGCTGCCAAGTCAGCTGGACGAACAGGATGTCTAGACGCGATGGGGGGCATGGATGTATATCTCCAGTATGCTTAAGTGGAGACATCCGTCGAGGTTGACCTAAATCTGACGTCAAGTATGGTTTCCGACCCACACACGCGCATATGGGACAAAAGAGAACAGAGAGCTGGTTACCCCTGTGAACAAGACTGGACAGTGGCGGGAAAAGCGGGGAGTCGATTGAATTCATCTGGTTCGTCACCGGAATTTGAACCGGTCTTGATCTTCTCTAGTCACGAGTGCCAATCTCATCCTCACCCCATGGACATCCGGATGAAACGTTCCAAATTCACCCCTCTCATGTGCCGCTCTTCATCTTAATATTTACCCAAGTGCGGCCATGAGTTCTCAAAATAATTCACCGCACCAAGAACCTACCCCGAGAAGCACGGGTTCGTACTGGGTGCCACACACCAACCCAAGCCCTCAATCGTCTCTCGCCCCACAAGACTTCATCTATGCGGGCAATACCGCGCCATTCACGCCACATACACTAGTCCAGACATTTCCCACCTTTGGCCCTACTCCGTCTGCTTCCAGCACAGATTTAGGTCGTACTCCCGATTCGCTACCTCTAGAAAAGGTCGCGATACCCCGGATACCGGGCATCACCAACGCGCAGGCGCGACGACGTTCAACGCGTGCATGCGAATCCTGTCGACAGCGAAAAACAAAATGCGACGGTAAACGCCCGATCTGTGGACAGTGTTTATACCACAACAATCGCTGTGTCTACGAGGAGGTAAAACGAATTCGCGACGAGAATAAAATTAAGTCCCTCTCGACGCGCGTGGAAAAATATGAGAAAATTCTTCGCAGCATTGAGAGTGAAGTCGACGGCCCGACGGCACGAAAAATTAGAAAAGCATTGAATGTGAGCCTTATCATTAACCAGTCCCCTGTACAATTTAGGACTGTCCAAAACCGACCTGCAGTTAGTGGTCTGATATAAAGCTTCATCTAGTGCAAAGAAGGGAAATCCCCACAACCTGAAGATGGGTATGGCTCTGATAGCTCATCGTCGGTGGGGTCTCTGGAATCTGTCGATGTAGTCGGCGAAGATCTGAACCGTAACGAGCATACGCGTGCTGCCGGCTTCTTCGGCAAAAGCTCCGAGGTGGCCTGGATTCAGAAACTTGAGGACAGTGTAGGACAAAGCACTAGTCAGGACATGTCTGACTCTCCTCACCTGGAAAATTCAGAGAGCTCCCGAGATTCCGCGCCTCCAAATGACAAAATAGCCAGGGATATTCCCATTGCTATGATGAACTATCATTTGGATGAACTGGATATCCCTGATGTGGACTCTCAGTTGGACGAATTTGGAATGCCGCCAAGGGAACGGGCTGACGAGTATTTCCATGCTTATATGACATTCGTCAACCCTTTCTTCTGTGCTATTCGCCAGTCGACTTTTACACAACAGTATCTTCAGTACTTTAACCTGCTATCTGACCCAACTCGCAAGGTTACTCCGCCGCGCAAATGGCTGGCGGTGCTGAATATGATCTTTGCTATCGGTTGTCGACATTGTCGATTGATGGACCACACTAACAGCGGCATGTATGAAAATCATGTTGTATTTTTGTCGCGAGCGAGACGACTAAGTCTGCAGGACGATATTCTTTTCGAACATACTGGACTTCAGCAGATCCAGTTGGAGTTCTTGGTTGCTGTCTACCTGCTTTGCACTGGACGGGTTAATAGGTACGTTTCTTGTTTCCCGTCTTTATTACATAGGTGTTGACCAGTGCAGGGCATCTAAATTCGCCAACATGGCCCTCCACTCGGCCATATCACTTGGGATCAACCTACGTCTTCTGGACGAGAGAACAGACCGCGCTTCGAAAGAAGCCCGTTGTCGCTTATGGTGGTCCATATATTCCCTAGAGCATATTCTGACATCCATGCACGGCCGAGTATCTCGCGTCGGAGAGCATCTCTGCTCAGTCCAACTTCCAACCCCAGTTGAAGAAGAGACATTCGACGAACCAGAGATTCAACGTCTATTCCTAGACAAAGCATCTAGAATCGAAGTCTCCGCCACGCTCTTCGAGAAAATCAACCAGCCAAACCCAGTCCCATCCTGGACTTTCTCCGTCCCACCCGGTCCATCCCTCTTCTTCCACTACCTAGTAGACCTCTTCCTCATCTCTCAATCCGTACTGAACAAAGTATACAGTATAGAAGGAATTCGAGAAGGAACAAGTCAAACAGAATACCGTCTCCAGAGATACGCTCTACGCATGGATCGCTGGCTCTCAAAGTTACCTCCAAGCTACCAATTCACCCAACCAGACGCCGGTCCATGGCGTCTCAACCACGCCCAACTGGACGATGAATCACTCCCCAATACGCGCGAACGAGTCTGTCTGGCAATGAATTATTATTCCGCCAGAATATCGCTTTGCAGACCTTGTTTAAGTTTCAATCACCGCAGCCCCGTCTCGCAAGAAAAGTCATCCCGCGCACAATTGCGTGCCACAATGGCAACCAATTGTCTCCAGGCCTCTTGTTCCCTTATCTCTACTTTCCCGGAGAAAATCGATCTCGCCTGGCTTGCGCGTGTGACGCCTTGGTGGAGTGTTCTTCATTTCCTGATGCAATCTACCACAGCATTGCTCCTGGGATTATTGTATTGCACTGTCGCACCAGCGGGTCAGGGACAAAAACCATGTGAATTCCCGACCAATCTATCCGGTGCCCCATACCCGTCATTATTGGAATCGGATTTGAATACCGCGCTGAAAATGTCTAAGAAAGCCCTTTCGTGGATGCATGCTATGGCTTCTGTGGATGCGGCGGCACATCGGGCGTTCAAGTTGTGTGACAATGTTATTAGAAGGATTGGTCCCATGCTCAAGGTCGATTTGGACGATTGGCCTAGTGCGTCGACATTGGGTGAGGAAGTGGTTCATGAGGGGGATCGGGAGGGGGAAGATCATAGGATGGAGGGGTTGGAGGAGTTGGTAAATTTTGAAGCTGAGAAAATTTGAGGTTATTGTATAAGTGCATGTGGTGTTCGTACTTTTTCTTTTCGATGATTGTCTGATTTACGATTCTTGTCATCAACGGAGAAAATTGTGTTCTCGCCTTGGTGTTTTTAGGTTAATGATCATGATGTTATGATGTCTGTCAAATTGATGTACTACTATCATAGCCTCTTGGTAGATCTATCTTAGGCATTGCAATGTCTCGAGTTCTCTGATTGGATTATATGACAGTTTCTGTTTCTGTCTGGCCCAGGTGGGTGTCTTGATATTGAATTCAATGTTGCCTAAATCGATGACTTCGAACTCCGAAGATAAGTAGTAATATCTACCTGGGAAGCACTTCATTCTGGCAGCATATTTGACCCGTACTTGGAACCTTGGCATCAGACTTGAATTAGGAATATGTACTACAGCATTAGATATATATGTCGATAAAGAAAATCACAACACAACCAGACCACCGGCTAAGCGAACACAAGAGAAATGTCCATCATGCCAACCAGTATCGGAAACATCACGAAAAAACGCCTGGATATAATAGACACCCCACTTCACCTTCACTCATGAGAACGGATGCCAGTAACAAAAGAAAGGGAATCAAGTAGATGGTAAGAACAAATTGCAGTATGCAGGGAATCAATGCAGAGTCGAGTATAAATGTAATTATGTAGCCGGGGGTACTGTGACAGACACCACTATAGTAGCATGTACAGGAGGGAACAAACAGACTAGCCTAGGTCGGCTGAGGCTGGAGTTGAATCTGGAATGTATGTTGATGTTGATGCTGTGGTGCAGGGCGTGGTGGAACTCTGCCTTGTGTGTGGTGTGTCTGAACGCCTTGAAGCTGGGGCTGGGGGTGTCCGTGCATCGGTTGGGCCTGAACCTGCTGTAAAGGAGGCATCTGCATAAACGCATGCGGGGGCGTAGGTCGCCCTGAATGAATAGGCGACTGTTGATGCATGTGCATATGTGGCATTGACATAGTTTGTCCAGGCTGGTGTGAGAGTTGCTGGGGCATGTGTTGACCTGCCTGGGTCGTCATGTGCTGAGCCTGCTGCTGGAGGTGGTGAGCCTGTGACATTGCTTGTCCTTGCATCGATTGTGCTTGCATTGGTTGACCAGACATGGATTGTGCTTGCATTGATTGTGCTTGCATTGATTGGCCAGACATGGACTGCCCTGTCATAGACTGAACAGGCTGGGGAAGCGAGTGATTCTGTTGGGGTATTTGTTGCTGCTGTTGCATTTGGCCTTGTTGGTGGTATGGAGGTGTTGGACAAAGGCGCTTGCTTGGATCGTCATCTCCCACGAGTGCCGCACGCTTACGAGCCTGGTTCATGTCTGCATTATCTCCCACGTTCGGCTTGTTCTCAGCCTGTGTCGGATTTCCGCCTGCAGCGGCTGCAGCCGCCGCCGCAGCCGCCGCCGCAGCAACATCTGCTTTGCGAGGTCTTCCACGAGGCCGACCTGTGCCAGGTTGTTTAGGCTTGTTTGCCTTGGGCTGGGGAGGTTTTCTTGGCTTCGGTGGTGGTAATGGCTGTCCTGTTGCAGCAGCCCAAGCAATTTGGTCCGCCTTGCGAGGGCGACCACGCTTGCGCTTTAGAGGTAATGGAGTTCCATCGGGACCGATGATAGGAGTAAGCTGGGAAGCTGAACCCACAGCTGAACCAGCGGCCGCGGGCGTCATATTATGATTGAACGATGCTTGTCCGGGCTGTGATGCTCCCGGAATGGGTTGTCCATTTGCTGCGGCTTGGGCAGCAGCAGCAGCCCTAGCTGCCACTTCTTCCTTGCGCGGACGTCCACGTTTACGTTTTGGCGTTGGAGTTGACGGGTCACCGGCAGCTAATTGTACTTGGCCGTTGGGCTGAGCAGGAGTGGCAGTCGGTACAGAAGCGGAAATGGTCTGCTGCATTTGAGCCTGAGTGGATTGAGGCTGAGCAACCAGAGAGTTTCGAGGCTTGGGGGCGGCCTTCTTTTTCGGAGCAGGGCTTTGGTCTTCCATCTTAATAGCCTGGTTCCCCGTTGCCGAAGTTCCAGATGGTACCACGGATTGACGTGGGACATCTGCCGAGGGTTGCGACGGTGGCTGATAGTGCTGGAACTGGGGAGCTTGTTGCGAAGAGGTGAATTGGGGTTGACTTTGCTGGTTGAATTGGACAGGTTGTTGGACGAACCCTTGCGGCTGGTACTGATGGAACGGGGACTGGGCATGCTGCGCAAAGGGAGAGGCTTGTTGCTGATAAGGGTTTTGTACTTGGGTTTGCTGTTGCAACTTTTGTAACCTCTGCTGTTCCAAAAGCTCCTTCTGCTGTTGCTCCAACCGTTGTTTCTCCAAGCGTTGCTGATGCTGTTTTTGCGCCTCTAATCGCTGCTGCTCTAGGCGCTGCTGCTGCTGTTGCTGTTGCTGCTGCTCCAGCCGCTGTTTTTGCTGTTGTTGCTCTAGCCGTTGCTGTTCAAGACGTTGTTGTTGCTGCTGCTGCTGTTCGAGGCGTTTCTGCTGCTCTAGCTTTTGCTGTTCTAGCTGCTTCTGTTGCTCCAGCCTTTGTTGTTGTTGCTGTTGCTGCTCTAATCGTTGCTGTTGCTGCTGCTGTTGCTGCTGCTGTTGCTGCTGCTGTTGCTGCTGCTGTTGCTGCTGTTGTTGTTGTTGCTGCTGCTGAAACTGTTTTTGTTGCTCTATCCGTTGTTGTTGCATTCGTTCCTGATGTTGCTGTTGCTGCTGGTATTGTTGCTGCCTCTGCTGCAACTGCTGATGTGTCTGTTGGGGGGATTGTGGCTGAGACTGAGGCTGTCTCTGCTGGTTGATGGCAAACATGGAGGGACTCGCCATGGATGGGCTAGCCGATGGGTAGCTTTCCCGTTGGTGTACACCCGAATGAGGCAGCCTATTCAAAGACTGTTGTGGTGACGATACTCCCGCAGCGTGCTGATGTGTCATGGCAGTCGGAGGGCTCATCCCAGGACTCATTCCCGGACTCATTCCTGGCTGCGGTCGCAGGTGCGCAATCGGATTGTAGCCCCCCCTCTGAATATTCTGCAAAGCCATAGGATCGGGATTCCGCGACATTAGATCCGGTGAGCCTTGTGGCGCAAAGTGGGCAGGGAATTGTGCCGCAAAACTTGTGGTGGTGGGATACCCCGCTAAAGGTCCTGTCGAAGTCGGAGCCATTTTACGCATGTCCGGGGATTGTGTCGCCGCAAAATTCTGTTGCGGCTGTGCCCGGAAAATCGGCTTGTTGCTTGGGAAAGGACTTCCATGTTGCGGGAGGTTCGGCGCGGCGCCAAGCGACGGTGATGGGATATGCTGACGTTGAGGGGCCAGGGGATGCTGGGCTTGGTTTGAAGGGTGAGTTTGCTGCGCCTGTTGCTGTTGCTGCTGGGAAGGGTGAAAGGGTTGACCCCCGTATCCCATCATCTTCAATGACGTGGGTTCGAATTAGCCGTCAGCGGCAGCGGGATTCGATGGGGGTTTTAGCTTTGGTTTTGATCACGATACATGCGACCACCGCTTGCCAGAGATCGGAAAATACTCGTAACGAACGACCGATATATATAGATAATTCACTCTCGCAGTGGTCGCGTGTTGGAAAATCTCACGAGTTATAGTTGAGACTGTAAGAGTCGCGCCGCGTGTTTTGTTGTTTCGGGCGGGCCGAGATATAAGGCGATAAGGCGCCAAGGCAGCAAGGCCGCAGTTTGCCCCTCCCAAAAAGAGCCTAGCGGGTACGGAGGCCGAGTGCCGCCGGTCAGCGCAAGTTGCAAGAAAATGGCCCAACACACACGAAAGAGTGATTCAGGGGAATGAGGGACCACCAGGGCCAACAGGGCACTCCAGCAGGATCCAAATAGCCCCAGTACACCCTGTTTTGAAGATCAGGGTATATAAAGATCGGGGGGGGAGGCAAAGTGGATGACGGTCTGGGGATCTCGATGAATTACTAGGGAAATAATAATAAAAAAATAAAAAATGGAAAAAATTAAAAAATTAAAAATCATATTTCGAGGATTTCTCTCCACATCACGTGACGGTCACGAGCGGGGAAGTATACACCCAAGGCACCCAACAGTGACTATTTATCGTGTATTCGAAGGAACTATGATTGAACCTTCTTGAAATGCTCCTTGTTTCGTTGATCCTCTAATCTTACAACTCTATATATTTTATGCTGCCTTACCCGCCTCCTTGTCCTCTACAACCCTTAAATCAGCTAAACACGGCGCGAAAAACAACTTGCCCGATATCACCCCACGCAGCGTCCTAATACCCACGACGACCCATAGAAGAACGACACAGAGTGATAATATCTAGGAAACTTACATTAGCAAGCAAATTCAGTGGAGAAATTCAGAAAATTGAACTCACGGTCCCGAGCACTGCAAAAAACTTGGATGGAAGCTCAGTCCCAATTTGGGTTGTACTAGCTGCATACACGCCCAATGGAAAGGTAAATCCCCACCATCCGATATTGAAAGGAAATTTCTTGCAGTGGGCGATCGACGCAGATGCAAAGAAGAGCCAGACTAGCCCAAAAGACCACAAGATCAGGGCAACTAGAAAGCCAAGGGTGTAGAAGGTGGGTCCGGAACCTTCTTCCAGTGCGTGAGTTTTGGGGAAAATGTCTCGAGCGCATTGACCCAACTTCATCATGCTACTAAGATTTAGCTTAAGTTTGACACCATGAAAAGGACATTTCCTACCCATATCCACCTTGTCCCAAAGGGCCCAACGGTAAAAATACACTGACGATAACAGCCTTGGGTGGTAACTTGTGCAAAGTCAAGCGCTGGAGGTAAATGACCATGACCATCAATGCAAGGGGTAGTCCAATACCCCAGAGCACATAACTGACAAGAATAGTCCAGAGTGCGTGTTCCGGGTTGGGGAGTACCTCGGCAACAATGGCACCGGAGGAGGCGGCCACGATGCAGCTTACAATGGGTAGAAGCCAGACGGCTGTCATGGAAGAAAGATGAGTTTCGCTTCCCTGTGCCATCCTATTTCCACGTTAGCGGCTTGTAATACAAGCTTTATCTGCAGGCGATAGTCGTACAGGATGAATGGCAATGACAAAGCTGTCATTACGGAAATCACGGCATCGAAAATCCATAATCCCCAGGCAACGTATCTCGTCCACTCGCCCCATGCAGGTACACAGACGAGAACGATCATATTGATGATTGTGGCGAGACCCATGGGGAAAGTGCCGATAAACATGGACTGAACTGGGTGTGTGATCATTACCATGAAAATATCAGGGTACAATGCGTAGCGAAGGATGCTAATGATGCACCCCAGGGTAAATAAAAGTACATTCAGGGCGAATATCACGACAGAGATCCAATAAACCCATACTGCATTGTAGGGGAGATTATGAAGCAGGATCGAGACGATACCTGTACCCATCGTCACAGCGAACCATCTGCAAGTGAGGTCAGCATTGTCACACAGTAGTGTATCAGATAGCAACGAACGACGGTGTGAAATTACGAACTATCCTTCTCCAGCCCTCATCATGTTTGGAACCAGGCTGATATTGTGTATTCTGGCAATCAGGCATTGTTTGAGACTCTCCAGTGAGAGTAGATGAGTGAGAATGCAGAAACAGACGTTTCTCTTCGATTATTTGAAGAAATACGAAACTCCTCACCCCTGGTTAGAGAACAGTCTTAAAGAGGTGAAAAAAGACTTGCAGAGATTTTGGCATACTTCTCGATAGTCGCCGGAGCTGTCAATCCCCGTATGACTCGACGGTAAATCGGCCGAGATGACGTGATCCACAGTAGCAACTTGGGTCCATTGCTCTCCACATTCAAGGCTGTTTACGGTACACTCCCAGAATAGTTGAACCTCATTGGCCCAACCAGATCTACATCTTTTCTACGTCAATCGCCGATTGGAAAATTTGGTCCCCGGTCTTCGGGCTCTGAAAGGAATGACCAGATTCGACAAAACTAAGTATTTGGAGCTACACATGAGACGAATCAAGCGAGATTTATTGTCAATTCGGAAAGTGTTGCAAACCCCTGTTTAGCTGCAGGGGTCATGTAGTGCCTACGAGTTCCAGTATTTGAGTCACGTCCTCTGGGCATGTATTCTAATGTCGCCGGGGATTTCTTTTTGTCTAAGATACTACTATAGAATATACTCTTATGAGCTTGAAAAGAATGCAATTCCATACTGTGCCGCATGGTGCTAACGACGCAGCCTCAAGAACAAGATACCGAACCCCTGAGCTAAGATGCTAAGATCATCCGGGTTTTCAATGTGACGAGCCCTTGACGATGATTCTATCAAACTGGTTGATATCTTGCCCTTCGAATGCGCCCATGTGGAAAAAGAGTGAAAAACAACAGAAATCAAGAAGAGAATATTCTCAGCTTCATCGCAAGCCCAGCGTACAAGGCTATGTAATATGAGGTTTCGGGGCCACTGACCCAGCCACAGGACAGGCATGATCTAACTGGAGGATCTATATTCGGTCCTCGATGTGTCCATTATGCACATTGGTATGGATATAAACTTTCCGAAGTTCACATTTGGCTGTTTGGCATTCTGAAACCGGACATTATACTATAGTACATCAAAAAACTATACAATGATCATTCCATTCAATAAATTCACTGCTTCAGTCTTTATTCTCACTTTCCGAGTGACCATCTTTATTGGTTCAATCCGAGTGGGTTCTCGGCAGTCTGCTGCTTTCCACCAACACTCTGGACCCCGTTCGATATGCCTTGTCCAGCGCTCTTGGTGGTGTTGCCTAGACCCTCTGTCGCGCCAGAGACGGTCTGTCCAAGTCCCTGTGTGACGCCGCCGACAGTGCTACCAAGGCCACTGACCGCGCCACCTGCGGTGTTGGTGACGCCTCCAACTGTTTTACCGAGGGTATCGCTCAGGCCGCCGAGCAGACCACCGTTGTCTGGACAAAGTAGGAGTGGTCAGTACTTTATGCATGGAATGACTTGGGGTGGCCTGGAAACGTACTGTTTGATTCAGACATGTTTTGATAATTTGATACCGTGCAGTAGATGTGGTAGCCTAGATTGTGAAGGTTGAAAAGTTGCACTATTCGAAAGAACATACTACATCTTAAATATCTTCGGTTAGTGATGATGACGAAAACTTGATCTGAGCCATGATATAATGCGTGCGACTTTCTCAAGCCACACTACTTTATTAGATTAACCACACGCCAACGGCTACCAATCGATCGAATGAGAGCGCATCCACTATGTGCCACCCCCATCAGAACCAGTCAAACTACCTGACGTAAATCTGCTGGGCTCCACATTGAGCTCATAGTCATAGGACATGGCACCTATTGGTAGTGGGGTATTGGATGTCACGCCGATGAGAGCAGCAATTAACTGTCATTGAATCTTTCTATAGATAAAATCTGCGCAGTTGGTTTATGGTGGCTGTTTACTGTTTTGAATGTTTGTGATGACGAACGGATGATGTCATTGTATGTCAACATCGACGGGTTAAGATTTCATCTGACCCAGAATGGCAGCGATCTATTGGCGTGGAATATCTATTTACCACAGAATTCAAGTGAGACTCTATCATTAATAGCTTATGACTCCAAGATCACAGGCTTGCTTTCCCTTGGGACTCATATGGCATCGATACAACCAGAAGCCCCGCTGTGAGAAAGAGGGTTCCACTGACATATACTGGAATGGCAGTCTCCAGATTTGCAAACATGGCGATAATGGGCGACATGATTCCAAACACACGATTGGCAGATGCAGTCAATGCATTGCCAGTACCACGGTCCTTTGTGAGGAAGATTTCCGGTGTATACGCGTAAAGCACAGCATACATCAGACTGCTCATGAAGCTGAACACGCAGTTCCATCCAAGAAGGGCATCAGATGTGGATGCTGTAGTCGATGCCAGAAGAAAGACACCTGTCAGTACAGTCGAGACAGAAAGAGTACCTCTTCGTCCAAATCGTGGGAGTTCAACAAGAAAGCCACCGAATAGGCAGCCCGGGATGCCCATCACAGCGATAATCAATGAGTTACGGTACGTGATATATGTTGATCCGTCGCCGTACGCTGCACCACGCTGGGCAGTGATATAGGGAAGGAAGGCGTTATAGAGAGGGTATCCCAAGCCGATTAGTGCCCAGACGAGGATAATCAATGTTGTTGAATAAGCTCGCTTCGGGCTGTCGAATAGCGCGCGTACATGCTCGAAATTGACCTTCTCCAGTCGCTGACGGACTAGGCTCGTGGCGTGGAAACCCTGTAACTGCTCTTGCTCCCGGTCCAAGATATCCAGGTCCTCACGGGTCAAAGACGATGTTCTCCCATTTCGTCGCGCCACTTCATGTATCACATCCACCGCATCTCCATTCCGTCCCTTCCCCATTAAGTACTTTGGCGACTCATACATAGTGAAAAATATAAAGCGACCGATAAACATGATCATCGCCAAGCCACCCATGGCGATCAGAAAATACCTCCACCCCATGTTATTCGCCTTGGCACACCCCTCCGCCTGAGAACATGTGAGATCACCTAAAAGCGGCCACGCAATAAGTGTTGCCAAAACCTGTGCGAAAGCCCAATCGACCGATAAAACCGTCAATAAATACTGATGCGACCCAGGCAAAAACTCCAAGAAAATAGCAGAGTCCACGGGTAAGTTCCCACCTACACCAACAGACCACAACGCCGCAAAGGTACATGCCGCACCGAAAACCGGTGACCCCGCTGCGATCAAGGCGAACACGGCAGTTACTCCGATGGTGAGGTTAAAAGCCCACGTCCGACCGAAAATATCACATCCGAAACCCCAGAATACGGCGCCGACTAGCAGCCCGATATTTTGGGCAAGAGTTAGGAGGCCCCCCTTGTTGATCTGGAATTCATATGATACTGGTGCGAGAATGAGAGAAGTCACGATCGGCCAGAGGTTATCGCTTGCCCAGCCAAAGCCGATTACAATGAATAATTGCCATTGGTAGCGACCCATGCCAATTTCTTGGATTGCACGGTTGAGGATCTCAGCCTTGGCATTGTAGGTGGTCTTGTCAGACTCATCGGGTGGAGGTATAGGTGTTGGTGATAGTAGAGGCTGAGTCGCTGTTGACTCATGACCTGGTGATTTAGTGTGATCAGACATGGCTGATGTGCGGAAGTTCAGATGGAAGGAGATCCCCTAGGGACATCTCGATATGCATGTCAGCCCCGAATTTCATGAAATCAAACTTGCGCAAAGGGGTTATCATATGCATGGTCTGGTCGACTTTAGTCTGCTGACAATGTTTGTACGATCCTGTAATGACGTGATTACGGGCCGTGTTCCGAGGCCCAGGACTCATGTGTCTTTGCACTCGGAGACAACAGGTCGATCTCCAGTTGCTACGAGATCTACAAATCAAGAATCGCAGTATGTTGAAAAGTTCCAAGTTGTTGTTGATTAACTTTCCACCTTGAATTATGCCGCTCTCACCTGGTTGAGCGGTTGTGGATATCCAATACCAGTAGACTATAACCCTAGGTGTGATTGGCAGATTCATGATCAGGCACTGCCCGGATGAAATATAAGATTTAATCCAATCTAAGCCCGAACGGGATAAACCGAGGTCGCCGAAGCACTAGCCAGAGCGCTGTAGGGGGTAAGACCAGGGTAGAACGAAGTCGGGATAGTAGGAATAGGAATATACGAGTCAGTACCAAACGCAACGGTCAGGTCCGACGCCATGGTAGCAGCAGAGTATCCCGTAGGAGCAACAGTCGCAGTAACAGTGGTAGTGTAGGAGGTGTAGTCATCTCCACTCTTCAAGCAGGAACCCTCGCCGTAAGCGCTCTCACACCAGTACCACTGGTAGTCACCTTCCTCAGTCCACATGGCAAAGTCCTCGATGGTGATATCGGTGCAGGGCGCAGCGTCAGCGCAGCGGACCTTGATAGGTCCGCGCTCAGCACCGTATGCCTCTGTGCCCTTCCAGTTGCTGAAGGTGATGTTGTTGAGTTGAACCCCATCACCGTCTACGGTGCTCATGCTGCTCCAGGCTTGGTCGATGTCGAGGGAGTAGGCGTTTCCGTGACCTGTGCGTGTTAGCTTTCATAGTCTTCTATGTGGGTCACATATCGTACCGATGAAGTTCTCAAGTAGGACGTTGGAAACTGTTCCGCTGCCGCCGTTGCTCTTGATCATGTACATTTGGTTCGAGGACCAGGTGTAGATGTTGCGATAGGTGATATCGGAGATGTTGACATCTGTGGACAAGGAGCCCATGGCACAGCCACCACTCCAGTTGCAGTAGATGCTTTCGACCAAGATGTTTTGGGCAGGGCTCTGGAATCGCGTTAGGTAATGATCCAAGTCTCGCGATTGTATAGTGCTTACCTTGACAGTGATACACTCGTCCTTGTTGGTGACCTCGACCTATGTGAAAGATTAGTGGGGTGGAACAAAATCGGAAAATGGTTGAGGCGCACATCGTGAATCCAGATGTTGGTAGACCAGACATCAATACCATCTAGACCACCTTCGTTTCCACCACGAATGATCATGTTGTAAACCTCGCCATTCTCACAGGTATCCATGGAGAAATGGAATGAAGGAGAGTCGACAAGAATAAGATCGTGAACCGAAAAATCGACAACCTCGTACAGACGCAAGATACGAGGTCCGGAGATGCTGCCCTCGGCATGGAACTCATATCCAAAGCCCTGGAAAGCACCTTGGGAAGTGGAGCTAAGCAACTCAAAGTCGGTGGTATGCTCGATATAGATCATGTTACCCCCATCGGTTCCAGTCCGGTAGAGGGTCCCATCAATATTGATCGCACAGCTGCTACCTCCGCTCAACCTAACCCAGGTGTCGAGAGCGTAGTCACCGGACGGGATGTAAACAACACCACCATCCTTGCACTCGTCCCAAGCCGAGGTGATAGCCGGTCCAATATCGGTCGAGTTGTCAGCAAGGCCACCGTAGTCAAGAACGCTGCAAACCTTGTTGTCGGCCTTGGTAGCGTAAGAGGTTGTAGGGCCCACAGAGCCGGAGAGTTGAGCAGTGACCAGCAATGGCGCCAGGCCGATTGCGAGGAAAGTCGACAGCATGTCGAATAGAAATAAATATACGAAAAAATACAAGAAAAGAAGGGAATGAAAGATGGGAAAGTTTGGAATGAAACGAGGACAAAGCAAGACTAAATATATGCCCCTGAGAACTAGATTCAATTTGGCAAGCGGCGCAGGATATATCCAGAAATGGTTGAGGGATGCATTATTCCGCAACCCTTCCTGAGAATTTTGAGTCGAGCTAAGAATGCTCCAGTCCTGTCTAAGGACGCCCCGAGACATGACAAGGGAATCCATCAATCATGTTCCACATGGTGCCCCGCTAATATGGAAGCCCTTGCAGAGAAGCCATGAAGCTTAGGTTGAGTGCACGTTGGTAGAAAACCCCACAGGAGATTTAATTGAGAAGAAGATTGAAGGGTCAACGAGGGCTCGAAAGCCGTCTCGAATTGAGTGATCGGCGGTTTTAGAGCCTGGGCTGATACAACGGCGCCACACTAGGAGGGTCCGGCTCGGTCAATAGTGTAGACCCTTTTGCGGACCTTAGGCCCATTTTTCTCAAACCTCTTTAAATCCTTGCTCTGCCGTGATGCTCTGCCGTGATGCCATAAATTACCTTTGATGGCTGACTGTATCATGCCAGGACGGTAAATCTGATAAAGTTTTTGCCATGTTTAAATCCAATTTCGAAAGGTGGCCTGCTGTTTATAGGGTGCTTTGATCTTACAATACATGAGCTCCGGTGGCACTGCCGATCTTGTTCGGGAGTTCTTCACGAAATGGTCTCGGATCTCTGGTGGCCTACAGGGATGATCGGGTTATGACCACCCGAGTGACACCTTGCGTCGTGTTGAACCTGCAACATGCACCAATACCCCAGCTTTTGAAGATGGATTCTCCGCACTGATGTCCCACGACGCTGCTAGAAGCCGGGCGCACAGCACCTGCTTTTAAGAAACTGAATATATCTCTAGCTCAAAGACCACGCAATGCTCATGCACTCCCCTTTCAGCCGAGAGGACTGGGACTACAGTTTTCACGCGCCATTGATAGCACATGCGACTAACTTTAATTAGTAATTGCTGACTACACCAGAGACGTGACAAGAAAATTCTCAAAATGATCTGAAATTGTATCTCAAAGCTGAAAAGATCTAGCTAAAGTCTTGGACAGCAAATCGCGAGACCAGAATAAGAACCGAAGCTCAATTCCTCGCCAAACACTTCTTCACGGCCCGACCGATGTCAAATTATCTGCCCTCTGGATACAACCCTCCATCAATCCTGATCTATGGTATTATTGGATCCCCTAGATCATCAGACGCTCGACAGCGGTCTTGATGGTGCGGATCTGGTTGGTCAACTCGGAGGCCTCGTTGGTGGTGATCGAGCAAGCAATCACGGGGCGAGAGACACCAGTGGCACGGCCCAGAGCCATCTTGCTGGGGACGTAGACGTAGGGAACGTTCTTGTCCTCAGCGAGGAGGGGCAAGTGCAAGACGATAGCCAAGGGGGAGGCATCGGCGGCGAGGACGACGATCTCGGAGGTACCGCGGTTCAGGGTCTTGGTGGCCTCGTTGGCACCCTTCTTCAGCTGGCCTGTTCAAAGGTTAGCTTTGCTCTGAAGGTCGAGGAGAGCAATTCTACTCTCAATGGAAGCTGGGAACGTACGGTAGTGGGAAGCCTGCTGAACAAGGTCGAGCAGGGACTGAGTCAGAGACTCATCGGCGATGGGCCAGGCTATAATGAGTTAGCATTGATATTCAAATCAGATGTGGCTTGTCTCGTAACTTACCAGCGTTGGTATCTTCGGCCATTGTTGTAGAGATAAATCAAATCCAAATCTTTCGAGATATGGGCTCACGCAAAGGATCACTGCCTTTTAAAATAAGCAAATGAAATTGGGGTATTTAGGTGGGTTGAAGTTTTTCGATGGAAAATTTCTGGAAATGGATTAGGCGGGAGTACACCGCCTTCTGATGGGTCACGTGTGAAGAGCCAAGAGCTGGGTCACGTGGAGTTCATGAAACAAAACTGCAGATCACGTGCAAGTCCCGAGCCTTGCCACTCCGCCTACTTGGTTAGGAAGCTTAACATTTTGTTCGCTGTTTCCCCGGGTTTTCTCCGCCGGAAGAACGAAAATTTAAACATCAAAATTGGAAGTTTCAATGGAGTCTTCGCCACAAGAACTTGTCTTATGGTAGAGTAAAGATTTAGGGTTTCTCCGATTCTTAGCTTGATCTTTTTCTTTTCCAAAGAAAAAAAAAATCCCAAACAAGTTTCAAGCATCTATTTAGAATATTGGAATGACTTCTGATATGCTGTTGTTTCTATACTCCACACAAAAACGCCACAGTGGATGGAGTATACTTTAGCTCGACCGCCCCCGCTTACTAGTATTGGCGTTGCTGGTCCTGTAACTTTGTTTGGCATACGGGTCTTTCGTGTTTTTTTCGATGGCTGTTCATTAAGAGTTGAAGACTAAGAATCCAAGGTCGAGGAGGAAGACAGTGCAGGCAAGGTATTCGTTATATTGCAGAGCTAAATTCATGTTTTATATGCAGTGTGCTCAGTTCCCTGAGTCTGATGATGGATGTACTGGTGTATGTACTAATACTTTTGGTCCATCCGGCGGACCAACTCTCCAAGTGTTTTGTATGCAATATCTTAAAGGGCACTAGCGGCCACGGTGGTGCTAGCCAACTTCGACCGAGCGCGAAGGGCTGGTCCGAACTTGAACAGCACGAATGGAATAAATGTCAAAAGGGTGGCAATGAGAGCCAGCAACAGGCCAGCATACTGGCTACCCAGATTTTCAAAGAATTGAGTAGCAAACAGTGGCGAGACAGCGCCAAGAGTGTTACGCATAAAGCCCTGACCGGCAATGGCGGACGAAGAGTTCTCGCCGTAGCAGTCAGAGGTGTAGCTGTAACATGACTCGAAGATGAAGAAGATTCCGATACCAATGAGAGCCAGACCAATGACAGGACCGACCCAGCTGAGCTGGGCATATTGAGTAAAGCTATAAATGAAAAGGCCGATTGGCAACCAGACGGCACCGCACATGGCACCGTATAGACGGGCTTCGGGATCGACCTTGCGAGAGGGATCGGCAACGAGAGACTTGTACTTTTTGATCTGGAAGAAGTTCATGCCAAAACCAATAGTGGTGCCGACACAGAGAGCAATGTAGGGGAGGCCGGCTACACCTTCACCCCAGCCACGCTTGTCGGCGAATGTGATCGGGATGACAGACAAGAAGAGGAAAGTCAGGAACCAGGCGAAACTGATCCAGAGGCCGAAGGCAAATACAACAGGCTCACTAAACAGCATGCGGATAGCTTTGACGGACGAATTGTGCAGCATCTGCTTAATGCCAGGAGCTTCGAGGTCGTTGTGGGTGACGAAGCGCTCGTCTCCAGTGTTTTTGCGGAGCATCTTGGCTCGCTTGGACAGAGTGACACCACCACGGGTTTCGCACAGGAAGATGGCAATGACAATGACAAGAGGAATATTTGCCAGACCCTGGATGCCCTCCACCCACCTCCATCCTAAAGCTTGGTCGATGAAACCGGCGTAGATCGGGGCGGCGACGGTACCGAAAATGGCGATGAAAGAGAACGAGGCCATCGGGATGGCACGGTGAGCCGGGGTGTACATGTCGCCGAAGGTACCACCGACAAGGATGGTTCCAACACATCCAAACAGACCCAGAAGGGCACGGCAGACAAGGATAGTGGCGATGTTCTTTGCAAGAGACAGACCGATGAACATGAGGGCGAAACAAACGTAGCTGCCGACGTAGATAACTCGTCGTCCAGCCAGCTCACAGAAAGGAGCTAAGAAGAGGGGGGGGCAAGGGCACAAGTAAAGTTGAATGTGAACAGACCCAACTGACCGAGCTCGGTGGAAACTCCAAGATCTTCAACCATGTCTGAGACACCTGAACTGTAGGCAGTTGTGGCAAGACCAATGAAAAGGGTCATCAGGCAAAGAAGACAACTAATGAAAGCCTTCCTCTTTCCACTCCAGTTGAAAGGGTTTTCCTTGTCACCTTCAACAAATTCAAGCACAAGAAAATTTCCTCCGTTGTGTTCCATCTTCCTTGTCACTGTGAGAGGCATGTCGAAGTCAACCTCTTGCAAGAGTTGATTGTCGAAATCTGGTGATTGTTCATCGTAAAGTTTTTCGCGGTATGTTCCTCCAATAATCCATCCTTTTTGATTTTCACTAGGGGTCTCATCATGTGTGGCAGTCATTTCCGGTGAAGGAATGTTCTCGTCGTGAGAAGCAGAGACCGGCTGCTGTTGTTGTTTCGACTTCATGATGTATGTAGTCCTTAAGAAAGGATGAAAAGAGATTTATGATATTGGAAGGAACCAGAAATCGGAGGAAACGAGACAGAATATAAACCGCCTACTTCCAGGGGAAGGTACTTCGTCATCCGCAAAACTCCGGGTTCTGCGAGTATGGGTATGGGGCTGCGGACCTCCAACAACAAAGCGTGGGGTCTTGGCCTAGCAGTGCCCCATGGTGGACTAACGTGTTTTCGGATCGTTCAATGGATAGATTTGACTTTCGCCAAGGTGGAGGTACATTGAGATATTAATTTCATTTCTGCTATACAGTAAGTACGTTGATTATTTCATACTGTTGGGTTTCTAGCCATTCTACTACAGATTCTTGAGCGGCAAGAAAAATCATCCACCTGACCCTGAACTACTTAGAAAGGAATAGTGACGACACCCCGGACTGCCCGGACTATGCACAGGCTTTCGATCGTATCTTGTTTTGTGAGACCACGATCACAAGTCCATGGTTACAACCAGCTTCCATCGTATGAGAACTGTGGACCACGATAATGATGGACGAATTGTGGCCAGGAACGGGAACGCCACGTAGTCAAGAGGTTGACATGTTCGGACAAAACCCGCGTGTGAGCAGTCGAAGGTGGATTTTGATAACACCGAGGAGGGACCGATGACTTCCCGATCCAGGTCCCTCCGAACCGACTCGGCTTCGGTCAGCCCCGCCTGCCGAGAGGTCGGCATGCCGTGAAAATGAATCGGCTTCTTTCGGTCCGGCCGTACTTAAGATTTAATGGAATTATTTTTTGGTTCATGCTATAACCGTCTATTAAGGTTGTTGAGCTGGGCTTGAAGCGTTTGAATTAGGGCTTGGGGCAGGTTGGTGCTGTGAGTTGTCCTGAAGTGGTTCCTATTACCCGTTGGGTTGACCGAAATGATCGTCTGGTCGGTAGATCCTCGGAGACCCACATTAGAATGCATTAATGACGAACGATATGATTTTGTGCCTGGCGAGAACAGCAAATTGAGTTTTCGTGGTCTACACCGAGTTAATCGAGGTACCTCCGGTTTCACCCTCACCACGTCCCCCATTGGCGTCGGATTTCGGCGTTCAAAATGCCTGACGGAAATAAATCTCTCACGATCATCTTGGCTTTCTATTTGAAAATCTCCCAGAGAGGGATCTTCTGACATCCCCCCTCTATTCATTCTCACACCTTCATACTGTAGTGCATGGCATCCACCGATGGCAATCAGCCCAACGAGTCAAATCTTTCGAACGCCCGACAAGTGAAGCTTGATGATCTTACCGTAAAAGGTAGGTAATTGCATACTAGACTTGAGGCAACCTTGAACATGAAAGGAATATTTTTACTTATAAGGTTCTCGAATTCGCGGTAACGCAAAACCTCAAAAATTGGGCCCGAGAAGGTCCCGATGATCTAATAGGCCAATCCGCCAACCTTTGGAAGTGACCAATTCCGATCTTCATGGTTCCAGTAATTATATCGTCCGACTAGATGGCCCTACTCTGGAATGGATTATGACAAACCTTTCAGGGATGTTAAGCGTCCACAGTAGATTACACATGTGCTTGTAAATAGCCTTGAAATACCTATTTCATCGTACCTTTAGCATTTGATGATCAAGTCGCGCCAACCTCCAGCACTTGAAATCAATGCTAGGTCCACCTAGCAATATATATACTACAAAGGGTGCCATTCTTGAAGGCGTAGACTGAATCCCCCAAGGGCCTCAAAGTCCATGTGGTCATCTTTTGAAGGCACTTCCAGGGCTGACTTTTCTTCCTGCAGATCACGTGTAAGCTGATTAACGGCCATCTCACGGGTCAACAGTTGTCTGAATCTCAAATATTTGACGGTCTGGTGCAGTTTGAAATGTTGAGAGCTCGTCTCAGATCGGGGGCATTAGATAGTATTCCGCCTTCCTCGACAAGGAAGGGATTCCGGAGCTAAAAAGCTCCAACTTGTCGCAGATTCACCATTCAGGATTTACGATCCGGAAAAATGGAATGTTGAATGCTAAAACCATGCATCATGATTTATACCGAATTCACGTGCTCGAAGGTCAGAGTGAACGACGTCGAAGTCATCCAGCATGGGAATTGTACTAGCGTTCCAAACCCATGCTAGACAGGTGACCTGTGGACACGGAACAATAATTGACAATGGAGAAAGTGTTTCGAAGAAGTAACGCCTACTGGTTATCATGGATTGAGTTTTCCAGTAAAGGGATGTATTAACATAGGAATAACTAAGTAGCCCGTAGAAGACCTGCAACGACTTTGCCAGCACCAGGCGCTATTCGCAGACAGCCAATTCTGTGCCACACCACTATTATTGCGTGTCTGGGAACAGGCCCACAGGCCCGCTTTCTAGTCCAATGCCAAGCACCGATAAGCAATCATCCGTCCACATCTTGGCAGTATGGCTTGACACGCGTCACCCAAAGTCTCCACGCATGTTCTAGATGTGGGGGAAAAGATAAAACGCATCGCGAGTTTGCACCCACGAAAGCAAGTCACAGCTTCTCGAGTTACGCGAACACAAAAAAAAAGACATTATCTGCTTGCTAAAGTACAGCCTGGAATGATAAGGCCGGGTAGTTCTCAACAAAACCCAGCTTTCCCAATCACAGGCGACGAGTCACGAGTACAGAGGTTTCATTCGGCATGCATGGCGGGGAACCGACGGCCTCCGTTGAAACCGCTTCCCCACAACACGAATCAGGACCCCCGGAAATGGCCCCCACCATTCACTGAAATCGAAAAAAATTTGACTATCACCACTCATGATCTGTGCCGCTTGTTAACCGGTATTATTACGGTATTCCTGTGTAGCTCACCGTCTCCTTGACCTTTTCGTTGGCGTGCCAAGTACAAAACTCTGGTATCGATTACAGTCTTTCAAAAGTTCCAAGGCTCCAGGATTTCATCTCTTGCTGTTGAGTCAGCATATGGCGGTAAACCTCACACATGGGAAAACGCGCATTGTCAACTGGCACCCCCTAAATCTAGCGCTGTACTTTTATTTACGCGCATGGTAGCGTGTCAACCAGCATGTCTCTGAAACCTTCCACGGAGAACGCCGTTGCGGTTGCCGGCATGAATGAGTCAGCGACACTGGAAGAGATTCGAGAAGAAACGCAGGATGCGAACAGGCCTGTCAAGTTTTCGAAGGTCTTCACGATATCAATTGTATTGTGCTTGGCGACTTTGTGCGTATCGATAGACAATACGATAATTTCGACTGCTGTACCACGGATCACAAAACAGTTTCAGAGCATTGACGATGTGGGCTGGTATGCAGCGTACGTTCTCCATCCGTGAAATACGAAGCGCTATAGTGGGGAAACATTAACGGTGCCCGAACAGAATCTATCCATTGACATCCTGCGCATTCCAACCTTCCTACGGAAAAATCTATACTCTCTTCTCCAGCAAATATGTCTTCTTGGCAGCGTTGCTGATATTCGAGATCGGCAGCGTTGTATGTGCTACTGCACCTAGTTCTCATGTGTTTATTCTCGGGCGGGCATTAGCAGGCATAGGTTCCGCTGGAATACAAGCAGGCACTACGCTCATTCTCGCTGAATGTGTTCCACTAAGCCAGCGGCCGACTTGGAACAGCATCATTGGTAGCATGTTTGCAGTCGGGAGTGTGGCTGGACCTTTACTGGTATTTGCACATTCCACACATATTGTTCATTTTTTACTGTGTTTGACAACTCGAGTAGGGAGGAGCGTTCTCAGATTCAACCACATGGCGTTGGTGCTTCTACATTAATCTCCCAATTGGAGGAGTTGTTATGATCTTCGTCTTCTTTTTCTATCACGCTAATAGTACTGACAGAATACTCGAGTCGACCGGATCTCGCAGCCAGATCGCGCGTTTCGACTTGGTTGGCACTTTTACCTTTATGTCCGCAACTATTTGTCTCCTGCTGGCACTCTCATGGGGTGGTACGACATATGCTTGGGATAATGTCCGCATAATAGTCCTGCTCACTCTTGCTGGTCTCCTCTTTTGTTCCTTCGTGGGTATCGAATACTGGATGAAAGATAGCGCCATCATTCCTTTGCGTTTACTACGCAGTCGAAGCATATGTGCAGCAATTTGGTTTGGTATCTGCCTTGGAGGCGTGTTCTTTGTATGCACCCCCAAGCGCAAACTCTATACAACGTTTGACTGACCCAGGTATGATGATCGTGCTAGATCAACGTTTACTATATCCGTGAGTATGGAGGATAGCTGTGCAGAAGATGTATACTGATCTGTACTTTAGCGCTATGGTTTCAAATCGTCAATGGTGTCTCTGCCGTCGAATCCGGAATCCTCTTCATACCGTTTATGGTTAGTGTTGTCGGTGGATTCATGTTCGCGGGCTTTGGGACTGCTGGAACAGGATATTACACACCCTTTGTCTACGCTGGATCAGTCCTCATGTCGATAGGCACGGGCCTTTTGATGACTGTTCGGCCTCATCACACCCCCCGCGCCAGATGGGTTGGGTTTCAGATAATATGTGGAGCTGGAATCGGTCTAGGAGAAGAGCAGGGACTGTATATGGTACAGACGACGCTTTCCGAAAATGATGTGGCAACTGGAATTGGCCTCATCCTATTCGCACAGACATTCGGTGGAGCCTTGTTCGTGTCGGTTGCGCAGTTACTCTTCTTGGAGAACATCAGCAAAGCGCTAAAAACACTGGCCCCGAATCTGAGCCCTAAGTCTGTTCTGGACGGAGAAACAACAGGGTCTTCGCCAGAATTACAGGCAGTCTACGGCGTGGCGATCAAAGACTCCCTCCGCGTTGGGCTTATATTAGCAGCAGCGTCGACTCTAGGTGCCGTGCTATACGACTGGAAGAGTCTGAGAACGAAGGATGATAATGGGAGCCCTGAGCATGGATGTGTGCAGATGCCAGAAAAGTTAGAGGGGGTTGGAGCAGAGGTCAAAGAGAGATAAGGACTAATATGGACACTCGTATATAGACGGAAAGTTGCCATTGAATCTGTAACGTCGATATACACAAGCCTGCATCATCTCTGGGAACGAAGCCGATTATCCCACCTGAACAGGCCTTATCTTCAACGCTCCGCATAAGACTTTACCTTAAACCGCTGAATTCAGCCGAAATTGATCTTTTTTCAGCGCCTAATGTACCAATTAACTCATGAAAGCAGCCGACGCGAGCCGTATGCCTCGTTTGAACGATAGACAAAACCAGCGACAAATTTTTTCAAGTCTTATATGCTCGGCAGGTGAGTGTTTCCACTCTATAGATAGTATCGAGAGACGGTGTTGGTCTCTGTAATCTCGTCTGCATTGAGTCGCGGACCGATTCCCACACCGCCTAACTGCCCTCGGTCAATTACGTTGCGCAAGCTTTGGTACCTTTGACAACCGAATCTGCTTCATGGATCCGTTCAGGTCATAAATTGCTTCCATATCTCCTGGGTCTATATGCAGAGGCGACCTTGGACTCGTAGGAAAACTCGTATTAAAGCACCAACTTCATACGTGGTGATGTTCCAGGGACTCTTGCTATGACATCATCTCCGGATACGCGGCATTATGTACCCCAGAGTCTTTGCTGTGGATCATGCAATTCATACAATGCGGAAAATACCTTGTTCCTACAGTCCCCACAACCGTCACCATGATGCAACTTGGAACCTAATTGGCGTTTTCCACAACTGTTAAATAACGGCATGCCAAGACGATTTTCCAAGTCAAGCTTTCTTTGTTCCACACTCATAACATTGGAAAGCCGACAGATTTATCTCAACCCTTACATCAATCACTACATTGGGTATTTTCCTATTTCATCGCTCAATTGATCGACATGGCACCTAGTAAAGAACACACGCATCCCCTGCATCAGTAAGTTCCTCTCATCCCTCATCCAAAACCCTGCTAATCCTCTCTCAGCCTCGGCAGTTGGATGCCTTCAGATCATGACGCCCACCGAGAATGGCTAGGCGGGGTGATCAAGCACGTAGACAACAATGAAAAAGAGCTCCACCCAGTTCTAAAGGAATTTCAGGATCTAATCGAAACAAATACACGGGTGTACATGTTGCTTGAGGGCATGTTCAAGGAAGTCCCAAAGAAGAAGCCATACAGCCAAGATCCAACAGGCCACCCCGAAATCCGTGACTACAAGCACTTTCTCCAGGTCCTCAACCACATGTTGACAACGGCTCCATCATGGACTGACAAAGCCCACCGCGTTGGTTTGGTCGGTTTACCCATCAACGCAGTGCTAGACTGGCCAATGGGCACACCAAGTGGCTACGCCGCGTTCCTAGACCCAGAGATCAACGCCATGTTGAAAAAGGTTCTAAATGCCTGGGGCGAGTACCTGCGTTCGCCGGCATCGGCCGATGTCCTGAACAAAACTTCGAATGGATGGTTTGGTGAGACGGGGCACCGGGACCTCACTACCGTGGCTAAGATTGGTCCCACGGCTACTGAAACCCTCGAATTCCATGAGATGTTCCACTGTGACCCCTCTGCACCAAACTACGGCTACAAGTCATGGGACGACTTCTTCACTCGTCTATTCCGCGATGGAATGCGCCCGGTCGCGGAACCAGATAATGATCGGGTTCTAGCTAATGCGTGTGAGTCGAGACCATTCAGACTCGCGCACAACGTAAAGGCCCGCGATAGATTCTGGATTAAGAGTCAACCGTACTCTGTGCTGGATATGCTGGCTCATGATCAGTATGCTGAGCAGTTCGTTGGTGGTACGATCTACCAAGCATTTTTGAGTGCTCTGAGTTACCACCGTTGGCATACGCCTGTTTCAGGAAAGGTTGTGAAGGCCTTTGTTGCTGACGGGACATACTATTCTGAGCCCCTGTTTGAGGGAGTGGGCAATCCGCTGCCTCATGCGCAGGACATTGATATTGCTGGTCAGGTCACCTCGCAGGCATATATTACCTCGACTGCTACCAGGGCTATCATCTTTATTGAGGCTGATGAGCCGGCTATTGGCCTCATGGCCTTTATTGGTGTAGGTATGGCTGAAGTCTCTACTTGTGATATTACTGTCAAGGAAGGTCAGCATATCACCAAGGGTGATGAGATTGGTATGTTCCACTTTGGTGGATCTACTCATTGTCTCCTCTTCCGGAAAGGTGTCAATGTCTCCGGATTTCCTGAGCCGGGTATGGAGGAGAATATGCCAGTTCGGAGCCGACTGGCTGTTGTTTCATAGATTCTCAGACTGTTGATAAGCGTGTTCGCTGTCTATAGTCATCATGTACATAGCGTTGCTGCACATATAGCCACTTTTAGTACAATAAAGTTTCACGTGCAGAACCCAAGCTTCGTGCTAAGATTGCCGATTGTTCTCGTGCGCACTGCATTTTGAAACACCCACGCATTCTTGGTGGAGAAACTTGGAACCACTTCAACCCTTCAGGATCCCTTTTCAGCCCCCGAACCTGGACTATTACCTTCAAGGTTCACGGCTTTTCAACCTCCACATCGGCGAATAGAACCACACCTTTGCTTTCAATATTTCTTTCTAATGGTGCCACTGGGTCTGGTCCAGCGAATATTTTTCGCTACTGGCCCAAGGATAGCTTAGCTAGAATTGGCAACGAGGCGGACAAAGACGTCAAATCCCAGAAGAAAGGCATACTTGGCCATCTGGTCCTCAACATCAAGAATTGGCTGCTGTTAACTGCTTGAAATTACCGCAAAATGCTAAATACCAATGCGTTTCAGGTTTGAAGATAAGATGTGAAGGCCCACCCCGCTTGGGCCACAAAGACCCATTGCGGCCCGCGATGATCAAGTCTGGCCTCAAGGGTTAATGGGCCAAGCAACTCAATGAATATGAGATATTTCGTCACAGCATGCAGTGTGACAGATAGGAGCATATTTGATTGGGCGGCCACTTTTCCGATCCTTCATTTCATTGAGAATGTTGCAAGGGGGTTTCCAGCTGGGCAGGACCGTAATCTTAGCTCAGCCGCATACTTAAGATCTGCTTAATGCCTGCGAGGTTACGATCCGTGCTACCCTCGGAGTTAGCCTGCCATATAGATTATCAGATGGACTCCCCGAATACGGTCGAGGGTGTTATGAAGACAGTTTCCAAAACTGAAGGAAATTGGCTATGATGCGCCATCCTCCCCCTGAATTTGCTCCATGGGAGAAACGAGATCATGGGATGCAGCCGCCGATCATATCAGAGCAGGGACAAGCTGTAAGGACCTCGTCGGAAATTTTGGAAAAGGCAGCCAGGCGGAAGTCAGCTAATTGTCGCGTGTTTCAGCTCGTTATGTGGATTGGTGTGGCGCTCTCGTGTACTTTTGTCGCTATCCGCACCCACGCTCAATACCGAAATAGCAGGAGACTTTTCATAAACGACTACTGCATATTTATTGCTTTAGTATGTCATGTTGCCACAGCTATTGTTTATCAAATTGCTATACCGCCGATGTATGACGTGATCAGCGTCAGTGCCGGTCTGAAGCCAATGGGGCCAACATTCATGCAGCAGGGAGCCTTCTTCCTGAAGCTTCAGTATGCGGCCGATATTCTCCTTTGGACGACCCTTTGGTCGGTAAAGTTCTCGCTGCTGTTCTTCTTTTGGCGACTATTTGACTCGGTACATTCACCGATGAAGCTTTTTTGGTGGATCATGTGTGGGATCACGGTGTCGACTTGGATCACGAGTGTAATTCTCCAGGAGTTCGCTTGCAATCCCATAGGCGACTTTTTTGTACCAGGTAAGAGCCTTCACCAGCCACCGAGCGCCTTAATTAACTTGACACAGGCAAATGCGGATCCGAAAGGGATATATTCTACTCTAATCTTGTTTTCCACTTTTCAGTATGCAGTGACATTTCGGGTGATGTGTGTGGTGCGTTAACCCTTGATCCATATGTCAAATCGTGCTAAATCAGGTAGTGATGCTGATACCTTTCCCTCTCCTCTACAAACTGAACATTGATAATCGGAAACGGTGGATCCTTATCGGCTTATTCTCTCTTCCGATCATCCCAGTCTTATTTGCATGCCTTCGCCTAGTCAAATCCAATAATCCGGATGGAGACGTTGATCCTATCAAATTCCAATTATATTCCATGCTGGAAAATACAGCAGCCATCGTTACCTCGTGCCTTCCTGCGTTTCGGCTATTTGTCATTAATGCTCAAAGCTCGTCTTCTCAGGGCGGTTCGCAATCTTCTCGTCGATTCTCCTGGATCGTTACAAGTTCTTTTAGAAGTGGGAGCTATTCGCAGAACAAAAGACACAGAGCAATTCCTTTGGAAACATTGTTGGAGACTTGTCAGGAGAACAATTTATCTTCCCATGAGATTGACCTTACAAGAGACCATTCCAACAAAGAGAGCGACGGAGATTCACTTCAACTTGCCCCTTCCTTGGGCAACAGGGTATGGTGCAGTCATGACTTTAATCCTACTTGATTCTATGTCACTTTATATGGCAGTCTCATGAATGATGTAGTCTTGAAAGCTGGTTTGAGAACAGTTTCAATCGAATTAGCATTCCAGTCTTTGATGACGACAGCGCGGTGACTTTGATACCCGATAATATATAATCATGGTAAATTCCGCGATAAATGACATTCTTCACCTCTCTCACTTCTCATTTTCAAGACTCTATGCCGCAAAATTGATATATGTGATGCGAATACAAAGCATTGTCCCAGGTGTGAAGGATCCGCCGGTTCGCTTTACGGCAACGGCGTTAATATAAATATTTGAGTGCAAGCCCGCTATCCCAGGTGATGCATCGATTTAATTTCTGTCTCAGCCACATGTTCTAGGGAATACGGCTTGGCGAGTTGACGCAGATCGGAGACTGTCGCATCTGTTGGAGTGGCTAGTGATTGGAAGATCTGGAGTGGATCCACTCAACTGACGGTCATCAATAGTGAGAGCCCCGTCAAGCAATCGGTATGATCCGACAAGCCATGCTAACCAGTCTTCCGCCCGAGGGAATATCTCTCGTGCCAGTCTCTCTCACTGTCAGGTGGATCGGTAGCTAAGATGCCCCACAAATTGCGCGATAGAACACGATCTTGCCTACAGATCATTTCCCTATTCGTAATCACGTCATCGAAGCCATTTAATTGTCATTAGGCTGGACAAGCCGTGGTGTGATATGATGAAAAGTTTATCTGATGAAAGGATCGCAACTTCCATGTATTTAGCATGGATCCCGAGGGTAATGTGTTGATCAGTGCAAATTCCCTCTACGGAGGGTCGATCCCTCATCATGACACTCACGGCGGAGCAGATCAATTCAATAGGTGTCGCAGGGCGAGTCAGCTCTGCGTTGTCTATGCTGGGGACAATCACGATTATTTGCGCTTTTGTTTTTTCTCGTCACTTTCGGAGCCCTATTCACCGCATTATCTTTTTCAATGCGTTTTATAACCTTTTCGATTCGGTCGCGACAATGATATCTGTTAGTGGGCCGGAGTCCGGGGATTATTCATCTATATGTCAGTTTCAGGGCTTTGCTCTGCAAATGTGGGTTCTGGATGCAGCAGAAACTGTGCAACAGAACTAACTGCGGGCTATGTTAGGTTTCCACTGGCTGATGTACTATGGACATTGGCCATGGCGCTAGATACATACCTTGTCGTTTTCCATCACTTCGATGCTCATTACCTGCAAAGGCTTGAGCCAAAATACATTGGGGGCATTACTGCCCTCACCTTCATACCTGCGTTGGTATTTCTTTTCATTCGTTCTGACGAGAAGGGCCCTGTTTATGGCAGCGAGACCGTGGGTTTCCAATAGCGACCAGCCAAGGGAAAGAGACTGACTATTATAGATTTGGTGCTCGATATCTCCAAAGTGGATAATTCTACGCTTGATCTTATACTACGGCCCCGTATGGTATGTCGCACCGAGCAGCATTGCAATAAATCACCCTCTAACCCATTTCAATTTCCAGGCTCACCATAGCCGTGGTGCTATTATTCTACGCGCTAATTGGCATCGAAATCTCCCGCCTTCGCCACGAATTCAAACTCACAGATGATGACCATATCGCCCTTACCTCCAACCTCTCGTCCAATAACTTCAATCCCGAACACACCCAAGTCTCAGTAACTACAACTGTCGAAGCCAACTCCACACTGCCAGATTCAAACAAAGCCTATTTTTCGGATTCACACATCGCGAGCCACTCCTCCGTTGAACAGGAAATCAGCCCCAGCCCTCCCACAAATTGGGCGCCGATGAACCACCAATCCTCAAAGCAACGTCGCGTCTCATTCAAGCAATATATCCTTATGCCTTCCCTTTTCTTTCTAGCTTTATTGGCGACATGGGTTGCACCGACGATTAATCGGGTATCCACGTTTATTAATCCAGATGTGGAGTCGTTCCCGCTGCTTGTTGCTGTTAGTGCATTTGGGTCTTTGCGCGGATTTTGGAATGGGGTTATCTTTATCACAATGGGTATGAAAGGGTGGAAGAGACGGGCAAGGGAGCGGATGGTTCATAAAAGTGCGCGACGATGATCATCATATACCTATATACCCGGCGTCTGGTTTGATTTACTCTTAAGTTGGCTCTATGTACCCAAACGAAAGGAAACCTCAATGAAAAGTATGTTGAGAACCAATACTTTGTCCTGGTCTCAGTGAGCTGATTTTTTGTGGAGAATGAAATTCTACACCTCTATCTAAGGAAATGTATATCACAACCGCAATTTTACCAATCTGATAATGGCTGCTTGAGCATTGGGAGTACTGAGCGTCCTGCTCAATGAGGGATCAGTACAGGACGAACACTCAAGTCACCCTTTACCAATGCGCTGCCTTTCCACCAAATTTTTACAAACGTAAACGTGGAACGTGTAAACCGAGATCAAAACACTTAGCCCGAAATATGATCCCGAAATATGACTTTCCATTCGTGCAGAGCTCTTTCATCGATGCAAAGTCACATTTGGGATTTGATGAGCGAAATCAAGCCGCCTGAGCCTTTTTAAAAACATTGGCATCGTCTAATATCTTTGCTTCATGCTGTTGTTTGAGCGCCTTGGTCAAAAGCTCAGGGTACCATCGTCTTCCCAATTCAGGGTAGCTCGTAATGAGAGTTGTTAGAAGAGCTTCACCAGAGGCACCCTTGTAAACATCAGCCAAGAATGTCTCTGCGTCGGACTTCACATCATTTTCGCGTAGAGCCAAAATATGAGGCGCTAATTCCACCTTCATATCCTCCTGAGTCACATCAAGAGCCAGCATTTGGAAGTATGCAAAGCTTAGCCGCTTGCCCAGGGGAATGTCGTTGGCCCCAATATATTGGGAAGGTTTCAAATTGACTCGGTGAGTAGTCGCAACGCAAACTCCTTGTGTGAGCGCTTCGAGTGACCGGCCAATGTTCACCACCAGTGTATTTGGAATCGGAGGGGCTGAGATCCATGTTCCCGACTTGTTCTGCACCTCCAGGCTCGAATGCTCTGTTCCTTGGAGGAGGTAGGTTAAGAAGCTACCATCCTTGTGAGGCCCGACACCCTGAACCTCTGTCTCGGTAGGCATTGAAGGATCGACTCGAGGATAAGCACTGATTCTGAGGTTACTCATTGGATATTTTCTCTGTAGTACCTTATTGAAGGTAGTAGGGTGTAGGTCCAACGCTTCGGCAATCAAAATAATGAACTCGTCTGCTAATGCCTGGGTCTGTTCGATGTATATTTCGACCGCTTTCCGCAGGCCTGGGGTGGTTTCTTCGGGTAGCCACTTTTTTGTTATAATTAGTAGCTGATTCATTGGTTTAAAGATAGATTGTAGTCATACCTGATTGGGCCCTTCGAGGCCATAGTAGATGGGAGAGTTGGAATCGTGGGTAGGTGCATCTAAACCGACCTTCCAGTCGCGTTAGAACGAATGACCTCTAGCTGTCAAATAATTGGACATACAGTTAATGTTTCCCGTTGATCACTTATTGTGGCCGTTTTTTCGGAACCTGAGCAAGCATATCCACGGAAGTGCTTGCTATTGACGACGTCCACTTCCAGCTTCTTTTCCAGTGGGAGATCGAAAAATGCACCTGTGGTCGTTGCAAGCTTCTCGCGAATATCGACCCCAATTGGAGGGTTCTGAAGATAAAAGAAGCCAACATCCACAAGTGCGTTCCTAAGTGCTGATAGGAAACGTGGTTTCGTGGCAGGAGAAATTGCGTCGTTATAATCGACCAAAGGAATGTGGGTAAAATTTGCTGCCATTTCGATTCTTTAAACCTAGAAGACCAAGCTTAGAGATATCAGACAATGGCTCTCAGGTAAGGGTATGAAAAAAAGTTGAGAGAGAATCTGGACATGAAATGCTATATTTAATTGGCAATGCGAGTATGCTGTAGTGCCTCCATGAGCCGTCTGTCCGGAGACGTCGGAATGCGGTTTTCGATCTTCTTCCTCCTACTTAGATTAGTGTAGCACACGGAACCTGCATTTTATGAGTTCATGGTGCTTTTTCGCCATGCATTGTAAGACTTTGTCCCTTTATGTCGATCCACAAAGTCAATGGGCATTAGATCTTATAGTGTTTTTGGAGCTTACAGTGTATGACCTTATGATCTACAGTACCATATCATATATAGCTTAGGTGATATTTCCAAATTCCTATCAATTAACAGAGTCTATACCCCCTACGTGCGGCGTGTGATTAGCCTGGCGGCATTGCACTTGCACGCGTGAAAAATATAGGTCTGTGCGTCGTTACACGATGGTGATACAATTACATGATTTTTCAACGTATAATGTGTGCTAAGCCAGACCATTGTGGGGCTGCGAGTTGCAGGTGCACAAACAATGCTGGTTTGGTTAATGCATGTCAGTCCAGGACAAGTACCCCCAAGCTCATTTTAGGGTCGGCGAAATCACTTATATTTGCGACAGCAGTAGATGCTCACGGACTAGTGAGATTTCCCACGACTATCTTATGATTGTCAGTCCCAAGCATCTAAATGTTCAACCAGCATCAACCAGCCTCGCTGAGCGCCTCGGCAAAGTAGCGGGGGCACCGAACGTGCATATCGCCTTGTAGAAAAATATGTGGCTGGCTGAATTGTATGTTCTGGGGTTATTTCTCCCCTGCCCTGAGTGTGAGTGTACTTGGATTGACATGGATGCAGAGAGTTATAACTAGGAACTCAAGTCTATTAGATCTATCATCTCGCAATAAAGTTTTTACACGCCGTGTTCCCAGATTTGTACCTGCCGCAGTAAGACGGTGTGGATGTTTATTGAATTTACCTGACGTTACCAGTAACTTTCCGCTTTTAACACCTTGAAATGCATTCTGGTATAATATGAAACGCTGAGTCGCGGTCTCAAGTGGCCGATTTCTCAAGTGAATTCATTTTTTGACGCGAAAAAAGGCTTGTCAAATACATATTGATATCAGAAGATAATGCAGTTCTATTCGAAAGCCCTGGTGAATCTACAGTTGCAAACATGTATCGAGTATTGAGAGTCACCAGAGAAATAATCCCGCGAAAACAAAAATTCTCGGGTCGCCTTATTTGTTTCCATGCAGGTACATGCATCGCCTCCATTTGCAACTTGCCCTTGCTTCCCCTCTGTTTCAGTTAAATTCAAGTAAAGGGGTGTAATTATATAACACCCCACGAGGAGCAATTCATCTGTAGGCTGCAGGGCAGTGGAATTGTAGCGAACATGCAAGGCTCAGACTCCATCCAACGCCTCATCTGGGTAATTAGACTCTCAAACTTCCAATATAAGATAGTGGATAAGTGAATATTTTTTTTGGTGTTCTACATCTATCTGACTGGGATGATTACGCTTATAGTACCGAGATCTTCAATAGGCGGCTACTACACATCTCCTTGTTGTACATCTATCCCTTCATTTTTGGCACAAGATTTCGGCGGCTAAATCTAGGCTATCCATTGGCTGTTGAGACGATTTCAAATCTCATAAGTTTAAGTAGACATAAAGTAAGATGTGTGAGCCGCTGTCATTCGTGTACAGCAGCCAGAAAATTGGGATAATGATTCACGAAATTCCAAAAACTCGTCCACTGCATGGAAGGTGACGATCATATATGTTGCTTCGTTTGCTATTTTGAGCGAGTAAATACTACAATCATCTATCGGATCAATTAGGGTAGCTTATTACACAAAGCGATATTTGCTTGCAATTATTTCGTGCGTCCTTCGTAAGTAACTATCTCCGCCCTTCACGGAGGCCGTTAATATTCCAACACTGATCAGTTTGGGCTCATTCATGTTAGCTTATCGCTAAGTCATTTCCTTGGAATAGCCATTGTCGGTCCCATGCATAATTGGTATACTATCCGGAAGAAGTTTGCACGAAAAGGTGCAACTACTGTTTACCCGAGAATTGGTTGTTTCCCCTGCCCCCTGCTACCCTTTCGCTTGCTGTTGGAACGTTGTGCTATGGATGGTCCGCTAATGCTTATCTTCAATTGATGATGCCTATTACTTGATGCTTCCTCATAATCGTTGGGGTCTCTTTTGTGCTTACCGCATGTGAGGTATACCTGACCGATTCATTTAATGCTACGTTGCGAGCGCAACGGCCGTCACCCTGACTCGGTCAATTTTTTGGGGCCACTTCACCTGTCACTAGTCCCCTGTTGTATGGCAGCTTGAGATCAGGATGGGGAAATATTCTTCTTGCATGTTTGGCATTGGCACAGCCGCTTTTGACCTTTCCGGTCGCCAAATATGGAAAAGACTTCGGACGAACAAACAGTTTCAGGTCCTTTTAAACCCTAAGAGGCTTCCTCTTTGTAGTGATGTTTTCTATTCCCAAGATCGAATTTTAGCCTTGAAAAGTGTGTGATTTTCACTAATATAATTACACACAGTTCAGTATACTCTCATATATTCACCATCTTGGCCACAAAAAATGGCATTCATACTTTCACGATTGACTTTACTATTTCTAGCGCTGGTCCTGAGTTTTCTGGTCGTGTAGTAAGTCTTATCTTCGTTGTCGGTATTCATGACCAAGAAATAGGTGCTTGTGAGTCATGTGACGCATGGTAGATGACTCCAGTAGCGATGATCAAATAGGCGTAGATAGAGTCGCTCCACCCTACGTAGCGGAGAACAGCTCACAAACACAGGGAGCGTATGTTGGTCTGCTTTCAATTACTTCTAGCTGGCGTGTGCTCTCGTCTGCTCCTGTTGCAAGCAATCTTGTACTGTAAGATGTAATCTTGCAAGGCGCATATCGCGGGTCTCGGCCCCTCCCCAGCGATCAGACCTCATCAGACTTATCATTTAGCTCCGCACGCAAACCGCAAAGAAGGAATGCACCCCGATGTGAAATAGAGACCAACATGATTCCTTGGCTTGAGCGAAACCTGACCTAAAAGTGTCTGCAGGTGAACACGTCTCGTGCATCTCAACAATTGGCCCGAGCCCTCTACATCATTTGACGTTTCACATTCCTTACAGCCCCTTCTTTCCATAATTATGACATCCTGATCTCATATTCCCCTTCACAAACTTTTCTAGCTTCACAATATGACGGGTCATAGCCCATCAAACGAGGAGACCTTCCCTCTTCTAATCGAACAAAGCCATGGCCACGCGGGCGGGACGGGCCGAGCACTGGCGGCACGCTGGTCTCGCTTTCGTCAACCATCGGTACTACCAGCCTTTCCCAAATTTCCCTGATCCCTGACACTGATACCAAACTCGCGATAGCCAGCATGGATTGTGACTATATACCAAATGTATGCTATTGTTTCTGGCACCTTCGCCGTGCCCGAACTCAACGCTACGCTCGCGTTGATCTGTCACCAACAGTATTCTACCACAAAGCTACCCCCCGGCCATCCAGATTACCAAGCGCCCGATTTATTTGACGAACTCAACAAGTGCCTTGGGAATAAGAATGCGCAATCATCTTTATCGCGGTTTCTGATCTACGGACAAATAACAGCCGGTCTTCTTGGCGCTATTGCGACTCCAATTCTGAGCTCATTATCCGATCGGATCGGGCGCCGGCCGATTCTCGCCTGCACCGCCCTTGGACCGTTGTTTTATGAGGCGCTTCTATTATTCATTCTTTGTTATCCCGACTCGGTGGATATGCACTGGCTTCTGGTAGGGTATGCGATGGAAGGGTTCAGTGGGACAATCATAACCGCGATGTCCACGTCGCAAGCCTACATTACCGACGTTGCGCCGCGTCGCGACCGGGCGAGGCTCTTCAGCTACATGCAAGCAGGCAATTCATTTGCCCTGGCCGTGGGACCTATCATTGCCGGCGTGCTCCTGGCGACTTCCAATCCGCTTCAGCGTACATACACACTCGCCGTTTGCGCACATTCTGTCCTCTTCCTGCTCTTTTTTTGCCTTTTGCCTGAATCGCGTCAGCCGCAGTCTCCCAATCTAGCCGACCAGGAAAGCTCGAGTGCAGGCCGTCTGAAAACAAATCACCTCCGTACTGTGTTGCTTTCCTGGAGAGATATTCGGGCGTCGAGCGCAACACGACAACAGAACATGGCTATCATGGCTATGGCAGAAATGGTCATGTTTGGAGTCGTCTTTGGCCTACCGTCACTACAGTTAGCCTATCCAGCGTTCCTGTTTCACTGGAAGCCGACCGTACAAAGTTTTGTCATGTCACTTTTCCAGTCATGGAGCATCGTCGTCCTGGTTTTTATCTTTCCAACGATAATGACCGCAGTACGCCGGTATGGAAGGCCAGGGAACTACTCGACTACAATTCCCACTATATTCAATTTTGGCGAGGTAGGCGCTATCAAAGTGGGCTTGTTGCTGCAGTGTATTGGCTACATTGGCATCTCTCTAGCCCGGAAACCCGGTTATTTTATCTTCTCCTCGCTGGTTGTTGCATCGGCTGCGCCTTTAGGCCCTCTCTTGATATCTTGCCTTACGGCTCATGTGCCTAGTCACCAATCGGGGCAATTGCTAGGTCTTTTGAGCTTCCTGCATGCCATTGCACGGGTGATTGTCCCTGCTCTATTGAATGCCACCTATAGCATGACAGTGGGACTTTCGCCAGCACCTTTGTTCCTGCTATTGGCAGTTATCAACGGGCTTTTGCTGCTGGCTAGCATGCACATCAAGACGAATGTTATATGAGAAACTATAGACAGGATCCTGGGATGATGGATAGAATTACGAATCTAATGATCTGAACTTTTGTCAAATATTCTTGTCGTCTGTTTTTCACTATTCCTGCGCAGCCTTCATAACACCATCATCGCGATCCATCGGTCCGGGCACGGGGTTGAGGAAGCCTAGTGGGCACTTAGCTACAACGGGTAATCCGTTGAACACGGCCTAAAATCCGTGGAAGAGGTACATCTATTCCGCACATTTCTCTGGGGATTGGTGGCTTCGTATTTACCCGGCCACACTACCGATTAGCCGCAACATGCTAGTCAATTTTGATTGTACCCCACGCGCAGCTCGCAAAGCTCACGTCTCGACAATAACTCTCCCTCGCAACTGATCCGCCGCCCAAATGGCCGCGAAACAGCACTGGATCCACACCTGGGCCGCAATGCCTCTGCTTGCAGAGCCAGACAAACTCCCACCTAAACCATTTGTATAACACCCGCTCACCCCAAATATGCGCATGGAAATTGACCTATCTCCAGGACCAAGAAAGCTTGATTTTCCGTGGCACCACCATCCGCCAAAGCGTCAAGATCACACTCGGTTTAGCACGATACTTCCGCTTCCGCTTCTCGAACGCCTTTGGCACTGACGACCTGACCATAACTGAGACGACTGTCGCACTGGCAAAAAATGGTGTTTCTGGGAGTAGTGCCATCGAGTCGCCCACTCTCAAAAAAGTGACCTTCAATGGCGACTCAACAACCATGATCTCAGGTGGTGCACTGACCGTTTCTGATGCTGTGGACCTGGGTCCCTTACCGGTGGGAACCGTGCTTACGATCAGCATGTTTCTTGAAAATGGGCAGAATAGCCAGACGGGGATCACCTGTCATCCTGGGAGTCGGACGAGTTCTTTTTGTGTGTTGGGAAATCAGGTGGCCGATGCTGATTTTACAGGAGATTCGGTTGTAGAGATTGAGCACTGGTGAGCTAGATCCCTTCCATACTGGGCGTTTCAATATTTAATTCCAGGGTACAACAATAGGTATTACATTTCCGGAATCGAAATACTTGCGCCTCGGAACGCGGGTACATTGGCTATCATTGGGGATAGCATCACTGATGGTCGGTGCAGTACAACGAATGGAAATAACCGGTACGTGAAGTATGCTAGACTCAGGAAAAGACCCCAGGCTGATATACTAAGATGGCCGAACCTCCTCTTCTCCCGCTTCCAATCATACCAGCCGACAGCCTCAATTGCAATAATCAGCCAAGCAGCAGGTGGAAACAGGATTCTAACGGACGGCATCGGACCAAACGTACTGAGTCGCCTAGATCGAGATATCCTCTCCCTCCGAGGAGTGCGCCAAGTCTTTCTCTTCGAAGGCGTAAACGATATAGGCACTGCGGACACAGACGAAGAAAGTCAGAAAATCATCGGTGATCGACTAATCGCCGGATACAAACAGATCGCTACCAGGGTACATGCTTGTGGTATTCGAATTTTTGCCGCGACTATCACGCCTTTTGGGCGTAGAGAGGGCGAGGTGATTGATGATCCCGAGGAAGCGGGTGTTACTCAATATTCGCACCCAGAGCGAGAAATAACAAGGCAGCGGGTCAATGACTGGATTCGCAATAGCGGGACTTTTGATCGTGTTATTGATTTTGATCAGATTTTACGGGATGATCATCAGCCTTCAGTTTTGGCTGAGAGGTTTGACTCGGGGGATCGGTTGCACCCGAACTTGGAGGCTTTTCATGCGTTGGCTGACGCGTTTCCATTGGGGATCTTCACCACCGACTTCGCGAATTGGGTCTTATAGTCACCCCTGTACCTAATAGATAAGAGCTTTGAATATCATGGCTGTGACCACCTAGAGATTAACATAGTTGAATTTATGGTAGTATGTACTCGGATTTGACGTTCATATACACATGACCGACACCTTGCGGATACCTAAGCAGTGACAAAGGTGACCATGGATTTGGCAGGTATCTGAGCCTTGAACAACCCACCGCTGCCCGCCTTGATATGTGTCAGAGCCTCCAAGTCATAATCATTGTTGGTAATATAAGGCGTTACAGTAACACCAGCCTTAACCCCGGAAATCTGCACACTAACATCAACCTCGCTATCAAGCTGGTTAAGCAACTGCGTGGCGATCTTGCCACTCTTGTTCTCAAATGAGCTCACCGTGACATTGGCACTGGAACTAGTGGCTTGAATCCGACGAGACCCAGGTCGCACAAACTTGCTGAATTGTGCAAAAGCCCAGAACCGCTTCGAAGGAATGACCTCTGTATCAATGAGATTGATGAGCGCACTGTTTGTTGTCGAATTTTCGGCTCCAATCCAGTACAGGAATGCGCTTGTCCCTGCGTCTCTCAGTGCGACTTGGATGTGGTTTGCCCATGTCATCCCTTCGCCGGGTCCACCGTTCTCATAGAATGTGTATGGGGTGTAGTCACCAGTGAGATCAGCCCACTCGGTAAGCCAGGTCTTCTTCTTGGTGCTCAGCGCGTACGTGGGTGCAGAATCGTATCCGTGACCGGTCACGATATCGAGGTAGTTGATCGCTGGGTCCGGACCAGCTTCGAGACCAGCCATCATAGCTTCCTGATCATCCCACCCGATACCATCACAACACGTAATCTCCACGTCGAGTTTAGACGCCTTGATCGTTTTGGCCAGAATGCGGATGAAGTCTGCGGCTTGGGTACCATTGGAGAGCATACCAGCGTAAGTAGCTGCAAACTGCGGCTCGTTCAAGAATCCCAGATGTGTCACGTCAACACCGGACTCCTTGTAGAACCGCACATACTGAACAAGATAGTTCGCATATGCTTGCATCCAATTGCCAGTTGAGCAGTGCTCGTTTGTTACGCCACACAGGTATCCACCGTTGTTCTCGTCATCGTTCGTTTTCATGTACCCGGGCGCCGACCAGGCATTTGCGTACAATGTCTGTAAGCCGCGGGAGTAGGCTTGTTGTGCTAGTGGGAATTGCCCACTGTTGTAACCGTCCCACACGTAATCGGGCTTTGCACTTGGGCTTCCGGGATTGGTAGGCTCAATGGAGTTCATGAGATTGCTTGTAGAAGTGTTGCTCGAGCCAATGCCATTGCGCAAGATCGTGAATCCCGCACCGGCCTCCTCATCGTAAAGAAGATTCAGAACGAGGGTTTGGTTGACCTTGGGGAGACCATATTTGCCAAAGATATCTTCGGCGCGTTGAAAGGCTTGCGACGCTCCAAAGCCGTCTATCTCTTGAAATTGGGTCTTCGGGTTGACAGAGATGGAGACATGTGAGGTGGAAGTTGGGCTTGCTGTGGCCGAGAGAAATGTGCTCAGAAGAAAGATATGGTCAATGATGGAGAGCTTCATTTTGGAGGTTCAGAACAGGTTCCTGTCGCGCAATGAACAAGAGCACCAATTGACCGAAGTCAGTTGTTTAAATTGGTCGGTCAATCTTGCTAAAGCCAAAAACTTTCTTCATTCTGGGTAAAGGGAAAAAAGAAGGGTAAAGGAACATAGGCTATTACCCCAGACTGTGTTGCAGGATAAAGAAAAGCCCACTTTCCTGGGGAAGGCATTTTTCCACTAGTTGCATGTTTGCACTTTGAAAGGCCAATGGATCTGATTCTGGCTAAAGTCGCTTGCTGGCTAAATTCATGTAAGCGGTTGGCCCACAGCTGCAGGCATGGATGCATTTGGTTAGTTTGTAGTCAATCTGGGGAAAGCGTGGGGACACGCGGGGTAAGACGGGGAATCTGGGTTTTAGCCAAGATCTCAAGCATTTGTGTATTGTTTCCTGAGACATCCCTCTCTATTCTGCATGGGAAATATTCGGTGAAATGGGCATGGTCATGCTAACGGGAAGCCCCCCACAGAATCCACTTTTTTACTTTTCTACCCCAGAGTAAACAACATTGCTGGGGTTGCCGAGGTTTTACCGCGTTGTTTCAACCAACTTCAGAGGCTTGGGGTGCCTTCATCTCTATGACTATGTATTGGCTTGTATTTCCATGGGCTTGACTATCGGGTTGTACTTGGAAACGTATTCGCGAAATAGCCTTTCTTGCTAAGTCTATGTGTCCACGGGAAAACGGCAACACATCCGACTCATCAAAGCAATTCTGGAGACTTTGAGACCCCTCTTATGACTGGTGGCTGGCGCCACGCGTACTTTTCCCCAACCACGAATCGGTATCTTTCAGCCCCGGGATATCCAACCCCTACGATCGAGCCTATAATTCCTGCGGTTAATCACATGGCCTGATCAGCCAGTTTTTGATATTATGCTATCCGGCAAAATGAGAAACACGCTCCAGCCAGTCAGGCTAGCAGCATTCCTGGGAAGATTTGGTGGCGGCGTGCCATTTGAACCGGTTTAATAACAAGCAATCGCCCATGGGATTTCCCCATACATGTCCTTGAGTCAACTGTCATCATGTCTACTCAAGTAAAATCCGATGATACGCCCCACATCACCCACGATGAAAAGGTCCACGATCATGAGCTGCAAGGCTGGGTGGGTTTGGCCGAAGATGCTCGGAATGCGACAATCGAAGAGCATAGCTTGACCTTTGTTCAGGCTGTCAAGTTGTACCCGAAAGCATGTATGTGGACAATGGTTGTCTCTCTCGTTGTGATTCTGGATGGATATGATACTGCCCTCATCGGCTCGCTTTTCGGTTTCCCGGCTTTTCAAAAGAAATTCGGCCACGAGACCAGCACTGCAGGATCTTATCAGCTAGAACCCAAATGGCAAACTGCGCTCGGCCTCGCAAGTCCATTGGGAAACATCGTCGGTATTTACATCAATGCATTCTTGACTGAGAGGTGGGGTCACAAGAAGACCTGTCTGGGGACATTAGGCTTCCTGGTCGCCGTCCTCTTCATGCCCTTCTTTGCAACGCGGGTCGAGATCCTCTTTGTCGGAGAACTTCTTTGCGGCCTTGCTTGGGGTGTTTTCACCACCTTGGCCCCAGCCTATGCCTCTGAAGTTGCGCCCGTCGTACTCCGATCTTATCTCGAGACGTACGTCGTCCTCTGTTGGGGTATCGGGCAATTCGTCGCCACTGGTATCCTGGACAGTCTCGACAAACGTACTGGACAGTGGGCCTGGCGAATCCCACTTGCTGTACAGTGGGTTTGGCCAGTGATAATCGTCCCAGTGCTCATCTTCGCCCCTGAGTCTCCGTGGTGGTTGGTTCGCAAGGGTCGGATCCAGGAAGCGGAGAAGTCGATGAAGCGTCTGACCTCCTCACAAGACCCCGACCACGCTAGGAAATCCGTTGCACTTATGCTCCAAACAACAGAGCTGGAGAAGGTTATGACTGAGGGTGCGTCGTTTGTCGACTGCTTCCGTGGTTCTAACGCATGGCGTACAGAGATTGGTTGCATTGTCTGGACATCTCAAGTGCTGTGCGGTTTTGCCATCACCTCCTACGCGACTTATTTCTATGAGCAGGCTGGCCTGTCTACCTCTGATGCTTACAAGATGTCAGTCGGGCAGTCTGGTCTGCACTTCCTGTGCACTTTACTCTCGGTCTTCATCACCGGTAACTTCGGTCGCCGCCCTGTCCTCTTCTTTGGCTACAGTGGTATGTGCATGTCCATGCTTCTCATTGGCATCATGTCCTGTGTGACACAAACCAAAGGCCTTGGATATGGAGAGTCCGCCATGTACCTTCTCTGGTACGTGTTCTACGAGTTGACTATCGGTCCTATCGCGTTTATTATTGTTGGCGAAATATCGTCTACTCGCCTCCGATCGAAGAGTATCTCCCTTGCGCGTAACGCCTACAATGTCGCCAATGTGTTTAGCTCGACTGTTGCCCCTTATACGCTCAACCCGACGGCTGGTGACTGGAAAGGCAAGACTGCCTTTTTGGCTGCTGGCTTTACCATTTTCATCCTTGTCTGGGCGTATTTCCGTCTTCCTGAGTCGCGTGGACGTACTTATGAGGAGCTTGATATTTTGTTCTCTAGGGATCTGAAGGCGTGGGAGTTTAAGGATGCCCAGATTGACGAGGATGCTGCTGAGGTTATTACAAAGCAGGGATGATAGGGTATTTAGTTGCAATGAATATATAGTCTCTGGCCACCAATGTGAATCTTCAGCAAAGCTGTGTGATAATTTTACCACATGTCAATTCTTATTTTGGCTTTCTTAGTCAGGTCACTACGTGTAGATACAATTAAATCAATATGTCCCGTATCATCTTTTCTTGAAATAGTCTCGTCGTTTCGAGCGTTTTGTCATAATTGTGGCTGATTTTCGGCCGGTACTTGCTATTTAATTTAACATAGAAGAATTGGCAGGCGGCCTTCTTCTGGACAATGGTTTGCTGATGATGTCAAAACGGACTTGAAGTTTTAGAGACTACCGAGGCCAGAAGCCCGCATTATGACTATGATTTGACTAGTATCACGCCACAAACGGGCCACGCACTCTACCCCCACGATTCCAGCTTCCTTGACCCATGACCAAAAGTTGGGGTCTTTCTATTGCCTAAGCTATGTAAGCCATCCCCGCCATTTAGCCTACAGCGGATAAATCGCTCTTCTGACCGGTTCATGGTGACCAGGGTACGATAAAAGTCGTGGTTCTACCCCGCCTGAGGGGTAGAATATGCTCTTCAATTTACTTGTCTCTCAATTATTTCACCATGTCTCTAGAGAGTGGAATCGACGGCTGGCTTAGGTATTCTGCCTTGCCAGCGGAAATCAAAGCGAAACATCGCGGGTATTCCAAGATCGTTGTCTTGGAGAAATCCGAAACGAGCCCCGTCTACACAGCTGGAAAAGAGCTGCAAAAAGGGATTGAGAAGATTCTTGATCAAAAAGTCGACATCTCCTTTGATCTGAGTGATGACCTCTCGAGCTCCATTGTTGTTGGTACCAGAGCGGCATTCGTGGCTGGTGGAGACGAGGAAATAGCAACACTCAAAGAAGATGGATTCTGGCTCAACACCAAAGCCAGAAATGATTGTGTCCATATTCTTGGTCAGAATGATCGCGGTGCTCTCTATGGTACTTTCGAACATCTGATGCGTCTGGCACAAGGGAATTTTGCACCCGTCGCAGAAGTCTATAACCCCAGCGCACCGATACGCTGGGTCAATCAATGGGACAATTTGGACGGAAGTATTGAGCGAGGATACGCGGGTCCGTCAATCTTCTTCCGGGATGGTGAGGTTGTCCAGGATATGACGCGCATCGCCCAGTTCGCTCGTCTCCTTTCCTCGATCCGCTTGAACGCCGTGGTCGTCAACAATGTCAACGCAAATCCTAAGCTCTTCAATGAAACAAACCTTAACGGCCTCCGTCGCATTGCAGACACCATGCGTCCTTGGGGTGTGCGCATCGGCATCTCCCTTTACTTCGACTCACCCAGAGAATTTGGAGGTCTACCTACCTCCGACCCCCTCGATCCTGCTGTCAATGACTGGTGGAAAAACATCACTGCGAAAGTCTACGAGAAAGTGCCCGACATGATTGGGTATACCATCAAAGCGAACTCAGAAGGCCAGCCGGGACCGCTCACCTATAATCGCACATTGGCCGATGGAGCGAATATGTTCGCCAGGGCATTGAAGCCATACGGCGATGCCGTTGTGATGTACCGGGCCTTCGTTTACAATCATCATTTGGAAGAGTCAGAGTGGAAGAACGACCGAGCGAATGCCGCTGTGGAATACTTCAAGCACTTGGATGAGGAGTTTGAGGACAACGTTATCGTTCAGATCAAATGGGGTCCCATTGATTTCCAAGTCCGAGAACCACCATCACCACTACTAGCCAATCTGCGCAAAACCAAGGCCGTCATTGAATTCCAAGTCGCGCAGGAGTATCTCGGACAACAATCTCATTTCGTCTACATGGCGCCACTCTGGAAGGAGATCTTGGACTTCGACATGCGAATTGATGGGAAGCCATCTCCAATTCGGGATATCGTCTCTGGTGAGCGTCTAGGCTGGAGTCGCAGCGGATATACCACCGTCCTCAACATTGGCAGCGACGATACTTGGATCGGCCATCACCTTTCCCTATCCAACCTATATGCCTACGGTCGGATGACTTGGGACCCATGTTCCGATCCGACATCCATTATCCAAGACTGGACACGTCTCACCTTCAGCTTGGATCAAACAGTTGTTGATACTGTGACCAAGATCTCTATGGACTCCTGGCCTACATATGAGAACTACAGCGGGAACCTTGGGATCCAGACACTCTGCGATATCATCTACACGCATTATGGTCCTAGTCCCGGATCTCAGGATGGGAATGGATGGGGCCAATGGACACGTGCGAACAATCATTCCATTGGCATGGATCGAACTGTTGCTACTGGCTCAGGAAATACAGCTCAGTACCCGGCTGAAGTCGCCGCTGTTTTTGAGAGTATCGAGACAACACCCGATGACCTGCTTCTCTGGTTCCATCACGTTCCCTATACCCATCGTCTCAAATCTGGGAAGACGGTTATCCAGCATTTCTATGATGCGCACTACGAAGGTGCCGAGCATGCTCAGACCTTCCCCGTGGAATGGGCGAAGCTGAAGGGATTGATCGATGATCATCGATTTGGGCATGTCGCGTTCAAGCTGAAGTATCAGGCCGGCCATGCCATTGTGTGGCGCGACTCCGTTAATTACTTCTATTTCAACAAGTGCCAAATCCCCGATGAGAAGAATCGCGTCGGAAACCACCTTTGGCGTATTGAAGCGCAGAACATGAAATTATCGGGGTACAAGGTTGTTTCCGTTACTCCTGCTGAGGCGGCATCGGGGGGCAAAGCCATCATCACAGAGTCAAGTCAAGCCTCTGGTACCGCGGAAACGAAGCTCGATTTCCCGCCAGGAACTTATGATATCGCGGTGAATTACTACGATCACCTCGGTGGAAGATCAAAGTATGAGGCTTTCCTTAATCGGCAGCTAATTGGATCTTGGTCTGGGAATTTGGAGGATAAACTTGGTCATGACTTCTCGGAGTATTTGGATGGACATTCGGCCACGAGAATTACTTTCCCTGGCGTCCCGGTCATGACGGGTGATATCCTCAAGATTCTTGGGCAACCCGATGGTACCGAGTTTGCCCCCTTGGATTACATTTCCATCTTGCCAGAGGGAACTATTGATTAGAGGCAACGTCTTAATTTGGCTTTTCCACGGGTTTGGGTTTGGTTCAACAAATTGGAAACATGGATTCTGAGATTATGGTATAGATCGGTGCAGCTACCCATAAACATATCTGTTCTAAGAAAGTTATTTTAAAGATGGTTGAGATACCTCCCTGGTTTGATTTGTAACTTATAATTGAAGATAAACGCAACGCACTTCGACAACCTACCGGCGCGTGACTAACCCTTGTGTGGTCTATGCAGAGTGACATCATAGGTACAAGGTGAAGCCACCCGCACCTCCGAACCCCGCATTCCACACAATCAATCCCGCCGTATCATCAAGTTAAGTGACAAGGACGGAGTTAAGCAAATCAAACGGAATCCTCAGGTCGATCCCGGCACGTTGTAGCTATACCTCGTCTATCATTCTGCTTACTAATACCTCTTCGGACAGTACAAAATGGAGAACGATGCATACGCTCTCCCTCCGGGCTCACGAGTACTTGTCACTGGAGCAAATGGATACATTGCGTCACATGTAGTTGATACCTTGTTGAGGCTAGGGTACTTGGTGCGAGGAACAGTTCGCACACAAAAGCCATGGTTGAATAAATATTTCGAGGAGAAATACGGCGCAGATGTCTTTGACACTATTGAGCTTGCCTCCTTCGATGATCAAAGTAATATTGAAAATCATCTGCATGGGATTGATGGAATTATTCACCTGGTAAGTCATCAAGATTATGTCACCATATTTCCAATGAACGGATGAAGTACTAGATAGCACAACTAACTGATTTCAGGCAACCGACGTGAGCTTTTCCAATGATCCCAAAGCCGTTATCCCATGGGTTGTGCGGGCAATCCACAACATGCTGGAAGCTGCTGCTCAAACAGCAAGCATCAAACGTGTTGTTCTAGTGTCCTCATCCAGTACAACCGATAACCTTTATCCGGACCCACGAGGCCGGGAGATTCACCAAGGTAGGCTTACAAGCTTGCATGGAATGTCAATCACTGACGAATTATGGCTTAAGACAACTACAACGAAAGGGCTGTGAAAGAAGCCTGGGATGAAACAATTCCAGAGCAAAAAAGGAGAATGGCGATATATGCCGCATCGAAAATTGAAGCGGAAAAGGAGGCTTGGAAGTGGATGGAGAGTGAAGAACGATCATTTGAATTCAACTCGATCTTGCCGTCTTTCACAGTGGGTCGAATTCTGACTTTGTTTCAATTTCAGGCTAATACGAGCAGGTTGGAAAAGTTCTTCACACAGAGATCTTTGGTTCTACTATGGGTCATCTACGCAAGCTACTCGTGGGAGATAGGATGGCATTTTCATTGCCTGAACGTGCGTTCCCTGGCTGTCTCTCTACACGAAGGCATTCCTAATATACGGGAATTTACTTCCTTGTTCGCGTGACTAATTATTATACAGAATGGTTTGTCGATGTCGAAGATGTCGCTAAGCTCTGCGTGGTTGGCCTTCTAGACGGGGGCGTAAAATCGCAACGTATATTTGCATTCGGGGAACAAACAAACTGGAACGATGTAGTACCAATTCTTCGCGAACTACGACCGAACAACAAAAAGATCCCGGACCCACCCAAGGATGAGATACGGGATCGAACGGAGATTCTACCACGCACAAGAGCGCAGATCTTACTCCGTGGCTTCTTTGACCAGTCCGACTTTACGTCTATCAAGGAGAGCATTGCGAATGGCATTGAAGGGTTGGATTGAGTTTCACTACTTAGTGTCCACTACAATAGAACTACAAGCTGCACCGGCTCTACGTAGGCAATTAAATGTCTTATAACCAGTTGTTTGCTCGCTTGACAATTAAAAATCCCCCTGTGCCAAGCCATGTAGTATCTCAACGGCAACCACTAAGCCCACTCTACAACTGGTAGTGCTCAGATCGACTGATGATAGATCATTGCTGACCTAATCTAGGTGTAGGTGCAGTTGGACAGGTCGAGGCTGGCGAGCTCAATGGTGTATGGAGGTCCGCTGGCGCCTAATTCATAGAATTAGCATGTTCTAAGGTTCTGATCAGAACAGCAGGTCATACTTAGAGCAAGAGTGTACGAAACAGTGCAATTGATGACTTGGTTGACATCGAAGTTGGCACCCTTGTTAAACTTGGAAAGCGCGCTCTGAAGCTGGCTTCCGCTCAACTCAACGGTCTTGTAGCCGCTGCTGGCTGGAACAGCGGAGGCAGCAACGCAGACGGCGAACAAAGTGGCGATGACGGTCTGGGCCTTCATTTTGGTGATTGATCAAGGTAAATCTTGGAGATTGCTGATTGAAATCTGTGGATGTGATGGTGTTTTGCTTCCTGGATGTCTGCATGAACTGAGAGAACATTGTTCTGTTTATATAGACATATGGTTTCACTTCACGTGAAGAAATCGATAACTCTAGCTTGACCTCTGGGCAGTTCTAATTTGAAAGTACCCTGTTCAACCCGAGACGGAGGTGTAAAATGAGTCTAGACTACTTTGTGTGTTGCAGTTACAGAACGTTAGATAATTGGGCTGAGCCGGAAGAAATGTGAGGGAAGCCATCTGCCTTTACGGACTATGTGTTCTTTTGTGAATTGTGTCATGAGTGGTACCCTCATCTGGGCTTCTCACGGTATTGACACTAGAAGCACCTGGGTCAGCGAAACTAAAATTGCCTGAGGCATCACGTTGATATTACATTCTTACATGAGACGGAAAGCCAAAGTTTGACTATTTTGTACTTCTTTCTGTTCTTCTACAGTAAGGGATCCCTGCATATAGAAGAAATACTGTGCAAAGGCAAAAGTGTATTCAAGTTTGCTCTCCAAGGTAGATACAATAGATTTGCCAAGCTTTCTTCCAGGGGATCTTTGGGAGCTAGGGACAATTGAAGTGCAACTCATCAGGGGCCAAAACACAGGTAGTTCCCTCTGCAGAGAGCGGTTAGAAAAATGTACGAATAACATGCAAGGAGTATCTCACGGCAGTACTGTCCTAGATGGAAGGATGTCAGAGTGCAAACAACAGAGCCCTGAGCTTGACGCGCCCGAAGTTCGATAAATCTCTCCACCTTTGCAGGTCCAGTAGGGTTGAACTTTTCAGACACCCGTCTGTCGAAAATAGCGGCCACTGCGGAGTCAGGGGAGGTAGCTGCCAATGGTAGCATGGCAGCCCCAAGGCAGAAGATTTGAGTGGTGAACAGCTTCATGGTACTTGAATTTCTTGGAATTTGAGAATGCTTGTGCAGACGAAGAAGTGATCGTCTATGTTCCCAAGGGAAATTAGATATAAGGGACTGGCAGCACTCATCCGCTGATGGGTATGACATAAACTGGGGGACTGGTCTTTTATCCTTCCAAGGCGCTTTACAGTATTGCTGCGTTTCATCTGTCATAGGGCCACATACCACGAAATGGCGAAATTTCGATTCCATGTGGCACACTACCGCTGCCTATGTAGCCGTCTGGCCTATAGGGTGTTAAGTGAATACCCCGTGGATACTTGGCGAACATCCTTTTGTACCACTGTAGCATAAACCTCGACAGAAATACTCCTCAAGTTCACGCACACATCTTTATTCCCCGTGTCACTGTAACCTTCAGACTTCCTACAGGCTTGTGAGCCACATTAGGCTTTGTGTAGTTGGACAAAGTCTATAGATTCTAGACCTGGGGATATCAAAACTTCAAGGCACATGTACAAATATTTTCTAATTGTAAGAGATACAAAGGTCGTGGAAACTAGTCTCATAGCTCTTCTAGAATTTCCGAGCGCCACATATCGTGATGTATTCTAATAGAGATACTTGAACTACCACTAAACTTTGACCCAGAGGACCTCCAGATCTGATATGAAACAACTTTCAATGACCATCGAAAAAGCATTTGCCAAGGTGCATAAATTTCGTACAAAGCAAGCAAATCTGAATTTTATTGCAACAGCATTTGCGTAACCCTCCGACCAATAAAAACTTAAGACCTTGATCGTGACTGTTGACCTTCACTGGCTTTCCAAAGTCAAGCGCCCATTCCTGAACGACTAGAATAGTCATGATTCTAGATACCATGTTGGTGAACACGTGTAACAGGTCTATCTTGAACGCGATCGCGCACGACTGGCATATTTACATTGAACCAGCTCTTCGCTCGAAAGAAGGAAACATTACTTCCGAGGTCGCCATCACCATTTGGGTAAGATGCGGAAAAAAGAATTGACCTTAGCCATGGCCCGTTGATTCTTGGGGGAGCATGTACTGCGTGTCGAGAGTGACTCCAAAGAACACAGCGAACTAGTGTCCAAGCTCCTAGAGGTTCATCTGTGCCTGGGTCCGCGCCTGGGATGTGAATGTTTACCCAGAGGATCCTTGTATGACAAAGGGCTCGGTTGCCATCAAACTGTTTCACATACGCCACGCCAGCTACTGGAGCTCCACAGTCGAGACCGGCTGTATCACAGAGCCTAAGTAAATCATCGTAGTCCGATTCATAAATGCACATAGAATCACTTCCACTATCGTCAATGACGTTCAGGTCAAGGGCCATTCTTCCAGGTTCTTCGGTGTTGTCATCGTCAAAAATTCGAATTTGTAGATTGTGCTAGAAAATTCAACTTTAGTCCCCTATTGCCAATGGATTTCCATTCTCAACTGACCTGAACATGATGTGTCGAAGGATTCATAAACTGTTGCTGTCCATGCCACGTGTATCCCAGCAAGACTTGCTCTGATACAGCTTGGCACTGGTATGGTCAGGATTGTATATGGATGACAATAGAACAAAAACTTACCTCTTCCACCCAAAAGTCTTCATTGCCCCCAAAATGCATCGCAATTGTTGCATTTTCTTCAATAACCCAAGGCCTAGGCTGACTAACCTGGACTCCTTTGGACCAGTAGGTCACCAGACCTGGGGTCCATTCCAGCTTCTTAGCTTTGTAGGCATCTGTGACGGCCTGCACATTCCCACGCAACTTGGACTTGTCCCCACCCTCCTCTAGCCATTTGTCTATCTCTTTCAATGTCTCTATGCGTTGGATTACCATCCAACCAAGGCCAGGATTCTCCTCGGTCAGTTCTCTAAGGAATGTGTAAATAAATATTAACTGAAAATGAACTTGAACCGTACGTACTGCTTTTTCACTCTTCGTTTCTTGTATTCTTCAATCTTGTCTTTGAAAATATGAGGCATGATATTCTCTTCGATTCTCTCATAGCACCTCTTGATCTGTGCATCGATATCGCTGAAATGGAATTATTAACCGAGACATGCAATTATGCAATGCAGGATATACACGTACTTCTGATCAATATCGGGCTCCTCGTAGTTCCACCCGGCGGGAAGTTTGCCAGCTGCAATCTCCTCTTCAATATACTCCCACTGCTGTCGGTCGGGACGTGACGGTTGATCAGGTTTGGGAAGTTTTCCCACATAAGACGCATCAAGGTCTAAATCCTTCAAGTTGGTCCCTCGAGGTACGACTGCAGTGCCGTCATTTGTTATCAATGGCCCAGGCTCGACAGCTCGTAACTTCTTGGACGTCCTTTTCCCGGCGGCTGGCGACGGGAAACGTCTCTTCTTGCCTCCGCGTTTAGCGACCATGTCAACTTTTAGGTAGGATTGTACTTGGATATAGATGGATTCTACGAAAAATAAACGGAAATATTCAACAGGCGAGGAACAGGAATATATTAATATGATATCTAAGACAAGCGCTGGAACAAGAAAGAATGGGGCACCTGAGTTCAAAGTAGCGATGACATTCTATATTTGGAAGATGCGGACCTTGAGATCTGGCAACCCGTGGACAAAGGATGATCGTCGGCGATGAAAGGAACGACCTTCCAAGGCTTGATCTACGCTCAAGATTGGAGTTAACTATGGTGTTTGATCATTTCTTTGAGCTTCAAGCTTGAGCAGAGATCCATAATGGTCAGCGATCTCTTATCGGGAGGTATAGAGGTATTACAACTGTTCAATATGCACTGATGGTCCTACAAGTCCCAATGCCCGCATGATAAAATACTAATAAATTCAGGTCCGCTTTGGAATATAATGCCAAAAGTAGTAACATGGTCGTCGATATCTTCGCTGGGCCTAAGAGGACAGGGTGCACAATGTTCTCATTCCTTTGTACACTATTTTTGAACCAAAGTTCATGATAGATCTCACAAAGAGGTTCCATTACGCTTCGAGTCTTTTCTCCGAGGTTTCCAATGTAGTCCAGTAATACCAGGTAAGCGGCTTCAAGGCCAAAGCAAGTCCCTCTGCCACTTATGCTCATCCTCGTTGTACAAATACTGAAGACGCTGATGAAGACGAGTATCGCTCCCTTGCCAGAATTCGACAACATCAGGCAGGACGGCATAGACTCGCCATTTCTTGACACCCAGAAGGGGGTCTTCCGCCATCCTTGTCTCTGTTTCGGCAAGATTGCGGGTTAGCGCACCCCGACCTGAAAGGATTTCGCTTTGTTTCGAGGCCACGGCGCTGATCCTAGAAGCCAGTGGACGGGATTGGAAGTCAATAGCACTCTCCTCGTCGGACAATGCGATAGCTTTCCCCCTCAGACGAATTTGTCGAGCAACTTGCGGCCAGTAGAATGTCAAGGCGGCGCGGCCATTGCTATGCAGTTGTTTTCCTTTCGGACTGTCGGCCTTCACGGCGAAATGCCAGCCTCGGGCGTCGACGTTTTTCAAAATAAGCACTCGGGCATCGGGGTATCCACTTTTGTCAACTGTGGAGAGAGTCATGGCATGGGGCTCTTTCACCCCAGCCGAAACCGCTTCGTGGAACCACAACTTGAAAGCATCGTGTGGGGTTTCTGGGAACGTGTCGAAATCCAGGTCTGGGAATGGGCCTTCAAGCACCTTGGTGTTGCGGAGCTCAGTTCGGAAAGAATCATCGCTGGTCATCTAAAATTCCAAAGTTACTTCTTTGATGATCGTTGGTGTACTGGCAAGGGGCAGAGTACCTTGAGGGCCTGTGCGGAGCAGCTAAGGTCCAAAAACCTAGAACCTTGGAACAAAGCTCAAATGAATGTTACCGATGGGAATTAATTTTACCCAAGGATATGTAACATGGAAACACGTTTATTTGCAAACCAATTTCTGCAATGACTCATTGAGCATGACACATTGCCGAGGTTGATGGCTTATTCCCGATGTCGGTATTCCAATGATTTCTCACCGAAGATGGAATTGGTATGCCGATAAAGGTTGACATCCTTTGGAAAATGTGAGATACGTCTTTGATTCACAATAGCATGACTATTTCACTCTCGATGGGGATGGATTTCTCCATTGACAAATAATTGTAATCGTCCTCTACATTAGTGCTGGGCTTGTCCCCACTTGATACAATTGCGACTGCCCATCTCCCTCGACAGTCAGCCCCATCCACAGGAGCATTGACAAATCATCCGCCCGTTCACACCATTCAGCCAGCTCTTCTGCCAAGCCCTTCCTAGCCGATATGGTGATATCCTCACCACATGCGGCTGATTGTCGTATAAGCAGCAGCATTCCCAGTGTCAAACCCTGTCGTCCTTTTTGTTTCCTGGTTTCCGCATCTTCTTGATATCGCTTTGTCCAATCTTTATCGGATATTGGCTGCCACATTTCGCGCGAACACGGTAATGGCATATCAAAGAACTCGGCACAGTCTCCTGTGGAAGGTGTTTGGGTATCTACACGGAGTAACAGATCGATGAGGTAGAGAAGACAGCCAACCCTGTAGATATGATGATTGGTTAGAAGTCGTTTCAAACCACTACCGTATATTTGGACAGTCCGTGCGTACCTTCTCAGACTTTCGACAAATACCCAGTGGCTGCGCGAGGGACATGATTGATCCATATTCGATGCCCATGTGCCAAGATCGTATAGTTCTTCGGCAAATTTCTGTACAGATATATAGTTAGGTCGATGGATAAGATCCGAGATAGGAAACAGGGCACCTCGATGGTTTCAACTACCCATGTAGAATCCTCAATTGATACAGATTCAACGCATTGAGCGCATAGCATCCCATACACGAGAGCCGCCTGCAGAGCATGTAGCTTCATTTCTTCATCGAAGTCATTGTACTGAAGGCCATCAGCTCAGTCATACCGCTCTCTCGGACCTTCTAGCTCACCTTGTCCCGCATCTGCCCTATATGTGTACGTATCTGCGTCCACACAAATTCATGGCTCCCTGACCTCCCCGAATAAAACATCTGTGCAAGGTTGGAACATACCGCCAAAGCTTCAGGCAAGCATGTATGGGCTTCGTTCGGGGAACACTGGTCTCCAGAGCCGAGACAGCACGGAGGAAGAATAAACGGCGGGAGTGTTTTGGCATCCGCCATCATACGGCCATATTCGCTCATGCGACTGAAAATCATTTTAGCCGTCATGGACCCTTGCTGAAGAGATCTCGACCGTTGCGATAGTTGGGGTTCCAGCACTTCAGTGCCTAGGTTGAAATCCATTAAGTTTGGCATTACCAAGCCAGGGAAGACCATAGAAAGATCAAGACTCAATAGGCGCGGGGAGATGATGTCTGGGACTGTGGGGAAATCTGTGGTTTGCGGATAGTGTAAAATTGGGGCCATAATCGGGGGCTCCGAGACATCGAAGGGCTCATTTAAGTTCGAAGAATCGATCATGTCCGGTCGAGTTCCTGTTCTGGTTTCCGGTCGGGTAGGTATCTCAGCTTCTTCGTGAATGTGCATACTAAAAGATCGCGTTTTATTGTCCATAGTAGTGGCAGACCCGGCACCCGGGGCTGCAAAATTGGTGTCAGAGGCCTTGTCCATAGTATTCTCGACCGTAGTTCCAGTCACTGTGGTGTCAGTCGCAGGTCTGATAGGCCGGAACCCTCTCGGCCAGCGGTCCTCAAGAGGAGGCACGGTTGTCGCATACTGACAAGCCAGGCTTCGAGTCGCACATCGCGAACAGGGTGTTGAAAGCGAACATCGTGCCTTCGCCCTGCGGCAGGTGACACAGGACTTGGCTCGTCGGACAGGCATGCTATCTTTTGAGGAGCCGGTCCATTTGCCGTAACGACAGATGCTTCAGGTGATTTAGGCCTGGTGATTAATGATAGCGGGAACTATATCTGCGATAATGATGAACTAGTATCCTTCACCGCATTGGTGCGTCACGCATGCAATAGTGTTGGTGAGGCTTACGGGTTGTGAAGGTGGAGTCAGATCCGCTTCGTGAAGCGTGATTTGATTGGCTGACCTATGAGACGATCAGGAAAGATTGCAACACAGTCACGAACCACGATGGCCGTCACTGACTACAATCGAGCAGCTATTCACTTCGGAGATTGATGATGACATCTACCACAATCCTAGGGAGCTCCATAAATTTTCCCGTGAACACATTTAGACTCATTGCTTTCCTTCACTATATGATTTCATCGGTATCAATTTCAGAGCGCGAACGTATTTCCTTTTGGTAGAGTTTCGTGTCATTCAACTTCTGCTTTATGTATGACGCTTTTACCAAGGTTGTATCCGCAGCCTAGTATTCAGATGTAATTTTCGAGAAGTCCGCCGGGTCATCGTCGTGAGATGCCGGGTGGACTGATCCCGCCCGAAATGTTCGGAAAAAAGCTCTTCAATTTCGGTGCGTCTCGAGAAATACACAGATAGGATCGCATGCGGGATGCTGTAGATACCACGAAAAGGATATTGTCTTCTGCCTCAAGGGCGTTTATTGTGTTATAGAGCCCCGAAGATTTGGGAGACTTAATGGTTTGTCGAGCATCATGAGGTAGTAATCAGCTTCTCAAAGACAGAACGAAGGAATGCTCGGCCGGAAAATCATGCAAAGATGATGATGATGATTTCAGTCACAGCTTGAATAGAACAAGATGTTTGTTTCAAGGAGACACTTGCTCACGTGCGTTGGAATCTGCAGTCAGGTGACTTGAGGCGGTACACGAGAAACCAAGATCATCGGATCAGTAAGGCCAGTACTTGCAGATTCTTTCATGAGTAGAATTTGCGTTTGGAAGTGTTACCACTGTTTGACACTTTTTGAATTCGAACACGCTTGAATTTGCGAGATCCGTACGGAGTAGATCTGCGGACTTGAGACCTAATCCCACCGCATTTACCGACCAATGAAACGCCATACAGCAGCGGAGAACGCAACCAATCAAAATAGGGTTTAGATAGAAACGCTACCATCATATACTTCTCCATGATAAAATGACCCGCTATGTAAAATTATAAATACTCTCTCAAGCAGACGCTTTCTCACCCTCCTCTAGCATGTTTCTCAACTGATTATAAACTCAGAATGAACACACGCAAGTCCTGTTTAGTTACAGGCTGTTCCGCTGGTGGAGTTGGCGCATCCCTTGCGGAAGCATTCAAAGACAAGGGCTACCATGTCTACGCAACCGCGCGCTCACCATCCAAAGTTCCCAGTCCACTACACGACGCATCCAATGTTACTGTCTTGGCGCTTGATGTTACCTCATCTGAATCCATCGCTGCAGTCGCAGAGACCGTCAAGCGCGAGACTGGAGGCAGACTTGACGTTTTGATCAACAATGCCGGTCTTGGATTGGAACTACCTGCCCTTGATACTCCTATTGGGGAAGCGCGAAGAGTTTTCGACTCAAACTTCTTTGCTATCCTTGAAATGATTCAGGTGTTTAGCCCCATGCTTATCGCTGCCGGGGGGTGCATTGTGAATAATTCATCTGTTGGCGGCCGTCTTCCCATTCCATTTTGCAGTGCGTGGGTATCCTCTACCGTTCACAATACAGGACTAATCTGTTGAACAGGCATATACAATGGGACCAAGGCTGCTCTTATCCAGGCGGGCGAGGGCTGGCGTTTGGAGCTCGCACCCCTCGGCGTGCGAGTTCTCACTTTGATAACAGGTGGAATCGCAACCAACTTCTTGAAGAATCTTCCTGGTGTGGATTTACCTGCAGATTCTTATTATCTGGGTATTACAGACATCATCAGAAGGCAGCCCGAGAGGATTCCCATGAGTATATCTCCCGAAGCATTTTCAATCGATGTTGTACACCAGGTGGAAAGGGGGACGACAGGGAAGTATTGGATTGGGGGAGGATCTACACTCGCTCGTTTGTGTCTCTGGCTTTTGCCACAATGGGCAATTGTGAGGACTTCTTCATAAGTAATGACCTTAGTCGGACAATTGCTGACATTGATTCAGGATCGGATTTCGTACGGTCAAAAGCCATTTGCTGACGAGTTGGCTGCGACGAATAAGAAGACTTCTTAACAGCGGCCAAAGTTATCATGGTACCAGATTAGAAACCAACCAACACTTTTTCAACATCTGGGAAGTAGCCTGGCTGTTGATTTAAGGTCTAGGACGTGTTAGCTCACTTGCGGCATTCAGCATCATGCAGCAATAGTATTTTAGACACAATGCTCCTGTGTTTAATGTCCCATCTGTCAGAAATAATATGGCTTGCTTGATTCAATTCAAACCTTGTGTCGAATAACGCTTTATTTCCAGCCAATACATGCCCTGGAACTTTCATCCTAGCTAGTGTCGTAGCCCCCTCGTACTGATTATTGAGATCTCGTAGCAGTTTGAGAATCGTCTGCCCCCATTAATGGTTCACTGTACCTTTTGAACTATGCTCTGTGGTTGTGAAATCTGCACGTTGTGACTACAATACAGACGGAGAGATCTACTAAACCGAGAGAGCCTCAAAGGTTCTCTTTACCAGTCCTCATCCATCTTGGTCCATCATAATGTCAGATTTTCAATACTGTGCTTTGAATAATATTATCAATTAATGGTATTTTCGAGAAAATATATTATTCATACATCAAAATTATACAAAATTCAAGTCATGGCACTGAAGAAATGAATCAAGGGTCACATAACCTGGGGCACGCTCATAGACAAACAAGAACCAAGCTCCGGCGGACTATGAACACCCTGCGAAACCTGAGAGAACGGTACATCAACAACATTCTCCAAAATCTTAAAAGCCCATGTCATAATCTGGTTAGCCTCTTGATAAACATCCTGCAGGTCCGCCATAGCCTCCAGGCCAAGTTGAAAGTTCTGAAAAGCCTGTGCTCTTTCTTGTGGATCTGCTTTCTTTGTTCCGGGGATATGGATGATCAATGCAACGAGTATAGCTGTTACACCGACGATCGGTAATCGACGATGAAGTTTCTTTTGATATAGATCTGATGCGATCTGAGTAATTTGCTGCGCGGCGTATTGAACGCAGAATGTGGAGGAAGGTAGTGGCTGTGATTGGTAGAAAACGGCGATAGTGGTATAGAATTGCATGTGAAGTAGGTTTCGTTGTAATGATAGAGTATTTTCATCGTCGATATTGTTTGTTTCGAATGAGTATGTCTGGATAGATGATGGGAATTTGCTTGCCCATTCTGCTAATTTGAGTTCAACGGCCGAGACCCGAGCGCTGTGGTCGGCTGGTTCAGTGACTATTGGGGATGATGCGGATGTGAAGGAGCCTTGGCGTGTGCGACCTTTGCTTTGGACGTCGAGGACTTCACTTATTGATACACAGAGCGTCGCGTTGGCGATGAACATTAATGCTAGGTCTTGTTGGACGTTCATGTTGTGCGATAATGGATATCCAAGAGCTTGGACCAGCGCTTCGGGAGAGAGGTTATAAAGTTCGAAGTCATCTTCGGTCAGCATTTGGTGGCAGAAGGTTGAGCTGTGGATTATTGGGCGACATCGAAGTCTGAGTGCGATCTGGCAGTCGGTTGTGTAACAGGTCCAGGCGAGTCGTTTCCAGAATTTAGGATTTAGTCGGACGTTCTTCACGCCTGCGACGTCTCGGAATAGGCCGATGGATTGTGCTGTTGAGGTTGCGATCGAGCACCAGTATCGGCTGTCATCGCCATCCGCAGTTTCGAGTCTGTATGTCATGAAAAGCAGGGCCTGAACTACAGTGATGGTATTTGGCTCGTATTCAGCATGGTATAGAAGCTATTCAACGTTAGTCTGTATCGTGTGTGGTAAAAGGATACACATACCTTGGCTTTAGTATAGAATGCTTCCTGGGCCTCTTGTCGGGTCGAATAGCCAGCCTCTTGAAGTTGACCCAAGTCCACGAAGGTAGTCGCCGAGACCATGATAGCGTAGAAGAGAAACAGGCTCATAGAGCCGTGGTCGCTATTGCGGTTGCAGATGGCATTGATAAAAGCAGGCCAATCGATGATCGGCATAGTTGGAAGTACACAGTCGATGAATACTTGCAGAAGCGCGTTTTGCAATTGCGTAGTCGGTAAACTGAATACCCCATTCACATAAAGATACTCGATCGTTGCTGGGTTCATCATCATTGGTAGAGGCTGAATGAAACCCGGTAGAAGTACTCCCGGGCTCGATGTATCAGAGGCCGATGAATCTGGGGATCCGAGATTTGTGAATGTATTCCAAACTTCCTCCTCAGGCTGCACAAATAGATTATTATATAAGGCAGGTTGTGGAGCTAATCCAGTCAGCCATCTTAATCTCCCATGGAGGTAAGTATGAACTCACGCGTTGGACTCAGAGACGAATCTCGCCAGTCGGAATCACAAGATGCGTGAAACCCATATTCAGTATTCCAGCCATGTACAGCAGCGGCATGTGGAAAAGCCCCGACAGCCACGCTTTCCGGTGACCATTGAGCGCCAGATGGTGTTGGTGTCAAGCCCGCTGTCTTGAGATGCATTTGTTGTCTATCATCGTTAGCCCGTGTCTGGTTTACTGATGAACTGACACTTACTTTGACCGATTATTCCTATCCATTACACATTGTACCCCTCTCTGGTAACAGTTTTGACACGGGGAGCCTGATGTCGCATTGCATCGAACCTTGGTGACATGACATAGCTGACACGCCTTTTGGTTTCGCCTTGACATGGATTTAGATTGAGAGACTTTTTGCCGCTTTGCTGAGTGGTCTTCCATCGCGGTAGCGTAGGGAGTATTAGCACTCCGGAGTATGATTCTTTCTAAGATCCCTTGCAGGATCGCAGGTCGTACTTTACAAGGATCAAAAACAGAGATGCCTAGATTGCCAGACGCTGAATGAAAATCCGGGGTAGTAAATCCTATATAAGATTTGACTGAGCAAAAGGGAACCCCAGACTTGTTTCATAAGTTACATCACTCGATCCGGGCAATTACTGCTCGATCTGGTCAAGAGTGGGTCGCACAGACGTCAAAACCCACGGAAAGTGAAGATGTGGAGAATCCCGGTCAATTCTTTCCGAATCTAGTTTCTCTCCGCCGATATCCGATCCTCATTGATGGGCCGCAACGCCAATCTACAATAAATTGATCACGACCACGGTCTAGTACCCCCCCCAAGGCCCGAGGCGGGAGATTGTCCGGCCAAACGGCATTGTTCTAGTTCGTTAACTTAAATTTACGCTCTTCCCGTGGAGAAAAGGATCCGTTAAAAATGACCTCATGGCCGGAAAATACTCCGTTGATAGTTAAGCTCCGCTGAGAAATCGAAACTAGGGCGGCATCGCTACCTGCAGCTGGGTATCCACTAATTCGAACCAGACCCCCTCATATCCTGTCTCCCGGGCTGTTCTGATCTGCTCTACAAATCCCTTCAGTCTTGATGCACTTGTCGCTTGCACGGTAAATGACGATAATTTATCCAACAATGCTTCGCCTGGTCCTTCAATCTCCAGCATCGCCATGGTTATTGGAAAGACCATAGGGAATGCAGTGGCTTTCTCGGCCGCGGATACGCTAAACAGTTCCATCGCGGCAAAAATGCTCTCGGCCAGCACTCTGGCCGTCTCGTCTTCCACCCCCAGCGGATATCGAAGCCGATGGATAACTAACAGTGCCGCGAGACGGTACACATTTGCTTGCGTGACTATCGCCAACACCTCATGTTGCCCGAAATTCTTATACAGCTCAGGTGGTGTCGGAGGCACCCAGTCCTGGATTCGTTGCTCGATCACTGCGAGCTGCTCATAATATCCGGTATATGTGGCACTGTCATCTAGCACGCTATTTTTCCACAGATGACTACATTCGCAAATGTCATAGAGATGAGGTAAGAGTGTCGCACAAATCCCCGCGTATCGATCAATAATAATGCGTTCTGTATCAGGGAATCGAATTATCGGAACTTCACGATGGGTCAAACATTCGACCGTATCGATCAACATCGGAGACATGATAATGCTTTCCATGATCGGATATTGCACCAGTCGGGAGAACCACGATTTGGCCGACAGAAGCGCACTCCGAACGATGGAATGTGCGGTATTCGAGTACGGAGCGGTGAGCACGTTGAACACGTACATCGTCTGCCCGAGAAACAGCGTACAAGCTGCATCATAATCGTTGCGAATAGTAACGTCCCGCAAGCGCTGCAATCCCTTCGCCGCCTTGCGCATATCCGGTTGCTGTGGACGCAAGACGAGCGATCTTTGGTGCCGAGTCATCATCCCCAGGAAAGCCAGATATCCTTCCGTCAGCGTCGGTCCGGATAAAGTCAAAATGGTATACACGGTCTTCTGCGCCTCGGGTATAAAGCTGGATCCCAGCATGAAAGGCGTATGAATGACTGAAAATTGCTCCACGTCCAACACCGTCTGCAGTGCGTCCGCCTGTGTTTGAAGTTTTTTTGGACAAGCAATCAGCCGCTCGGGCGACAGCATCATCATATTATTATTATTTGGTGTGCCCAGCTCTTCTGTGGCATCAGATTGAGAGCTTGCGTCGGACCCTCGGCTTGGCGCACGCGATGGCACCTTGCTACTGCTTGCTTCGGACTCGCTGTGCTGGTCTCGAGTCTCCACGCTCCAGACCTGCATTTGACCGTGTGGAAATGCCTTGGCGGACGGTCTGCGGCCGATGCGACCGCTGCGACGCGATATTGAACATGGAATCTTCAACCGGCGACATCTTGAGCATTGTTGATCACTGCCGTTGAAGGTGCATTTCTCTTTGGCGGCATGGCATCGATTGCAAGCCTTCACGACCATATTGCTTTGGGCCAGGAATCTGGCCCAGCTATCAGGGTTGAATTCAGGATGTACAACAGTACGCTAGCTGGTAGTTTCGGGAGAGTTGACGCGTGAGTTAGGAGGGCATCAGTGTTGCCCATCTCCCGATGTTTTCCCCGCTTTCCCCACGGATTGACCTCGGGCCAATAGACGACGATAGTTGCTTCCCTCGGATGAGAGATTAGTCATAGCCTTGTCCAGTTTCTTTTGGGTTTCTTTTGTTCCTTTCCCTGGGGCTTTGTTGCTTTTGAGGTTTCAAAGAAAGATAACCTTCGACGTAGATCATTCAAGTGCGTGATGCATGATCTTCGTGAATGGCTGCCCCATACTCGTACCTTTTCATGGATTCGGCCGAACCCCCTAAGTGGGTTTCATTGGTCGAGTGGGTTCCCGGTGACTCTGTCGGGTGGAGGTGGACATTTTCAGGGGAAAGCCTGGACCCCGTCGGGCGATCCCGCACACAGAATGGCTCAATGAAGCCTTCGAAAATGTGACCACTGGTCACGGTGCAGAAACTAATCTAGTTGGTCCAATCGTATGTACAACTTCAAAAGCCAAGCCAATAGCTTCTTCCGATCGATGGTCGTGATCTACCCTTTAGTAACCGGTTTCCGAGACACGTTCAAACGTGTCACAGCATGGAGACTAGACTCATAAGGGGTTATATGTGACGTCGATGAATTTTTTTCAATCCAATAAATCGTATTTCTGTCCTTCGACCAATAGATTGACTTTCCGATCCATATGGTCTTACTCACCGCTCCATCAACTTGCGATCTATCTCATTGAGTCAAAGTCCTTGCGAGACTCATAGGTCACGAACGCTGTGCTACCTGGATCTACCAAATGCTCGACTTCACCCTTGACATGGTTGACGCCTTGAGACAATTTGAATTAAAGTTGTGGGTCGAAACTTAGATAATTGTCACCTTTTTCAGATGCAAGTTCAGTCTGAAAATTGAGATCATTTGAAACACGGCAAATTACCGGGTGAACGTCGAATATTAAGGTCGCGACAAAATGCAGTCATGTTCGGGGCGCACGGGTTTGAGACGTTTGATCGACGTGTCAGTTAACAGAGACATCGAACTCTAACAGATATCATGCTCATCCCCGGTGACCCCATATTCATCCTCCTCATCGTATTCATCCTCATCATAGTCTTCCTCATCTTCATCTTCATCATCCTCACTTTCTTCCTCCTCGCCTGCGTCGTTACCTCCTTCGCCTTGAATCAGGTCCATAACAGAATGGAGCCCCTCAAAAACACAATAATCATTTGCAAGCTGCTCAAGTTCGTCCAATTTCTGCCACAGAGGTCCGTTCAATACGACTTCTCTTTCCGCGGGTGACATCTCGGACACAATATCGTGCATGGCATTTTCCAGACTTGGATCCGACTGGAACTGTTTCTGTACCTCGTGACCCAAGGTATCATTTGACGAAAGGCAAATTGTCTTGCCAATTTTGCGTAGTGTTTCTAGTCCATTGAGTCGAGTCCTGGGATTTGAAAACTCGGCGCATTGGTTGGCGATGTGACTGATAGTGGAGCTTACTTCGCTAGCCACGTCAAATGAAAGGTCATATTGCTTGGAGCCCTTCTTGGAGCTGTGCCGGACGTTAATCGCGGACCAAATCGACTTGGAATACTGATCAAAATCAATATTGCGTTTCTTCCGTTCCTCCATCATGCTGTTGATGGCGGCGGTCACCGTGGTGTTAACATCGGGATGAGCTTTGGCAGCTTTGTGGAGAAGCTCAGCCAAGCCTTCGGCTTTGAGCTTGATAATTTCCTTTGGTGAGGGGACTGGCGTTTCATTGATCGGGGCTTCATTGACCGAGTTTTGATTGGTCGAGGCTTCAACATGCTGAAGGTGAGTATCACCAGCAGTGTTTGCCCGTGCTCGTTTGGCGATCTTAGGACTGGCCATGATTGTGTGAGGCTTAATATGGGTGTGTGATCAGACCTGAGGGGGCAAACAAAGAAACTATCTCGGGTATGACTGGGAGGTATAAAAAATCAAGAACAAACGGCATAAAAAGTCGCGTTCACGTAGTTTGGGAATTTGTTTGATGTGGGTGTTGTGCGGCTAATGTGTGGCCCCACAAAAAAAAAGGGTGGTTGGTTTGGCTATCACAGTTCGTGCAAACTCCGGCCAAATTTAAAACAAAAGGATTTTGAGATTGCTAGTTAAAGCTGGACATCTGTACTTGGGCTGTTGAATTATTTCTAGATCTCTCTTAAGTAGCCAAGGCAGCATGCTTACGGCCAAAGCTCGGAGTTGGCACTTTCACCCAATCAGGCTAGTGATCTCGCTGTCCTGCGGGGTAAATGGGCTGTCATCTCTTGACATCTGCATATAAAACGTGACAAACCATAAGATATTCGTCACCTCCGTCATTCTGCCCTCGGTTTCTCAGCAAAATGGCAGCTCCAGAAAAGCGACCTGAAATCATCGAGCTTTCGCGCGGTCTGCGCGGGGTACCACAATGTGAAGATTATGAACGTATGATCTCGGGAATGATGTATGTTCACTGCCATCCATCATGGACATCTTGCTAATAACCCAGGTACAATCCCACCATCCCTAAGCTCTTGGAAGCGCGTCATCTGTGTCGCGGTCTGACAGCCGACTACAACAACCTGGACACAAAGACTGTGCCTTATGATCAAATAGCCGATAAGCGACTGGAGCTGCTGCGCAAACTGGTCGGTAGAGTCGGGGATGGCACGTTCGTTGAGCCACCCTTTCTCCCAGATTATGGATGCAATATTACAATTGGGCATCATTGCTTTATTAACTGGAAGTTTGTATCCGACAGCAATGACTCGAGCGTACCGTAAGCTGACCTTGTCTAGTGTGACTATCTTGGATACCAGTCTGGTTGTCATTGGAGATCGAGTGCAAATTGCAACCGGAGTCAGCATTTTCACTGCTGGACACGATACCAGTGTTCTGTCCCGCCGAAAAAATGTCGAGTTCGGCCACCCTATCTTTATTGAAGATGATTGCTGGATTGGTGGGAATGTGCTGATTCTTCCTGGTGTTCGGATTGGCAAGGGATGCACGATTGGTGCCGGATCTACTGTGACTAAGGATATTCCGCCGTATTCTGTTGCGGTGGGGAGTCCATGTCGGGTGGTCAAGACTATTCCATCGCCAGAGGAGGAGGAGCAGGATCGGAATAACCCATACCGGCACTTGGTTCATCAAAGTTACTGAAGATCACATCAACGATTATTAGAATACGATATAGCATGTCAGAAGCTCTATCTATAGATAAGACTCTGAATACAATTCACCAAGCTCACGTGCTTCCCCTTTCAGGTCAGGCCTGCAGAGACTTCTGTGGTTTTGGACATCAAGATGCACGATGTCAAGCAATTGAATGCAATATCCCAGCGCCGATGCGCGGTTCTTTCCCACCAAACCACACTAAGCAGGTCTGAACTGAGATGAGGATGTCTGAAAAGAGCTTGCTGGGGCGAAAGTCAATCTTCAATATGCTGGTTCTCAGAGCGACCGATAACATCATCGTCAACCACAACTTTGAAAGGATGTATGAGGAATTTGATCGGCTTTTGTTGGGGTTGGAGTATGAGGCCACTTCGGTTCAGATGTGGTCAACCTGTAAACACACCATCCGGCTTACTTTCTGTGCTCCTGTGTGGGCATGGCCGGATCAAAATAAGCAATGGCAAGCGCGTGGATGAAAGACAAGCACCGCGCTCTTAACAAAAACATGGAAAGGCTTTGACTGGTTATTTGTCAAATATATCTCTCCCATTGGTGGAAAGATGAAGGGTTCAAAAATAAGAATTGATAAGATCACCACACACACACACACACACACACACATTCTCTCTCTCTCTCTCTCTCTCTTCATCTCTTTGGTCAGCTGAAACAAAAAAATCCCCTCTGTGGATATTTCTGTGCGGATCAGAAATCACCGAGGATACTCCAGATCATCAATTCCCACCATCAACCAATGGTTCAACGAAGGAAGTGGCGCACCTTAAAACGAGAAAATTGATCTTTAAATGTTTTCTTCCCGACCATTCCAATGAGGCCCTTCGGAACATGACCGAGCAAGTCTCAACCCGCGCCCTAAAAGTCGATTGGCACTCCACTTAGGCCCCGGACACTCCCCGGATCAGGCTCAGAGCCCGCTTGGCGCGACTCTTGGCGGGCCTCTTGGCGTTGGAGATGCACGACAAGACCAAACAAGCCTTCAATATTCCCCTTATGCCACGAGCTGCTCGATATATAATAGGCTGCCAATGCCGGGGTAATCTGGTTACGTCAAACCCAAAAGTATTGGCATCGGTCTATTCTCAGGCCTAATAGAAGACTACCACGATATCAACTTCTCAGAATCCATGATATCGACGTCAAGCCGCGTTAGTCTTCCCGATGGCACCAGTCTCACCGGGAGCTCCAGCCACGGTATCCAAGTTCGGCCCGAATAACCACAATATCAGGGAAAGCGATTTCCGACCCGTTGGGCGATGGAGCACCAATTAACTTCGATCCTCGTCTCGGAGAAAGTCCACTCACCCCCACGACGCACATCCATCGTCTCAGGCGTGTTGAACCACACATGGCACGATATTCTCCGACGTTCGGCATTCCTTCCACGATCGTACCCCAAATTATCCCGCACACATCCCTGCTTGGTGCTCCAGGCCGACTCCCGCATTATGTCTCGGGGTCGACATTGTCCAATGGCGTGGGTATAATGAACTCGTTAACTTATTTTGATGGGCCCGATGGAGCCCGCGGCGATATCAACCAATTCAAGACTGGGTGAGGGATGCTGAGCACATACCATTTCGTAACCCACAATCTCCAGCTCAGTTGCCCATCCTGTGGGGTCTCCACGGCCTGGGGTTCACCGGTAGACATAAATGCAAGACAAAATCTCTGTCACTGGGTTTTTTTTTTCTTTCTGTTCTTGGTTTTGAGTATCTTTTTCTTCCTGCAAGCAATCATGTTCCACGGGAAAACGCTTCGTCTGGCGCAGGCGCTGCTCATTGTTGCGCCCGCCTTCATTGTTTTCGGTTATAATCAATCTGGACTAGGTCCATTGGCGACATTGCAGAGCTGGGTGGGCGTTTTCCCTCAGATTGACACCATCAACACTACAGGTGCTCAACGTGCGAAGAACTCTACTGCAAAGGGTGCCGTAATCGCCTCTTTCCAGCTTGGTGCTCTCATTGGAGCCTTATCGTGTACGGCTTTGGGCGACCGTCTCGGTCGCCGTAAGACTATTTTCCTTGGTGCCATCTTGACTCTTATTGGACAATTGCTGCAGACATCTGCCTATGGACTCGCACAGTTCGTTGTTGGACGTGTGATTCTTGGACTGGGCGTTGGTCAGTTCAGTGTCGCTGTACCAGTTTGGCAATCCGAATGTACATCAGCCAAGCACCGAGGTCAACATGTTGTTGTTGATGGAATTTGTATCTGCCTGGGTTATGCACTATGCAACTGGATTGATTTCGGTCTTAGCAAGGTGGATGGATCACTCCAATGGCGTATCCCGCTCGTTGTCTCGTTCTTCTTCTCTCTTGTCGTCCTCTTCTCCGTCTTCCTCCTTCCTGAATCTCCTCGGTGGCTTGTTCGGGTTGGCCGCATCGAAGAAGCGACTCACAGTCTCGCTGCGTACAAGGGTACCTCTCCTGACGACGAGTCTGTTCGTATCGAAATCGCCGGTATCGAAACCTCCCTCGAAGTCACTGTCGACAGCGCCAAACTGCGCGATATCTTCGACCGGAGCAAACCCGATGAGGAACGTCTACTATACCGGTTCTGCTTGTGCGTTGCGCTCCAGTTCTTCCAACAGATGTGTGGTGGAAACCTTATCTCGACATACGTGTCGACCATCTTTGAAGAAAACCTGCACATGACGAGCGACCTTGCTCGCATCCTCTCCTCATGCGCAATGACATGGAAGTTCCTTTGCAGCTTCATCGCTTTCTTCGCTATCGATCGTCTAGGTCGTCGCAAGATCTTCATGATCAGTGGCACAGGTATGGCCGTCTGCATGACCGTCCTGGCCATCACGACCAGTTTCGAGGGTAATCATACCGCCTCAGTCGTGTCGGCCGTTTTCATATTCCTCTTCAACTCATTCTACCCCGTCGGCTTCTTGGGTGGAAACTTCCTATACTGTACTGAAGTTGCACCCATGCGTCTCCGTGTTGCCATGGCCGCTATTTCGACAGGTAATCACTGGCTGTGGAACTTCGTCGTCGTGATGATTACGCCCGTTGCGCTGGACACTATTGGATACCAGTATTACATTATGTATGCTGTTATCTCGGCATTTATCCCCATTACAGTTTACCTGTTCTATCCCGAGACAATGAACCGCAACCTGGAGGCTCTTAACCATGTCTTCCGGGACGCGCCAACTACTTGGGATATCGTTTCTATGGCTCGCAATTTGCCGCAGGGTGAGGCTGCAGAAGTAGATGTGTGGATGCGATCAGAAGAGAAGGGGGCTGTCGAGCAGAGGGAGGAGGCTTAACGTTGCACATGTTCAGGATATGAGATTTGTATGTTTTACGATAGTACGTTGCAATAAATGATATGCAAGATATGATTTTCTCGTGCATACTAGCCAACCTTGGAAGTGGATTCCTCTCTCCTCTGTACTCTTATGTCGCTAGCTATCAAGTCTTAGTACGTTTCCATATGTCTTTTAATATGTGGCCAAGTATGCCTGAGGGACTTCGGAACATGGATACCACTAGTCAAATCTCAATCCCGTCCCGGGATCCTTTTGTGTTCACCGCAATAGGGTATCTTTGGTATTCTCGTATATTGTCAAGACCTGTATGCTAGGGATAAAATATATGTCCAAGGTTTTGATACATATATGTACTATTGAGTGTACAGGACGATGAGCCAATAATTACGACCGACAGTTGCCGAGATAGCTAAATATCTCGAGCTATAGCACGGCTCGCCCCCTCAGATTTTCCGGCAAAGCCTAGCAGAGGTAGGCCGACAGTTTGATAAAAGCATTACTGCAGGTCTTCCCTTGGGGAATCCCGTACTCTGGTCGTCATTTATGGGGCGCTGGAGGATATGTAAAGGCCATTGGGTCTGATATTTGGCCCATGGATGGGTACCGGCGGAAGACTTCGGATGAGCTGTTGGATGGAGAAATGGACTTATACCGAGACTTTCCACTGAAGTTAGTTGAGCTGGTAGATCGCACTTTCTATTGACTTTCTATTATTGCAACAAGTGGCATAACTTAAAAGCACTCCAGTTGGGGTCATCCCAAGGTTGCATATGCCTAGCTAGATTATGGGTTCTAACATCATTTCAATTTATAAATTCAGAGGGCAGTCAAGCCCTCCTATGCTATGGATGGCTCAGTCAACATACATCCAATGCGACATATCTAAGCATCATTCAACCATACATGCCTAATTAGGTGCCTTCAGGCTTGTCCAATCCAAGAATAGATAATTTGTAAGAGAAAAGACATAGATAAAGCGATTCAAAGTTTCGTGTATACCTAAGAAACGCCTAAGAATCCATCAATAAAGCCCGCTAACAAAAAAATTCCCAACGCACCACATGAGTCGTAAATCATAATTGAGATATGTCGTTATAAAGTGATAGAGGATATGCAGAGGATCTGAGATGTGAAGTGCAACTGTAAAATGCCGCAAAAAGGTGAGGTGGGATAAGAGACTCCAAATATGTCATAACGTATCAGCATAAATCATCACTTATATAGTGGGGGTCCCCGCGAAGAGATATATTCCGCATCTTGAGCAAGACTAGTTGGAATATACCGTTTAGCCGGTCCTCGCGAAGGACTCGTCCATCGAGATGCCCGAGGTGGAAAGCCGGCACTACTATATGAGCGCGGTCGATCGGAGCTGCTCCCTCCGCTTCCAGGTCGACTCCCTCCTGTGCTGCCACCGCTGTAACTACCTCTTCTGGCATCGTCTGCATATGGATCTAGATTGTATCGGTGACGAGGTGATGGCCGTGGTGGTGGGGGCATGTACATTGCTGGGTCTGGGGCTGGGGCTGGGGCTGGAGCTGGAGCTGGGTGAGGGACGTCGAAGACGAATTCTTTGAATTTGACGCCTGATGATCTGGAGCGAGAACGGTCGTCGTGATGATGGGATCTGGGTGTTCCGTCTGAGTTCGATTTTCTTGTTTTTGGGGTGGGGGTGGGGATCTCGCAGTCGTATCCTCTATGATTTCTTCGTGGCGCGGAGGGTGAGAGATCACGAAAGGGTTTTCGTGCGTATGCATCGTGGGAGTGACGGCGTGTACCTGAATGCGGTGGAGATAGGTTACGTCGGGCCCGACGTCTGGATTGGGTTTCAGGCTCGGGTTCCGGTTCTTCTTCATGGATTGTGTCATCGGAGACGGGTTCTGGCTCTGGAGGCTGGTCCATTTCTGTGGGAAATGGGTTGTGGGTATGCCAGGTTGACTGTTCATTATCTCTGGTGCGATAATGAGGATACTCCCGTGAAGATGGCGAAGGACCTCGGGGAGACGAAACACCAGACCGAACTCCATCCGGTCGAGAGGAGAAGCTCGGTTCCGGTCTACGGGTATCGAATGTAGGATACTCGGCGCTGAGGCGTCGGTGGTGCTGACGCCGCCGACCAGCTCGATCTGGCTCATAGTAGCTATGATTCCGCTGTGCTGGCTGTCGCGGCGGATGCGAAAAGCACTCTTCTTCATCTGGTAGTGGATCCTTTCCGCTGAAACGATAGTGATATCCCCCAAAGTCGGGTGGTGAAGCACGCTGCGTCTTCCGCTTCATGTAGTCTAATTCAAGTCGCCGACTTACTCCCTCATGCCACTGTAGCATTTCTGGGTCTGGCTCGGAGGGAAACGCGTCGCGAGGGATTTCCTTTGGAAATAACTCCCCGTTCGCATCGGCAATATCCCACATACTAACCGCATTTCGCAAGTACTGCCAGTGCTCGTCGGGTTCCATTAACAACTGAATTGTCTGCCATCTCACAAAGCCAGCCGGTTGTAGTGACGGAACGGAGGGCGGTTCATATGGATTGCTGGAAGGCTGGAGGCTGTGAAAGCAGCCAAGCGACTGATAAATGAACGAAAGCGCCGTAGATTTGGTACCAAGAAAGAGAGGATCATAGTTGCCGCCTACTTTGCGGTAGAAGGACGCGACGCGATCGGGGGTAAGATCATTTGAACCATTTGAATCAAACGTGGGCTGCGTCTTGTTAGTTGCTGTCTGTATCGAACCCATGACGTTATGCTCACCAACAACTGCGCGATCCCTAGACAAAGCTGTTCCAGCAACGGCGCTGGACTCTTGTCTGGGTTGATCAGAGTCCCCCAGGAAGACATTTCATCTGAGATCTCAGGTGAAGAGATTGCGACCAGCGCATTGCCAGGATCCTCAAGGGAGTTCGAGTCGATAGGCAACAAGTGGCGGTCAGGCACGAACATGTGGACCCACTGCGGGGAATTAAACAGAAACAGAGAAATGAAGTATAAACAATAGAAGTTGACGTCAGTTGTGAAAAAGAATGTTCTGAGCAGATGACTAGGAAGATTAAGAGTCATCAAAACAGAAATAATGTGATGTTATGTGGCACCATCACCCTTTCCAATCCCACTCAGCTGCCGTCATCATACGAGATTTTACGCCTAACACGGATCAGGTACCATCCCGGTCGCTAAGCCTCATGTGAAAGGTCTTGTATCATTCGCTCCGACTTCTCCCCTTTCATGCAGTCCACAAGGAAAACGTCGGCCACGAGTACATTGCGTCAGCCACATTGATCGGCACCCCCGAAGGGTCCAGTGGCCCAAAATCGACATCGGGTTGCGCTAGGAATTCTTCCATGTTCGCGCCTAAAAATTCCATGTCGGTGAGACTACCGGGGGCCGTGATCTCGGACAGGGCGTGGCCTGGTAGGTCTGAGCTCCGTGGGTCAGTGAGCGAGTCAGTAGGGTCGACGATAATGTCAAGACACCGTCGCACGTAGTCGAGGTTATCGTAGAATTCTTGCGCAGCGAGATTTCCGTGATCGCTCATGGCATGAAGGATTTCATACGCCGTCTCGAAAAGGGAAAAGTCATTGCAATGGTCGCTGTAGATCTGACTGGAAACCACCATGATAAGTGCAGACGAAAATATATAGTGTGCATAAAAGTATCCGAAGATCGGCAGGGTTCCGTTGGCCCATTCATCTACGATCAGCGAGTGCGTGTTCCTTGCAGCATGGATACATGCATCACCCAGGGTCTTGAGTGTCTGGGCATTGGAGAGGGCGGGATCTTTGTCGTGACCGGCGTCCCTCGATTGGATCAGAGTATAAAGCAAAATCGGTCGCGTGGCCAAGATGATGCACTGAGACCTATCAGCTATAGCCGCACAAGACAAGGCTCTTGCCTGAGAGAATCTCACCTGATTGAACTGAAGATGTAACGATATCACATTCTTAGGGAGTGGTCCATCACGGTTCAGTCGAACATGCGGTGGCAAAGCCTGGGACCACTGCTTGAGCGACATTAACAGTTTCTGCTCTCGCTGCAGGAACGAATCTGGTTGTTTTTTGCGACTATAAACTTTCTCCGTTACCTGGCCAGTGATCCCTGCGAGTGCAATACTAGCGTTCAGAAACTCCGTGTCTGAAAATTGTTCCTCGAAGGCATCGCCGGGTATAGTCGATGGCATCTCCACATTGATATCGTCGTCAGAAAGTTGGTTCGGCCAGCCAGCCTTGGAACTATAAATGCGATCGTAAACATAAATTGCCCACCACAGTCGAATGCGATGCTGTCGATCTACCGGGTCGGGGCATTGACACTCGGGGATGTTGTGGTGGAGTCCAAGAGTTAGGCCTACGCGCATGGCGCTGCCAATCAAGAAAAATGCCGAGTGCCGACGATTCAGGAAATAAGAGTATAATGACTAAAAATATTAGTTTTTCCACAGGTCTTTCTCCAGGTTGTGTGGCTTACCAAAAGCAGTAGAGACTCAATGTGAGCAAGGCTCGGTCGTTCCGGCAAAATGGGAATCAACATCATCGCATTCGCATAAAACGAAGCCCCAGGCACACCACACTCAGGATTTGAATTCGACCGCACCGAATATACTTCCCCGAGAGCAAACAGAGCGAAGAACTTGCAAGTCAAAATTGGATCATCGAAATTGCTCCTCCGGTACGTGTTTTCCAGTTCATCCATGGTGGATTTTCGAAGCACCAAGTGATAGACCCTGCTCACTTGACTGAAGACGACCTGGACGAGAAGACGAGCTTGAGCCAGGCTGGGCCATCGAAGTTCCGTGTTGCGCAACTTCATCAACGTTGCCTCAGATGTGTACTGTGTTCGGGTAATGTGGGATGTATTAGTATCCTTGGTGAGGACTTGACGCAGTCGGGTAGCGAAAGCCGTGCAAGCTGCTTCGGCGATATGGATCGGAGGGGCTGATGGGTCGTATGGTTGGAACCAAGCCAGCTTTCCCAACATTGGGTTATGAACATGAGTGTCGGGGTCGGGCGCAGTGGCATCTAACAAACATGTTGAGCGAATGTCCACAGTATAAAGCAGAGATAATTGGTAGCTTGGATACCTGGTTTGCTCTGCACATCAGATGGTCCAACTCCTGGAGATTGTGAGAGTTGTTCTCGTAGACGTTCATTCTCCGCTGTAAGCTGTTCGAGATAGCTGGAAGTTATTAGTAGACATACTTCAGATCAGTTCACTACTAGCTCCACACCTCTCGTGGACTTTGACCTGCCGATCGCGATTGATGTAGGTACATGCGGCAGGGCAGCCTGCTTGCCGGCACTTGACGCAAGGCTCTCCTCCAGAGCATTTAATCTTATGAGAGTGACATCGCCGGCATCTATGAACATATTAACAAGCCGATCTTGCATGAAGCTAGTGGAACCTACGCAATCGACTTCTTCTTCTGGCGCTTGATCGCCGAATCAATTGCTTTACTGGTTGAAGCCATTTTGGCTAATTCTCAGATGCCAGAATAGAAATTTGCGAATGTCCAATTGCTATCATGGCTGGAGCGGATGTTCGGGAAATTATCGGTAAGGTTTTATCTTGCCGAGTGGCGAATCAGGCGGTGGGAAGGTAAAGCTTGAACGTAGAAACATATAAGTCGATTAATTAAATTTTACGCTCAGTGAGTTAAGAATGGAAGCTTGGTACCCAATCGAGGGTTATTCGATTTCAGTTAGTACTCATTTGTCCAATTTGAGAAAAGGAAACACCAAAATGTGTCTCTTCAGTATATCTCGCTGGCTGGAACTGCAATCGGCGACTCAGGTCTTGAAGTTTGCATCAATTCAGTCCACCAAAAAAGAATGAAAACTTTGGGATGGGACAAAAACTAGGCTTCTACAGTATACATTAATTTGGCGACATGAATAACATTGCAAGTGTGATATGATAGATTTCTGAGCCGTCGGCAGAAGAATATTTGGCCGAACACATATAGAGAGTGCAAGGACGAGTGCCAAGCCAGACACCTGGACAAAACACAATGACGAAAGCCATGGCGCTTACCAGTTTAAAGATATGTCTTCAAAATCAAAGAAGGACTCTAGAGTAATTATGTTGACTTGATGAAACAAAAACTCAAAGATTCACCGATACGGGGAATCGAACCCCGCGCTTCGGCGTGAAAAGCCGACAGGTTAGCCACTACCCCATATCGGTTAATGGAGATGCTATTTTTGGCCCAGCACTTCCTAGTTGGGCGATGGGGCTAGACGATTTTGGACTGTCGGCGAAATCCCTTTCTCCGAGCCGACTAACAATTGCCTGCGCAATTCCATGCCGGAGAATAATCTCGGACCTTTCCCTTCAATGTAGGGAGCAGTAAGTGTTAATCTATTCGCAAAAGCCTTTCGCGAGAGGAGATAATTCGCATCGTTTCTTGGAGCCATGCAGGAGTCCAGAATCAACTGTTCTGTCGCACAAGCATATCACGGGTTCTGCGCGTATTGGATGTGTTGATTGAGTTGCATTTCACACAAAATCAAAATATAAGACGCGATTTGTCCATTTCACCTTGGGAACCGCGCTATTTTCGAGTATAATCTCCCCCGCCAGTCTTTTTTAAATCCCAAACCTTGTCTTTTATCTATTGGATCTTCCCTTCGCTCCCATTCTTGCAATTCGCATCATCTTAGATCCATTCAACTTAATGAGAGACAGAGAATGCGGATGCGCAACTTGAAAATCGGGGTAAATAATTCAAGGTTTGGCAGGAGGAATGTACCCTGTACATGACTAGAAACCAATTTTTTATTCGCTTTATGGTACGGAGAACACTGGGTATTCCATCTCGACAACAGAGTTCACAGTACACTTGCTTCCTCGGGACAAGCGCAGCACTTGAATGCGGCGTGCGATCTGACCCAAATGAACACCGCCAGCCCCGGCAACAAGGGCAGGATCCGCTCATCATTGAACAATAGCGGGATTCCATAGCGCTGGGTAAGTTCATGCAGCTTCTTGGTGATGGTGATCAATGCCCTTTAATATGAAATATTTGTTGGGTAGACCTCATGAGTAAAAAACGCTTCTCGATACGAATGACCAAATCTGAAGCAATTGCTCGGTATCTATACATATCAACCGACCCCCCCCCCTTGCTTTCACGTCCAACGTCTTGCTACGGCCCGTGCTCTGCTGTCCCCCTTGACCCTCGTGGTTCCCGTGGTTCCCGCAACGATTTAGATCTGTGATCCAGCCAATACAAATCAAGAATGAATAATAGTGCCGCAAGATCATGCTTCATTCAAGGAAACACTAGTCGATGGTGGCTGACATTCCAAATCATTCAATAAGCAGGATTGGTTGAACTTCAACCACATCCAACCACCAGAAGCCCTACCCCTTCATTCCGGATCGCCATACCACAACAGTTATTTTGTCTCCATGGTAGCTTATCCACCAATAATCATCCATAAAAATAGTGCCTGGGGATCTGTTGCATATCTGAGGCGGCTGAAATAGGATGCCTTCCCCCAGCCCTCCATGTAACTGGCTAGATCGGCGGCGTGGCATCTGACCCAACTCCCCTCTGTTTGGGTGTTAAGTGTAGTGCAACCTCCCATCCTCTTCATCCCAAAATTTGACATGCTGACTGCTGTCTACACCCACACAAACGCTTTTCGTCCTGCGACTTTCAGCTCGCTTGCTTGCGCCTGAGATCTGGACGCTACTTCCCATTGCTCGTCTGTCAGCAAATTATAACAAGAGAATTTGGTGTAGCATCTCACTCTTACAATCCTCTGTCCATACCCGAAGATACAATGGCCCTCGTGCGCGATCCGTACTTTTGGAAGCGCTTTTCAACAGCAGTGCATCTCGACGAAGAAGCGAAGGGCACACCTGAGGCTGAAATCATCACACCAATCACCGAAAAGTACGTCTACATCCTCCCTGACTCCGAACCAATAGGCTAACCAGACCGCTAGAGCACAAGACTCCTGGCTAGAACGCGAGCGTCGGAAAAGCAAGAAGTCTCTGATCTGGGGCTTCATCATCTTCTTCTGTATCGTCCTCCTTGTCACTGGTGGAGTGATCGTGTGGTGGCTCAGCAAGCACCACTGGCTTCAAAGCATCGAGCCATGAGCCAAGCTCCATTAAGCGCAGTGATGCATGGGTTCGATAGCATTTGGGACTAGATTGGTCTCTTGGCGTTGTGGATTGCTTTTCGGGTTGGACACTGGAGATATACCCGCCGCGCCTCCAGGGCGGCTTTCATGTTGGACTTGGTTTCAGTAGATAGCTTATAATATAGTACACAGAACATAAAAATATAAACTTTGCATTTTTACCACTTGTTTGTCTTCCAGTCTGCAATGTAACTATTGTTCGCGCAAGGGGTCGACCTACCGAAACTGGTCTAGTCACCTTCAAATTAATGATGAATATACACGTGCCGTCAGCGCAATGGGTCAATCCTGCGTATACCGCGGCACTTTAATCGAAAGAATATTGCCTCGCGTGGTCCGTTTTGTCTCCAAACTCATTATCCCTGGCGGACTAAACACCGCCGGCTCCAACCGTGTCTTATCTGGGCTTATCCGATAAGCCGCCTCCACACTTCCCCGCAGGAGCTTGAACTCGGATAAAAGGCCGCTGTCTCGCCAGATCTTTGTACACTCCAAATTCAATATGCTTCCTCCTTTCGACTACTTTGAGTATCGCCGCATACGGTAAGCAGTCTTCCTTTCCAGACTTAAGCTGCACATACATCCGATCTTGTCTAAAGCTGGACTATCCCCAGGAACCAAAAGCAGGCGGAACGAGATCTCCGCTTCGCTTCCCTGCCTCACCCATATCACCTCCCGATCACAGCATCGGACAAGAAGATTATCGAACAGCCCATCGAAGAGCTGGTCCGGGATATTCAAGGCTCTACGACCTCGGCTCTGACTGTTCTTCGCACCTATGGCAAGGTTGCTGTTCGGGCCCAAAAGCGTACCAACTGTATTACCGAGCTCCTGCTCCCGGAAGCAGAATCATGGCTTGAGTCAGAGGTGAACCTCAAAGGACCTTTGGCAGGCATTCCTGTCTCGCTTAAGGACTCTGTCCAGATCAAGGGTTTCGATACCACCCTTGGCTACTCCGCACTGGCGGGGAAGCCTTTCAATGAGGATGGACCAATGACAAAATTGCTCAAAGATGCCGGTATGTTCAACTCTCGATTACGAAACTGTTCATGAGAATACAAGCAGTCTCTAATCCGTCGTTAGGAGCTGTTCCTTACGCAAAGACTGCTTTGCCTATCACCCTTCTCTCCTTTGAGTCTGACAACGGACTTTGGGGCCCCTGTCTCAACCCCCATGTACCAGGGTATTCCCCTGGTGGCTCGACCGGTGGTGAAGGCTCTCTGCTGGCACAGGGTGGCCGTATTGGTATCGGCTCCGATGTTGCTGGATCAGTTCGTGTGCCAGCTGCTTGGAGTGGGATCTATTCGCTCCGCTGCAGCACGGGTCGCTGGCCTAAGGCCGGAGTGAGCACTAGTATGGCAGGCCAGGAGGGTATCCCGAGTGTGTTTAGTCCAATGGCTCGCACTTTGAATGACTTGACCTATTTCACTCGTGCCATGATTGGTATGGAGCCGTGGAAGTATGATAACACTGTCCACCCGATTGCATGGAGGGATGAGCTTGAGACCGATGCAAAGACCAAGCCTCTTCGGATTGGATTGATGAGGAATGATGGTACGTTTCTACGGTTCTTCCCTATTATGAATGCTTGGAATTGCTGCTGATCGGAATAGGTGTGGTTCCACCCACTCCTGCTATCGAGCGTGCTGTTTCCACCACAGTCGCCGCCTTGACCGAAGCCGGCCACACGGTGACTGAGATCACGACACCCGACGGAGCCGATCCATTCACTGGCCTTGACCTTGCATCTCAACTCCTGAACTCGGACGGCTGTCATCATTTCAACGTGCCCTTCCGCAGCTTCGAGCCAACTGATCCTGGCGCTTACCAGCTGACCCGTGTCGCACATCTGTCCCGTCCCTTGCGCTACCTTTACTACCTCTACGTGCGCTACATCAAACGTGACCAGATCCTCGCCACGTTAATTCGCAACTTCGGTCCTAAGTCATCTGCACAGGTGTGGCCGTTGGTCGCGCAACGCGAAGCCTTCCGGGCCACCTGGCACAAGTGGTGGAACGCCGAGCCTCAGCAGTTTGATTTCATCTTGTGCCCTGTCAATGCCACGCCGGCCTTGCCGCACAAGGCTATGTACGACGCCATGTCCTCATGTGGTTATACCTTTCTCTGGAATCTACTGGATTACACGGCGGGTGTCTTACCCGTGGGCCATGTTGACGCTGTGCGTGATGCCTTGGTGGCTCCCTATCGGACCGTCTTGCAGCGTCTAGGTAGCAACCATGCTGTAGCGCGCGGGGCCTGGAAGCATTATGATTCCGCCAATATGGCCGGTCTGCCGACGGCCGTACAGGTCGTCGGTCGCCGTTGGCAAGAAGAGCAGGTTCTCGGGTACATGGCTGTTGTGGAGAAAGCACTGGAGCAGTACATCGACCCACAGACTGGCGAGTGTGCCAAATATAGCCTACTTGAGATTGACTGAGAAATGGATCCCTTCTAACATCTTTGTGTTCTTTATCTTTCCATTTCCGAGCCAATCCCGTCTCAGCTCTTTTAAGTAGCGTTGCGTTATACCATACAATCAAATGAACCAACCTATGCCCAGAATTCTCGCACAAGGCTCCAGCATCACGCGATTAGTGCCGTGCAACCTCGTTGCGCCACTAGAAGACGCCCAAGCGGGGCGCCGCTACATTATTACGTATCACAGTCCCTCGAATAACGCTAGTTCAGTTGCATGTATATCCTGTCAACCCAGTAACTGAGCTTGTTGGTCGGAACTCCGCATGAAAGGAAGCAATCATTCAATTCGCTTTGTCATTACTTGCCTTGTTGCTTTCTTTGGTGCCTTGAACCCCCTGCTCATATTCTGCAGCTTGGCGCCTGTTCCATGCAGCTAGACTGAATCAGTACATTGTTCTGCGGTTGCGATTAGTTAAACAAAGGGTATCGACGTTGGCATCTGTCATTGCGATCCACTTAATCTATTCCAGTGATTCTAGACCTATCATCGATCGAGTGGTCGAATGCCAAATTCCTGTGTACCGCCGGGTCTGCAGCCCTGGTCACTCGATGAAAAATCCCCATACGGTCTTTGTGCTGCATTTTCTATATATCAGGGGGAAAAGCAGAAACAAACTAGTTGAGATGAGAATACAGATACCAGGGGCACTCTTCTGCTTTTCCAATCCACTACAGTTGTTGGTACCGAGGGAGCGGATCGTCCAGGTCAAAGAGAGGGAAGGAGCTTGGGGCAGTTGGAGATGTATCGAATCATAGCTTCAACCATGGATCACACCTCGTATACCTCCACTGTCGGACATCTTGCCCACTCTATAGGCTGGAAGATACGAGCAGATTTGCATGCAGATAATGCAACCTTGGAACTTGAACAAGTCCTGCAAGAAATGTTACATGGAATACGCGAAGAAGCTTGAGCTTTATGAAATTGCGGCCCTGAATTAGATTACCGTACGAGACCGGTTAATTACCCCAGATCAGCCAATTAAAAATTTGGTGTCTCAGGAAATGTAAGTCCGTTACCGAAAAGTTTCAAGATTACAAGACTGGTCACTGATCTCGGGCATCTTCAATCTATTTCATTTCTGCACTGCATATGTGCATTTCTCCCTTCTTCTCATATTCCATTTCCACTCTTCCAAAGGCTTTCTCAATATCTTCTCTATTTAACTGCCATCTCCACCAACCTGTCATGACCCGCCCATGAAAAGGGCGATCCATGTACAGATGGAAACCCCGAAATACTTTAATCTCTTGTGAACCCACCCCCCACGCGCTCTTACCCCGAGTCCACCTCACACAAAACCTCCCTCCTGACCAAAGGATGCCCGGTTAACTCACCACCGCATATCTCACAGTCGTTGCGCCGGTGGAAAGGCATCATCAGGGATGTCGAGAGTGAACGAGAAATGGCATCTAAGAAGCATAACCCGCCCGCGCGGAAGAAGGGTGGCATCCACTTTGTGAATGCGAGACCCACCTCAGAGTTCGAACGCCTCAGACTTCAGCGCGTAGTACGCGCGCATGTCGGTCGTTGGATCTCCACTCAGACCAGCCGACGTTTGCATACCTCCAGCCACTTGAATGGCGCCAACCTTCAAACCAGCCGAGGTTTGCCCTCCGACAAAAACGGCCCTAGTCACTCTATTGTTATCGCGTCGCATCCGCCTCTAAACCAGCCGCAGTACAAAAATCCCCCGGCGAGCGAAAACCATGACTTGCCCTTCTCTTTTATAGCTCCCGTTAGCCGCCCTGGGACTTTCTCCGCATTTTCCCCGCAAGAAAGTGACAGCAGTGAGAGCGGCGATGAAGTAATCACCCTGCCTCTACAGTCGGCGTCGGCGTCGGCCACATTATTACCCTGGAATGAGATTCTTGGATTAGATCGACAAGTCTCTGAGCAAATAGATCCCTTTATGACATATCCCAATCATTTGGGAGTGACACCCGAGGTGGTGGATGCATGCCAAACCTACTGTCCGTTGTCATCCCCAAAGACTTGAAAAACGATACTAACTCTACAGGCCTCAATACCATGTGGCCAGGAGTCGTTCCTGGACAAGGCAGCTCTTTTATGCCGATAAAGTCATCTCCCCGGCAATCATGGTTCTCGCTTGCTAGGTCGGACCCCACCCTCTTTTACCGCGTTTACGTATGGGTCTCTATGTCACCAGCGAGTGCTTTGGGCGAACCAACGGCTTCCAAGTGACTCGTACGGCCCAACTCAACACCGTCTTTTGGAGAAGTGTGAAACCGATTCGATTATATTGATCAATCAGGCGATTCGTGACCCATCACGTGCGATCAGTGATGCAGTTTTGTTGAGTGTCGTCTGCATGGCACATCATGCAGCCCCTGTCGAAATCAAAATTCAAAGCACACCTTTTGAACCACCATTTCAGCAATTACAGTGGCTGGATGTATATGGTTGTCTTTCTCCAAATATAATCCATGTCCAGGGATTGGTACAGTTGCTCAAGTTGCGTGGTGGCTTGCGAAACATTAAACTGCCCGGGTTGGCCGCAACGCTTTGTTTGTACGTAACTGTCCCTCAAAGAGGAATTTTCTACTGACTCGACCAGTTCCGAAGTTTTCGCTGCAGCCGTTTGGTGTGTCCAGCCTATATTTGAATTTTGGCCCCTGAACGAAAGGCGTCTTGGAGTTCCGCTGCAGGAATTGGTTGGCTTTGGCCCATCCGATATTCAACGCGGTTTCGGAAAATATCAAGTGATTGGCTTCACCCCCCAAATGGCGGAGGCCTTCCAAGCCGCCCGATCGTACGTCAGAATCATAAATAAAAGTGAGGAAGGCCGGAAAAGTCGTAATGAGGACCGTCTCGATGAATCACTACTCGCCGACCAACGAAACCTCACCGAGTATACCCTCCTCACGCTTCTCCCCTCTGAGGCCATTATATCCTACTTCTCCCATTCAACCCAAGCCACAACCTATGAAGCCTGTCGTCTAGCCGGCCTCATATTTGGTGTGGGGGTGATCTTCCCGATTCCTCAACAGAATAGTCCTCTTAAGGGCCTCGCAAAGAAAATCCGCGCCGCCGTCCTCCAGCCAACCGCAGTAGTCCTTTGGTCATCGGAAAGCACCCGTATCCCCCTGATCTGGATCTTAACCCTCGGTGGGATCGCAGCCTTTGGAACACCCGACCGTTGGTTCTTCGTCTCTAGTCTAGCTGATACTGTGCGTCGCGTCAATATACGTTCTTGGACCGAAACTAAGCTTTCCTTGGACAAAATGCTCTGGCATGAGGGTGCCTGCGAGAAGGCTGGTCGGAATCTCTGGTGCGAAATTGAGAGCTACTTGGAGGAAAACCCAACAGAAATCGATGTGAAGCCTCGGCTCCGCACTAAGTGACCCCTCTGCTATTTCGCACTCCCTGGTTTCTACTTCGTCTTTCAGTGATGTACTACTTTTCAATATTTCATACATATACCCCTTGCGCGGAATGAAGTGGCGGTTATCCCAATTCTCGCATGATGAACGGTATGACTGTTCAAGACTGAAGTTTATAGGACTTCTGACTATTTGACCAAGTAATCTACCAGGTCTAGGACTGGAAGTCAGATCTGCGGCTCATGCATGAAATAAAATGATCTTCAAGCCTTAAAGTATGAACTACTTGTTTTTCTTAAATCATTCACATAAACATACATGCTATATATAACGTGGGCCTCGGTGCCATACTCATCACACATACGTCCTCTGCACTGCCCCATCCAGAAGAGGTTCCCGCTCCCAATCCCTCGTCCTCACACTCGAATCCACCACCGCCTGTCCCTGTACCTCCTGTTTCGCCAACGCGTTAGTCTTCCAACTAACAAAAGTCACCAACGCGCCTCCAACGACAGCAACAGCAACAGTCAACCAAACATTGACCGGCACCGGGTTACCCCCGAAATGCCTGAGCGTCAACTCATCCAAACCCGCCTGCGCAAAGTTCCCAACGCCAGCGAGGCAAATTATAAGACCATAAACTTTCCCAAACGTCTGGAACCCAAAGACTTTAGCCGCATAATCCGAAACAGCAGTATAATAAAATGGTCGATATAAAACGAAAAGAATAATATTACCCGCTGCAGCGGGTATGGAGTGGGGTATGCAACCTAGTATCCCGATAACGGTTGCCGTACTCACGAGAATGGAGAGGACGGTCCGGGTACGGAGATGATCGAGGAATGTACCGATAAACGGGATTGAGAGGAGACCACCGACTGGGAGGAGGATGTCGAAGAAGGTGTTTATCTTTTTGGAGAGCGGTGGAGAGAGGAGATAGCTGTATTGTGTGCGGAGGGTGGCGACGAAGTAGTTTATACGCAGCATCATTAAGATCGTAAACGCTGTGATTAAAATGAACCATGGTGTGCGTAGTTGGGCCAACGCTGTTTGGCCGTGGAGAACACCCCAGACACCGCTTGTACTTGTGTTTACTGGGGGTTGCGGGCTGGCAGGCTTTGAAGGAGAGGAGAGGTCGTTGTTATTCCCGTTGTTATTCCCGTTGTTGATACCATTGTTGGTGTGACGTGGTGGTTCACTGTGGGGATGGTCGCTGAAAACGGCATCGTCGATACCTGATGTGATTGAAGCGGTGTCGTCTAGCAGATCTTGGATGTGGTGCACGATGCTTTGTCGGCGGATACGTCTGTCGTTCCGTTGGCGCTCGCTTTCATTGCGATCGCGTATTGTATCATCAACTCGGTCATTGACCTCTTCCATGACTTGTACCTCGGCGTGGAGGACTAGCTCGCCAGCTGTTTTGTATGAGGTGGTGGGCATAATGGTGAGTTGGACCGCGATAATAAACACCGGGACGACAAGGTATACGAGGAAAAACTTCTGGACAGAGACATAGCCATCGGTATGCTCGCTCAGTAGCCGAAAGATCAAGAATAGAGCACTCGATGCATCAAATGCCCCGGTTAACATGGACAAAATGAGACCAGAGCGTTTGGGAAAGGTGTTCGATAGATGGAATGATGAGATGAATACGAATGGTCCTCCCAAGGAGAGGAGTAGATATCCCGGGATATATCCATCGAATGGGAGTTGTTCGGCACATCCGAAAATAATGGCACCGGCTGCCAAGCAGAAACTGCCGATGATCCCACTCACACGGGGGCCATATGCATCCAAGATTGTACCGACGGGTAGAGCAGAGACGTTTGTCGCGACGGCGGCAATGGTGAACATCAAGTTCATCCTGAGGGTATTAGTCTTGAGCTTTGGATAGATCACTCGAAGCACATACCGAATTTCCTGCCCGCTGCACACGTCGACATTATCCTCTAGTTCCTGTCGCGAGCAGAAATCGCGATACACTTTCTCACGAATGAGAACCGGCTTCAAGGCCGCGAAGCCGAATGCAATGCCGGCTGCAAGGAAGCAGTAGATCACTGCTATGCATACCTGGGCTAAATCACTGATGTTAGCCTTGATAAAAAACCACAGACCAAATAACTTGGGGGCGTGTACCAATTCGCTTTGCTGGGCTTACTTCAAACGCTCCGGTTGTCTCAGACCAACCCACCGGGTCCTTGGGTGTCGCCGCAGGACTTGCCGGCCGAAGCGGGTCCACGCGCGGAGTCTCCCGTGTCGTCGTGGGGGACAGACCCAGGGATCCAAGCAGTGAGGGACGATCATCGCGATCGTCAACGGTCTCATTCCAACCCGGGCCCGCATAAGGGTTAAAATTGATTCTGCTATACGTGGATGGGAATGAGGAGGACAAGGACGAGGTTTCTGGTAGGTCCTGGTAGCTGTCGGATTCGTCGTCCGACGTGTCATCCCGGCGGAAAGCTGGGTTGCGCTCCCATCCTTCTAGGAATGAGATTCGATTGAGCGACATGTTATATCATTGTGATTAAATTATCTGAGAGACTGGGGGGATAGCTCGGGATTAAGAGGAGGCTTGGAAAGTGATGTCAAAAGCGGCCTAAACTTGAATTGTAGGATCCCCCGCTCGTACATTATTAGCCGGGATGACCCACCCTTTGGCCCACCAATACCGTGGTGATCCCAGGCTCATACTCTCTTGGCCTATCTTATCTCTACGCTAGTGTTGTAATGCTTTCGACAAATCGAAACTCGCCGAGTCCTGGATCCTTGCATTAATTAGCTTATGCATGTTTGATGCTGGAGGAAGATGAGCTCAGGGAAGATGGGGAACAGGGCTGACAAACAGAACAAACAGATCAACGTTGCAAACAAACAGCAATGCAAACAGGGGTTGCATTCCATCTGACCTTATCTTAGACGACATTGCTGCATAATATCCAACACACATTCGAGCTCCATTCACATCAAGTCATGCGGTAAGATACTTACAAGGTCAATATTCCTGCCGCTGTGTCCCAGCTACAAAGCGACAAGCAGACTACTATCATTTGTGAGCGCTTTGATGCTGGGCCAACGTTGTTCATTCAAGGTGGAGTTCATGAACAAGAGTCGGGTTATGCAAGTGCCATTTTTTTCCACCATATTTTGCCGGACGACGTCATCCAGCTCATCAATATTCCTGCATCGCGTAAACATGGATTTGTGGAAATCAGCTTCGCGGGTCCGAGCACTTCCTCGGCCACCTCGGGATAAGCTTATGTATTAAGTCACGAGTATACATAGTACATCTCCGATAGCATCTACGCAGGGGCCGGGTGTGTCCGCCTTGGCTATTGAGACTCCACTTGCTTACGATCTTGGGTGGGTCTTCTGTGGACCATTGACCCGGATGACTGAAAAACAGAACCGGTCGAGTCCACCAGGGTCTTCTTCCAGAGATCACATTTCGAAGCAGATGACCTTCCTTTACAGTGTTCTGTTACTTGAACTTTAGGGAGTGCCTTTCGCCATGGGCCAGCGAGAAACATACTCATAGATGAACAATATATTGCCGCCGAGCTAGCTGGTATGGTCGAATATCCATGCAATCTTATCTTAACGAGGACCCAACAAAACTTTAGTAAAACGAGCAAAAGATTGCATACTTATATACAAACACGAGGTATCGTAGTAGCAAGCTCCTAGTTCAATTCCCATATATAGTCTATCACTTGTATTCACGCTGAAAAATCACTGGCTATTATGCTCTTCATCCTTATGGTCGGAAAGATTGGGCTTATTTCCGCCATTCTCTGTGAGCGCCGAGGTCAACCGTGCCCATTCTTACTTCTCTTATATGGTTCCGGGGCCTCTGCTTACTATTCTGTAGTAAGAAAGATGGGGAAGAATTGGGCGTGCCAACCTATGCCTAATCCCGACGGGTACCGTCATCCATTACCAGCTCACCTTGAGCAATATGGTCTGTCTGATTATAATCGTCTGTCAGAAACCCCCAATGAATGAGCTGACTCGCTATTAGCAACCGTTCTATACCACAAATGGTCAGCCCGGGGGCCTCAGATACTGAATGGTGTAGCAATCCTTGTATTTCAGCCGCAAACCGCAATGTATCAGGAATCTTTCTTGTCTTTTGCCCCTCTCTGACCCCAACCTTGGAAATGAATCTGACCACCCTTTTCCATATTAAAATGGAGACCTTCGGCCACAGCATTATCCCCTCATCATTGTTTCCAACTTTTCTTTCATCATGACTACCTCTAGCACGTCCTTTGATCCTCGCACCCAGCTAATTCCAAATTTGGTCGATCATTATGCTGACGCCAAACCTGATGCTATCTATGCCGAATACCCTGTCAACCCAATGAGTTACGATGAGGGGTACAAGGTCATTACTTACAAAACGCTCGCCAACGCCATAAACGGCATCGCGCACTGGTTGACGAAGAGCTTAGGCCCAGGTCATGGAGAGATACTGGCTTACCTGGGTCCGAATGACCTTCGATACCCAGCCTTGGTTCTGGGTGCTGTTAAAGCCGGTTACTGCGTATGAAATGCTGATTTGAGGTCTTTGAAGGAAACTAACGTTTCAATATCAACAACAGATGTTTTTAACCTCGCCCCGTAATAGTACAGAAGCACATCGTTCGCTACTGGGGAAACTAAATTGTACCACGTTGTTGGCCCCCGTACCACGCCCCCCTTTCGCGCAAGCTATCGTGGAGGCCATCCCGGGGCCGTTCAATGTCATGGGTGTTCCCAGCTTGGACGACCTTTTGACGACCGAGTACCCACCATTCGAGTACCACAAGGTATATCCTGATGATGCCTCCGATCGCCTTGTCGTGCTTCACACTTCCGGGTCTACAGGGACTCCCAAACCCATTATCTGGACCCTTGAGAGTGCGGTGAAGCATATGCATATGCAAAGATTAGACATCCCCGCGGGATATGAGGGCCAGGACAGGAAAGGGTTTGGGAAGAGAATGTATTTGACAATGCCTCCCTTTCATGTAAGCTTTATCAGTGACAATTATGATGACAGGCGCTAATTGTAGATATAGGCGGCTGGAATCGGCCATCTTCTCGTCGTTACGATGCCTGTCGATGTGACACTCATTATGCCGACCGCGACTGGCCTTCCTACTGCTGCTAACCTTGTGGCTGCGAGAAAACAGACGCCATTCGAATGGGCCATGGTCGTGCCATCGATTATACAGGAGCTGGCACAAGATGCTGAGGCTCTCGAATACAGTAGCACTCACCTGGAGTACGTTATCTACGCCGGGGGCGACCTGCCCCAAGCGATTGGAGATATAGTCGCGGCTAAGATACCACTGATGAACGGATTTGGTTCGTCAGAGCTTGGGATCCTCAATGTGATCCACTCACCAAACCGGGATCCCTTGACAGAGTGGCGGTATCTCCAATTTCACCCTGAGTTGGGAGTTGAGCACCGGCATATCTCTGGAGGTGAATATGAGGCGGTGTTGGTGCGTAGTCCGGAGCGCGAAGGTCATCAGTTTCCATTCTCTATCTTCGCTGATCGACAAGAATTTAGAACGAATGACCTGATGGTTCCTCATCCTACGAAGGCTGGCCTTTGGCGCCCTTCCTCTCGATTAGATGATATCATTGTCTTTCTCAATGGAGAAAAAACGAATCCTGTATCGATGGAACAGCATATTGTCGCCGCTAATTCTGAGGTTACTGGATGCCTTGTCGTTGGTGCCCAACGCTTCCAGGCTGCTCTCCTCGTGGAGCTGGATAGCAAGTCCCTTCGTGACGACTACGCTGCAATTGAGAAACTCTGGCCTAGCATAGAGGAGGCAAACATCCCGGCGCCCGCTCATGCCCGGATCGCCAAAAGCCATATTCTATTCACCTCGCCCGAGAAGCCCATGCTTCGTGCGGCCAAAGGAACCATACAACGCGCTAGTACGCTAAAAGTTTATGCGCGAGAGATCGAGAAAGTCTATACTGATGCAGACGAGTTCTCTCCGCTTGGTACGAGAGACCTACCCGGGCCAGGTGGGGTGGATGACGTTCCACAGGTGACGGAATTCATCAGGGAATCTATTCTCAAGATCACAGGGTGGAATGCGGAGAAGTTTTCTGACGGAGAGAATTGGTTTAATCTTGGCTTTGACTCTCTACAAGCTATTACAGCTACCCGTGTGCTGAAGCAGGGTCTCAACCTTCCGAATCTCACTCCAAATGTGATATACATGCATCCAACGATTACGGGTCTAACCCATGCGCTTCTCCATCAAGGCCACGGAGACCCGAGCGAGACTAAAAGTCAGGGTCTGATGCGTGAGCGGGATGAGCTGTTGCAGGAGTTTATTGGACAGATTGAAGCCCCTAACGTACATTGCTCTAAAGCAGTCAACACTCAGACCGTTATTTTGACCGGATCCACCGGGCAGCTGGGTACATATCTCCTCGATACACTGTTGAAGACCCCCAGTGTGAAGCATGTATACTGCTTGAATCGTGCCGACCGCGCTCGCGACCGACAGCAGGAACGTGTGGCTACCTACGGACTGGACTCCGTGATTGAAGGACGGGTAACATTCTGGCAAGCGGATCTCAGCCAGGCAGGCTTCGGGTTGCAACCCGAACAGCTCAAACAGCTAAAGCAGACAGCGAGGCTAGTAATACACAATGCCTGGGCGGTCAACTTCAACTTATCGCTAGCTTCATTCAAACCACAACTGGCAGGCGTGGTCAATCTCATCAATTTCACCGGCCAAGCTAGCCATGCTCCGCGGCTATTCTTTATTTCCTCGATCAGCTCCACCATGGGCTACGGCGGCATCAATGATGGCCTCATGCCTGAAACAGTCATCAAAACCACAATACCAGCTCCGAACGGCTACGCCAACAGTAAGTATATAGCGGAGCATCTGCTAGCACACGCAGCACAACAAGGCTACAACCCTGCCTTCGCCCGCGTAGGTCAGGTTGCAGGACCGATACGTTCTCATGGACTATGGAGCAAATCAGAGTGGTTCCCCAGTCTAGTGCTCAGTTCGTTGCACCTGAGCGCTCTCCCAGAAACTATAGGTCAAGCTCTAGACCGTGTCGACTGGGTGCCCGTCGACCTTCTCGCTGAGATCCTAGTCGACTTATCCCTTCTCCAAAGCCCGGGAGTCAGCGTCTACCACCCGATAAACCTACACCCGCAATCCTGGAAGGATATCCGCCCTGTGATCGCAGACGCCCTTCAGGTTTTAGGAAAAAATACGGAGATCATCCCATTGCAAGAATGGATCCTCCGTGTCCGACAGGACATCGAGCTTGTTAGCCAGGATAAGGAAAAGTTGCGAATTCAGCTTGCGAAGAACCCGGCTGCTAAGCTCTTAGACTTTTTCGAGGATGTGATGCACCAGACGGAGGCTGAGAATGGGTTGGATGCGAAGGAGACTGCGCTGATGAGTCAGAAGTTACAGATGGTGGACGCTGTGAAAGCGGAATGGATTCAAAAATGGGTGAAGGAGTGGGTGCAATAGTCATATCCATGTGTAATGTGATTTTTGGAGATAAAGCCTTGCTTGTCATGTATAATGTAAGCAAAGGGTCAGTTGGAGAAATGGCTGCCTGAGTAAACTGGCAGCCACAAGCCAAACGCCCTCTTATCTCGGGATTCGGCTGATGTGCTCGAAAAGGCAGGTGAAACATTCGGCATCTGTCCTCCCCACACAAATCATACGGGCGAACGCATCTACTCAGGCTAAAGCTCCGTCAACACGGGAGTTAAAAGATCCCAATTAACTCTATTCTTGGACTCCGGAGACTGCGGGCGACAGAACAAATCACAGCATCGGCATCCAGCGTGGGGGTCTCGGGCTTCATCTCTCCTCACGATCGACAGGGTTCGACGGGTCCGGAGTACGCCATCCACGGGTCCACGAAATTACGAGTGCGAGCGGATGCTTCCGACACCTTGACTGGTGCGTGCTTCTCCACTGTGCGGGATTTGTTCGGTCGATCCGGCATCACCGGCCCAATGACTATGTGGTTTGTAATGAGGTAGGTTTGAAGAGTGGTGAAGGCACCGCCACAAGAGTCGTCTTGTGTGCGTTGTTTTGGGGGTTCTTTTTTGTTGATATTGTCATCCAATGTTTTGCCACGCGTAATACTAAATGAGGCCGGTCGGTGAAGCTCGTAGTGGATTGTCAGGACACTAGTGTCCCCTTTGCACTAGTGTCTGAAGCTTGACTATTCCTGATTTCCAGTCTCTTCATGCTCAAGTAGTTGATTCGGATTCGGGACATGAAAATCTCCGCCGGTTATATCAGGGAGGGATGGGGATTGGTTGAGCCAATCACGTAAACTGCGCAAATCCTTTCAAGCCCGTATATCCATAATTTCGGGGAGATTAAAAGAAAAAAAAACCGGGGCCTCGATCAACTGTTATGCATGTCATTTCCTGCCTAGGCAACTCATTGTCTAGATCCTCCATCGCTTGTTATTGCCTTCCCGATACAAGCCGGCCAGAACATATCCTCTTCAACCGGCAACGATCCGTCTCAAGGGGAATAAAACTTTGTTTATGCCCTAGTCACTGGTGGTGGGGATTAATATCCAACCAGATTGGCAAAACATGAACACATCGGGTGGGGGGCGTTGCACTGACGCTGGCCACGTTGGCCTTTAACTACAATTAACTCCACTTAATCTCCAATTCGAAAGTTACTTGTTTTACCCCAATATCCACCCAACCAATACGCAATTCAACATTGGACTGCAATATATACTTGGCGTACAAGCTACATGCAAGCGCGACCCGGGATGCCGAATCTGTTTTTCCTTCTAGAATCCTTCCTTGTTCGATCATTATTTTGACCCCTGCGTAATGAGGGGATGGTCAGTATCTCATGTCAAGACGTGAAAAAACTCTTTGAGCTAACTGAAATCTCTAGCCTCACGTGTCGTCTGCGCCATCTGAAATGTGTGTCTGCCCCGAGGCTGTTCCCCAGGGGGATCCACTGACCTCCCCTAGGTGATAAAACCGCAACAAAATGCCTGCGCTGTCAACGATCCGGCCGCGAATGTATTCCAGCCCCGGGAAAGTCAGAGGAAGTCTCTTTCCGGCATGGTCAAAATCCTTCTCTAAGAGGAAAGGGGCCCCCGAGGTACGGTGAGAGCGACCTCGCCTTCCCGAATGACCAGGTCTGGGTTGAAACCTCGTCTGAGTGTAAGTGGCGGTCAAGCCCCTAGAATCATCCCATCCAAGAGATGAAACCAGACTAACATCCCCAGACTCCTTCAAGGATGAAACCGATCAGACAGCTGCGGAGTATTTCGTGGTCCCCGTCATCGGGCACCCGTCCATCTCCCGCTCGTCCTCGGAAGCGCGTTCAACGCCTTCATCCGTGGACCCCATGTCTGGACCTAGCACCGTTGTCTTACCTTATCTAACAGAGTCGCAAACCATTTCGCGCTCTGCGTCTGAACATTCACAACTAACCCCGACCGGCCAACCGCGTCTGGAAAATGTGAATGAGGCCTATCTCCTCCGACATTTCCAGCGACATCTAGCAGACTGGGTGCGTTCGCTACTCTCTTATCGCACGTTCAAGTTCATGGCTAAACCTCCGTACAGCTCGATGCTGGTGATCCCGAGCGCCATTTCTCAGCCGATGTCGCTAGACGTGCGACCCAATCTCCCCTTCTACTGTATGCATGTATAGCCGTAGCGGCCTGTCACCTATCACGAACAGCGCATACCGTCTCCCCCGAGGTAGCGGATAATTATCACGAGCGCTGCGTCTCCATTATGCTTCCCGTCCTCGATAAACCGGAATCCGATATCGGGATCGATATCCTTCTCAGTTCGACTGTTATCCTCCGCTTTTTTGAACAAATCTCCTGTTAGTCGAACCCATCCCCTGAATGACAAGCAATACTAACCGTATAGCCCACACCCCGTCCAACGACCCTCAACGCCACCTCCTAGCAGGTTCAGTCTACATTAGCTCCCACGTTGACTGCGCAATAAGCGGGAGTCTCGCATCAGCTTCATTCTGGGTCTTTGTAATCCAAGATATCCAATTCGCACTCACATACCAGAAATGTCTCAGATTAACCTTCGCACCATTCGATGACCGGCTACGTAAATGGTGGGTGTCGAAACCGATTCTCAGTGATGGAGACTGGGTTAATCGGGCTATCTGGCTACTTGCGGAGACGATTGATTTCTGTTATAATGTTTCTGGGCGTAATTTTGGGGGCAGACTTGGTGTTGCGGGGGAGCTTGCGCTGAAGGAGAGGATTAGGGAGTGGGAGCTTGAGAGGTCTGAGGCTTTTACGCCACTACATGTTTCGCCTCCCGATCCTGCGAGAGGAAAACCGTTCCCGGTTGTTTGGTATACCAGTTTGGTTCACTGTGAGTGATATCGCTTCCTCGAGAGTTGGGTATTGGTGGAAATTGTGTGGCGTGCTAATGGTGGATTTAGCTACCGCGATGCAGCATGTTTGTCTTGCCAAAGCGCTTATGTTGATTCGGGAATACGAGCTTCAGGATGCCATGTCATCTAGGGAGGATCGGGTGCAACTAAAGGTAAGGAACATTATCTGCGTTGAAAGAATTTCTATCTAATGCAGGTTTAACAGGAACAAATCTCAGAAAACCTGGACTATCTGTTCGGCATTGCCCTCTCCGCTGACGATGAACCATCCTTACGAATCATGGCGTGCCATGCTCTATGTGCCTGTACGTCATTTCTTCCCTCCCTGGTCCCGCACTACATTAGCTTACTCTGAATTTTTTAAAGGCAGCGCATGGATCGATGACCCCGTCGCCCAAAACTTATTATTTGATCTCCTTCGTCGGACGGAACGCGAAAATGGATGGCCGTGGGCTTATGTTGAGCAACGGATTTTGCACACGTGGCAAGGGGGCTCACGGTGACAGTTGGAGTCAAGAAGCCTGTTTATCTGATGTTATATACCCACTTGCATATTACTTTCTGCGATGAATGTTTCGCGATGTCGCGAATATACAATCTACAGTCCTCATTTTACTGCCACTTGAAAAGTAAGCGTATTTAATGGAGTAATGGAAGCACATAAAGGTTACGTATGGTCATTTCTCGACTTCGTATTTAGACATTATGTCATGAATATGTATATTCTCTAGGTGAATGTGAGAAGAAAACTCGTAAAACTCCAATAAAACTACAAACCTCCCAGGCCAATACATTATACCATTAAAGCTGGAAGTTCCCATCAAAGGCAAACGGAAACGACAACAGCCCTCCATCCATCATATTTCCCAGTATAGCCAGACTCGGATCAAAAGCTGCCTCTGCCGGCAACTCAGACATTCCCATCGGCTGTGAAATGGGCATATCCCCTACACCTGACATTTGGGGATATTGGATCGTCGCAGGCATCCCGTATGGTTGTGATTGATTTGGCGTGAATGATTGATAGAATGATCTATCTCCCATGCCTGAGTCGTTGGACACTGTGGACATTTGGGGTGTGACGGGCGCTGGTGACCAGTTTGTGGACGCTTCTACTGCTCCAAAGCTCGTCGCTGGGGTCGTGGCGTTGCGGGCCATGTCCTGATTTAGATTCGAGGGTGAGTATATGGATCCTTGATTGGAATTCGATTGATGTCTGTGATTGCCGGACCGTTGGTCGCCCATGGCTAGATCGCTGAGGACGTGCAACGGGGTGTTATCATGTCTCATCTGCTTCCATGTTAATCGAGGCACTGGTTTGAGGGGATTGAGTTTGGGGGTATGTACGGGTTGCTTATCCCTCGGATTATGCATTTCAGCGCCAAAAATTTCCCGAAGCTCCGTACCATTCTCTCTCTTTTTTGAGGAACCAATTTCGCAGCATCATGATGATATTTCCGAATTTACCTGCCACCCTGCCGCCATCGAGGGCCGCTGCGGCCCGGTAGTGGGCGATGATCCGGTTGAGATAGTATTCCACCTTGAGGCTCTGAGTGTCGATCACCTGGCCAATCCGTGAACCGGGGGCCGTGATAAGTGAGTAAATTTTGATTAGACTGACGACTGGGTATGCCGTTCGAGCCAATGCTAATGTCGTCAGATTTTTGATTTTTTCCACGTCAACAGCGAGGATTGTGTCAAATGAGCTATGGATAGAGTTGAGGCACGATGTAAGAGCTTCAATAACTGGTGCCATAGTTGTGCCAGGCAGGGCATCATCTGGAGAGCAGGGGTAGATACTTTCCCTACAGTCAACTCCCATAGCGCTTTCGTGCACGAAAAGGTCGAGTGCATGATACGTGTGGGCCAATGTCGCTAGAGAAGTCAGAGAGATTTTTCGAAGCACAGGTATGGACTTACGGGTCCAGATGTCTTCTGGGATATCGTTGCGGAACTGGGCAAGTTGATTCGCAAATGCCTTGATAGTGTACCGCACTTTGCTGTCTGCAAACGACACAATTGACTGCGTGTCATCCGTGGTAAGTTGCAAGCCTGCTTGTTCCATAATCCATCCTAATTTCGCCCACCAGATAACTTTGCGATCAGACGCTAGAGCCTCAGGGTGGTTTTCCAATATCTGCAGAGACTCATCCATGTACGGCTGCCATCGTACAATCTGGATCCGCCTCAAAGCAATTGCTGCCTGTATTGCTAGGAGGTAGCAGCCCACCCATGTTCGTCTTGCTTCAGGGTTTTCCAGGTCGGTAGTGGGTGCTGTTTTTCTTTTAATGACAATCTCTCGGATACGCACGATTTTCAAATCGCCATTGGATCTCCGATTCAAGCCTAGCTCCATGCCCACCACAACGGCCATATGGATTAATTGGTAGAATTTGAGTTCCTCCAGGTTGTCGGGTGTCATATACCAGATCGAAACAACAAGCAGAGCTTGAACGATCTCAAGACTCTTGTGGCCCTTGATGACAACTTCTTCCGCAATCAATCGATAAGATTCATTAATCAGGGGCATTTGGAGGTCTTTTAGGATAGCTCCCATTGCGACACCGAGAATGGCCAGAAAAAGCGTCGGTTTCTCGCGGCGTACCTTGCCCATTGTCGTGCCTGGGGGAAACACCACAAAGGGCATCTCGTCTCCCATCTCGATGACATAATGATCGAAAGCAGCCTGGGCAGTATTGATATCAAGCATGCCTCTGTCGATCACATCCACAAACTCATTCCCAGGATCAGGTTTCGGCCCAGGCGGTGTTTCCCGAGTCAACGGAACCCGCCAGTGCTTAGCAGGCTGTTTTGGTATTTGTTCTGCAGACGGACTATTAGGACGGGGATACTGGGAGACCAAAAAGCCATCATGACGTCGCTTTTTCCCTGCCACATTCTGGTCCTCGCGCGATAGCCTAGAAGACTGCTCTCGGTTCTGCTGCGAATGGATCTGCGGTGCGCCTGTGCCTGCACCCACTGCAAGCTGGGATTGGTGCGACGCTTGGAGCGTAGCAGTCAAAGCATCAATCTTACGCTCCAGCTCCGTCACCCGACTATCCGTCTTCTTCTGGCGCTTGCGTGTCGGTGCTGTAACGATACATTGCCGCCGTGCTTTAGCGCACCGTTTACAAGCGCCATCTGGGTCCGACGGATTTGGATCGCACCGGACTTTCAGTTGGCGACAGGGTTCACAGGCTCGAGGTCGCTTTATCTCTTCCACTGGATGGTCTTCTGGTTCTGTGGAACGTGCCTCTTCATGATGCAACCCTGTTCCAAAGGCCCGTGCTCCATGCGACTCGGATAAATGCGATGGTGGCTCAGGATAGTTGGCCATGGTATAGTTCGCGGGAGTCGGTCGCTGAGATCTCCGTGATTCAGGAGTTTTTGCGGGGCCGACCGCTGGATCAGTGATTTGATAATGGACCACTTCTTGCCACGGGACTTTCAGCTTTGAAACCCACAGTTTGGTTTTGGTTATGATTGGGTAGCGAGTGTTATCCGTGGCAGGACCCTTGCAGTGTCTGGGGTGACGTGACCCTGGACTAGTGTTGGTTCTTTTTGCCTCGTGGGAATAAGATCACGGCGAAGATAAGCTCCGACTTCCGACCCGGGGGGCTCGCACTGCTCTCTCACTGGCTGTACAGGGTGATGCAGTCGGGACTAGAATTCATAACCGTCCTAATCATGCACTAGCCCTTCTAGAAGAAAGATTCAGTGAGACGTGGATGGACCGGGCCTTCTAGATGGAGGAACAGGTCTGAGAGCTTCATGGCTTTCATGCTTTCACCGAGAGAGCCGTCGGCTGCACGTGACCGCCTAGACCTCATTTCTACTGGACAAAGATGCGTTTGGCCTATTTCTAGATCAAGATGGTCCTATGCGAAATATAAAGACATATCATCTTGGAAAGCTATATCTAGTCTTTAAATGAAATTAAATAGGGCAGAGAACAAAACTATCGCATTATGCGGGGATATCAATACAGAAATACAGCAAACAAATAAGCATAAGATGGAGCCCCAGCCACTATGCCACCTTGTGCACTGGGCACTCCATCTTGTGCACGAACCAGTCCAGAATGCAGTGCTTATGGAACTTGCATAAGCACTCCAAGCGGACCAACAAATCTCCACCCTCGTAGTCCACCATACAGATGGTGCACTCGGCGGGACCTCCATCCTCGCCGATGCAATCCTTCTCCGTGGCGGTGAACTCCAGCATTCGAGACACTGGTGGCGGAGGCGGAGGCGGTGCCGGGCCCCGGCGCGCGGAGAAAACGGGTTGCGCTGCAGCCGGGGCACCGTAATTGTCGATGCACTGCCGAATGTGCGCCTCGCGTGCCTCTATCGGCTGCTCTTGGCTGATGGCAGGGAATCTTCGCCCGCAGATAGGACATAGATCCTGCTCGCATGGAGCCGAGCGCTGATGGGAGGTGGTCAGATCGAGGGGAGATTCGTAGTCGGCCTCTTCCTCGCGGAGGCTCCGCCGCCCATTGTTACCCATAGCCCGCAGGAACTCAGGACTGTAGTGCCGGGGAGCTTGTCGGTTCGCGGAGCTCTCATCCTGTATATTGTCAGATGGAAGAGATGCGTCGTTTTACATAAGTTGATCACTTACCGAATCGCTAGAGAAGCGGTTGCCCATACCGGATGGCAAAGAATGGGAAGGGCGATGGCCTCGCGTCCGCCCATAACCCAGTGGGTTGGGGTTCGGATCTGGTACGCATGGATTGCAGAGGCGCACTTCTTCTCCGCCACCGAGAGCAGGATTAAGGGTCGATGGTAATTCAATTGGATCCTCTTCGGTCAGATCAACGATTTGACGCGGTGGCGTGGGAGAGTGTTCATAGATGTGCGAGGACTCAGGCGGGCGGACAATATACTGCCTGGGGATGGTGATTCGGTGAGGGGAGCAAGAGGCACAAACAACCCGACCACACTTCCTGCAGTGATGTTTTCGATACCAAAAGCTAAACACCACCCCACAGATTGGGCAATTCGTCACCTCCGCATCGGGCTGCCATCGCGGCAAACTCGTCTCCATTTCTCCTTCTTCCTGGGAAGCTCTGAGAGCCTCTGTTAGAGTCTGTGTGTCCGATGATCCAGATAGGAAAGCCCGCAAAGTCCTTTCATCGGTCCCTGATGATTGCCAACCACTTCCCGAGTGACGTTCACGCCTGGGATTCCTGATTGCTTCGGACTGCCCTCGCGGCCTGCCTGACTGGGGATATTGTGGGTATGGATCTAATATACTACCCCGCAAACTGGACGAATTGTGCCTACGTGGAGGATGGATCGCCGACGAAGTGGACGGAGGGAGCGCGCCAGACCCAGAGTCTGATTCCCAAAGTATGCGTGTATCAGACCGGCCTTGGCCACTGCCTCGAGAGCTTGCTGACTCTGTTATAGAAGGCGAATCAGCGTTTCGGCGGCTGGCAGATGGACCAGCATCTGGAGGCGAGGAGGTGATATCAATGGCTGTTGCATATGTTGACCCTGGGCCATTCAAACCGTACTTTCCCCTTGTTGGAATGACCATGGAGACTGATCGCTGAGGTAACAAGGATTGGGTGTTCAAGTTCGCCAAGTCTCCGGAGCGTGCGCGTTGCAATCGATCGTGGTTGCTTGAGCTGGTCAAGCGTCTTTTGCGGTCTCTGGCTGGGTGGCTCGGTAGTACTTGCCGTCCGAAGCTCGAACTATTCTGTGCTGCTGTTGTTTCTTCTTGGTTCGCCGATCCAGCGGAGATATATTGATGTGTAACAGACACTTCGAGATCATCTCTATCCTCATTTCCTCCGTCATTTCCAGCCAGTCTTATGTTGCTTTCTGTCATCATATCTGGGTCACCAGCAACATCACTTTGTGCCCTTAGTCCAGTCTCCCTGGCCCTCGGTTGATCGTCACGTTCGTGGCTGCTCGATACATGTACTGGGTTGCCGTAGTGTCCAGCATCCAAGCCATCGTCTGCGTTCCACCTGCAATCGATATCTTGGCCACCAGGGCTAGTTGCAGGCGGGCTCGACGATGCAGTGCTGGGAGCGGACATTCCGTTTTTTATCAAATCGTCTAGACTCTCGTAGTCTTCCAGCTAAGAACAAGTCTCGGTCAATATATACCATCTACCGACGTCGTATGATGGACTGGTGGAACACTGAGATATCAACAAGCCTCTGATTGCCTTCGTCGATTCTGCCTGTATATCAAGGGTCCTCAAATCCAGTGGACCGTGATCACAGCAGGTGCTGGACCATGGCGATTTAATATGGACCAGAGCTTCGGAGTCAAGGTGATTTGAGGTCTCGTGACACCCAAATGTGATTAATATGTGCGTTGAGGAAATGTTATCAAGAACCCAAGTATTTCAGAGCGAAAAATATGTCTTGCCCGCAGCACACCAGCTCAGGGGGGGACTTTGGTGGCGTCGACAAGCAAGGAGAGCCGTGGATGCAAGAAAGATGAAGCCCAAATAACGGGGTCGCCTTATCGGTGGGTCGGGGCGGTCGGGGCGGCAGAATTGGTCCGCTTATCTCGGCTACGTCAGTCACTCCTCGACTACTGTATATGGTTTGGCCTTGAAATTATTCACACATTGCTCATGTCCGTCAAAAAAACCTCGTTTAGCAGGGCTTATTATATGGACCAGTCCATGAATATGGAAAGTTTATAAGTAGTCCGGCAAAATCACCGCTTTGAACCATGATCCAATCGGCTGCCTGGAACTATACATATCCATATCTCTACGTAGCACTTTGTCAACAGGAATGTGCCCTAACCAGTAAGTAGCTAAGTATGTATATTTGTACATATGTACTCGGTAACATTACTGTAATGAGGCCTCGATTTTAAGGACCCTGGGAGTAGGATAGCCAAACACTACTCCTTGCCTAATACTTTTGGTGAGGTGTCCACTTCAACGGGCCATTTTAGGGTGTTCAAATATCACACTCTATCGGTCTACTACCTAGGTATGAGGACAAAGCTAACTCAAGCAATTGACAGATAGGTCCTTGGAAATTTAACGAGACTATCCCCCAGTACCAAAAAAACCACTTTGTATAGTGTGGAAAATAAGTACAGACACCAGGGTAGGCATCAATTAAAGCTAGCCAGAATTATTAGGTTTGCATGCTCAATTCAGTTCAGTGACACCCATATTTGAAACGAACGCCTGAGAGCAAATTTGGACAGCGAATGCAATAGCAAAGAAAAGACAAGAAGGATGGCAATAAGAAGCTATTAGGAAATTCGTCACTGTGGCATCAATATGATCTGGAATTTGAGACAATCAATACAGTGAATGAATGATGGAGTAGATAAACGGTGAAGTAGAAGTGGATAAGATGGCGAGGAAATATAGTGGGGTAGAAGGGATGATTTTTGGCTTTACGCCCAGGGCACGGCCTCATTTTTCATTGTGTAGATGCTCGTCGACTAGCTCGGCTTGGCTGCCAGCGAAGGATGGCTCGTCGGGGCTTGCTTGGTGGATGTTATCTTGTGTGCGATGTTGAGCGACGTAGCCCATACTTGAGGGTCGGTCGGTACGTACTCCGTCGCGACCAGTTCTGTGGCTGGAAGTCATGGAGGCAGATGTAGATGCAACGGAGAGGCCCCGGTCCCGGGAAGGCGAGCTGCTGCCACTAAAGGGTAAACGTCCTGTAGTCGGGGACTCGGGTCGCAGATGGTCGGAGTCGGGAGCCTCTGTGCTGGTTCTGGATTGAGAGGCCTCAGTCACTGCAGGTAGAGCCCCTGACAAATCTTCCCCGCCTTGTTCCGATGCGGCCCTGGAGCGACGGGATCCAGATCGACTGGCTAGCTCGATGCCGCCAACAGAGTTCTCCGGGTCTTGCCCATCTCCCGACTTTTTGGCTTCGTGGTCACCTTCAGAATCGCGATATGGCCCCTCGCCTAAGTATACTTCGCGCGAGTGACCACCAGCCTCTTGATCCTCAGGATCGTCGTGGTAGGGCTGCTCATTATAATCGCCTTCCGGGAAAAGGCCGGGTGGAGGCGCTCGAGCACTTCGGACAACCTCGAAACCCTTGCCTTTATCCTTGGTCTTGCCTTGAAACATATTGCGGAACCATCCCGTAGCCGATGAGACAGGACCAGTGGGATCTGCTGGGCCAGTCTTCAACTTGCGAGTACCGGTATGAGAGAGTGGCGGACCACGAACACGATAATAAAAGTCAACTTCACGAACAGCATAGTCCTTCTGCTGCCGGGTTTCATCCATCTCCATGTCATCTTTGGGGGCAGGTAGATACGCAGGCACTGGCGTGTTTCGACCTGAGTCATCTGCAATGTCTTCTTCGGTGCCGACCCGACTTGGCTTCATGAAGCTTCTGGAACTTCGCTTACTCCTATCTCCAGTACCAGGCTGAGGTGTATGTCGGCCAGGTCTAGGAGGCCGGTAGTATGGATCCCGCGGAGATGAAGCGATGAAAGTGCTACTGCTTGGTGAGCTAGCAGTGAAACCGCCAGCTCCAGTATAGGCAGTAGGAGATTGTGCCATCAGGTTTGCACTTGCGGCACGGCTGTGTCCACCATGGGAGCTAGCATAATCTAAGATTGCACTGGCGCGGCCCTCACTTGCTGTTGCACGATTCAACAGTAGAGCCGAGCTTCCTGATAGACTGCGGGCACGTGATCCTTCAAACTGAGATGACATGCGTTCGTCAACATTGGCCAGCATAGCCGCTTCAGATCCCAAGCTCTGTCGTGTGATATCACGCCGTGGAACGCGCCTCGACAGTTGACGCTTCCCGAAAACCTTCACTAGGCCACCACGAGTGGCACCACCAGCACCAGCAAGTCGGGCCAGAACCTCGATCAAGGTCTGCAGAGCGCTGAGGAAGAATCCAAATATTAGGACCACTGCGTGCAGGACAAGAATCACATAGCCGATCCAGCCGCGTGCTGCTTGGCTAATGGTAAGGGACGGCACCAAAATCACCATGAGAATGATGGTAAGGAACCGTATAAATGAAAATAGGCAATGATAAAGATTCATGTGAGTCGGTCCAGGAAAAGGTCGGAACGCGATTATCGTAAGCACTGAAACAACTTCGCAGATAGCTAGCAGTACAACCTGCGCAATGCCCGACGGTTGCAAGGCGCCAATGGCCACACCCCGGGCAAAGTTGAGAAAGATCGGAACCATGGCAAAGGCTGCTGCATCATCACAATACGTGTTGTAGAGCGGTCCGTATAACAAAACTGTGGGAAGGTCGTCAAACAGATGGGACTTGGGCCGGGTGGACACAATAACCCGAACAAACCAGATCGAGAAGCAGATCAGAACAATAATCACTATAGCAGCCAATGCAACGCTCTGAGCAGGGGATCCCTGTGCCGTGACGAGCTGGAAAAATGATAGCGAGATGATGGGGAGAAGAAAGTAGTTGAAAACGATACGGATGATGTTGCCCACCGTGAATGGCATGTTCTTGGCGCGCAGATCCTGTTCGGAGCTATGTGCCAGCTCACGGTGCACCCAGCGCATAGTAAAGCCCAGTTGGATAAGAATGATAATGATTCCCAAGACCACAAGAAGCCAAATGATCATACCTGGCCAGATATCCTGCTCGGAGGTCATCCCAACCAGCTGCCTCATCCGATCCAGGCCATATGTGCCATTGATCGCATATACACCGTCCACAACTGGGTTGTAGCCCCCGGAATTGACAAAGCTCTGGTTGAACATGAGGACAGACCAAGACCCATGGCTCACAGCTGGCTGGAAGAAGCCTGGATAATCCAAAGACAGGGAACCTGTCAGCACCACAAATTGAAGGTACTGCAGGCAATCTGCAAAACCAGGCGTGACAAGGCGCAGGACGTCCTCATCACGGCCGTAGTTACTGGTCCAACGGAAGATATCCGTCGTGCCCCATGGTGTGTACACGGACGCGGTGACCGTGCCAATCGCAATGAGAATCAAAATAGCCAATGGCACATATGCCAATGCGTTTTTCAGCAACGAGCCAAAGTCTGGCGTGATCGGCACGGTTATACAGCCGAGCATATCCGCATCGGCATCTCCGGAGCGAATAACAAAACTTGGCGTGATCGTAGAGAATCGGTATGTGGAGAGCATATCATGCTTGACGGAAAATGCGCGCAGAGTTCGTGGGTCGCTCCTAGAGTGGGAACCTGTTAGCCTCGATTCAAATTCCGACGGTGGAGCATGAGCTTACAGATTGTAGTGGAAGACCGGTCCCAGCGGGCACTCGCCCTGAACCAGGGACTTGCAAAATCTGGAGGCATTGGTAAAGGAAGAGAAGCTCAGGACATCAAAGTTTGTCAAAAGCGTGCTGTACTTGTCATTCGAGGTATCCAGGTCCACAATTTTGCCCTCAGTCACATTGGGATTATTCCAGGAGGCATCATCCTCGGAGGGATAATCCGTCGTTTGGTCCGCCGTGCCCGATACGTTTCCATATACCGTCACATTCAACGGATGCAGAGGATCGTTCAGGTTGAACCAGACGCCGACATCGAGCGGGACGTATTGCAGGGTTAGTGGGTTGGAATCGAGGATCGTCTTGCTTAAACAGTTATCGAAACTGAGAGACGCGGCGGCGGCGGGTGAGGCCAACGAGATCAGGCACAGCACCACTATCCACCAGCCGGAGCTCCATGCGTACGCGTCTCGCCGCCTCCGTTTGGAAGTGTCTCTCCATTGTCGGCCCTGGGCGACCGACAAACCACCGCGTCGCTCGCATTTGGTTGCATGCGGACCGTCTAAATGAACCGCATCATGCCGGTGATGCGTCGAATCGTGACACATCTCGAGTGTCTCGGACATTCGGGATGACCTCCTAGGGGAGGTCAGCCCCCGTTGGTGATCGAATCCACGTTGTGTTGACAATCGGAAGGGTGGAAGGGGTTTCGCCCGGTATTTTTTTCCTGGTTGCACTCCACCTTCTTTCTCGCTCACACACGCGTTCCGACCCGAGAATTCGAGGAGGATAAAAATTCGTGGAGATCCAGGTGAGTTGGGAAAAGATTGAGATGGATGGAGCCTGGACTCGGGTTTATTGGAGAAAGAGGGGAATTCGGGGCGGGAAGAGAGTGAGGTACGTAAGTCGGCAACCCCTAGGTTCGCGGCAATAAGCCGGAGTAAAAAAGAGATACTGCAGTAGACGAATAACGAAGGATTTGGGGGAGTAGGCTTTTCAGGCCGGCGAAAATGTTTCAAGGCAGAAAAAAGAAAAGAAAAAACCACCGAAAAACACTTGTTGCTGCGCCTTCGCGGTGGAGTTGGCTGACTACACGACTATTTACTCGTACATTTTTTTTCATTATTGATTTTCACCTTAATTCTGGAGTATTCTTGGGCCGATCCGGATGTGGTAACCGGTACTAGGCGCGCCGCTTTATTTTTAATTTTTATTATATAGATAGAAACTACAGCCTTGCATCCCTCGCGTCCCATAATGTGGCTCACATCAGGCCGTCAGTCGTTCCTCACCCTCCCACAGAAGCACAACATGAAGATTCCTGACGTCCAAGAAACCGGTTCCAGTCCATCTCTCTGTTATGCGCTTCTGTGTCTCACCTGTCGATAGTGCTGATCCGTTCCCACACGATCTTCAAACTTCTTTTTTTTTCGCGCTTGTGTTTCTGCTGCCGATCAACAGTCTGTGTAGGGTCGGCTGTTGATGAGACATAGTCCCGACGATGGCTTCATTTTTAGCCCAGGAATAGGGTCCATGTGGGTACGTATCTGCGCATGGTCACTGGTAGTGTCTCAGTCAGTCTATAGGGGGCTAGTGAGGATCGTATTGTGGCTGAACAGGGGCTTGCTGCACCAATGGCATGTGGTTTGCCTAGTTGACGGACAGCTACACCGGTCCCTGCAAGTTATCCCGGCAATAGTCGGCACAGGCATCCCGGGATGAGGAGCAATGGATCAATTCGATCATATTATTACCCAATCAAACACCAACCTTAAAATCGTATAGGTCATAGGGAGCTCAGACTCGGAGCACAGGGTTAGCCTTGAGATATGTCTCACTTTCATTGAGTCTATCAGCTCCGGCAGATGCGGACCATAACCTCGGATCATACCCATACTTCCCCGGGAATTGAAATACTGGTTCAATTCGTGGCTTGTATGATCGCTTATTACCTTTCTCAGCGAACACTCATAAAGTTAAACCGGGGTGTTTCGGATAGGGCAGTTGTCATTATTTCTTGCACACTCTGCTGGAGAGAATCATACCACGGGCCAAGGAATAAGTGATCATACTCCGAGCAGGTGCAGCTATGGTGTTCGTTGAGTCAGTGTCGACTAACGTGTCAATGGCAGCATGAGTGATGTCAACAATTCCACCCCCGTCATAGTGAATATAAGATGGCCATGCAGGAATCATCTGGAATCCTCGGCCAATGAAACATCAAACGTCCTGTGTTCATAAGCTCCAATCACCAATCCGGAATGAATCAATCAGCATGAGAAACAACTGGAAAAGGAAGAAACTTGCCCAGGTGGATGACATCACGTGGACCATAACTGAAGAGCGCTACAATTGAACACCACATTATCGACATCAGGCAAGGTACAGTGCTCGAGGTTCAAAATAGTATTATTATCGAATACATACCCGGGTACTTACTCGGTCACACGACTCCGTAGACCACCCTGGAAGGTGATTCTAGTGACACTCAAGAACATGTTGCCAATGTCTATCTTAGTTTCAAAAGTGATGTGTATGTTCTTTAGTAGTTGAGATACCAATTTGTTTTAATTGCAACGTTGAGATGGGGTAGTGAGGGTGTTCCACTAATGCGTGGTATTCAATTGAAAGGTTCCATCAATGACTTACTTGCTGGTACCTAGACCGATTCTGCCCTGTGGATTCCTAGTTTCTTTCCTCCTTCTCGCAATAAATAACCGCTCAAGCACAGCACACATTTATACCCATGAAGTATGGGTGCCGTCTCAGCGACCGCAATAACTGCTGTGCACTTCCGGGCCAGACTATTCGAGTCCAAGCTCTATGTTTGACTCCTGGATGCTCGGCTCGGCGGGAAAGTTGGACCGATTGGAGATCTTTATTTCTGATAGCGCTCGGTTTCGAGGATCAGCGGCGCTTTATATCTTCCGTTCCATGTGGACATGCAGGGATTACCGCCTCGGCCCGACAATAGCATCTAATAGACTAATGAAGCTAATTTGTAATGAAATCTCCGACATACACATTCAAATTGCGGGTCAAAAAGGGTCTCAATTGAACGCGGAGAACTCAATAAAGGCACTGAGTTCCTTGGTTAAAAGGATCGGAATCCCTGAGGTTCTATGGTGGAATTGGTCAGGGACCAGTGCCTCTGTCGATCTTCTCCACCGCAGACAACACAGCCGCGCCGATGAACACCAGATCAGTACATGATCTCCCGATATTCATCAGGGAAACTCTGTATCAAATTATTGCTAAGACAACCTTGAAAACCGAACAATGGACATCAATGACATTGCCCCCTTAATGACATACTGCAGCACCTTCGGAATGGTGATGCCAATTTTGGAGTACTCTGTGGCTCGGTCCACTGGATGCGCGGTGCATGTTGCGGGGTGGCCTGACGATCATCCTGTGCAATGGGGAACTCGCCTCTGTAGAAAATACCGAAAATACGATAGTAGTCGCACGGCGTTTATAGGTATAATTAGAACTTTGTGGAAAGACCATACGTACGCACAATATCGCTAAGCACTTGGTCCACTTGGAGAATGTAGCGGTGACTGTGGCCCCACTGACAGCGGTCTTTATTTGAGTATAAATAAATCCAAGCCCCTAGCGAATAAAGGAGATGGTAGGGATCGTAATGCCCATTCTTGAAACCCCTGCATATGATGCCGGGACGACGAAAGGGGCAAGCCGGAAATGCATTGAGCATCCGATCAACTGCCAGATTAGAGAGTGGCTGCTAGTGGCTGCATATATCTTGTTCTGAACCAAGGTCGTATAATGTAAATACGTCTTTGTTTGAGCTTGATTTCCATGTGCTCTTGCTCCAGGCTTATCACGCAAACAGACCTAAATATTCGGTGATTTGTTGATGCCTGATCTACGTGTCCAAACCTCGATTGCGAAAGGAATTCTTCGAGAGAAGCGATAACTCGTCAGCGGGACCCGCTGCCCCTCTGTCGTGACCTAACTGGGCTTAGGTGGGTTTCACGATGAGACCCGGGTTGTATGATGCATATGATTGGTGGATGGGAGCGCGATAGATAGGTTACAGCGGGGACAGCATCATGAAGTACTGGACCTCCTATGCTCTCGAGTGGGCGGCAGTCTTAGTGCGACGAGGCTGAAGGTCGAAACGTATACATAAAACTATATATACGTATTCTTAAAGAGTAGACAAAGGATGCGGATACCCAGACATGACTGCCACAATGACTCCACAGCAGCAATGCTGGTACTTGCGGAGTACCCTCTACGTATAGAACACTAATAATAATTCTAATTTCCTCTCTTTTGTATCCACTGGAAACATTTGAACCCCAGACTGTCCTTTTTTTCCCATCTGGCCGGTCCAGCTTAAATTGTCAATTCATCCAGTCTTTGGATAAGAACGTGAGAGTAATACCTATCAATGTAATGCTCCCCCTACCGAAACAAACCCCAACGACGATCTTTACTCCACTGTTCACGCATCTCCAGACTAACGAGACCAGCTATCTTAGTCCTAGGCATGCACGGGCGCTACGATTAACACCCCTCCTTCGCTACTTGCCTTTTCCATCTTCCGCCAGAATCCATATCCCACCTTCCTCTACTTCCCCCGTCGCAACATCTCCTTATCAGGGACTCAACATTGATAACCCCTGTCGATCATTTCGTGCACTCTGGGAAGAGGGGAAAATCGAGCTACTTTTCAGGGACTGGCTTCCTTGTCACGTCAATTACTTGAAATTTGATCGAGAAACCTGCGATGCGCACGAGCCATACTCTTTATCGACATGCCTGCTGATGATCCGTTTGCTTTCCTGCCTGCCGAGCAGCCCAAGCCTATGAAGAAGACCTCCCTTTGGAGAGAGAAGCTGTTCTCCAAGGATAAGAACAAGGGTGCTGTGCCAGACAAACAAATCGAAGACTTCCTTGCCTCAAACCGCCCCCGGACCGAATCCCCTATCGCGACCAAGGCAGATCCTAGTCGACCCCCGCCCACCGTATCCACTCATCGAATTCCTTCCTCCCACAATGTCTCCAGCGCACAACCTCACCCACCTTCCGCGACCGAGAGCTATGTCGCCTTCAGTCCGATAGCAGAAACCCAATCTCAGTATTCCCAGAAACCCCAAAGGCCTCAATCCCAGCTACCCCCGCAGCCTCAACCCCAGCAGCTGTCGCGGACCAAAACCCGGCGAAAGAACAAGGGACTTCGAGTGGGCTTCTCCGACCGAGCGCCTGAAGTTATTGGGGAGGGAGGAGATGAATCGGAGGCACCTACCATCGAGATCTCATGGTCTCGACAACGTGCGCGTGACCGACAGGCGACACAAGTCAAGCGCGCACCGTCGCGCTCTCCAAACCCGTCGAGAGACCTGCCGAATCTGCGGGTGAACACATCGCTGGGCGATGGGAATGAAACAAACCTCCCGCAAGACCTGCAGAGTGGGACATCGCCAAGCCGAAAGCCGCTAGTCGAAAGCTCCAGCGATGTAGACCTCTTGAATACCCTCCATATAACCAAACCTGGCTCCCGTCTGTCCTTCCGAGGCTCGCCAGATTCGCATTCGTTCGCGGAGCGGGTGCGGAATCAGATGCAGGTGGAGGAAGCGCGAGCTTTGCACAATCGGTACAACGATGGCTCATCCCCGGTGGATGACGACGAGTACGAGGATGAAGATCTGTCGAGCCCCGTTCAACCTTCACACAGTCCCCACAGTCGCAGTCCCCATAGCAATCACGAGTCAGAATCACTCTATGATACCCCCATTTCGTATACATCCAATGCGCCTTCGGTCAAATCGATCGTCCACTCGATTCGAAACCCTCCAAGCCCGGTAGTCAGTCGCAATACTACCAATCTCAGTCCAGTCGACCCGCGACTACCCCCTCAACTAACACCTGGGAGCCCAGGAAAGGTCGTACCAACACCACCCAAATTTCCTACCCAGACTTCTCCAGTGGCCCCTCAAGCTACGCCTCAGATCCCTCAGGTCCCTCCCCAGGCTCCTTCACAGGCCCTTACCCGGGAACCTTCTACAATGAACCGACTTGGTTCTAGTGAGGCGAGTCGCGAACCATCGCGAAGCCCCCAACCACCCAAATTCTCGCTGCGGAATGTGGCTGCTCAAGTCGGTGACACTGCATTTACAGAATTTAAAGGCTATGTCGCCCGGTACGACAGTCTTCTTCGACTCGCTGCAGAGAGTGTCAAACCGCTTATGGAGACATCCTTGGCGGAATGGATCCGGGCCTCGATTTGGTGGTTTTTGCGGGGAAAGACACGGCTGGAGACCTATGCGCGCACTCGGGCCAATTGTCCCCCTAGCTACGCGAAACAAGCCGTTATTGATCTTGGGAAGGCATTCTGGATCAATGAAAACATTGTACCAGTTCATCCCGAGCTCTCCAGGTATGGTCAGCAGATGGGAATTGACGCCCTCTTGGCTGTTGCCAATACAACGGGTGATAAGGAGATGGTGGATCTTCTCAGTCTGCATCAGACCACCCTCAACCATTTGCGGTCGCTGTCCATGTCGATCAAGCGCAATAATATCATTGCCCTCATCGATGAAGACGATGCATCTCCGAACCATCTGGACACCAGTGTCTGGCTACGCTATCCGTTCTTTGCACCAGATGTGTCGGCGGTGCTATCCGGATCGGCCAAGAGATCTATGTTGGCCGACAAACCGGGAAAGGCACCAAGTATGGCCTACACGATGCCCCTCGGAGACACGTCTCGCTACTTTAGCTATGGCAGCATGTTCGTTCAGGCCTCTGTGAGCTCCAGCGAGGATGATAGTCAACAGTATTCCATGCCATGTTGCCTTGCCATTATTCGGGAGCGGGCAGACTGGTACGTCTTCGCAGCGATCACGAGCCAAAGCCAGCTTGTCAATGTCATGATCCAATCCGATCGCAAACAGGGACCTACTTGGGAAGATGTGGAATGGCAAGCCCGTACCTACTCTATGCGAGTCAAGCTCCCTCGAGGATTCGAATTGGATGTGATGTTCAAGGAGGAAGATTTCAAAACCCTCTGGAACATCGTCAAGTACACCCAGAAATCTGAGGCGAGTCTTGCCCCAGAGGCGGGCGAAACCGTTGTGTATGAAAACACAGTGAAAGTGTTCCAATACATGGACCCGGGAACTACCAAGGCTTTCCCACCCGAGCCATTGGAGCGTTGTCGAATTCGCTTGTTCGAGCGATCGGTTACAATCAAGGAAGGCACTGGAACGCGAAATGCGCACCGTGGATTCCGATTGACCGTTCTGACTAGCCCCAAGGTGAAAACACTCAGCAGTGTGAAGCATCTCCTAGCCCATGGAACACCCGTGGTGTTTGGTCTTCTGAGAGGAGAAGATGGGTCTCCTGCGCTTGTTCTGAAGGTCACGGAAGACGGCCGCACAAGATCTATGCTCTTGACTTTCCACGACGTAGAAGAACGCACTAAGATGCATGCCGTGTTGTTGGGCATGGCCCCGCGCGAGTTGGAGTCTAAGGGTCGCGAAATTCCTCTCCGGTCTTATGTCATTGAAGAACCAGCCGACCAAGCAAGCGGCAGGTCAGCTGTCACCCATCTACAGTTCCCAGCTGGAAACGTTTTCGTGATTGATCAGACACACTCGTATGTGGACCATGGCTACGGCGCAACAATCCTGTCGGAGACCCTACGTGCCTTTATCGCTTCGGAATGGGGATCTGTTACAGATCGCATCAATTTAGGTAAGTTAGCTAGCCGTAAAAAGGATGTACAGACGGTATGCTTATATGCCACCCAGGACCCGGAGAGCTCAAGATTGGCCTAGATGTCAATCGGAAGACTGGAATGAGCTTGTTTCGACCAGCCCAGCAGGATCTGACGGTTTCGCTGGCGGACAACCTCATTAAGCCAGAGCTGCCGGGGCAAGTAGCAGGCTTTCTTGAGAAGGCCACTACCACGCCAATGGTCCGTCGATTGGAATTTGCTTCTATGAATGGTAAGTCGTGTGCCTTGTGGTTCTAACATCCTGATTACTCACATTCTATTAGATCTACATTCCTTTGAAGAAGCGGTCACTGGGTTCCGTGTCATCTATGACGGGTAAGTAGAAACTGAATCGCATTATCTGAATTTTGCTAATATGATCAGTAATGCTTCATGTTTTGCTATCTCTCGCCGTCGCAGCGTGGTTCCGATTTACAAGAAATGGGAGGCCAATCTCGCACGCATTCAGATCGTGAAACAAGAGAAGATCGTTCAGCTAGTTGCTTTCTTTTCAGATTTCCAGCATGGTACTTGCATGAACTTCATCCTCAAAGGCACTGATCATATCGAGTCTTTTGGCCGATCTGGCAAGTTCGGAATTCGCATTGTGGATGCCAAATTTGCACTTCCAAAGAAGGACGATGATGCGGCCTCCAACTTCGTGTGTCTGGACATGCCCGAGTATCCAATCGAACATGACGACCTCACTATTACGTTCGATTCGGAAGTTGGTACGTTGTTTCTTGGACTGTATGTGATGAGTGATTATACTAACCGTTACTTAGACCGCACCAATTTCAAGGTGGCTTTACCTGGATCTGTCCGCGAACCCTCTCGCATGGGATCCCTGCGAAGATGATTGCTTTCTACCGCCTCATACCCTCCCTTTCATCCCAATCCTTCCTCTCTTCCCCAGTTTTTCTACTCCAGATTCTCTCCAACTTTTTGACGTCCATCCCCACACCACGTGATGACTCACGTGTCCGCCCCTCTTTCCCCTCCGACTTCCCGACTCATTCTTCGCTTGATTGTATCATAGCTTCGCGTTTTGCTTTTCCTGTGCATACAATTCCCCAGAACATAGCATAACCATGGCTCAAAACATTGGCACATCCACGCGCTCCTTGCACGCGGATGATGCGCTAAATGTTGTCTCCGATGTGGCCCCTCCAATGCATCTTGCTACTACTTTCCGTTATTCCGATGACCCCACCAAGTTATTTCCAGTGGCTGATCTTAGCGATGTATGTTACTTTTGCTACGATATCTGAGCCCGATAATGACCATTGTGTAGAGCGGGCTTGATCCCACTTCCCACATCTACTCCCGTGCCTCGGCGCCTAACCCTACTCGCTTCGAAACTATTCTCTCCGCCCTGCTCAATGGTACCGCAATCAGTTACTCTTCCGGTCTCTCCGCCCTCCATGCAGCCCTGACCTTGCTCAACCCCCGCCGCATCTCCGTTGGCGAAGGCTATCACGGCTGTCATGGCGTGATTGCCCTCTTCACCCGCCTCACAGGCCTCCAGAAGCTTCCCCTCGACTGCCCCGCTGACCAGCTAGAAGCTGGCGATGTAATTCTCCTCGAAACACCTCTCAATCCTAAAGGCACAGCCTACGATATAGCCTCATACGCCCAAAAAGCGCACTCTCGCGGCGCCTACATCATTGTCGACGGCACCTTCGCTCCACCAGGCTTGCAGGATCCTTTCCTCTGGGGCGCCGACCTAGTCATGCACTCCGGCTCGAAATACTTCGGTGGTCACAGCGATATCCTCTGCGGTGTCCTCGCAACCCAGAATGAAGATTGGTCTAGACAACTCTTCCATGACCGCGTTTTCCTCGGCAGCGTGATGGGTAACATGGAATCATGGCTTGGCGTCCGTTCCCTCCGCACGTTGGAAGTTCGGGTCCAGCGCCAAAGCGAGAATACTACTAAACTTGTCCAATGGCTTGCTACTGCTTTACATGCTCCTAATCCTGCCCCCGGGAGTGACGAGGCAGCCGTTCAGAGCGTACTGGGTGAAGTCTTCCATGCCAGCTTGCAGGATGAGGGTGAATGGTTGAAGAAGCAGATGCCCAATGGATTTGGTCCTGTATTCTCCATTTGCATGAAGGAGGAAGACCTCGCTAGGACGCTTCCGTCGAAATTGCATTTCTTCCAGCATGCGACTAGTCTTGGTGGTGTGGAGTCGCTTATTGAGTGGCGTACTATGTCGGATGCGACCGTTGACCGGAAGTTGTTGAGAATCAGTATTGGGTTGGAGAACTGGGAGGATTTGAGGAATGATTTGGTCAAGGCTTTCAAGGAGTTAAGAGCTTGATACGAATATATTTAGAGGTATCGACTCGTTGAGAGAAACTAGAGTAATCAGCTTGATTTTCACTTTTCACTTGAATTTCATATCGATTCACAGGAACGCGTTGACGCTCAATTTCAGCTTCGTTCACTTGAATCCCCGTTCCAGCATTCACTCGTTTACGACATTCGATTTATTATGCCTAGGCTACAAGACCCCCACCTGCATTTCTTCTATCCCTCAATTTATTCAGTCTCAACTTTCACATCTTTTTTCTCTTAACCTCTCCTGCCTGATCCGCCCCAGTCAACTTCAACTTCTTTTCTCCCAGCCGTTCTTGTCCAAGCCACCATTGCAATCCTATTCAAACCTCTTGTCATCTTGTATCATCTGCTGCTTGTTTCCCTCCATTCCCTTGCCATCCTTTATCATTTCACTGTTGTCATGCGGCAAAAATATGGAGAGCGTGCTTCCTATTGACCGAGAATAAGGGCACTGAAGTATTATCGTGTGCGAAGAAGCAATCTTAGGGGATGGATTTTGTTGTGGCTGAACTACGATGTCTTTGAGTGAGTGGACTAGGCACGAGATGCTTGAGCGTTTAACAAAGATTTGACAGGCTGGGAGAGATTGCTGGTCTTGACTAATTCGGCTATACATCTCTATAGGGAAACTGTTCATCTACCCGGTCATTTTGTGACAAGCTCATGAAATCATATGCAGTAAACATTAACCGGAAGCTGTGAACATCAATGTCCAGACGATCTATACGCAATCCATCTCTATAAAACCAGGAGATCAATTCCCTGCAATGAACCACCACAAACCCAATAGGCGGAAGCCCAAAATTTTATACATCACATCCAAACATGGGCCTTTTTAATAAGGCCAATCACAAACAAAAACAAAATCTAAATTTAAACACGTGTGCCCTCGAAGGGTCCAGCAGGCCAACCCTGCATAGTGTTTCCATCTTCGACATGGTCACCAGACAGTACCAATGTATGTTCCAAAAGACAAGCATCCTGGCCCATCGAAGCACCAGACATCAAGCGCGAACCAGCGCGCAAGATACTTCGGTCTCCAACGTTCAAGGGATGCAACTCAAATTCACCACGAGAATTCAAGTGGCAAACTAGACTGGCATCGTCAACGGCGACACGGTCACCAAGAGTAAGAAGGTCAGGCTCAGTGAAGAAGATGTTCGGTGTGCCGTTCGCGTGGATAGCACAATCCTTTCCAATTTTCGCGCCGAGGAGGCGATAATACCAGACAACCCAGGCAGTTCCACTCAACAATGGAAGAAGACCCAATTTGCCGTAACAGTCCTTGATGATTGTCTCACAAGAGAGGAGGAATTGCCAGCGCTGATTATAGCTGCTCTTGTCCCAGTGGAAGCTGCCTTCCTGGCGACGGCCCATTACCATCCATTTGATGCTGATGACGAGAGCGAGGGCTATGAAGACTTGCACGGTACTGATACCCGCCAGGACTGCAGCAAGAATACCGTAGTTGACAAATGGGCGCCATGGGCCAGGCTGGAGGGCTTCGGAGGTGCTGTATGTTAGAGCACCACGCAGAGCAAAGAGGGAAAGTGGGATTGAGATGATCCAGAAGACGGTTGTGAAGACGACGGCGATGACGGAGTAAACTATTATTTGCCAGATACGGAGAACATAGTAGTTCGACTCGTGACGGTAGAATGCGCGACCGAAAGGTTTGCAGGTATCCGTCTCGATCTCAGTGGGCTGTTTCTTCTCACCAAGAGCGGTCTGCTTCTCGCTGAACGACTTCTCGTAATCTCCGCGCTTTTCGTCATCGCTGTCGCCGTTCGTGCTGCTGCCACTGCTGCTGTCGACTACAGTGGGAGCATTCGACATTGGGGGTGAGCTGGTTGGAAATTGCACCGCATTACCTCCCTTGCTACCGGTCCAAATGGTGTTCGAGGGGAAGTCGCCATTGCGGCGGAGTAAAGCACCAGAACCGATCATGGCTTCGCGACCGATAGTGGTACCAGGCAGAGCGACGACACGGTCGCCGACCATAGTGCCATCTCCGATTGTGACACGATCACGACCATATCCATCGGATGTAACAATTGTCGAGCGGGAACCGAAGACAACATCATTTCCAACCTCGACAAGGTCGAAGTCGGGAACAGCGGGACCAACACTGGGCCAGTAGACACGCTTTCCAACTTTACCACCTAGGAGACGGACGGCAATTGAGACAGCCTCGTAGTGGCGACCGACAAGACGGGTCAGTTCGTGAATGTCACCGGCCGGCAGGATCTGGGATAGCACAGCGCTCCGAACCTTCTGGCGCTGAGTCTGCTTCGAGGCAGGACCAGGCTTGGGTTTACCACAGAAGAGATCGAGAAGACACTTGATAATCAAGACGGCGATGAATTGCACAATCGGGCTACCGATAGCACGACAGATCTTGGCGGTAATGTGGTATCCAATTCGCTGGCTGCTGGTGAACCATTTCAGGGTACCCAGGAACATGTCAGGCGAGGTTGTAGGATAGGAGTACACCATGGGTACAAGACCACCCATCCAGGTCAGACGAGAAGCAACCCAGACAAGCATCTTGATGGGCTCGATGAGAATAATGGACCAAATCCAGTGCGGCTGAGGGATGCGGGAGGAAAGCAAGTCGCGGTTGGATTCATCAGCGTCCTGAAGTTCCCAGCTGGACGAGTTGGGACCAATGCAAGTGTTCTCGGGGACAACAGCACCTGGTGCAAGGATGGATTTGGTACCCACGGATGAGTCCTTACCAATAGAAATGCGTTTGAGGAGCATGGAGGTATTGCGTTCCACGCCAAAGGGACGGCACTGGCAAACGTCCATTATGACGTTGTCACCAATCTCGACCAGATCATATTCACCAAACTTGACCATCGGGTGAAGAGTGACATTCTTGCCAATCTTTGCACCAAGCAGACGGTAGAAGAGCACGCGGGACCAGTTGAAGCGAGCGAACATACCCTTGCCACAGATCTGTAATGCCTTCTGGGTTAACCACCAGCGAGTGTGGTATGGGCCCCACATGGGGAAGATACCCTCCTTGTAGCGACCGATCACAAGCCATTTGAAGGTAAGACCACAGATAGGGAACACGATGTGTCCAGCCACACGAGCGGACAACACAGCCAGAACAATCAGGACAACACGACCAATGAGAACGTCACTGATAGGGAAACGGGTTGAGCACTCGGCCATGACATATGCGAAGACCAACCACTGGAAGGCACGCTTCATCGGAGCAAACAGCATGACCGGGAACAGATGCAGCACCAGGAGAAGCGGGTTAGTGCTGCTATATGTCTTCTCGCAACCGGGCAGCTCAACCTCTTCCTCATCACCTTTGGCAGCCTTGATCTCAACCGCTTCAGCGATCTTGTCCTCCACCTCACCAACAGTGCTATGGTGGAAAAGAATGTCACCAGCAAGGAAAACATTGAATTCACGACGAAGCTGCGAAACCAAACGACCAGCACTGAGACTGTCACCGCCAGCGGCAAAGAAGTCGGTCGCCGCAGAAACATCATCTGCTCCACAAGACAAAGCCGTAGCGAAGATCTCACGGATACGGCGTTGAATGGGTGTCAAATCGCCATCCGAGTAACGGGCGCGAACCGCCTCTTCAATGGCAGCCTGGTCAGGATTTCCGAAGGCATCGATAGGCATGGGGCCTTCGAGGGAGGTGATACGGCTGGGAATGAGATAGCCGTCGAGGTCGCTGCGAAGGTCTTCGGGTGTGATAGGCTCATCATCCGGGCTCTTGCCGAATAACACAGCCTGCGCGAACCCGTCGCGAGGGTGTGTGTGGATGTGCAAATCAGGGGTACTAGCCTTCTCAGACAGAACCGACCGGATGGCTTCCTCGTCAACGATGCATCGCTTCTTGCTAATGGGTGTACTGAGTGAGGTGCCGTTGGGCGGGCAGATAGCCTCGAAGTGTCGGTCGGCCAGAGGGGTGGTCGGGGTGAGTGCCTCCAGACCTAACCGCTCTGCAAGCTTGATACGCTGGATCTTGTTGTTTGACTTGGGGACGCGATCCATGTATGTGATCAAAACGGGCCACTTAGGCTGGTGGATGATGGGATGCAACGCCTCATGCAGCATGCGAAGATCTGGGCGAGGAACTCCGGGGGGGCAAGTGATAACCGCACCGACGACTTCTTGGAGCACCTCATCTGGGACGGAGAAGGCCAGTGTCTCGGACACGCGGCCATACAGTGGAGAATTTGGATCTCTAGCCGCGGCCAGCACGGCGTCTTCCACTTCGACAGGAGAGATAATTTCACCACCACGGTTAATGACTTCCTTGCTGCGACCAGTGATGTACAGGTAGTTGTCAGTGTCGAGGTATCCCAGGTCACCAGTATCGAACCAGCCAGCCGCATCAAATGCGCTGGTATCAATCTTGCCTTCGGGGGTCAAGTATCCCTCGAAGGCGGGTGATCCTCGAATACAGATGTGTCCGAGCATACCAGGACTAGCCACAGGAGTTCCATCGTTCATAATTGCAACCTCAGGACCAACAATCCGTCCGGAAGTGCCATGACGATCAAGAGTATAGTCTTTGGGCGGTGCAGCAATGGGCATGCACTCAGTCATACCATAACTGGGCAGGATAACGCTGTGGAAAGTATCATGAAGCTGGGCGGCAAGCGTCGGTGGGAGACCAGCACCGGCGTTACAGATAAACTTAATGACACTTTGCTTGACGGCCTCGGGACGGTGCTTGGCTTCACCGAGGATCATCTGGTGCATTGTAGGCGTGGCATAGTACCAAGTTGGTGTCATGTAAGGGCTTTCGACAGCATCCCAGAACATGCTGGGGTCGAAGGCGGGGCAGCAGATCGTTGCGCCACCAGCGAGGAGGGGGAGAAGATACTTCGAATGATACCACCACTGTTGCTGTTAGTACTGACTTATGTGACAGTGAGGATGGAACGTACACATGGTTAAGCGGCATCATGTTGAGACATGTGTCTGCTTCGGACAGTTCGACCGATTCAATTGTGGCCATCGTACCCGCGATGAGGTTATAAATCGTGATAGGGACCAGCTTCTTCTTACCACTGGTACCACTGGTGAAAAGAATAATTGCAATATCATCGCCAACATTGGCGGGAATATTTGAAGCACCAGAAGCATGTCGCTCAGAGATGACACGGAAAGTTAGATCCTCTAGAGGCTCGACACCAAACACAGGCCGACTACCATTATCCAAGCCCAGCTTGCCAATATCAGAGTCCAATGCGACAACAGCATCAGCTTGGCACTGTTCAATGTCCATGTGAAGCTGCTCTGGCACTGTGTTCGACGCCATAGGTGCAATAGTATACCTGTTTGTGAAAGCGAGAACTGCAATGGCCATCAGAGGGCCATTAGGTAGGATGACAGCGATACGAGGCTTGCCATGCTGGGAAAGTCCAATAGGTAACTGGAAGTTGTGCACAAACTGCTGGATGGCACCATGTGTAAGATGCCTCCCTGTAGTGGCATCAATAAAGCCAGCACGGTTGTCTGTTCCAATCAGCGATGCCACATCGGGGGTGGCAGCTTTGACCTGAGCACGGAGGCCAGCGATGAATTCATCATTGTTGGCCTTCAATGATTCAGGAAGGGCTTTGTATATATCCTTAAAGCAAGGAAGAAGGTGCTTTGGGGGCCAGGGACCATTGTGAGAGGATAAGAGGGAGGATAGGTGTTGAGCGGAGTCTGGATGAGAAGCCTCATTCCGAAGACGAACAAGTTGTTCTATAAGGCTGTGCAAAAGTTAGTACGAAAAGAAAAGACGTCAATAGGATAAAGTCAATAATAATAATAAAAAAAAAACAGGACATACAATGATTCTGGCGAAGCCGCCATCTTGAATCGTGAGTATAAAAAAAGATCTATTGATCAAGACTCAATTCGATTATATGAAACCACACTATCTCCGTGAAAAGGAGGCCTACCCTTGGCATCTTATATGGCTCTTTCGCCCAAAGCTTCTAGCGGACCCTGATACAATAGATACCCACTCGATAGACAGAACCCACCCGATACACTAAGGAATCACAAGTTACATCACAGGCCCCATTGCGATTGCGCAATGGCGGTACACTGGGTCAAGACCCCTCGGGGGGCTTGTACAAAGTTGAACTCAGGACGGCCCAGCTGAAGAGAATATCTGTTTCGTCGGCTATCACTCCACAACAGCCATTATCCAACCATTCAGAACCTTGGTAGACTAGTCGAGCGAAGCCAGCCAGCGCCACCGAGCATAGTGCGATCCTTGTTTCAAGAGAATACTACGCTGAGATTGTGGATTTCGCCCTTTTAACCTGATACAGGAATTTCCAAGAGACGATCATTTATGAAAAAAGATAAGGGCCTAACCAGATTAACCTTTCGACATGCTGTCAATCAAGTCCGATATTATCGTGATTGGCTGCACGTTATCACAGTCCGACCTATACATTGTAATACCCATCAATCACGAATGCCCTGGGAACAACAAACTACAGAGCCTTGATGATAGATCTCAATCTCTTCAAGTCCCAATTGCCCAGATTAAGCGTTCTTCCGTAGAGAGAAGATCTGCATAGGTCGATAACCTAGGTTAGACCGGACCCACACCGCAGATCACTCCAACTCCAACGGGCGGGTTCTTGGCGTCGCACTAGCGACTCTTGGCATTCGGCCGGTTAGTCCTTTTCGGTGGATTCGGATAATTCTCTACATGCTAATCCCGTGTATAATCAACGGGCGGCCGAGATTTCCGACAAAGCTCGGGAGCTGGTCTATTTCAGATAGGAAATACTCTTCTACAGGTTCAACGAGCGAATACGGCTATTCCGCTATACCTCGTATCCTCGGATGTTCGTAAATCTCGTATAATCCGATATCGGGATTTTTGTACATCCGGAGGCCTCGGAACAACCTCTCATGATTCTTGGAATGGCCAGGGACCAGGTACCAAGCGGAAGAATGCGAGGACCCGTGGGGTCCTGTCAATCCCGATCATTAAGTTTTGGAGACCATATTGTCTCAGCCCTCGGTATCGGCATCATACAGAGTAAGTGCTCGGGACGATCCTTTTCATGAACGCCGGACCCATTCCCTTGTGCTGGATCCACCTTGCCACATTATTGAGTCTGGACAGTTATCTTTCAACTTTGTGTAGGGCTGGGGGTCTCGCCCATTGGGTTCAGAACTCAGGGACCAGTCCACAATTTCCCAAATTTCAGTGTTCGATGAAAATTCCTTGAGGATTCTCCAACGATTTTTCCCGGTTGAGGTTGGAACCTGGGGCCCTTACCACAGGATAAAAAAAATCAAGGAACAATCTCTGGCCATTCCTAACTATTCTTGCTGCCCAGCTGGAAGAATTGGAGATGGTTCTGGGCGGAACCGCAGTCCCACTATCACATCGGATCCATCTTGGCTCCGCCTGGTTACGCAACCTTCGGCTCCAACTTCTTTCCAAGGTACCACGAAGATCTACATCGGCACCAAAGTGGTCTCATCCTCGTGTTCTCAGAAGTGGATAAAATGAGGCCGATCCATCTTATCTGATCACTCAACCAGGAAAATCATTATACATCAGTTGCTCGCTGCCATTTATGCTTTTCCGCGCTTTCCTCTCGGAACCGAGATGGGGCGATACCGGGAAAAAATACTTGCGGGCTTTATCAGTAAAGGGGACACCACGTTTCCCGACCCGGTGGGAACTATTCTACGGATATCGGGGTCTCAAGGATTTTTCTCTTTTTTTTTTTTTTTTTTTTTTTCCCTTTCGCTAGGCTCGGCTAGCGGGGATGCTTGCATTCAATAGGGGTTTGTCAGGCTGGAACGTGTTGACCAGAGTAAACTATAGGTGGGGGTTGCCTGCTGTACAGTAGCGGATAGCACTGCACTGCACGGCATGATCTTATTCTTATCCTTCCAGAGTAGTCCCAAGGTTATCAATCCTCAGCTGGAATCAACCAATTTAATCCCCGGTGGGTAAATGTCAGCCCGATATCAATAGCTTCCTGCGAGTGGAACCTGCGTGGATAAGCTATTACTAGTGGGGAGCCTAGCTAAGCACATCTAGATCTCATTGTCCTTTGGCCACCGCTCGTTCATACTAGGGTCAATGCATAATAAGACCGACCCAGTACTCGGCTGTGGGCTTTTTGAATCAATAGTCTCCATGACGGATACTATCGGTGGGTATTACTTACTACCAGCTTCGCAAGTGCATGTCGATCGACGTGCATGTCGATCGACCTTTTGCTGTTGTTGTAGTCCCACCACATGTATTTGTTGGATAAATTTAATTCGGCCGATACGCTGTAGTGAACCCGTGGACGTGGTCTCCCAGATTTGTGATTGAATCTACTCGTCCACTTAACACCTTAAGTATAGTAGGTATGCTCCATATATATTGTGGCAATCACGCGTTATTACATGCGGATAGCATCCTTGGCATATGCATCCTCCATTCCACCCTTCTTCCACTGTTAGGTCATCAATTTACATACCCATAGGCCTGGAATCAATACGATATTCGGAAGCATGCCTCGTCAAATTGGATTGTGCGTTGCGGATAAATTAAGTGTGGATCCTACTTGTCATGTAAACGCAGATTTAATGCTCGCCATCATTCCAGATCCATCGATTATTTATTACTTGCTCACTAGACTTAAAACAACTCAGCCGTAGATCCACACTCTCATGCGCGATTTAAATTTGAGGGTCGAGTAATATACTCCGTCAGCGTTGGGGCTCGGCTCTAGCGCAAACCATCCTCTCATTTTGTTTGGACTCTCATACCTCTGCATTCGGGAGAATATCTATTCTGCGCACGGATCAAGCTTTCCCGTGTCGTTTCAAGCAGATTTGTCACATATTTTCATGTGAGTACAAAGCTTTGCTGAGAGTCAAACTCTAGCTTCATTATCCGCGGTCGTTCGTCTCAAAGATTACGGGATACCCCGACCTCTTCCGTTTTGCTGGTCCGATTGTATATCAAGGTTTACTGAAACTGGGTCAATTTTACCATCGCTTTCCGTCCTTAATCACTTTACTGTGCAGATTAGAAAGGCAAAGCAATTTTACGTCATAAAGCCTGATAGAAAGCTGATGCCTAGTGCGACAACTGAAAGACATGTGAGTCGGACACAGGTATCCTCCGCTCCGAAACTTAGGCTCCATTTGAACAGGGCTACATCACCTTTCAGATCCAGGACGATCCCGAAACCTCGTCTACTTGAGTCTTTTTACCCTACGAGTAAAGTTTTCCAGGCTTAACTGAGACCAGAAATGCGGATCTCATCCTCAAATCGACTTTTTATTGTATAGCTAATTGTTGATGTCAGCACAAGATGAGTCAATTATGTGACCCACTGACCTCATTCAGGCATCACTTTTAATTGAAAGCTATCTATATCGTGATATAAAAGCTTAATACAACTGTAAGATACAGTACCATCAGTGCTCTTGTTTGCTTGGTAGTGGATCAAACTCACTATCTTTTGTCAAGACGGTCTGTGTCGTAAGGCTGAAGAATGATGACATGGGAGGCGTCCTTGATCCCTACTTCCGCTCTCTCACATTTCTCTAAGAACTTTGCCCAGGTAATCTGGCGGTTTTCTGTTTCCAGCTAGACGCTACTCAGGATTTACAGATTTTCATTTAATTAGCCCTTGAGTCGACTGACTATCTTACTTTACATATCAACATAACAATGGTAATCCATGTGGTTTATCCTGGACCTTGGAAGACGTCCGGTCATCTGATGCCTGAAATGATGAATTATACATGCATCGCCAATACATACATGTATCAACGGTTCGCGAGCCCCTTCCAACACTGGAAGGTTACAGTTATGCATCACGCATGATGGCAGCAGAGCTAACATGTACCAGGCTATCACATATACCAACTTATTCATTCAGATATTCTCAGCGAGACGAGCCCGTATCAAAATACAGGCTATGAAGACATTGCAAAAACACTCCTTTGCCGGAGTCGAGGGCCATATTTCCACAGAATCAACGGGACTGGAACGCCAATGGTCAGGGCCAGCAGTCCAAGCAGAGTGTTACCCCAGCCAAAGCCTATGTTTTTGTACATAGTAGGTCCGAACAAAGGAAACGTGAAGGCGCAGAGACCCCTCACGAAGAACAGTGCGCCCGATGCACTGGCGGCATAGATATGAAACGTATCAATGGAGTAGGCAGTGACACATTGGAACAATATAGTGCAGCCACACATTAAGAAGCATATCGCAATGGTGGGAATTGCCCAGTGAGCGCGAGCCTCTGCGGACCACCCATACCAGATCAGGGAGCCGGGTATGAAGGTTGAGCTGATAACCAGAAGAGGGAGCCGAAACTCTGGCTTCTTCTCGTCGGAGTTTCGCTGAAGCTTCCGATATGTCCGATCTGCAAAGAACATGCCAATCATAATCCCGGAAAAATAGCCGATTCCAGGGGCGATGAAGTGGAGCGAGGCAACAGTTTTGGTCTCATGGTAGCGCCCTTCCCAGAGTGCTGGGAATGAGCCGAATATAAGGTAGGTCATTCCGTAGGTAAAGGACACATAGAGACCAAGGAGCTGAATAATGGGCTGCGTGACAAGGAAATACAAAGGCCGAATAAGGGTCTTGTAGTACAATGCCGCAATCGTAGGATGCTCATCGTCATAGGGTGTTTTTAAGTCACCTGCGCTTGCACCGCTGGCCTTCAACAGCTGCTTCTTTTTCCGGGAGAGTAGGACTGGGGGGTACGACTCCTTGTAAATGAAAAAGCTCGACGCGATCAGCACCACTGAGGCGATGGAAGTTGAATAGAAATCCCATCTCCAGGAAGCCGAAGACGTTGTGAAACCACCAACAATAGCACCAATCGGGGTCGCTAGAATGAACGCCATATTCAAAACAGCGAGTGATTGCCCGCGCTTTTCAGTGGGAAACATGTCACTGATCATACCAATTCCAACCTGTTATTGAATTAATACCTGCGTATGTCATCGAAGAACCCCGATGAGTACTCACTACTGGGGTTGCGCCACTCCCGAGGCCAGCAAGGACGCGGAAAGCAAGGAGCTGGGCTCGACTAGTTGCAAATCCACAAGCCAAGTTGAAGCCCATATAAACGATATTTCCAGCCTGCATGAGAGGAACTCTACCCCAGAGCTCACTAAATGGGGCTACCAATAGGGGACCGAAGGCAAGAGTCATTACGTAGGAAGACATTACCAAAGGCCCTTCAGAAATGGGGTCCATGTTCAGCTCTGCCGAGATGACATCCAGAGAAGGAACAACGATGGTCGTCGAAATATTTGCTAGAGTTGTAATGATGACAGTAAGAATTAATATAGACCATCGCCGGGAATTAGGCCACGCATGCGGGTGCAAGAAAGTGTCATCAAAGTCGACAATAATGGTCTGCGAAGATTCTAGACTTCCGAGTGACTTTTTGGTTGGCAGCTTAGTTGAGCTGGCATGTAGACTGGTGTTGACAGCTAATTGGGGTCTTTCTTTATCCAAATCTTTTGACATAATGATTGTCTGGCGTGGGTAATGTTCTGGAATAGCGTTTAGAATATCAACATTGGCCAAACCCTCCGCGGTTCGTGGGGCTATAAATGGGTCGTGGTGCAAGGTTGCAGATCCTGGGATGTTAATTAAATCCATCTATCCCTTCGGACCATTCCTTCTGCTTGTCTCAACCATATCGTCGTAAGCGTGCCGGTCCTTACTGTCGGGGATCTGTCTCATGTGGATCACCCGAGTGTGGGTCTGGAATGCGGTCGTCATAAGAATGGGCTTAACGACGAAAGTCCCTTACCATTTCCAGACCATGCCGATCATGGAATTCATCTTGCGTGTCCTGTCCACAGTCGTAGGCTACTGAGGCCAAGACCTCGGGAGAAGCTGCCTGATTTTGCGTAACAAGAAAGGGGAGACAGTCGGTATGGTTTGGTAGAACAGGAAAGAGGATGTAGGAGGAAAGGGAGCTTGGGAGAGACAGACTCAGAACTGCGTCGTAAAGGTATGAGTCACATGACAAATTATATATGTATTGGGTTCACACACATCCGCCTGGGCACTCGAAAATCCTACGCCTGAATGAAAGCCGGGAACATATATGCAATGTACGTTCTTTACATGATGAGTATACAACCTTGGAAGCACAGGAAGCTAGAAAATGGTGGGTCAATACCCACCGGTCTATATACGGTCGAGATGTAATTTACTCAAGGATCTTTGACTCGATATTATCTTTCAGGATCAATGATTGCAGACCTCGGGAGCAATTTGATGATCCTCAACAATGTGAATTCTAAAGAATAACGGATAGCTTGACCTCAATCTTCATATTCCAGTTATAGACCACTATCACAGGGCTCACTCGGTGTTCCAATACTCATAGAGAATCAAATCTGTCAAGGGAGATCCAAGTCCATTTGTTTCGACCTGTCTCTATGCAGCTGCGACACGGTTCGAGTATTCAGGGAACTCCCAGTCACATTGATGTCAGTATTGTGACAGGCTTACAGAGTAAAAAGAAAAAGACTCACCCATTTGGCAGTGACTTCCGGGAAACTGCGCATGTACCGCTTCAGGCTTCTCATGCCAATAGCATCAAACTCTTCATTGAGGAAATCTTCTAGCATGTGGTTGTTTAGCTCATGCCCGGCCTGAAGATCTCTCCCGATTCTTTCCAGTGCTTTCGTGACTTTGGGATTGGTCAGAGAGATGTCATAATCGATATGGAGAGCGGCCACCATAGCATAGCGAGAGCCGGATTCAGGAGCTGGCGTAAGAACCCGATGGAAACAAGCTTTAAGCACGCCCCGAGTAAGAGACTCGCAAATCGCGCCGACAACGTAGAATAGCGTGTTCGGCTTCGGTGAGCAGGTGACCCACTGTCCATTCGGCGCTTGAGCTTGCAGGCACTCATGATCAGTGGCCTGATAGATGATACCTCCAAAGGTCATGTCCTTATGTTCATGCAATCCGGTCATATTTTGACCGCAATCCCCACCTTTAGGAACCTCGGGATAGTGTATCACAACACTTCGATTTTGACGAGACTCTTCACGGAACAGACTCTCCAGAGTGGGGAGGTCGATGCCAAATGCCTCAGCCACCAGGGCCCGGACGGTCCGAGATACATCTGTGAATGCGGTCAAAAGGTCCTCATGCGCACTACGGAAGTGAGGCATTCCAGATGGCCATTGATTCTTTCCTTGAAGTGTACGGTATACAGGATCCAATTTTCCCTCATACCCAGGGTCATCACCACGCAAGATGATGCGTTCACGGTAATCCACTTTGTCGCCAGTGCGCTCGCTGGCCAGCTATCAGATTCATCAGTGACAATCGAGGTGTTTGTCAAAGCTGTAATGAGCTTACCGGGACATATCCAAGATAACTTGGAACCTTCTCGAGTGCGATGTCCATCTTCTCCTCAGTCGTACGATTGAAGAATGTCTTGGTCTCGTTGGTAGCCTTCTCGAGGATGGCGGGCTGAACTGGTGTGCCTGAGAGGTAGAAAGCCCCCCATTCTGTGCAAGCGCGACGAATGTTCTCCAGGGCCAACCTTTTTCCTTCCGGGTTGTCGAGATTCGACAAGTCAACTGTCGGGACACTAGTCAAAGCAGGCATTGTTCGTGAATTACGAATTCAAGGTAACAGTCGACAGCCGATATAGTGAAAGCCCTGGATTTTTTTGCCCCTTTTATAACGGGATAGTATGGAGTAGAATGGCATCATCTTCGTGCTCGCGAGGATGGTTACTGCTAGGGGGCATACTCGAGGTCCCTAATCTGGTATGATGAGCGCAACTTCGTATGCATACGCGTAACCTGCGACCCTGCATATCACAGAAATGGCGTAATAAGGCTCGGGTCGGATGAGCGAGCCGCGTGGTGTATTGTTAAATCGGCTGCAAGATCGTTGCACAGACCTATCCCGTGAGTCGGGCTGAAACGTAAAATCTCATGCAAATGCATGCAGTTTACACCGCATCGATACGTTTACCAATGGCTTTTGCACCTTCTAGAGATCGTCTTTTCCACCCATAATGATGACGACATGGGTGTATAGAGGCATGGATTGAGCACTTTTCCGCATCGGCCAGAGATTCAAGGTGATCAACATCATCCCGTCTCCCTTGCTTCCACAATGTAAGGATTGATCGTGCGTCAGGAGTTAGTCGGTACGTCGTCAGCACTCTGTCTTGGCTAGATGGTTTCCTAAACAGATCACTGCGTCAGCGACGCGGAGCCCTACACGTGAAGGACTTTGAGTTTTTTGTCAAGACCCTTGATCTTCAAATAGTTGATCCTTCACCAGTCTACGCCCATGGTCTTTCTGCATTTCTGCGGACATCTCTTCACTGGCTCTACCCATACTGCCACTATCCTAGTCACATTGATTTATCTTCACATTACCAATCATATAATCCTAATGGGTTCAACTGGTGATCTCCCCTCTGCCCTCGGGCTCACTGGAATCGGTCCAGATAAGCCTAGAGTTGCTGTCGATGCATTTCTTCTACGTCATCCTGGAATTGACTATGTGCGATTTCAGTGGGTGGACTACTCAGGCATTTTGCGTGCTCGGGTGGTCACCATGGATTACTTTCAGTCAATAGTGACAGCCAACAAGCCACTCAGGTGCGGCCAGATCACCTTGAGCTGTCTCCCCGATGAGAGTCGAGTGCCATTTGAGGCATCATCTGCCCATTTGCTGTATCCAGACTGGTCCTCGCTCAGAGCTCTCTCCAATTGCATGGATAAGAAGGGCCCGAATTATGCCTCTGTGATGTGCTCCATCATCGAGGAAACTCCTGGGGTCATGTCCAACCCAAACCTGTGTCCTCGAATTGCTCTGAAGAATGTTGTTTCTCGAGGCAAGAAAGAGCGCCAGCTGGACTTTCTCATCGGTTTTGAAATCGAGTTCGTCGTTCTGCAGTCTGCCCCGGATGGCACCCTTATCCCATTTTCGTCGCACCCTGGGACTTATTCCGCTGCCGGGCTGCGTGCGCCTTCCTACAGATACCTGGAGGAGTGCGTGCAGAACCTTTCTGATTCCGGGATCCCTGTCCGGGAGTTTCATGTGGAAGGGAACATCGGCCAGTACGAGATCACTCTAGCTGCTCGGCCTCCACTTGAAGCTGTCGATGATCTTGTTGCCGCCCACGACATAATCAGGTGCACTTTCGCTGGCCATGGTTATACAGCCACCATGTCTCCCAAGCCGGTGGAAAATCGGTCCGCAAATGGCTCCCACATCCATGTCTCTATTCACCCTCCCACCGATCAAGAATCTTTCCTTGCCGGCATGCTTCAGCGTCTGCCTGCCATCTGCGCCTTCTCCATGCCTTCCATTAGCTCCTACCGGCGCTGTGGAGATTTCCAGGCAGGGACAAAGGTAAGCTGGGGGACGCAAAACCGCCAAACCCCGGTTCGCAAACTTGGCGATGGGTACTGGGAGGTTCGATGCGCCGATGCCACCGCTAATATGTATCTGGCCGTCGCGGCTATTCTAGGCGCGGGACTGTTGGGAAGCCGGAATGAGGAGCCTCTTTCATGGGAGGATATGTCGTTCTCTTCTGGCTCCAAAACTGCCTATGAGGAGCTTCCACGAACTATCACTCACTCACTTGATTCCCTCGAAGGGGTCTCTGATGAGTTCTTGGAAATCCTCAGCAGTAAGGTTGCCTCGAGGTATTTGTATGTAAAACGGAATGAGGTTCGGGCTTTAGAGGGGCTTGAGTCGTATGGACTGAGCCAGCTTTTATCGAAGGTCTTCTAGCCCACTCATCAGAGTGTATTGGTAATATACCAATTAATTCTTTACTTCACATACTTCCGTACACTCAAGTGCTTTTCCAGTCAAATCAAGGGTGCCTCGCATCTGTCTGAATGGATTATGAGAGAATTTATGGAAGTACATGAGAAAGCCCTGGAGTAATGGACAGACTTTTCATACGGAAAGTCGAAAAATTACCTGATCCCAATCTTGGATGGTTTAGTAAAGACGGGTGAGTTCAGTAATATAGTTGATTTGAAATCCATAAGCCACTAAATCTTTGGCTTGTAGTATTCGGGATATGATGTTTGATATCCTAGAATATACTTCCCCAGCACAACACCCCCAAGGAAGTTCATGCACACACCTAGAAACCTAGCGAGGATACGTGGACCAGGCAAAGCAAGTACAACACCTCCAGCCCAATTAAACAATAACACTTGCGGTAAGCTTCTAGAGAGACCCGCCTTACGACAGTCATCACGATAAGATTGCACATTTCCTAGTCAAATAAGCACAGTATCTAGTAAAAAAAAACATGTCTGTAAACCTACGGAAAAATGCCTCGTCCCTTTCTTTCCATTTTGGCTCCAGGACAAACTCAATCACGAGCTCATTCTCGGCACTTGCATTGCAGAAGGTGTGGAAGGTTTTGATCGGGATCAGCATGGTTTGACCGCTTGTTTTGATTATTTCTTGTCCCTCGTAGATAAATTTAGCAGACCCGCTAATCACATGGAAGGTTTCAGTCTGATTCCGATGCCAGTGAAGTGGTGGGCGCAGGGCTATATTCTTGTTCGTCTCGTTGGAACCGGGTGGCCAGCGATTCATGACGAGGTACTGGTCGTTGGGGGACTTGAATTCGATATAGGAACGGCCATCATCAAATAGGATTGGGTTGAGCCTATAGGTTGTAGTTCGTGGTACCTTCTTTGCTAAGAATGATAACATTTTCCTAGAACTTGTATGTTACTGGCTGATAGCGCAAGTCGAAAGGACAAACATCATCTTGGATGAAATCTGACCGCCTCGTTCTGCCACATCCGAGTCATTTTACTTGTCGAGTGACAAGCCTGTCCCAAAGGCGCCTCAGCCAATATACCCTCTTTATTCCTCAACTCTAAGTAATAGGCGTGTTTATCTAGCAGGCGTATAAGGGGCATACTGGGGCCGTGGGGCAACCCACTACGGATACTTAGTTTCCACTCTCCACCGTCTACGAGTACTAGGCCTTTTCTCCACGGTCATGATTCAAACTTATAATAATAGCGCCCCGCAACCTATTGTTTCGCATGCACGATGATCCACCAATGCAGATGCTTAGCTTCGGATCAGAGCTTGTGTAGGCGAGGTCATCCAATCTCTTATCACTTTATGTTGACACGGGCTAGACTCGGATTAACGCGATCAAGTCATTGATAAGCGATAACGACAACGATAAGAGGATCTGCAGCTTATGGTCCAAGTCATCAAAGATTATACCAACTCTCGCATAGCCTTCACGCTGCTACTCGCCCTATTGCTCATATTATACCTATCCTTCAATTTTTAACTACAGTCTATACTTGCCTCTAGAGCCCTCTGTCAGGATATGTTACCCCGATGTCTTCAAGTCCGTCCTCCCATTTGAGCGTCAGCCTAGCGAGGCCCCTGAAGTCCCGACTCGGTTGCAAAACATGCAAGGCCCGAAAGGTCAAATGCGGAGAAGAAAAGCCAAGTTGCCTGAGGTGCAGTAGCACAAGGCGAAAATGCGAGTATGAAAGTCACAAAGACCGGGCACGATTCTCCACGGCATCAGCATCGGATATGTGCACCGTTGGCGTGCTGAATATGCCCCTTTCATTATCTCCGAATACGGCTTGGCGTGAGCGTCGCGCTTTTGCTTATTATTTTCAATATGCTGCTGCGTCTGTTGGGGGTGGGCTGGATCTGGACTTTTGGCGCACAATCGTACCTCAGGTTTGTCGGAGTGAGCCTGCGGTGTGGGATGCTATGATCTGTATTAGCGCTCTAATCGAAAGTCCTGACCCTTGTACTGATCTTGATCCATTGCGCTTTGTTTCGCGCAAGCTTGATCAGAATCAACAAGATGCATTGGACTGGTATGCGCGCTCTGTGTCTGCTGTGCGGCAGGGAATTTCCCGTGGTAGCGTTGACGCCTTTGTGGGGCTGATCACCTGCATCTTGTTCATATGTATCGAATCCCTCTTTGGAACTATAGAGGAAGTCATGCGACTATATGCTCAAGGTGTGCAGCTCATTCTCACATTGCGCGCTCAAAAGGCCTTTAGCAGATTAAGTTTGCTGAAGGAGACGATTATTCCGATCTTTGCCCGGTTAGGAGTATTCTCTCCTAGCGCCAATTGGGATGTTGCCATGCCTTTATTAAAGGAACTCGAAGCATATGCATCGGTTTCTACGCATGAATTTTCGTCCCTTAAGTTCGCCCGGGAGGCTATCGTTGTGCTCGCCGCAGAGATTCCCCTCTTGGAGTCAGACTGCGAAAAGTATCTACAAACCTCAGGCGCCTGGTACATATCAGACGAACTGGTGGAGCGGCAAACTATTCTCGTCGCTCGCCTCGAGAGTTGGCATATTGCCTTTACGAACCTGATGAAATCTCTACGTGCCTCGAAAGCTGGGCTACCTGTGTCACAACTCAGTGCCAGCGCTCTTCTCATGACATACTATGAAATGTTATCCGTTATTCTCGCAGTCTGCGTATCGCCAATGCGAGTTAGTACGGACGCTTTCACACTCAATTTTCAAACGATTGTCGAACAATCTTCTATCGCGTTGGATAGCTCTGCACGATCGAATGGCATCCTCCCACCATTCACATTTGAAATCAGCATCGGCCTCCCCCTTTGGTTCACCAGCCTTCGCTGTCGAGAGCCTACCATCCGACGTGCGGCACTGGATCTCCTTGCTCGGTCGCATCGAATTCAGGGACTTTACAAGCGCGACCACGGTACCATTATGGGCGAAAGGATCATTTTTTTAGAGGAAGCAATCGCCAAGTCGAAAAAGGACGCATCTTCTCCCAAGACCGGGTACATCACACCAAGTAACGAATCGATCCATTATGGAGATATGAGCCCGGCCAGGCCCTTCAATATTCCACCTCTTAAAGACATTGCGGGTCCGTCTCCTCCTCTTTCTGACATAGAAAACAATATTCGAACATCGGCATCGGCATCGGCATCGGCAGCTCTAATTCCACAAGAGGCGCGAATTAGACCCCATGGTATCTTTCGGCCGCAAGACGGCTTCCCTCCTGAAATAAAGAAAGAGGATATTGCACACTGGGGACGGCGTAGTGATCAGTACTTTCTACAAGTCTCATGGAATCAGTGTGACTCGTCTAGCGACACGTGGGAGATGATCTTTGGGTGCATCCCAATTGATATTGAACATAGCGAGATCATTAAATTTTGACAAGGAAGCTCTACGACAAATGCCTTGGATATATGTGTGGTTAGTCAAATACATGCAGTTCTTCCATCTAAAATAAAGAATAAGACAATATGGAATTCAATAGAGGCTTGGAAGCTACCAAACATGACGGGACCCGCCAACAACCCCGCACCGGGATTGGCCGTCAAACTCCAACCTCATCTTCATCCCACAACAGCCTTCACTCCAAAGCCATGGCAACTCAGTCAAACCCCGTATCACAAGGAACATTCACAATCCACTATTTTGCGACGGCATCTCAATTCACAACAAAAAACACCGAGAGTCTACCCGCCCCACTTCCACTGGCACAACTCTCTCCTCTACTAGAAGAGCGATACCCTGGTATCAGGGAAAAGATTCTCGTCAGCTGTGGTGTCAGTCTTGATGGAGAATATGTGGACGTTGAGGAAGATGCGCAGGCAATCATTCAAGCTGGAGCGGAGGTTGCGATCATTCCGCCTGTCAGTTCGGGGTAGTCAATCATCTGAATCTTAGGCGGGGATTACTTGCGTCCAGCCTCAGTGGAATTACTTGGTTTTCGTGATTTGACCAGTCCGGTTTGGTCAGGGACATATTTGGTTGGGAAACTGGCGTTTCCCATCGATTTTTTTTTTTGGTATTTCAGGTCAAAACGCCCAACGCCGAAATTCATGAATACATTGAGATCAAACGCCAAAATGCCGTGCGATCATGAGAATCAAATACATAATGCCTGTCCCCAAGAGCTCCCCATTACAACGTTGTCCATACTTTGCCCATTCTCTTTGATATGTTTCCATATCGGCCCGTCCTAGTTGACTATAGTTAGGTCTATCACTCCGTGTATTATTACTTCTCCTCGCTGTTCGCAAGAACCTTCTTCTGTCTCCACAGAATAACACCACAGATGCTCGAAAAGAAAAACAAAATACTAAAAAGATGTCAGTAGTCGAACAGAATCTTCCTTAGATGAAGAGAGAGAATACTGACCACATAGCAATACTCAACCCCCAAACAGCCTTGGTCTCCAAACAAATCGCCTTCGAAGCCCCAATCCACGCCTCGTAATCGATCTTCCCGGTCAAACTATCCAGATAACCATCCAAATGCTCTGAAAACGCATACGCAGCTGCATCTGAATCGCCTAGATCGGATAGCGATGAACAGCTTAGGTATGAGAGTGGTTCTCCCATAATGACAGCGACGACGATCATGCCGATTAGAATGAGGAAGTCTAGGCCGGCCGATGGAAGGAATGGGAGGATGTCGTCTAGGAAGAGTAGTTGGGAGATTATGCAGTAGATAACGGCAATGCAGGTCTAGTTCAGTGTTAGTGGAGTTGTTAAGAGAGTTGAAAGATTGTAAAGGGAAGCAGTAGCTTACCACGCTGATTGCCCCAATTAGAATGTTGGGTGGTGTGTCGCCTTGTCCTACTATAACCGCAATGAACTTTGCTATCATCCCAATGATAGCGATGAGAGAGCAGCATTGGAATAGGCGGGCGATCTGGAAAGTTGCGCCGAGAGCTCCATAGCGAGAAGCCATTTTGTCGAACAAAAAAAAGAAAAATAGATCGAATTGATTAATTCAATGACTGTATTTTCGCTTGGGATGAAACAAAATTCGAATCGAAAGATAGGCTTGGATTCGGCGTCGGATCAAGGCGTGCGAGCGTTAATACTATCCCGAGGTCGAAAGAGTGTCGGTGCGACGCGATTAATATATGCTGATTGGTGTAGAAAGAATAGTAATGAGAGTGTTGGGGTAGGCAAGAATTCAAAACAAGATAAAGAAATCGCTGAAAGAGTTGATGATAGTGAAAAGAAGACCGTAGTTTAATTCGCGAAATGACATCCTTTATACTCTTCGGCATCGACGCCACCATAACCGCCCGCATCACTAACAAAGCCTCAAAGAAAGGGTCTAGATTCCCCGAATTAGCAGCAGGTCCAATCTAGACTTGGTCAATCTGTTGAGCCCCGGCAGAGCGTCAGAGAATGTCTAAGACCAGCCTCCGGCGAAACCCAACATCCAATCACAATAGAAAGGGGACTTATCCTGATAGAGCAATCTACAGATTCATAGCTCGAGCTCTGAATAGCTCTAGAGCTTTGTAGGTGTGTCAAAAGTTCAATCTGGAGTAGATCGGCTGTCATGGCGCCCGCGGCTCCACCTCGGCGCGTGGAGAAGAAGGCTATCTACCCCGGGCGCTTCTGGACCACTCATTTCTTCTGACGATTCTGATCTGACGCAGGCGCTTACTTAAATGGGCCAGGCTGGGCTAAGGGGTTCCTGCGTTTCATCCGTGTCCCATTTCTATTTTAGTATGTGCATGATTTTGTTATTCTCCAGTTAAGTATCTGTTCGCTCCACGCGATCGATGGGTCTATTTATCGCAGTGTCGAGTTAACGATAGCTTATTGGAGTTTGCCCAAATAGACAATCATTCTGCTCAGTATCGAAGAAAAAAATTCATTAAATACAATTATATCTCCGAAACGAGTATCCAGCGTCAGTGGCGTCGTCACTACTGGAGTCGCCAACCACCACTGGTCCGCGTCTGGAAGAATCCGTCGGGATCAACATTAAGGCGAGTCTTCAGCGCCAGTGCCTTTGAATCTGGGTTAATGCGGCCCCAGTAGTCCTGGCGGTAATAAGCGTCATTCATGAATAATGGTCGGTACACGTCGGGCAGAAGTCCCTCGTCAATGTTCTTCTGAACGAGATTGCCCATTCCCTGGTACACGTTCTGAGTGGCTTGGTCAATTGTTTCGTCGTCAACCGCAAGCGAGTAAGAAAAGTCAAACTCGAAGAAGATGTAGTTTTGATCGTCGGGGACATCGAGAAGATCCTGTTTCCGTTAGCCTCTATTCACGTGTCCAATTCTGCGATGCTTACTCCGCCGCGCTCCTTGGCTTTCTTGGTGAATGCCATGGGAACTGGTTGGAAGGCAATTGATCCGATGACGCCAGTGACGCCGAGGACAGACTCGGTCACATTGTACCAGTGGTCGAAATACTCTTGCATCACGTCAAGTCCAATAGTAGAGTTTGGCACGGGTGTCGACTCCGTCGCAATGGTGTAGCGTTGGCCGCTGCTTAGGTTAGCGTAGTTCATTAAGCGAAGATCAATGTACTCACTGAAGAATGAACTGGTCGTTGTTTTTCAGCAGGTCATAGTATGAGTCCCATGTCTTTGTGGTGGACGAGTGATCGATGGCCTCGAATTCGTCGAATACCCCAGCTGGTGGCTCGGGTCCATCATAGAAGAGGAACATAATCCAGAAGTCAACGACCCCGATAACTCCATGCTCTGCGGTCAAGATAATAGCGGCCTTGTCATCGGGGTAGTTGTCCACGAAATTGCGCAGTGCCGTCAGGACTTGAGGTGTCTTGTCCTTGGTGTAAACAAAGTTGCCACCCCAGACCTGATCGATAGGGTGGGTCTCCATGGTGTAGGCAGTGACAACACCGAGGTTGTTACCTCCTCCCTTGAGGGATGCAAAGAGATCTATCACAGATCAGCCGGGATCATGACCCGAAGCAAGCCTTGAAATGAACTTACCAGTGTTCTCATCCTCATTGGCATCGACAACTGTGCCATTAGCCAGAACAACTTGGTAGTTTACCACATTGTTGGCGGCCCATCCGTACTGGGTACTCAAGAAGCTCATTCCCCCTGGTCAAGTCAAAATCTTGTTGAAACATGCCATTCTCACCAAACATACCTCCAAGCATATATCCTCCGATTCCAACACCACCCAATCGGCCTCCGACAACGGCCCGTCCTGTGCCTTCCAGTCCCTGTTGTGCCTCTTCCCACGAAATACCAGGCCCAATTACAGCAGTCTGTTCATCTTCATCATAATCCACCTGATCCAGGTTCTTTGTCGAGATCAATAATCCACCCTCAATGCTAGCGAATCCATTGTTCGGCATATGTCCACCAGATTTGACGGCAAACAACGTCTCGAAATCATGCAGCTTAGTGATAATCTGCGACATCTCCGCTGCACTGGAGGGGGCCGCAATGCATGTTGGTTTGAGGTCACCGCATGCTGCGGACCAGTAATCTGACAGGGCACTCGTGTAGTCTAGCGTCAACGGGTATTCAATTGAGATTCCGCCCTGCGCGAGGACCGAACAGATGTCGGCTTTTGCGACGGACGCAACTGATGCGATGATTAGTGCAAAGGCACGCCAGGAAACCATTGTGTCGAGCCAGATGGGGTGAATGTGAATTTGGCAAAATGTTGATATCAACTTGAGGAAATTATAATTATTGAATAAGAAGGACCGTTTCTGAGAACGCTGTTGATATTTTCACCAACGCCCGGTAGACAGGAGCGGGGACTCATTGGTATAAGTAGTTTTGAGCTGGCGTTGTCTGGGCCGCTAGCCCATGTGGATCCAATAGTGTGTATGCCATGGTACCAAGAGACCCCCGCGAAGCGAAGTGGATATGTGGGAATAAAGCTCCGAGTGCAGATACTGGTTTTAGTAAGGAGCATCAAGGCCTTGTCTCCGGGGTTAATCACAAATTGGCTAAAAAAATCGCAGAGACGCATGCAAGTGATTGAAAAGATGCACATGAAGAAGAATGCCGGCCTCAGGGTTTTTTTTTCGGGAAACATCCTGTTGTCAGGTAAGGTCAATTCCAATTGACACTGTGAACTAGACCTGGCGATCGCGAAGGGAAAGTGTATCCATTGGGAAGGGCCTGAGCTATTCGCTCGGGGGATAATGCCACTAACTCGATATATCCAAATGCTCCGGTTGGTTTCTAGTTCCAGTCTAGTCTATGGCGGTGTCATGATAGATCAGGACTCGGTGGGATCAACAGTTGACTCCGAGATGGAGATAGGGACTGGAACCCACACAACACGTGTAGTTCATGTCATCCTAAATGTTCAATTCTGCCATAAGCGTTATCCCAGAGATACGCAGATTCACTGCAATTTGACCAAACCTCCCGTCGCCCCAATCAATATGAATGTTGAGAGGGATCGTGAGACCCTTCGGGATCTACGGCCGTCTAGTCTGCCGGGTGGGACGCGCGGGGGAATTCCCCTGAACGGTTCCTGTGCATAGCAAAGGTAAGCAGCTCGGGCCAGGGCTCGCTTAGACCAAATGAGAAATGATAGTCGCTGCCAACCCTGTTTTTAGAAGGTCTGCCAATGCGATCAGCAGAACTAGAATTAGAGTCGCCCTATGTGCAACTGTTAAAAACGGGGGTTTGTCCATCACATGAAGCCGTAGCGAAATACCGCGGGCCGGGGCTGTACGAATGCGAAAACGCATATGTGATTTCGATTGGAGATGACAGATCTTTCTGCTAAAATTGCATAAGAATTGCATGTCACGAGAAAGACGTCTGTGGCTGTAAATTGTGGTTGAGACGCTATGCATGGCGCTCAATCGGAGAGAACCCAATACACCGATCCAGATGTCTCACTTCTATGGAATGAATGGCTGACGGACCTAATCCTCAGGTTTGTCAACGATGTACCAATTGTTCTACTATAGTGAATTGGGCAATCGTTCAAAAAGATTGCATCTTTAATGTTAAAAGCTCGCTCGGCGGACTATCGAAGCCGTGTACTTTTTGTAGTCCTAGTAGAGTAGCCAGGAGGTGAGATTCTGTATCATTTGTACATTGTACTTCCTGATGAATTGCATGTAATTTTCCAACAAACTCTCGGGTATAATAGTATTCATTGTCTTTGCCGTGGGTTACTGCTGTCCTGATGTCCATGGTGTGGTGGTCGACACCTGAGGTGTCAGCGCTTACACACCGCCTCAAAGCGGTGGCTAATATGACCGCAGAATTATACACCTTTCAATGGCGTCGCGGTTCTGCGACCTCAAACACAACCATGGTCTGGCTAAAGACTGGGTCGTTGCAGAGACTTGCAACTGCAAGAAATGTCTGCGCACGATCCACGATAAGGCAACGACAAGCAGCTGGTCTTTCGCTGCTACCTCGTGTGCCGCACGGACGCTTACTATCCACCACAAAAATCTTGGAATCCGGCAATCAAGTATGGAGAACAATTTGCAATTGACGTACTTAGCTGACCATCTCAACTAGGTGCCAGAGCAAGAATCGGATATCAACCCAAGAGCACCAATCGATCAGTCACAGAGCCTCCCGGAAGCCCTCCACAAAGCCGAGATCGAGGCCTACAAAGACATTCGAGGATACCTTTCGAACTGGCAGGCCAATAATTCAAACATCTTAGATCCTGTACAAGAGCCAAACCAAGACGAGGATGCTGGCCCGTTGCTGGGCTCCATGCCCAACGGTCGAGACACTTATGGCGATTCCGTATGGAATGATCCGAGCCTCTCGAAAGAAGATGACATAGATACTTCGGAGGAGTTTCATGGCGACCATCTTGAGCCTGGTGATTTGGTGGCTGAGTTAGTGGCGGACGGGACCTTTAAATGGGCAATATACGTGCAGTCTGTCCAGAGACAACCGCAGTTCTACGTCAACCGCGGAAACTGGCGGCTCTGCAAAGCTCGCGAACTGGACTACGTGATCAAGAACTTTGCTCCTGCTGAGTTATTGGATCCAATCAAGCCATATTTCCCTAAAACAACACCTATGATCAATCAGGAGATTCAGCATGTGCCAGAGGGCGGCGTTCCACGGCCACTCGCTGCTCCTCTCCTGGATATGATGAACAATTTTCAAGGTCATGTCTTGGACTTTTACAGAGCTCACTCGTCGAAGTTGGATAATCTACATGATCTCGTCGCCGATGATTCCGAATTCCGTCGCTTGAGCATTGAAGAATTAACTATGAAGGTCCTGGGCATCGAAGAGTCCGAACTTAACAGCGTCAACCTCTTTGCTGTCCACCAGGCTACTCGGAACAACCCATTTCTAATTGAGAAGGACTCCACCTCACTTTTCAGTTCCACGTACCTTGTGCAACCAAAGCGGATTGCCAAAGTTGTTGAGCAAGTCACCACTTGGGCTCATGAGCACCAGGATTATCTCACTCGATTTGCTATGGGAAAGAGCCACCAGGCTTTTCTAGATCACAAGGCTACAAGTTCCACAGGAATGACGGCGGACAAATTTCCACAGCATCCAATTCAGCGATTTACTCAAAAGGCACAGCGCCTGATCCGCCTCAGCCGAAAAGTGCGGTCGCCTACAATCATGTCTAGTGTGGGGCCATCATTGCAGCAGTTTGTACCTGGTCAAGATGGCAAGGCGATGGCCTACCGCGAGGTTTTGACCGAACAATTTGATCAGAATGACCAGATGATTATTGAATACCTCCAATTGTATGCAACGCCATCAGTGATCATGCCATCGGGTACTTTGAAGTCGACGGCCTCGCATATCATGCGAGTGACTGGCATGTACAATACCCTCGGCCTCAGCGAGTCCTCGACTCGCATGTTCTTACAGGAGCTGGGTGTCATCTCTCCGTGGGAGAATTTGAGTCTGCTGGATCAGAACTTGATGTTACCAGGACATGGGGTGTCTCTCCTTGAAGATATGCGCTGGGAGGAAATCGAAGAATCTTGGAAGAACAAAAACTCGCTTGTCGATTCTATGCAGCACCTACGAAAAGACTGGGGAGATCTGCCTATTTACTGTATTGACGATGTCACTGCACAGGAGATTGATGATGCAGTCTCTCTGGAGCGCATTGCTGGGTCGGACGACACATTCTGGGTGCATATTCATGTCGCCAATCCTACAGCTTTTTTGAAGTATAATGATCCGACCATCGAGTATGCTGCCTCGCGATTGGCGACTCTGTATGCTCCCGAGCGGACATACCCTATCTTCCCGGAATCTCTGACGCAGGGGCACTTCAGTCTTGCACCGGGTCGACCGACCCTGACATTCAGTGCGAAGATAAACCTTGATGGAGAGGTCCTGGACACCCAGGTGGCAAACGGGACTGTGCACAATGTCATCAGTGTTACGCACAGCGCCTTGCGGAAATACCTCAATCCCGATGCAAATGAGTCTCAAGAAACCCTCACTGTCGGCAATTTCGTCAAGACCCCGTTGCCCAAGGGCAAAGAGTTCCGCGAGACACTCACAGCCGAAGATAAAGACACCTTTACCACCCTGCGCAAGCTGATGCTCGGTTTCCGCACCCAGCGCCAGAAGAACGGTGCTATGGACATGCAATCTATGCGCCCCAACATGTCCCTTACTATCCAAGCAGGCACAGCCCCACTCAAACCCTACGAGATGCAAGTCACAGAGGGAAGATACTACATTGGCGACCCAGCCATCCGACTGCGCATACAGGATTTCAACCCACACGAGGTCCGCGACGAGTCAAAAAACTACCTTGTCTCGATGCTGATGAACCTGGCTGGTCATATCGCCGGCCAGTTCTGCGCTACTCGTAATATTCCCGCTGTCTACGACGGTACCTGGTATGATCCGGAAAACGGACGCGTCACGCCTGAGAACATGAAGCAGTTCGGTGGCCAGAAGTTTTTGGATCTGGCTATGCCGAAGGCATTTTCTTCTTCTGAGCCTGTGCATCATCATATGCTTGGGCTGGATGCATATGTTAAGAGCACGAGTCCGTTGCGTCGGTTCACGGATGTGATTGCGCATTATCAGATTGAGGCTGCGTTGCGCTTTGAAGCTGAACATGGTCGTCCATTTGATGGAGTCGCTGATATGCCCAATCCTGAGATTGAAGAGCAAACTCGGGATCAGGATCAAATTTTATCAACCGAGGCTGAAGTTGAAACCGAAACAACGCTCAAAACGGAACCCGAAACTTCACTTCAACCCCTTCCATACACAAAATCCGACCTAGACTCCCACATCCTCTACTCAATTCCAACTCGCACCCGCCTCCGCGATGTCTCTACGTACTCATCCCAACACTGGGCCTGCATGCTCCTCTTCCGCGCGTTCTACTTCGGGGGCTGTGAACTACCAGCAACATTCCCCGTCGTGCTACGCATGCGGCGCATTCTCCCTGAGCGTGATGGAACTGTGTATTCTGGCGTCATTGCTAATCTGGGAGTTACCTGTTCTGTTGCTATACCGGATGATTGTGCGGACAGGGAGCGGATGGATATCTTTGGCATTGTAGACGCGAAGATTGTTGCTGTTGATATGGCTAGGTTGGAGGTTCGCATGGAGGCTCTGAGTTTGATTAGGGAGTATGAGAGAGTTGGAGAATGGGCTTGAGCGACCTTTATCTCACGGGTCATTGGCATGGTTTGCCGTGTACTATATTGTACTATATTGTATTATACCATTTCTCTACTTAGAAACTGCATATATGGGTATCCTCTTTCATGTTATTTTGTCTCGAGTAGGAGAGCTGCCAAGCGGGAATGGCATATGATTATCTTACAGTCTATTATACACTATCATACAATCCAAGAGTCGGGGTTTCCTAAACCCCAAACACCTCTTTAACAAGAGCCTTCTTATTCACCTTCCCCATGGCATTCCTGGGAATACTCTCCAGAGTTTTCATCTCCTGTGGAATCTTATACCCCGCCAACCGATCCTTCAATGCACGACGCATATCCATCGGACCCCACGACTTGCCATTTCGTCCGCTTGTCGCTGCGTCGGGGTTAAGAACCAACACGACGGCGACTTTTTGACCCCATTGTTCGGATGGAAGGCCGACGACGGCTGCTTCGGTAACTTGGGGACTGGATGAAGTATTAGCATATCCTTTCGCGTAGAGATACCTTGAAGACCAAAATTGGGAATGAGGAACATACAGAGAAAGTAACTCCCTCTCAACCTCTAAAGCGCTCACTTTCTCGCCTCCCGTTTTGATGATATCAACACTCTTCCTACCACTGATGAAATACATAGGCCCTTGCGCCCACTCCCCGCTACTTCCCTTGCCAACTCCGTCGACGACCCGTCTCGTGGCAACATCTCCAGTCCGGAACCAAGGTTTCCCGTTGTCATCTGCTTTAACGAAGCTTTCCATCGTGGCTTTCTCGTTTTCCCAATACTCGCGGAAGATCGTTTCCCCCCGCAACTGGATCTCGCCTTCTAGTGCTCGGCCATTGCCATCAGTTTCTTGACCAACGGGGATGACTTTGTCCGTCTCTGTATCGACGAGACGGGCTTCGACACCGGGTAGTGGCCATCCGACGCTACCGTCAACGCGGTCAACTGGGTCGAGTCCACAACTAATTGCCATGCCAACTTCTGTCATGCCGAATCGTTCGAGAAGGATGTTTCCACCGCTAAGGGAGGACCATTTTTCTTTTGTGGGTCTTGGGAGCGCTGCTGAGCCAGAAATGTTGAGGCGGAGGTGATTTGGGTGTACACCTTTTCGTGCTGCAGATTGAACATCCGGGGAGAGAGATTGGAAGGATGACATTAGGCGGTTGTATATTGTTGGGACGGCGCTTAAGAAGGTGATTTTTGATTTGGTCTCTTCAGATGGGAGAAATGGTGCGGCAAGGCGGCGCCAGACCTGCTCTGGATTGAAGGGGTACATGAATTCGATAGAGGAGCCTGAAATGATTGGTGTTATGGTTGCGTTCACGACGCCGTGAATGTGGTGGAGTGGGAGCAGGTGTAATAGGCGGTCTTGTGGTGAGTAATTCCATGCTTGTATAAGAGATGATGCTTGAGCAGCAATTGCAGACTCGGGGATCAATACACCTTTCTGTTATTCTTTTAGTGATTGTGTTAACGAAGAGAGGGGTTGTTCCTACCGGTCGATTCGTAGTTCCCGAAGTATAAAGCATCATCCCGGACGAAGTCTGTTCACGACTATCCAACTGAACAGACTCTGCCACCGCACCGACCTCAATCTTCCGCCTAACATCAAACAAAGGATCTAACTCCAGCCCGGCCTTGAGAACCTGGCTGGCCTTATCAGCATACTTCTCCGTCGCAAGAAGCACCTTGGCCTGCGAGTTATCCATAATATACTGTAGTTCACCAACGGGGAACGATGGAGACAACGGCAGCGCAATAGCGTCACTGGCAAAGATTGCCAAGAGAGTTATAACATAGTCATAGCTATTCTCTGCCAAAAATGCAACCCGCTCCCCAGCCAGCTTGCCCTGTGCTTTGCGCTCGAGATCATCTTTCGCGCGGAGGACGTCGCCGATGAGATTGCCGTATGTGAAGCTGCGGGTTGATGTGCTGTGCAGAACTGCTAGACTAGAGGGATCGTGCTTTTGCAGGGCGCGGAAGATCGCGATATTGGGGAGCGTGGAGAGGAGCTTCCTATGTGCTGAGAGAGTCGTCGTGCGTGCATGTGCATGGATGCGCAGGCGCGGTCGCAGGAATCGCGGGGTTAGGATGCGGGTGGACATGGTGAACAATGAAACTAGACTGAATGTATCATGTTAATTCGAACTTTACGAAGTCGAGAGCCCAATGGCTTGGGGATAGACCTTGGTGACGGTTGATGTCATAGAGAAGTTCCGCGGCAACAAAAATGTTATCCGCGCTTTCCCTTCTCCGCTTATCGCTTCTATTCGTGGCCTGATTCTCTTACTCTATTTTGCTCTCAATATCTCCTTGTGGTCCTCCTCCTTCTCTTCCTTCACAACTCCAATGCTTCGCTCTCTTCCACTCCAGTTCCCCCGACGCTTGTTCTCCGTCTCCGCCAAAATGGCCTCCACAACCCCGATGGAAGACCTCATGCGCGACAAGGTACACCCAAGCTTTGTTCAATCCTACGAACCCCACACTGAGATTCCTAGATTGCTCACGCATTCACTCCCTCAACACTCATAATTCGCAATGATTCCCACAAGCACGCGCACCATGCTGCCATGCAGGGAGCCACATCGAAGGAAACGCATTTCCAGTACGAATCCCAATGTACCCTTGATAATCTATGCAATTGAGGATAGCCTGTCGCTGGACTCATGCTCGTTACTTTTCAAGGTTACTGACCGCTCGTTATCTAGTGTCACGATTACCTCCGACTCTTTTGAATCGAAGATGCAGCCTGCGCGGCATCGGATGGTGTATGCCTTGTTGAAGGAGGAGATGAGTCAGGAGGGCGGCATCCATGCGTTGCAGTTGAAGACGAAGACGCCCGCTGAGGAGAAGCGAGAGAAGGAAAGGGAAGCGCAGGCATAAGGATACAATTGAAGCATTGATTATATTATAGTGTATCCATAGAGATTGATACCCGATTGGAAGAATTAATTGATCAGTGAACGACTGATTACAAATTACACATATAGACGGCTATCAATTAATACGGTATTACATAGATTCTAGCGCCAAACAACCGGGCATCGACATCGACAGAAAGCAAACACTCTAGTATATACATCCAAGGACTCCGGACATGGCCATCGCACGTGGCGACGCAAGTTGCTCAAGGAGTCCAAAGGAGCACAAGACAGGTCATAATCAGCTAAGCGCTTACGGTGGTCCGTCTTAGCGCAGCTGTACGCGAAGGGAGCAGCAGAAATATGGAAAAGAAAAACACAAGGAAAAGAAGCGAAGTGGATCGAGCATTGCTTTTACACAGAAACGAAGACGAATTGGAACATGCGAGAAAGTGGTATAGAAACGAAGGGTTCGAGGGCATGGGACATAGGGGAATTGAATGATAACACAGGGCGATGGGGACTGGGCGGGATTTGATTCAGACGTGAATCCATGCAAGTCGAGTCGATGCCATGCCAGTTCGGGGAAGTCGTGCACGGGTGGGAAAATGGGATTCGTAGCGCGAAGATGTACTAGTTCTTGTTGGCCTCGGTGACACCAACGGCGACGGCGATAATGATGACAATGATGAGGACTATATTGGTCAGCTGGGTTCATGGAGGGGTACAGTGGGGCAACTTACTAACGATACCCAAGGCGTACCACTTCCATTTGCGGGCATTACGAGCGCTAGTAATGGCACTATCAAGCTTGGTGTTGGCTTCCTGCACGTTGTGGTGGGTTTCCTCGGCGCTCTGGTTGATCTGCGTAACCGCAGGCTCTTGCTGGTGAATCAACTCCGCAACTTCCTGGTATAACTGACCAAGCTGGATCATATCCTGCTCAATCTTGCGGATAGCAGCGGATCGCTGCAGAGTAGCTTGGCGGGCATCGTTAGCCTGGCGCGAACGAGTACCGGGGACCTAAAGCGAAAACGATATTAGTAAGAACGGCCATGCGTTAAGATTCGCTAAAATAAACGGATCCAAACCTACCGCAAAGCTCTGTTCCTGGCCGGCCAAGACAAGCTGCACACCCTGCTCCAACTCCTCGGGGGTGGCCTCGGGGTTGGCAATCTCGTAACGACGTCGCACCTGCTCCTCAAGGCGCTTCTGGAAATCGGACTGCGTGCGCTGGTACTGCTCGATCTCGCGACGGAGGTTGCGGTTGACGTTCTCGACCTGGCCAGACACCCGGGAGTCGCCGGATCCAGGAGTCTCCTTGATGCGCTTGAACTGGTCGCGCAGGTAGCGGAGAGCGGTATTGATCTCATCCTCAATGTAGTCGACGTTCTGGCGGGCGGATTGGTCCTCCTTACCGGTGCTCGAGTCCAGCAGGGCGTTCTGGGCAGAAACAAGCTGGCCTTCGCGCTTGGTGCGCAGCTCAGTAATGGCATCGTTCATCTCTTTGCACTTGTTCAGAATCGCGGTCGGGCCACCTCCAGATTGCATGTTGGACATCTCTGAAGAGGGGGCTGGGTTAGCGCATTGCGATGCTGTCGGATTTGGTTCACTCACCATATCCACCATTGCCTTGCTCAGCGGCACTGGCCTGGTTGTAACCACCTCCATATCCATAGCCCTGCTCCTGGTTGGCATACGGGTTCTGCTGCTGCTGACTTCCATAGGGGTTGTATTGGCCGTAGCCCCCCTGGCTGTTATCCCCCAAGCTCTGGTACTATCATCGTCAGACACTTCACCAAAGGGCCACATCACTGATTGACGACTCACACTCATTATGACAGATTAAGATGGATAAACAAAGATGACGAGCAAGGGGTTTCAGGTTTGAAGTGAAAGAAGAAGGGTGAGACGGGAGAAGTGGAGTTGCAGGCGGTGGTGGAAAGAGAAAGGGCAGAATGTTTCACTTTTGTTCACAAAGTGATAGTCAGGGGTTTATTAGAATTAAATCAAAAATTACAAAGTCAATATGAATTTGTTCAAATTGGGTTGGAATCAAGTGCAAAGATAATGGTTCCTGCGTGGGTGTTGGCCTCCTTACAGTGGAACCCCTTTGGCCCCGGAATGATTGTGGCTGAAGCTGCACGCTGTTCTATTTATGAGGCTCGGATCGGCGATACGCAGTGGATCGACCCTTGCACGTCAGGGAAAGCATTTCCACTGAAGTACTGGTACTTGTCCACTCCTACTCTCCCGCACGTATTTATGTGTACCCGGTACATGTCACCATATCGACGCTGGGTGGCAACCAAGTCTGCACGTCATGATTGTGCACAGCGGGTCTCTTTTTCCATACATAATTCAGGGTTCAAACCCAGATCCTTGAAGGAAGTATAATGTATAAGATATAACAATAAGGATGCCTAGTTTCCATCTTTACAAGCCGCAGGCAGACATCCAGCCATGGAAGCGCCCGTTATATATAATATCCGCCGTGTCGCCTACGCCACATGCTCAGGTGCGCACCACCTGGTACATGCAGTCTGACCACCTATAGAGGCCAATTAACTTGCACATTTCAAAATTATGACATTCAAGTCAAGCTCATCTTGAGCTAGCGCTAATATTTAGTGGGAGACAGATCCATAAATAGCACATAGGCATCAATTGATCTACCTAGGCATCTAGATACTTATTCCGGAGCCTTCGTAGGTGGGGGTGGGGCCATTGGAAAAAAGAAAATATAACTGACCGTTAGGACATCTCAAAGGACATTTGAAGCATGGATTGCACTTGTTCTGAATATTTAAACATTTGAAAATTTATTTATATAATATAGGGATTAACTATTTACTTCCTAATTTATAGGAATGGATTAACTCATGTCTCGTCCCACATATCTGCCCAGCAGTCTAGACGCAGGAAGACCCTGCTCCCACGCAGTGCAAATGCAAGCCCGAAAGCAAAGACTCGAACAAATACAGATCTACTGCTTCATGGACTGACGACGCTCCTCCTCAATAGGAGCATCGGGCATTCCATCGTCCGCATCGAGAGCGTTCATGTCATCCTCCTGCGCATTGAGGTGGTGGAACACGAACCAGAAGATGATACCGCACAGGAACGAGGCACAGGCAAGACCAACGAACATCCACATAATGGCGGGATCGAAGGCGGCAGGGGTCAGGGCCTCGGCGAGGGCGGATCCGAAGGCGTTGGTAAGGAGGTACATCGACTGCACGAAGGACTTCATGGAGGGAGGAGCCTTGGTGTAAGCGTACTCCAGACCGGAGACCGAGGCGAAAATCTCGGAGATACCGATGAAGACGTAGGCCGGGGTCTGGATCGCGATGTGGACGTTGTTGCCTTGGGCGGTACCGTCGACTTCAGACGCAGTGCAGAGCGGGTGGCCGTAGCAGGGTCCGGCGGAGTAGATCATGTGCTGCACAATGGCGGCGTACATCATGGCCAGGGAGGCGACGACGAAACCAAGCGCAATACGGGTGATAGGGCGGAAGGGGATCTTCATACGGCGCATGGCGGGGTAGACGAGAGTCTCGAGCAGGGGAATGAACACAATGATGGAGATGGGATCGAAGTTCTGCATCAAATCGTTGGGAATACCGTGACCCTTCATCTGACCGGCCTGGGTGACGAAGTTACCGGAGAACTGGCCGTATACAACCCAGTAGATGGGGTAGAAAGCGAAGACACGGCAAGCAATGAGAGCACGCTTGAGCTCGTCAATGAAGTGGTCGTCCCAGGGAAGGGAAACCTCAGCGTTGCCGTTGGCGATTTGCCAACTGGGCTTGGGAGCATCCATGTTGCGGTTCATAATCATCATACCCAAGGCCTTGAAGGCGTCGGTGATAATAGAGCCCTGGGGAGGGCGCACAACGTAGTACTTGCGACCCAGGACCAGGGTAAGAGTACCAACGGCGAACATGCACAGACACAGCAGGTAACCAGACCAGAAACCAATGTACAACTCCATGTATGGGGTGGCCAGCAGAGACAGAGAACCGACATTGATACATCCGTAGAAGATCATGTAGATACGCTGGATGGTCAGGGCAGGGTCGATAATCACGCGCTCACCCTTCTTAGTGGTGGTGACGGCCATCTTCTTGCGCTTATACTGGTCCGCAATCAGGGGAGCAACGTTACTCTTGATACCACCAGTTCCAAGACCAATAATCAGGATCGCCACAATGAAACCACCCAGACCAGCACCGTTCTCCAGAGCGACAGGGATGGAAGTGCAGACGAGGATCAAGAGACCAACGAGGTAGATACCGCAGAACCAGACGATGGTCTTGTACTTTCCGAGGTACTGATCAGCGACAATGGCACCGAGGATGGGAGTAACTACAGAATGCTTAGTTAGCCACCAAAATATCTTTAGTCAACCAAGCCCTAAGAAGCCTTACCATAACACCAGAATTGAAAGAAAGTGGTCAGACCAGTAGCACCCTGGTGAGCCATGCCGAGAGCACCACGTCCCTCACTGCCGTCGAGAGGACGCTGAATATAGTTCTGGAACATGCCAGACATTCCGTAGTAGGTGAATCGCTCGCACAACTCAACAATAGCCACCAGCCATGCTGAGATGGGCAAGTTCTCTGCGATGTGGCGAAGGGTGCGCTTCTCATCGTCGTTGGGCTCTTCGCCGTCCGCGGTCACCGAGAGAGCCTCCTTATCCATATCAAAATCCCGCTTCTCGTCGGTCACAATGACCTGCTCAACGGAAGTTTCATTGGCGTAGGCTCTGGAATAATGAGTCAGACCATTGCCAACATATGGGCATGGATATAGGATGCTGGGAGTACATACGGAGGAGTAACCTCAGCCACCTTGTCTGTGTTCGACATCTCAGATTACCTCACGATCGCAATCTAGTCTTCCAAGGGCACAATGGACGTAGAGTAAAGGGAAAAAAAAATCTAAAGCAACGGGCGACCGCGACCGTATACTATATAGTCAGTTTTTATTACCCAACACCCGAGGCGTTGTGGGGATGAGCACTCTTATCGGCGCTTGAACCGAGGGAAAAAAAAATATCAAGGCCAAGACTTTTGAATGAATGGGACGCCTTCTTAGTACAAGAGCTAGTCCCACTCACGCGACAGAAATGATTAAAAAAAAAACATTGTTCCCAGCGAAGTTCCCGTTCCGTGGATGCGATCGGCAAGTGTCTGTCGCGGGACGAATCGCAAGCCCGTCCATGCGTCAATGTAACCCCAGACATGGAAACACGAATGCAAAACAGTCCTCGAAATAAGTGATAGCGCAGTGGTAAGCAATATGCCAAGAATCTGCCAGGAGGGCTCCGATCAATCAGAACCAAGAAAACCCCGGGGCACGCGATTCTAGACAGGTTAGAGCCAAAAATCTTCCCACCCCGTTCCAAGCTCTCCACCCTTATCAGGGCGAATCACACCGGCAGTACCTGTCGGAGAATGCCGGTGACCAAAAACCTAGCGAGATTCTCCATTTCGGTATACTGCAGCCGGAGTCAGGTTCCAGTGGTCCCTTTCGCCACGAGGCGAATCTTCATCTGAACTCTGAACGGGTAAGAAGTCTTGGCGTCCAGCCGGAGTCAAATCCGCTCTCCGGAACTTTCGCCCATTCCGATCTTCCAATCTTCCATTCTTCAGCCGTCGACGGCGAGTTCGGGCTTTGGGGGCGTTTTTTTCCCCTTGTCCGGGATAGGCTTGTACCTGAGTTCGGTGAGCCGCCACATTGGAGGTATTCCAGGGGATGCGTAGAAGGCTTAGGTGTTTCAATAAGCCGACATGAAATTCCAGTCCGCTTTGACCTCGCAAGGGAATGGAGCAAAAGATGCATTCGGTTGCCACATTGTATGACCCTATCTGCGGCTGTTTCGTATCAAATTTCCCCGCCCTGATAGGAGGCTGATTGCGCTTGGAGATATTCCCTGATTGTCGCCACTTTCAGTGCAACGTTGGGGCCTTTCCCCGCGTTGTTGACCTGATTGTGGGTGTCAGAGCGAACCAGCCTACACGAGAAGGGTATGTCTCGGAAATTGTCTCATTGTGAGCTTGGTGATGCGATGCTACCCCGGAGTCCGTTCCATTTTGTTAGTTGCGCTGGCCTGGGCATGCGGGGGGCCAAAGAGAAGATCTGCGCTGATCAAGGCATTGAAGTTCGAGATCCCGCAGCAGCCGGGAATAGCCAGTGTAAAGCACCTTCTTCATTTGGCGCGTAACTTTTTAACTGTCCGGAATAGCCTGGTGACCCAGACCATCGATTCCGGGGTATTTTTCTCTCGTAACTGCGTGGCGGGTGAGCGCGCAGGCGATGAGATGGTGTGGAGTCTGGCGCTTCTGCCAAGACACGACGGTTCACAGATAAGACGGTTTCGAGGTGTCGAGAGTATTGGTCATGGGGCGGGGAGATAGTAGGTGTAGATTTGGATGTATGAGAAGCGAAATCAACACCTTCAGGACTAAGAAGGAAGCATTATGAAAGTTGAGAGGAAAGAAGTCCCAAAAACAAGAAAACCAGAATTCAGCCTGTCAGATGGGGACGCCTGCGTAAATAAAAGGCCTTGAGACGTACACCTTATCGCTCCGACTTCGCTCGCTACACCGAAAAAGCAGCAAATAGGGAGAGCCCGCATCCGAGTCCCACCGATTCCACCAACGACAAGACTGATTGTGAGGATCGTTGTGGACTAGCTGCTTCGAAGGGCGCGCATCCAAGCCCTTGGCTTCTTCACATTGCGCTCTCTGAAAGGCTAACCAGCCCGTCCATGAGAGTCGCAATCCGAGACCGGCCATACGTTTATTTCTGGAGATTCTATCCTTGAGGTTTACTGCAATTCATGCGGACTTGATCCTTATCAATGAGTGAGATCCGGTTGGTTCCCGAAGCACACGCGTCAGACTCCACGTCGGCTAAGCATTTTATTTAAGTTGCATTTCCGTGCTTGGCGAGATGATCTTTAGAATATCAGATCTGAAATGAATGCTACAAAGGATCATCACGTTGAACCCCGAGGCTACATAGAGCATGAGTACGAATTGGATAGCTGAGGATTGGACTCTCGCTACCGATGAAGATCTCCGGTGAAACCTCGGACGTCACTAGCTAGAGGGCTTACATTAACTCCGCTTCCACATGGGACCGATGAGGAAAAGGTCGCCGACGCCGAGATCGCTGGCCAATGGCTATGCTCACTGTATACAGATGGCGTTTGAGTCAGGGTCAACCCTTACAGGTACACAGACTGTCCCTATAAATTCATGTACTCAAGCCCGGGAAATTCGACTAATACTCAACTGACTCTATTCGCTACTTAAATCATCGTTTCTTCGGTGCTTCTGAACATCCTCCTTATACTTCACCCAATCATCTTGCCGTGGGAACCCCTCACTAGGAATCTCTTTCTCTAGAAAACGACAAAGTGGCCGCCATCCCTCCGCGACATTAATTTCAAGGAAGTCTCCTGGTCGGGATTTCATAAGTTGACGCACATGCTCATTGTGCTCAACAAACAGCTTGCGCCCATTGGCTCCAAAGTCATCATTCCAAGCATAGGTCTGGATCTTGCGAACCATCTCATCACGAGCAAACCGGGTTGACCGGGCATCACCTTCCGTCTCAGTTCCAGGGTTCTTTTCCGCATCCCACGCGTGTAACAGTGTGTCTTCCATTGACTTTATCCATCCATCTTGGTCGCGGGTCAACAATATCACTTTGGCCGAAGGATACGAGGCTATCAGCTCATCGGGGAACATAGCAGCGGGGTAATCGCTCACTGCCTAGGCGGCGAAAGTATATCAGTATCTTGTTTCCTGTTCCTATTGGAATGTTAATGTTCACCCTGTACTCGCCTCCGAAAAGCTCATCGAAGTCCTCTCGATTCACGCGGTTACCTTGCCCTGCGAATTTGGCATCCATGGCTCTCGACCAAAATGTATGGTCGCCCCTTATGAAGTTATCCTTCATGTGATAGACCTTTTCGTAGCCAATCAGGCTGAGAGCGCCGGCGAGACCTAGCAGTGTCAGTAGATTTATTGGGATCCCTTGGTGTTGTGTTGCTTACTCTGGGTACCCGTTCTGGGAAGACCTAGTACGAGGATCTCCATCTGAGCGGTATATTTGTTGCTCACTATGCTAAGGATCACAGGGTGCATTGAAGTAATGATAACAGACAAGTCGCTCTTCGATCTCCTCGCCCCGTTGATGCTCAGATGTGTACTGCTGAGGGGCTAGACAATTGAATGGGCCTATCTGGTCCATGGCATTTATTCTCAATACTAAATACTAGCAGAGGAAAGCTCGACGAGATACTTGGTGCCTCCTGGATCTTCCGTTGAATATCACAGGTCACAAGAGCATAAGCTCCGGTTACTGCCGCAAATCCCGGTTCCCGACGGTTGAAAGCTGAGTCAGATCAGAGTAAAAGAATAACTGAACATCAATCTAATAAACCGAATCTGGCTCTCTGAGCATGAGAGAGTATAGGAGATGGAATAAAATATGCCAAGGTGCATGTAGTGTCCCAGTTGATTCTTGGACAGTGAGATTTCACTATACCGTGCTGATTCAATGCTTATGTTGTGCAGATATGACATGCACAATCACTGTAATGATGAGCCTCCACAAACTCTTACTCCTGGCTGCTGTGGCCGCATCTGCCAATGCATCATGTATATTTTGGTACCAGTCGCCTATTCTTATATCTCCATACTGTGAAATATCACCCTTTCTGACATGGTTATTATGATTTTCGACCAATACGGCACGCATTCCGACTGTGATAGTGATGAATCTTGCGATCTTGATGGAAATAGCTGACCTGAAACCTGTTTATGCCCGGTGCACTCGATTGATGACATTGATAACCGAGGGAGAGGACTAAGGTGCTATCTACTCAACGAGGTCAATAATCAAAGCTACCAGAAGTCGCGATACGAGGATTTGTGAATGGATGCAAATGATTTATCTCCGAGGATCATCACTATAGCCATCTAGATCCTTGATAGTATCGTTCAATCTAAGAAACTGTGATTCATCATAGGCCAAATCCCATCCAGCGGCTCCATCAATTCACATTCAAGCTTTACGGAAAGCTTTACGGAAAAGAAAGATCTTGCTTCGGCACTTTGAATTCTGCACATGACATACATTGCTGCGTCGATGCCCGCACCAATACCTTCAGACGAAATAATCTGTACTATGGTTCATTCTATAACTCTTCTACCGACGGATCGTCACTGCAAAATTTGAGTTAAGGTTTTGTTTGGCCATGGGTGGAGCAGAGTGCCTTTCATGCTTCTAGGGTGAGATGATGTGTTGTGACCGTTAGTCCAGATAGGATGCCTGCTGCGGTCAGAAGCAATGCACCTGTGCAGACGGAGAAGAGGATGCGAAAACGGGAGGGTTCTGACGTGGTATATGGGCGAGTAAGGTTTTCTTCTGGGGATTCGAGGCCCTTAACCATCTGTTGTATTGTAGCTACTGAAGCACCGGGGGATACCTATGTATGAGGATATTGTATTCTGTGGTCTTATCCAGCGCATCTGGTAACAGGTCGTCAGGTTCAATTTGGAGGGAAGTGGCAGAGTGAACGAGTCTATTTTGTACATTAATCTTGACTTCGAAGTTGGTTCAGGATCGTCTTCCTTGTGGTTGTGAGTGACATGAGATGTCACTTGCATCGGGCCGGTGAAGTCCAGGAGATCTGCGCACTCTCAGATCAGCACTGCCACTCTGCTTTTATCTTCCGAGTTTTTTCCAACACGCTGTGTGATAATTAACGTCAGAGTGAGCCTAAGTTTAGGCTTACTGATTGGCAAAGAGACTTCTGGCTTAACTCTCAAAGTATTGGAGGAGGAGCAGAAGGCTATCGCTTAATATCTTATGTTAGAGATACAAAATATGAAGATCAACTCTCGCGATGCCAACATTGCCATACTTCAATTCTGTAATACATCCGTCGCTATCCATATTTGGCGGACAACAGATCTTACACTTGAGTCGGTGTTGCTAATGATGTGTGCCAGGTAAGAGTACGCTGTGTTCGCATAGATAGCCGTATATTTAAGTCTGTGAACAGCTCTCACCCTATAGATCTGACCGATAATTGCAAAAAAGGAAAGAAAAAAGTACTCTCCGCCAAGGCGTAGTAGCTATGTCAACTAGCTCAGTGGGTCGATACGTTTCATCCGCGTTTTTCATTTCCTCTCTCGCAGGATCACGCGAAGCATCAGCGGTGCTAATATACCACCCTGTTAAAATATCAGCCGAGATCTTACCTCTGAGGTAGGGGTCACGTCATATGTGTTTCCAGATCCACTCACCGATGTCAGTTTCAATTCATAGGTTGGATCAACCGCCCATTCAATTCGTCGGACCATCTCGAATAGCAGTATCTTCATCTGTAGGACTGCAAAACCTTGGCCGAGGCACTTTCGGGAGTGTGCATTGAATGCGATGAAGTGGCATTGCGTGGTTTTGCTTCGCACTGTGTTTTGAATCGCTTTCACGTCGCTTCCCCAGCGTTCAGGGATGAATTCTCGAGCTGTAGGTCCCCATACCTGTGTGTCAGTGTGTACACCGAGCGCATTCCAGCCTACCCATGTGTGGTTTGGGATCACGATGTCGCCACCTAGGACGGTCTTGGATGTAGTGACTCGGTTGATGAGCTGGGAGACTGGAGGATAGAGTCGGAGAAGCTCGAGGACGACGGCGAAGAGGTAAGGCATTGAGTGAATGTCGTCAGCCGAGGGGTTTAGCATTCCCATGGCGAGGATCTCGGCTCTGAGTTTGTTCTGAATGGCTTGGTTATTACCCAGTTCCCAGAAGGCGGAATTAAGCAGCTGCTGGGCGTTTTCGTGGGCGGTTAGGAATGTGACCTTGAGGTTATTGCGGTATTGTTCTTCACTGATCTTTCCTTCTTTGAGGGCACAATCGAGTAGGTCGACTACTTGTTCCATATTATTTTTTCCGTAGGTCACTGGTGCGCGTTTTCGGACCGTCTCGCATAGTAGATCGCCAAACTCTTGCATGATAGCGAATGCCACCTTCCGCTGAGGAAACACAGAAGGGAATTTGTCCAGGTCAGGGAAGTTGAAAAAGAGAGGCTTGAAAAGAGTCTTTTTGATGATAGTCTGCAGTTCTTCGAGACGCTGCCCAGGCTTTTCCAATGACTGTTTTTGTAAAGATAAGAAGGTGAAAAGAAGAATTGTAAACCACTTCTCGTAGACATACCTCAAGATCCACACCCATAAAGTTCAATCCCATACAGCTTAGCGCCCAACGCTGAATAATAGCATTGACAGCAATACCCATCCCTACCTTCTCCTGCTCGTTCAACAAGATATCAACAAATAACCTCGACTTCTCTAACAACGGTCCCGAATCTGTAATTCTCCTCTGCAAGCCAGGCTTCATTATTGAAGTAAAAAGCCTCCAATTCTCCCCATGCGCATTGATAATATTATCACCCACTAGCGCTGCGATCACGCTCCATGGAATCTTCTTCTGGCTGCCTGCTTTTGCATAAACATCTTCATGCCGGAACATATCCACGAGGTATGACGGCCGTGTCACAAGGACGTTCCACCGGCCAGCGAACCAGATTTGTACAGCACCATATTTCTCCAGGGGTGGTCGGAGCCAGCGGTCATAGATTGTATCTTGGCCCATCTCGCTCCAAAGGCCTATAAGAGATATATAGATTGGAACTGTGGGTATGTTCTTGGGCATATCGGATGGTATGCGGAAATACCAATATAAGATCAGGAGTGCTGTGATGAGTAGGCCAAGAACACCTCGGGTCCAGCCTAGAGCTGAGATGGAGACTGTGTCCATGTTGAAATTGGAAAAGTGTGGCAAGAGTAAAAACACAAACAGGAAACAAATTTCAGAAAAGATTGATTGCCCATTTATGGTACAGAAGAACAATATTATCGGTGACTCTGCTGACTCCACTCGACGCACAAACTTCATTGACAAGCATGCTGGGAACACAAACTTTACGCTGATGAGACATGCTGACCGACTCTCTAGAAACATCAAGGCACATCCATGGAACTTGTATATTGAGCTCACCTTAAAGCTGTGCTACGGAGAGGATTCGGAAGGTTGAGTTGGATGACAAATGGACTGAAGTCGGGGTTATCAAAGTACTTATCCCGACAGTTGCGCAGTCTAATCTAGGTGGGACAGGTAGCTACCTAGGCTAAATCCATTCATTGAGATAAATGAAATCTGAAGCAAACTCACCAGGTTCCAAAGTTCCAGTTTGCCTACATCTGTATTAATCTACGGAGAGTTGGGATAGGAAGATTCTGAGGTTGTTGGTGTGGATATATATACCTCAAGAAAAAGTAGGAAAAACTTCCGCCAACGTGTATTTAACGAACTAATACTGGGAGTTCAGACATTACTTAACCTTGGAAGCTGAATGTCCATTGATATAATAAGCCAATTGATACCTAGGTAGTTCATATCTTGAAATCCCCCCGGCACTTCCAAGGGGAGGTGAAAGCTATCTAGATTGCAACTAGAGCATCTCACTCTGACCTGATCTACTGGGACCCATGGTTTAACATTCATCAATTCATAATAAATTGAATACACTATAATGACGTACTTTCTAAACAAGACCAGCATGGCCAACGACATATGCCTCATAAAATGCGTTTGGTAGGATAAGATACATGTCGCAAGCAATCAGGGTCGTCACTGGGAAAAAATAAAAAGAAAAAAATAAGGAAAATCTTGTTGATGAAACAAGAAAATGCAGCAGGTGCTAAGAGACTGCCAGGTGGGAATCATTGACTTTTTTCCTTCATTCTGCAACTCCGCTCTCAAGTCTAGGCTTGATGGTGCAATCATCATGATGACCTCGACCTGAGCACCATATCTCCCTTGATAATAACGTGGATATCATATCAAAGGCGAAATTGAAATCAATCCCTCGTGTCCTCGATTCGATCTAATGTTTAAACGGTGTACTTGGCCTTGGCACGGGTGCTACCGCTGTGTGCGCTATCGGTGTGGCCGGAGAACTCGACAACATCGGCCTCCTTCAGGCGGAGCACATCCTTGAACCGCGCACCAATGGCCTCCAACACCTCCTTACCCTGAGCGGGGGTACGGGCACTCTTGTCGCCGGGGATGCCCTTGCCGACGGTACGGGTCCACAGACCAACACGGTAGAAACCCTTGCGAACGTTGACGACCACACCCATCACCTCGTTGTCACCATCGGCCTCGAGGGTCTCGCCAATTGCGGAAAGCTGCGCGTGCAGCCAGAGTTCATCGATCGGGACGGAGCGCTTGTCCTTAAACTGGTATGACCACTTGCCACCGTGCTTGTTCTGCGCGTCCTCCCATTCCGGTCGTACGCCCTTCTTGAAGAGGTGGTAGTCGGCCTTGAGGCCCAGCTCGGAGGTGGGGGTAATGTTGTTCTATGAGGAAAGTGTGGGTTAGTTGTTATGTTAAATATATATTTCTTTGTTGAAGCAGTCCGATTGTATAATTTGTGGTTCTGGGCTGTCGTGTTGGGCACATACGTAGATGCCCCAGAATTCCTCAACGGAGCTGAATGTGACGACTTCCTTCAACAGATCATTCCAGTTATCGCCCTAGTTATCATCGAGGTCAGCGATTGGGGATTCGGTTGGAAAGGCCAGAGATAAAAAACGGACCTTGCCGCTGGGGGGCTTCGTGAACCAGAGTGTCCACTCATGCATGAGCGGGTGCTTGACGTTGAAGTTCTCGGGGTTGTGGAAGACGGTCACGAGCTCATCGGCTGAAGGAGCAACGGCGGGAGCAGTGTTCTCATCGGCCACGGGGTGGCCATTCTCTGCGACGGCGGCCATGATGGGGTTGGTGGGTGATGAAAGAAGACAAAGGTCAGGATTTTATCGAGTAAGCGCTAAAGCCGAGTGAGCAAGAGCAAGTGAGAGGCCTGTGAAGTGAGACCAAACAGAGAGATCTGCTCCAGGCAGTCCAGGCAATATAGCGTGGGGGAGAAAAGAGGTTGTTGGGCAACACGATAGGGACCCGCACCGAAGTTTTGAAGTTCGAGATTCAATTCCGCTCAAAAAAAGCGGCGAAAAACTCTTGCCTTTTTGGGTCGGGCCGCACAGCCCTAATACAGTATAGCCATTACCATGTATAAGTAGATCATGAACGGAAAAGTTTTGTTTGATGATATTCGTCTTTTATGAAACAACTCCGTGAATCCGATTTCAAAAAACAGAAAAAACAAAATACCCGTATAGTATATGTACAGAAAACCAGCGTAGATACCAGACCGGCCGAAGACCCTCTATAAAAAATGCTAATGACTCGCCAATAGAGCATGGGGAATATACTGAAAGTCAAAGATCTTAAAGGTGAGTACACCGGCGTTACTCTTCGCCGCTGTTCAACAAGCTTAGGAAGCAGTTCCAACCTAAAGAAAATTAGTACAGATATCACAAAGACATGGCCTAATAACCAGGTCAAAGTATTAGAAATCACTCACCTAAGCTGACCACATTGACCACTAGAACACGCATATCTAAGGGCACAAATGTGAAGTTCACAGCCTGCACAAAGGGCCAGACCAGCAAATTGGCTTTGTAGCTGGGCACCCAGGAATGGCGTAACTTCTCCAAAACGTCAGACCCCTCCATAATCGCCATTGAGGATAAGAAACAAGTTAATTGAATCGGAGCAAACACCATCTGATCCGCTGCGACACGGGCGATAGTGGTGCCGGCTCTACTCTTGAGATTGATGTGACGCTGGAGAATACGGTACCACTGAGTAGCAGCAGGACCAAACACGGCTAAGAGAATAAATTTTTTTGAGTACATCGCAGGGATACTTTGAAGGGGACGCGACTAACCTCCACCGTAGAGAGCCATGCGACCGGTGCGCGCAAAGTCATGCTTCTCAAGACCTCGGCGGTCAACGGCCTGCTGTGCTAGGACATCTCCGCTGCCGAATAGTACCTAAATTACATGTCAGACGGAGTCAGGGGAAAGGGGTTTAAGAGAGGCTCTTACCGCACTGCTGATGCTGGTGGTCAGGATGGGCCTTGCAGCCAGTTTGGCTTGGTACCTGTATTGATAATCTCGGTCAGTCACGCTAAGGGAATGGGGGCGGCGATAAACAGACCAGCGTAACATGGTGTGAATGAAGAAGTTGTAGAGTGTAATGCAATGCTATGAACCAAAGAAGAACAGGAATGAGGGTTCAAGTGGAAGATCAAGACTGGGGCAATGACATCTTCAAATTGCGGAGTCAACCTGCCCGTTCAACAGGATTAAGTGCACAGTCCACACTCCCGACCCCGAATTAGGAAACCCTTCCGACGGGGGTAGACTGGGATTTCCTTCATGGGATAGGATGGACGTTTAAGGAAAGGTAGTTCGAGTTGAAAGTCGGACTTTATATTCATCTCCTTCAATAATTGATATATATATTTTTTCCAACTCCCCTACATTATACTGTATGGTCCATCCCACCCTATCAGTCAAGTCCCCGATCAAGATCTTGAACCCAAGTGGATCCATCACCTGACCAGCCGACAACTTATCTAATCAATGCACGTGCCATCCAGGCTAGACACCTTCTTACATAATACCCGTACCTCCACCTCGAAACAGTAATAGGGCTAGGGCACCGCATAGGGCAGCCCGCCTCGCTTAGCTTCCACCCGCAAATTTCGGTGCCAAACACCCGTATCGAAGTCTCCGACGACCAATTCGACAAAACAACCCCTTCCCGTCGCCCTCACATACATCCAAAATGGCTGACGCTGCTCCCCGTGGACGTGGTGGATTCGGTTCGCGTGGCGACCGTGGTGGTGACCGTGGCCGTGGTCGCCGTGGTCGTGGCCGCCGTGGAGGCAAGCAGGAGGAGAAGGAGTGGCAGCCCGTCACCAAGCTCGGCCGTCTCGTCAAGGCCGGCAAGATCACCAGCATGGAGCAGATCTACCTCCACTCTCTGCCCGTCAAGGAGTACCAGATTGTGGACTTCTTCCTGCCCAAGCTCAAGGATGAGGTTATGAAGGTACGACTACGACAACCGACACAATGCGCGCACAATTGGGGATCGCAGAATCGCAGGAGAACGAAAGTTCAATGCGACCCTCGGCCACTTCCAATCGCGAGAGCGCAACAATATCACTTTCGGAATTCAAGACTAACCCAATGTTTTCTCGAATTATAGATCAAGCCCGTCCAGAAGCAGACCCGTGCCGGTCAGCGTACCCGTTTCAAGGCCATCGTTCTCATCGGTGACGGTGAGGGCCACATCGGTCTCGGAATCAAGACCTCCAAGGAAGTCGCTACCGCCATCCGCGCTGCTATCACCATTGCCAAGCTCGCTGTCCTCCCCGTCCGTCGCGGATACTGGGGCTCCAACCTTGGTGAGCCTCACTCTCTGCCCGTTAAGCAGAGTGGAAAGTGTGGTTCCGTCTCCGTCCGTGTATGTACCACCTGTGATCTGATGGTTTGCGGCTTGTGTCTTTTTACTAACGGCTGTTCCAGCTCATTCCCGCTCCCCGTGGTACCGGCCTTGTCGCCTCCCCCGCCGTCAAGCGTCTGCTCCAGCTCGCTGGTGTCGAGGATGCCTACACTTCCTCTTCCGGTTCCACCAAGACCCTCGAGAACACCCTCAAGGCCACCTTCGTTGCCGTCGTCAACACCTACGGCTTCCTCACCCCCAACCTCTGGAAGGAGACTAAGCTCATCCGCTCTCCTCTTGAGGAGTTCGGTGATGTTCTGCGCCAGGGCAAGAAGTACTAGGCTATTGAGAATGATGCACGCATGATTTAGTTCCGAGTTTCTTTACCACCCCCCAAATTTAAAAGGTGTTTTTTATTGTGCTGGATCTAAAAATGACTTGCGGGTTTGATTTCTCCCCTAAAAGGCTCCATGGATGTATTTAACGGGAAGGGAAAAGAGAAAAAGCAAGTCCAGTATCAGCCATTACCTCTTTCATGAGTAAACGTAGGTTTTCATCTCCAGTGACATGTCCTTAGTATCACGATCCTATCTCGAATGCTAGGTTCATACTGGTAGCCAACATGAATTTGTTGATTCGAATGAACACCAAAACACCCATGGTCTGACAACCCAGACCTCGGCGCTAGGACCTCGACAAGCTCAGCTGATCAGTTTCAGCTCCCTGAAAGTCATCTTTGATTCACTAAACTACTCTATGTTTGTCTATATAGCATGGGTACTATAGTGGGCATATATGATCGTGGATGTGGTGGAATGACACTGACTCCATCTATGGCGCAAAAGCTCCTGCCTCAATAAGGCCGCTATGAGATCTCACTCGCAGTCGCTCTTTTTTGAGATCGAGACTTCTCATTTCAGCTAATTCATTTCTGTCTTAAAACAATCATTACATACTGATTTTACCCAGCATGGACGATCATTCAGCACACTGGAGGTGTACCCTCATGGGATGGGATTTCTGGAAAGATGCAGAAGCTTATCAGGAACGACTAAGCAGACCAGCACTGAATGAAGGTAAAACCTTCTTCGGACCTTTCACGTCGTCATCTTGGTTTCATTTCACACCCGTTGGGGTTTTCCTATATCTATTTCGACCTCTACTCATTCGCTTCCCACCCCACTTCCTATACCAAACCAGGCCAAGACACTAATTTGATATATCTTAGAGCTCGACCTAAACCTCCACAGACGCTTTCCATTCAACCTGGGTCCTGAAGAAGGGCCATACGCCAAGGAGCAAGAAAAGGCGCACGATATTAACGGAGAAAAGAGTCCACTGGAGAGACCGGAAACACTCCCAACCCCCAAACGTCATCGCAAGCTCAGCATGTCTGACATTAAAGGCATTTCTGGTCTTCGCCGCAGCAAGACTGTGACAGCGGCGACTTCTCGTCTCCGAGATCTTGGTCGTCGTGTTCGTTCCCCGTCGCCAACTCGGCCGCCTCCCGCGCGTGCATGTGGTCCGCGACGTACGCTACAGTCCACCCCACTGAAGGAGAAGCTTCCGCCGCGACAGACCACAAATGAAGAGATTGACGTGCCAGCCTCACCTTCCCGTTCTGAATCGCGACTCAATGTCTCGGCTTCGATGCCAACTTCTCCACGCCTGTCCATCATTCCACTGGCAACCCGTGCAAGTTCAGATGCGGGAGTGATTGGGCATGACAACGAAATAGCAACACCAGAAAAACCACTGCTCAACTTTTGTGGTGGCTCCAAGTGGTCTATCATTCCACAAAATAGAGAAAGACTTGGTCTTGATTTATTCCGGCCATATACTTTCGATAGAGATAAGGATACTGAATTGCGCACCCAGAGTGAGTTGAAACCTCTCTGCGAGTTTCGAAATCTGCGCTCGCTCAAGGTCATGGGGATGATGCAGTCCTATCAAAGTTCTATCTGGCGCGCTGTGTGGCTGAATCCGGAACTGGACGAGCTTGAGCTTGAAATGGTGTTGGAGCCGGAGATTGTAAATCGGAATCTTCAGGGCGAGTGGAAAGATATCAAAGACGGATGGGCCATTGATGGCAGGATAGGCGGCGAACCAGTTTATTTGTGAGTCATTTCCCTTCCAATTGAACGTGGTATATACGGGTTGAGGGAAAAGCTAACAGTTGATGCTAATTGTGGTTTAGTGGAAAACACGGCTCTGGCGAACTACACCGGGATATCGGATACGGAGAATACCTTGACAAGAAGTGCATTGAAGTTGCCAAAGTCCTTGCTATGCAAATGGGACGAACCAGTCGCCGCCTTTCAATCGAGAAACTCACACTGAGCGGGTTCGTTGTCGATGCTGATCCGATAATCCAGTGGTTTGATCCCGAGAAGCTGCGATGCATCCATTTCAAGGGTCAATGCATTGATGCTGGGCTCTGGTTGCCACTCTCTATGAGGAACGTTTCTCTTGAAGTTCCTCAGGAAACTGATTTGCAAGCTGTGCCAGTTGGTATTGTCAATGTTGATTTGAAGAAAGATTTGAATGCTGAGGTGATTGGCGGAAAGAAGGGTATTGAAACTGTGTAGCTATTGATGGGTCATGATTATGGGCGAATATTCTTTTACGTGAGATGCAGCGAGAACTTCGAGAAGATTTTGATTCATGAAGTTAACGGGCAAATACCCACTAGGTATGGATTATGTTACATGCAGCATAACCGAAATGAAAACGATAAAAACGAAAGTCAACCTGGCCTTTCTCAATCTGGTAAAGTGGATCATAAGCAATGCTTGACCATAATCCATTAAGTGTAAACCCTGTTCGTCACTTTGACGATCTGATCACTGCAGCACCCTATCATGTTCTGCTGGAGTGGTGTCCATGTAGGTAACCTACGCACCCTCTTCCTCGATACGAATGGCGCCTTCGCTCCCGATTCCGTGAGACCAGAATCCATCCAGGTGGAGGGTACTATAAAAATTAGTAAGGATAACGACTGGAATGGCAAGCTAAGTCTTACATTCCCTGCGCACTGTCATGCGACACCACAAGCCAGTAACTCAGTAGGCCCTGGGTGAAGATATCCTGGATAGCATAGAGGATAGTCTCGGTATCAACGCTGATCTTCAAGGCAAGAGTACCCGCCGCAAAAGCACTGCCATAGATTAGCCAAGTGCACCAAACCACGCCACTGGGGAGAGGGGGGCGGAACAGGAAAACATACATCGGGAATAAAGCTAGAGCGAAGAATGCGGATCCCGAATAAGCTCCAAAGAACCGTCTCGTCCGGGCATCCTTGTTCTGTGTTGCGCGTTGCGCGTGGAAGCCGGCATGGTGGAGCATAGTCAAGAACCCAATGCAAGACAGCGTCAACCACGCCCACCGCGCAGAGGTATGTCCAGCAAACGAGCCAAACGCGGCAGTTGCGAGCATCACCCAGTTTGCGGCGATAGCAGCAAGGAGATTCGCACCCGGGAGACCGGAGATGAGAGCGAAGTTCGTCAGTAGGAGGGGGGTTGTAAGAGCCCAGTTCACAAAGCGGAGCCAGAGGACAGCACGGAAGACACCGTCCTGTGTATCTGGGACATGTTTATTCTTGTGGATGATCTGGTGGTAGTTGAAATCTATGCCTTGCTCGGTTGCGAGGGCGAGATAAGTTATGAAGGAGATGGTAGTGATCACCGCGCTTAGGGTGTGGAAGACCCGCTTTGGCTGTGGGGTTGGGTTAGCTTGATGCTTATCTATTTTTGGTGGGACCTACCAGTGGAGCGCGGGCGGATAGACTGTAGAAGACCAAGGCAGAGATGCCCATAAGAACAGTCACGACCCTGGTGGTTTGTTAGCTGATGGATGTCATGATGCTAGGATGTGATGGATTTACCAAAGAGTACGTTTGCCGGTAGTATGGATCTCCTGGTAGATCGGGAAGCTCGGAATGACCGTGGGGATCGGCGCCACTGAAGAAGTGGTGGTTGGTGGCATTGTGGGAGTTGGGATTGGGAAGTCGGCAAAGTCAGGCATGATCATATTGAATGAAGATGAAGGTAAAGGTGAAGAAGAAAAAGATTGCAGTTCCAAGAGTTGTGGAGCGAGAAATGTAGAAGGAAATAAGAGGGAAATCTTGATTTTTGTTTACATCACAGTTGTCGTCATCGATACAGGTGCAACAAAGGTGCAACAAAATCTTGGAAAAAATCGAGAAATTTTGGGAAATGAAGCTGCAGGTTCCGGGTTTTACCTGATACTATGACTAAAATACTGCAGGGGTACACTGCAGCTGAAAGTGCATTGAGCCAATAATGGTGGAGATGAGAAATGAAAAATATGGTACATGCATGAATCTATATAGTACAGGTCGTCTTATGCGGATGCCTCAAGCTCGTCCAATACGCTTTCACACCGGTCGCAGATCGCATTCTCGGCTTCCATCTCGGGTACTGCGTATCGCCAGCACCGATTACACTTAGAGGCCTGGGGTGCATAGACATACACCCGCCCCTGTCCATCAGGTAGCTCACAAGCTTCCTCATATTGCCACTCAGCCTGCGAAATCTCGGCTGGGACCGAGTCGCCAGGGTGACCGAGGGTGACCGATGAGACGACAAAGAGATCGGGTAGTTCGGAGAGGTATTGGTGGAATACAGTACTTGTGTCACCAGGGAGGACCACGTGCACGAATGATTGCAAGGACGACCCAAGTTGCTTCTTTCCGCGAGCCTGCTCTTGCAGGTTCTTGATCACCGAGTGCACTGCAATAATCTCCAGGTAATTCTCATTTAGAGAGGAATCCTGCCATTCGGACGCGGGGGCAGAGGTGATGCGTCGTAAGGGGTGCTCGCTGACCGACTTGATGGCGTTAGGGGTGTGCTCCCAGGTCTCCTCCACCAGTAGGGGGGTAATGGGACCAAGGACTTCTTGAAGGTGGTGATAGATGTAGAAGAGGGTGCTCTGCGCCGCCCGCCGACTAGTGCTGTTCTCGCCCAGGGTGTAAAGTCGATCCTTAATGGCCTCCATGTAAAAGGCGGAGAACTCAAGGTTGGCCCAGCGGTTCATTATGCTAACAGCCTTGTAGAACTCAAAGTTCTCACAGGACTTGCGGGATGCAAGGACCATGTCCGACAAGTGTTTAAGGGCAATTCGATCTACCTGTTGCAACTGCATGTATGGCACCACGCGTTCTGGCTGGAAATCGGCCAGCGCGCCGAGGAGGAGTTTGAATGTAACCCGGAACTTGTGGAGACTGGTGTGAACGGTCTGAAGAACCTGTTTGCCAATCACGACATCACGGGTGTAGTCACTACTAGCTGCCCACATGCGAAGAGCATCAGCGCCCAAGGCATCGTAGGCCGGACCTTGATTCTCAGCCTGATTCTTGCCTTTACCCTTGCGTGGCTTGAGAGGGGGCAAGAGTGTTCCATCCATAATGGTCTGGGGCGCGATGGTGTTGCCAATAGACTTGCTCATCTTGCGACCATGTTCATCCAGAGTAAAACCGTGGGTGATAAGGTTGCGGAAAGGTGCACGAGGCACGCCAGTCTTGCCAGATGCGAGCTGGTGGGCAATATAAGTCAAGAGACCCGATTGGAACCAGCCACGATGCTGGTCGCTTCCTTCAAGATAGACATCTGCAGGGTGGCTGCGTCCTTCCATGGGAACGTCAATCTCCGACCAACTTGTGCCACTATCGAACCAGACATCCATTGTATCCGTGCCCCGTCGATAGCCTCCAGAGTCATTTCGCAGCGATGATGGAATCCAGGCCGGGTCATCAGCGCTATCGGTCCACCAGGCGTCAATGCCTCGTTCCTCAATGGTTTGCATTATATGTGACACGCTTTCCTTGGTCAGGACCGCCTCACCAGTGGGTCGGTGGTAGATAGCAGGAATCGGTACACCCCAGGCCCGTTGGCGCGAAATGCACCATTCGCTGCGGTTCTTTACGAAGTTCTCCAGTCGGTGCTTGCCAGCCTCGGGGACGAATTGGACATCCTCGAGCGCTTTGAGTGCACTGCTGCGAATATCGGCCACATCAGCGAACCATTGTTCAGTGGCCCGGATGATGATTGGCTGCTTAGAACGCCAGTCGTATGGGTACTTGTGATCGTAACGGTGCTGAGCGAGGAGTTGGCCTTGTGACTGAGCATATTCTAGAACAGCATCATTGCCCTCTCCGAGCACCGACTTTCCAGTTAAGCGAGCAGGGTCATGAGGCATGGCCTTTTCGGTAAATTTGCCGTCATCATTGACGGGTGCAAAGACCTCAATGCCACGAGCAAGACAGGCCTCGTAGTCGTCCATACCGTGACCAGGTGCGCAGTGAACCAATCCAGATCCAGAATCTGCAGTAACAAAGGGCGCACTGATGATCGGCTGAGGTTCAGCCTCCGAGCCCTTGAAAAGAGCTCGGTAGGTAGTCTTCTCCGCCAATTCCGATCCAAGAATCGATGGCACAATGATATCCAAATCCTCGTTTAACATATGCTGAAGATACTCAACTCGCGACTGTGCCACAAGAAGGTATCCGTGCGTTTCCGAATTAACGATGGTGTACTCCAGGCCTTCGCTGACGGCAATTGCCGCGTTGGCAGGCAGGGTCCATGGGGTGGTAGTCCAGATGACCGCGCTCACATCTTTCGATTGAAGCAATGGGTCCTGTGCGAGATGTCCGGGGATGTTCACCAGGGGGAACTTGACGAGCGCAGCGGTTGAGACATGGTCATCCTTGTATTCCAACTCAGCCTCCGCCAGTGCCGTCCCTGTAGACGGCGACCAATACACCGGCTTGAACTTTCGATAGATGAGGCCCCGATCTACCATCTCCCGAAAGATACCCAGCTGCCGCATCTCAAACGATTTGTCCAAGGTCTTCCAGTGATTATCCCAATCAGCCATGACTCCGAACCCGCGGAATCCCTTCATCTGGTCCTTGACTGTTTGCCTGGCAAGCTGTCGTGCCGACTTACGGATAACCGCCGCACTGACCGATTTATCTGCCACACCCATCTCGCGCAGACCTTGCAGCGCCTTCAGCTCAATGGGCAAGCCGTGGCAATCCCAGCCGGGAACATATCGCACCCGCTTGCCCTGTCCCAATTGGAAACGACATATGATGTCCTTCAGGATTTTGTTGAGCGCGTGGCCGATATGCAAATCGCCATTCGCATAAGGTGGGCCATCGTGGAGGACGAAGGGTTGGTCTGCAGGTCGTTCCTGGCGCTGCCATGCGTACAGCTCATCGGTGCATCGTTTGAGGTATTTTTTCTGGTCGGCCGGCGACACGCGCGGGGGGAAGGCCGATTTGGGGAGTTTGAGGGTTGATGTCCAGGACTTAGGAATGGACCTTGGCGGTTTCGACATCCTCCTGCATATCCTGTGGACGTCCCTGAAATCCTGACGATTCGTCGTGAAGCTCGAACAGCGCGGAATTTGTGACGATCGCGACGGAATCGGGGCTGTACAGACGAGACCAATGTTACAATACAGGACCACATGGAATAGTAAATAAACCGTAATACAAATACTATACCCACTACCTCAACTACCTTTCATCTCTCGACTAGTTCTACTACTCCACGACATCCTCTTAGAAGCTGCAAAATACTGGAGAGGTCGGAGATCACAAACAACATGCCCAGGCAGGAATCTGGGTACCCAATCACAATCTGGATCGGGTCTCTGAGACCTGAAACACGAAACGATGACGATCATTAATCCCTTCGTAAATGCATGTCTCATAAGTTCGATGGTTTCCATAGTGAAAGTCGATATAATTGCATATGCAGCTGAGCTGCAGACTACTATAGATCTGTAAATAAACAAGTCTTAAATTAGGTGATACAGATATGTACTACTGGACCTGCATCCTGTAATCTGGAGGCTTAGCCTAGACATCAGCCTGTATACAGCAATGATCTTCCAATGCCCATTAGCCAACATCCATGCATGATTGGAAGCCTGAAATCGCCAACCAAGCAACCCCCAAAATAGAATCTTGTTAATTTTTGAAATGCTTGTAAAATATGGAATTGGACCAGTCACTTTGGACCTCGAGCGGGATTCATCTCTGCTCCGCCCACCGTGCCCACAATAAGCAATGCAATCGATCTGACGAAGCATGGTCATGTCACATGTAGATTCGAGCCCCACAATTGAAGCTGCACGGTTCAAGAAGTATAAAGGGGGCGTTCTCCCCACTCTTTTCATCTGTCCAGCAACACTTCAGTCTAATTCTCAATTGTCATTACTATGAAGCTCACCATCGCCTCTGCTATCCTTGCGGCAAGCTCAGCCCTTGCTGTTCCTACCACCAAGCGAAGCAGCTTCCTAGCGATCACTGACTTTACTGCCATTGCGGGTCCCTCGGACCCTGGAGCATCTATGCAATTCGTCGTCACCGACCCCAAGTACCCGAATGACACACCAACAGACTGTAACTTGATCTGGTAACCTTCCATATCTCCAAGGTCACATGAAATTCAGACTAACAGTGTCTGCTATAGGGACTACGGGCAATCGCCCAAGTCAACTGCTCGTTGCAATGATGGAGAGTACTATATCAAATTTCCCCAGGGTGCTCCGAACTTCAACCTCTTTACTTTAGAGCTCCAGAGAGTCAATGGCTCTATCCCTGAGAATGGCCGGGCTGTGCTGAACTCTAATGCCAATGGTAGTGCTCCTGGAACGAAGTGGATTTGCCAGGATAACCCACAACCCGAGGTGGAGATTAAGTGTGCCTACAACGGTACTCTTTATATGTCCGTTTAAGGAACTCGCGCTAGAACGACGGGAAGATACGCGGCGCGGTTCGGAGTGTTCAAACATTTGTCGTTTTCTAGACTGTACATACGCTTCACTTATGGCATTCGATATCCTGAATTTAGCCCTAGCCCTATTCAGTAACAACGTTCATTCACCGGCAAGATCTCAGTGAATTCGTCGCAATCTCTTTCTTCGTCCTCTATCCTTCTCTTAACCACTTCATCTCTTCCTTTCCTAATCTTCTGTCGGAACAATGTCTTTCAGCTCATTCCAGGTAAGAGAAGTGAAGTCTAGACTTATTCACAGAAGCCCTGCCCCGGGTGTGCCCTGCTCACTAACTTGACAAGCTGAATCCAATTCCCACGATCATTCCCTCAACCATTCCATCAACGCCTACCAAGGCCTCTCGCACTCTAATGGCCCCTCGCACTCTTATGCCTTCGCCCGATCTCATGGATCCAAACGCCTCTCAGTCGGGCCAGGGCACTCACTCTAGGGACTCGAATGTGGCGTACACCAATGAGCCTACTCAACTGGCAGATGCGATTCATCTCATGCAGTCTGCTATCTCTCAGACCGGCCAAGGCACCCCCTCCATGGTCTCGAATATGGCTTATACCGGCCAACCTACTCGATTGTCGGCTCCCACTATATCCATGGCGGCCCTGGCGGCTCCTGCTAATACTCACTCTACTCATTTCGTGACACCCCCTCGCACCCTTATGCCTTTTCCTCGTTTCATGGATCCAACCACCCATCAAACAGGCCAGAATACTCACTTCAGGGCCTCAAATAGGGCTTACAACAGCCAGCCTACTCAATTGGCGGACGCGATTACTCTCATGCAATCTGCCATCTCTCAGACAGGCCAGGGTACTCCCCCCATGGCCCCAAGTATGGCTTATACCGGCCAACCTACTCAACGGACGGCTCCGGGTACTCCCACGGAGTCAAACACCTCCCAGGCAGACCAAGACGCTCACATTGTGGTTTCGAATACTCCTGTCAGACCCTCGACCATGCCTGGTGGCAATCCTTGGCCATCCCCGAGTTCATCTACCAACTCACCCAATAGGAACACTATCTCAATCCAATCAGGCATCAATGAAGGTGCTCTGGGCCAACAAATGCGGGACTGCGTCCCTCCTGAGGGTCCCCAGGGCTACATGTCCGACGATAACATCTGGAACGAAGAATTCCGTGTTGGAGGCCCCCAGCTCTGCGCCCTCCCCGCGACTACCACCTTATTCGCTGAAGGTAGCCATCATTACAGTCTTGTATGGGATGGGGACCTCCTCAACCGGGTTTATCGGATGGCTCACCGCTTCAACATCGAACCGCTTGAAGCGATGTTGGTTACTCGCCAATCAGAATGGGGCCTGATGCCGGCACCTATTGTTACTGTGCTAATTTTTGCAAACCGAAAGAACATGGATGACTCGTGGGTACAGTGTGCTCAGTTGGTTCGAAAGTACCTCACGACACAGATCATGGAGCCGAACATCTCAGTCGAGATTGCGGACCCGAGGGCCTTCCCATGGAAAGGACCTGATTTGGCCCTGCCCATGTCTCCCCATTGAATAAGTCCTGATTTGTCTTAGTGGCTTTTTATCTTAATGACTGCGAGCCTGCTTGGCGGACAAGGGCAATTTTTAGCGAGCATCCTTAGCGAGTATTCTTAGGGATTAAGCGACTCATTTCTTAATGGTGACATTCTACCGCAAGTAATCATTTCCTGTATTACCCGTATAGGAAATTTCCACGGCAGTTGTTAAATGGACACCATATCAACGATGTTCAGGCAAGAAGCAGTATGCGAAGGAGTAGTCATTTTATCGACTGCGTACTAAGGTATCCACTCACCCTAGGGTACCCTGAAATGCGAAGGTGATAGGAAAAGTGGTACCCACTGGCCTTTCCTGATATATACACTCGCTCGAATGAAGCATCATACCGCATACTGTCTAGAACCAAGCAAGGCCATATGCTCATCATTACCTGGGAATTCAGGCAATGCTGTTCTTCTGTATTCTCCTACCATGGTAATCGCTGGCAACTCATTTATGTCAATCAACCTCCCTCTTTGTCTTTTCGCCTTTGTTTCCTGTGAGGCTAGGCTTTTTAAAAAGCAGAAAAATAGTTCGTCTACGGGCTGGAAAACAAAGCGATCATTGTGAACCATAAATGTCATTATATCGCTGAATCTAATATCAAAATATACTCAAAGCGCCTCTCTTTCCACGGGCCTAAAATGCCCAAAAGGGTAGATCAATAGACCGTCAGACAGCTGACCGCACCATTCTTCAAAACCTCGAACAGAAGCCCCGGGAATCCAAAGAGTTCCGTATTCCCCAAGCCGCCGTCTTGTCCATCCGGACCGGCCCTGGGTCCTCGGGCCGTGGTTTCTTCCCAGCCTCCCAGGAACTCAACACTGCTTTCGGGACTATCGCCCCAACCTCGATTCAATACCATGGGTCGTTGTGTAGAACGCTCTTCTGATTGGTTGCTGTAATATCCTTTCCAAACATCACGGAGCCGCCCAGAGATTTCATCATATGGCGTTTCAGAAGTTAGACCATCACCGGACTGGTCGAGGTGGATCATCCAGCGGCTTCGACGATGACGATTGAAGGGGTATGACCCTGGTACATTCCCATGTAGGATCAATTTAGTCACAGTCAGCTGAGATGTTGATAGTGGAGGGGTTGGATCCGAGATATCTGAATTCGGGAAGGCCGGCCCTGCCGTACTTGGGTACGAGATAAAGGCATCGAAGCCGTGATGAAAGTAGTTGAAGAAGCATTCTGTCGGTAACGACGTTGGATCGCCAATATTGCTTGGAGATATTTCCTCATCTGAGTCATCGGTCACGCTGTTACTGGAGGAATGATCAGTGTCAGGTATATCCATAGCTCGTCCCGGCGGGGGACTCATATGCAGGGGGTCCCCGCCGCTAGCCCCTGTTGCGCGGTGAATAGAGATTCGTCGGTCGTGTTTACGGTAAATGGCATCCGGGGGACCAAACCCAGCGATTAGATCCTGGGGAGTGGTTTCTCCGAGGTTGATGAGCAACGGTGGACTCGCTCGCCGAATTACTTCTAGCTTCCCAGCGCCGAGGATGTGAATTTCTTCAATCTCATCAGCGAAAGAATCGCGTGATTTGCCGGCGACTGCAGAGAATCGGGGGCCTTGAGGAGGTTGGGTGAACAGTTTCATGCGAATGTCGGGCCAGGAGGACCCTTGAAATATGGACATGGAGGTTGCCGGCAAAGCAGCGGAGGACGAAAGCAAGGCTACGAAGTCACACTGGTCGGACCATGCTGAATGTTGAAGAGGGAATGAGAACGCGACTCCCGGATATGACAGCACATAGGTGCCGTAGGAGGACCTGTCCGACGGCGGAACATACTCGCCCGGGTAAGATGGACCAAACAGGCGGTTGTAGACATGTCGAAAGCTGGGACCTTGTGGGGAGGTCGCCGGCTCATCTGTTTTGCCACTTTTAAGCACATCCTGGCTCTTATAGACCAAATTTACTCGAGAAAAGTCCAGCACTTCGATCAGGCGGAGTCTCTGGTCGGGACCATCGAAGCGTAGGCGCAGCCCGTTGGAGGGCAACTGTAACACCACCGGTTTACAGAGAGGTTCAGTGGAGGAGTACGACAGATCGATCGCAGGGTAGACATGGGGATGGGACTTCACGCGGGTTAGGATATTGTGGAGAGAAGCACCGAGAGCTGGTCAACAATTAGCCTTATCTTGGTATGCAGATCATCGGAGATAGAGAGACATGCTGATAAAGCCCAGGCCTTTGCCAGGGAAGATTTGGACTGGTGCCGAGTTCCTGACAGTCATCGCGACGTTGCTGTGAGAAAACCCATCTACCATAAGAAACAGAAGGTAAGAAAGATAGGGAGAAAAGTAAAGGTAAGGGAAGCAAGCTTGGGAAGGAGCGATCACCCGCGGGGAAACCGCGATGACGCTGGGTCATGTGAGAGGGGGGATGACTGTTTGGAACTAGCTATATCTAGAAGGCGGTATAGAGATGGACCGATAATGTCAAACCTCTGCTGTGATATGCGGGTCACGTGTGCTTTGTTTACGTTTTGCCCCATGGATCCGCTCGTGCATCTTAAACAACTCAAACGATCCCCTCTTTGTTCCACGGTTGACTGCCCGTTTACCCACAACATCGAGGCACCGATCGTCTTCTTATTGTTTCATTGCAATTTGGTTTATAGCGAAAATTAATCGCAAAATCAAATACCATGGCCGGCCCAGCTCGGCCTGCCTCCTCCCTTCCTACGAAGCGGACAGGCTTGCGCCAGCCGACTCGACGTGCAGGTTCCGCCGTGCCGGAACAACGAGGAATGTCGCCAGCAGTCACAGCTAAGCCTGCGACGTCATCAAATGCTGCTGTTACGACACGCGCTTCAAAACTTAGTCCAGACCAAGCTAGCGCGGCAGCAAAGCGAAAGGAGCGGGAATTTGAACGGGAGATCAATGAGAATACGAGCATCCATGTGGTCGTGCGTTGTCGCGGTCGAAACGACCGTGAGATTCAAGAGAACAGTGGGGTTGTGCTGTCTACTGAAGGAGTCAGTGGCAAGCAGGTTGACCTGTCTATGGGGCCCAATGCGCTTTCAAACAAGGTTTATGCTTTTGACAAGGTTTTCTCTCCAGCTGCGGATCAAACTGTGGTGTTCGAAGAGACTGTCATGCCAATTTTAAATGAGGTAAGCAAAAACTCCTAGCCAGACGGGATTGCCTGTTAACTGTGTTACAGATGCTCGCAGGCTACAACTGTACCATTTTCGCATACGGCCAAACTGGCACCGGAAAGACATACACCATGTCCGGAGACATGACCGACACCTTGGGTATCCTGTCCGACGACGCCGGTATTATTCCGCGTACTCTCTATTCCCTTTTCCAAAAACTCGAGGGCACGGAAAGCACCGTCAAATGCTCCTTCATCGAACTTTACAACGAAGAACTGCGGGATCTCCTTTCTGCCGATGACCACACCAAATTGAAGATTTTTGAGAATGAGAAGAAGGGCCATGCGGCCACTATGGTGCAAGGCATGGAAGAAACCTACATCGATTCGGCCTCTTCCGGTATCAAACTCTTGCAAATGGGCAGTCTCAAACGACAAGTTGCTTCAACGAAATGCAATGATCTGAGTTCTCGCAGTCATACCGTTTTTACCGTCACTGTCCTTACCAATCGGACAAGTGAGTCCGGCGAGGATTATGTTACTTCTGGAAAGCTGAACTTGGTGGATTTGGCTGGAAGTGAGAATATCGGGCGGAGTGGCGCAGAGAACAAGCGTGCAGCCGAAGCTGGTCTGATCAACAAAAGCTTGCTCACTTTGGGGCGAGTCATCAACGCTTTGGTGGACAAGAGCTCACATATCCCTTATCGGGAGTCAAAGCTCACACGATTGTTGCAAGATTCGCTTGGTGGTCTCACGAAAACATGTATTATCGCGACAGTGTCGCCTGTACGAAGCAATCTGGAGGAAACTATTTCGACCCTGGATTATGCTTTCCGAGCCAAGAACATCCGCAACAAGCCACAGATCAACTCTCTTATCTCGAAGAACAAGCTACTCCGGGATATTGGGATGGAAATCCAAAAATTAAAGAGCGAGCTCATTGCTACACGGAACCGCAATGGTGTGTACTTGACACCAGATGCTTACGAAGAGATGAGAATGGAAAGCGAGTCTCGCAGAATTGTCAACGGAGAACAACGGGCAAAGATTGAGTCAATGGAATCAAGCTTACGGCACAAGGTCCAAGAACTATTTGCTCTGACTGGGAATTTCAACACGCTGAAGGAGGATAACGAAAACACCCAAAGAAAACTCAATACCACAAGAGGCGCTCTGGAAGACACCGAAGTGAACCTGAAGAGCACTTCTGAGAAGCTAGATGAAGAGATGGCGGTTCGCAAGGCTCATCAGTACACCGAGAAAAGGCTGCGTGAGATAGGTGCCGATCTTCTATCTATGCTAGATGGCACCGTTGATGATGTCCGCGGACTCCATGCTAAGATAGACCGGAAAGACGATTTGGAAACCGACAATCGTCAGATATGGCAAGCATCCACCGGAGAAGTCTGCGACGTGACTGAGAAGATCGATGCTCGTATGGAACACTTCCAAAAGCAGCATGCCATGCTGCTGGAGAGCATGTCTACCCGTATCCATGAATTTGTAGGCAGTGAGATTGGTGCCGTCCAGTCAGCACGCTCCCAACTTGAAGAGTACGACTCCACCTTTGACAAAGTTGAAGCTGAAGCCAAGAGCCAGACCAGCGGTGCACACGATGAGATGAACGAAGTTCTTGAGGAAATCAAAGTCCTTCGAGAGGATGTTAAGACGAAGGTCGGGAAGGGATTGAACGGATTATCAGCTGCAGCTGCGCGAATTTCCGAGGAGGTCATTGGCGAATTTTCCCAGTTCCACTTGCAGTTGCACTCATCCTACAGTGCCCTTGGAAAGGATTTCAAGGGCATGTTCGACACCATGGCAGCACACTTGGAACAGCAAAAGACCGAGGTCAATCGGCTTCGACTTGAACTTCAGGAATCCAATCGCCAAGCAGTGGAGGCAAATCGCAAGGCCTCGTCTACTTTGGCCCAGGTCATGGAGGACGAGCAGGCCAGTGCCCAGGCTGAGCGTGACAATCTCATGTCTCAGATCCGCAACCTACTTGATGATTCCAGCCAAAAGCAATCCATTCGTCTTAAGACCAAGGTCGATGGTCTTCGCACAGATATTTCCGCATCTGGGGATTCTCTGGAGCAAGCGACAGCTCAATATGACCGACACGTTGACGAGTGGATTTTTAAGGAAGAACAGTTCGCCAAGGATGTTATTACCTCTAGGGACGACATCAAGACCAAGATGCAGCATGATTGGGAGGCATTTGATCAACGCAATGCTTCCATCCAGCGCACCACCGAGTCTGTACACCAAGAGACTGTGCGTATTGTGGATGCACAGATGAGTGACATGAGCAAGCAAATGGAAGCACTCGATGATTTTGTTGCCAAGGCTCGATCTCACAACGGCCGCTTCCATGAGGCACAGCTTGGCAGTCTGGCTGCGATCGATTCGAGCGTGCGAGGCTCCCGTAAGGCCATCCGAGCTCATTTAGATGGCTTTGGCGGACGTGCGGGTCAACTTCAGGGTGATATCGATATGCATACTGCTAATATGAAGCACTGCACGGCCCCTCTGCAGAAGGAGGTCCGTCAGCCACTCGTCAATCTTCGGGACAACTTTGAAAGCCACCCTATGAAGGAATACATTCCATCTGGTGTCACGCCCAAGAAACGGAAGTACGATTACCCTACGCACCTGCCTCGCACTGAGTCCCATGATGGCCTTCGTTCTCGACACCGAACCTCAAAGCAGTTTACTGCACTTCCATTCAACGAGGAAGAAGATACTCAGCCAGCCCCTGTCTCTAGTCCCCCCACCTCCTCCCCTGCGAAGGCCTTTGTTTATAGCGATCCTGTAGAGGAGATCGAGACCCGACGTTCATCAATGGCGGTGACATATAACAACACTGGCCTTAGGGAGGTCGATCTAAACGTCGCTAAAACCCTCTCTGATATTGCCGACGATACCCCTATCCCCAGCAAACCTGATACCCCAGTACATATTCCAGTTGTGGATCTCGACAATACCCCTGCAAAGGACGAATCTGAGCCGACGACCCTCAAACGCCGTCGCTCTGACTCAACCAGCATGACCAACACCGTCGAGAGCAAGCTTCCCCAGAAGATGCTCTCCAAGAAGATGGCTGGCATGATGGAGGGCCGCGAGAATGTGCCCCCCTCTGCTGCTCCCGGAGGCCGACGGTTATACCGCAGCCGCGCTCCGAACTAATTGGATAACCTCCTTGATGTCTTTTCATACTTTTCTTTACTTTATTTTTCCACACTTTGATTATGGCCTCTTGATACCCAATGTCGCTGGTGCTTGGTTGACCGGAGTTCCTGGCTAGGAAAACCATGTCGGATATTGCCATTCCTTGTTTCTTCCCTCCTCTTTCTCCTTGTCATACGGTTGTTGAATTCGATGGACTGGACTTCATAGAAGGCGGATTTCTTACAGGCGTTGGTGGTTTTAACATATCTTCATACTTATTTTGACCAGGCTTTGGTCTTAATCGAATACTTTGATCCATCTCATTTGTTCATGGTAGATCTTCTGAAATCAGCAACTTTGAAAGTAAAAAGCAGATTGGTATACGCGCGTTCGAAAGAAAAGCTAAATTTCATCCATGGGTCAACTCCTAGATGCGCCAGATCATGATCATTGTGAAATGGGAAGCCATGACTACCCTTCCACTTCATCCAAGGCCGGCTCCTGTTCGGACACTTTGCCATCTTGCGCCTGTTCATCCGCACTCATCTTCTGCTCACGCGGCAGCTCCTGTGCCTGTTCCTGTTCCTGGTCCGCTCCAGCCCTGGGCTCTCCGTCACCACTATGAGGCTCTTCAGTCTCCACATCCTCTTCCACATCTGCTGAATCAATAACGGTCTGCAACTCCGCCATGCGCTTCGCAAATTGATTCATCATATCCTCCAACCGCGGCGTTCCACGCTCCTTCCCAGACTCAGCAGCAAACGGTAACCCGGCCGTCCCGTGAATCTTCAGCATAAGCCCATGTCCCGTCCCGTCACCGTCGTTATTCTCAAATGTCGGCGCTGGAACCATCTCGCTCCTCATGACTTGCCAGTCTGGTGAGAAACTTTTTGCCGATGCTACGCGGAAATGTGGATGGGATGATGATCCTGTGGGGGACGGTTGTGTTGCTGGGGATGTGGACATGGTATTGGTGATTCCGGCGCCGAAGTTAATGGTTGCTGGCACTGCTGCGGGGGTGATGTGCTCAGACGCAGGGACTGGTTCAACGTCTAATACCACGTATTTCTCTTGCACACCCGGGATCGGAGGTGGAAGGAGCGTGGATGGCTCTCGTCCTTCTGTCTCATCATGCTGTCCGATGTAGACATGCTTCTTGTTAGCGGGCAGAGCATCCTGCTGTGCTTCCAGGCTGCGGAGAGCTGCTTCGGTGATGATATCGGTGTCGTCGTCGGAGAAGATATAGTGCACAGTTGGGTGGTGGTATTCGCCCGCAGGTATGTCTTCGATTAACGTAAAAAATGGCTGGAAGGCTGGCTGTTGTGAGGTTCCATCTTGCGCTTCAGCTGCTGGCGGGTCCCCGTGTGGTGACGGGACGAGCTCGGTTGCTTCTCCGTGGATATGCGGACCGTCCCGCTGGGAGCTGGATATGGTCCGTGGAATGTCTGTTGGACTGGAAGACTGAAAGGGAGGGTGAATCGGATTGTTCAGAGACATCGCTGTCGCTACATCTCAATAGTTGAGCTGCTGAGATGATAAAGATGCCCCATGATCGACGGAGCTTCTTATCGATAAGGGCACGTGATCGTATCGCAGCGCATAGCAATGGAAACACATGTGAAGCATAGTGCCACGATATTGATTCTATTTTTTAGTAATCTGCCTCCGAGTCATGTCTCTAGGGCAGAAGATCTTAATATAGTCGGCTACTTCCAAGGCTCCTAAGGTTGAAGCTGCAACTCGGAAGTCGGTATTTAATAAGTTTGGATAGATGCCATCACTACTATCAACAAATATCTCCACTTTCCATTTACGATCTTATAGCTATGTACAACATTATAAATTAAAATGCCGCTCACAATCTCAAAGGGGAGAGTTGGAACATACAGTCCATCTGCCAGCTAGGAAGTGGCCCTTCTATTGCGCAAACTCAAAGTGGGCTGGTTGGAAACACGGCTTGTCGTAAGCACCCGGTGCATAAATCGCAAAATGAGCCCCAGTGTTGGAAAACTCCTTTCCTGATCGGTGATGAGTCAATGATGCGCTGGCAATGTCGGGGGTTGGCCTGTTGATCGATGAAATAACCTTCTCGGTCAAGAAGAAGACTTCGTATCTCGTGGGCTATGCGTCCGAGATCGCTCTAACTGCCTTGCGCCCATCATTAAATGCCGCGGTCAATTTGTCATCAATGCCGGTCTGATTATGGCCATTGCTATTAGAAATACCCATTAGTCCATGTTAAGCCCGTCGTCTTATATGGTTTTATTTGCGGCACAGTGGGCTTTCCCATGCTTTATTGCCTCGGTTTACACTAGTTATGCCTGAGAGCCCCTGGTATCTTGAAATAGCAGAGAAGAGTCTCGAGAAACTACATCTGAAGTCGACTAATACATCCTTGATTTAAGAGGGTATCCAGTCCTCTATCGCTGATGAAAGAGCAGTCGCCGAAAGTCAAAAAGATGCATCTTACACAGACTGCTTCCGAGGCAGCAATTTGCGGAGAACACGCATCTCCTGTGGAATGTTTGCAGTGCAACAGTTCACTAGGACCGCGCTCTACTCGCAAATTTTGTACTTTCAGGGTATTCTAGACTGCCTGTCAGCTTTAATTTCAAGTTAGCACTGGGAGAATTCGGAGTAGCCATGTTAGGAAACATCGTCCCGTGGCTTATAATAAGTTACATTAATTAGTCCTTGTGGTCTCTTTTTGCTAACCTTAACGACTAATATAGATTCTCGCTCTACAGGTCGTTGACCACTTTTATTGACGGGAGTTGCTCTTGATGCGCTAATTTGCTGTCTGTCGGCGTGGCTGGATGCTTCTCTAGCATGGCCTAATACTACGTTGGCTACGTTATGAACTTTGCCCGACCATTCTATGCTCCAAGCGTTGGTGCGGTCAGTTGGACGATTAGCGCCGAGACCAGCTCCATCAAGCTTCGAGCTCAAACGCAAAGTCTGGCCGTGACGAATGCATTAGTTAGCAGGATCATGTCGTTTTGCGCCCTACCCAATCAACACTGACAACGGTACATCGAATGCTCAATGAACCATGAAATACACGTGCTGACATTTTATCTCCCCAGCTGACTTGGGTGGCAAATCTGCATTTGTATGGATGGCTCTTTCCTTGCTGAATTCAATCTAGGCTTTGTTGGTGGTTCCAGAGTTCAAGGACCGCACTTTTAGCGAACTTGATGGAATGTTCGCCCAGAAGATACCAACCGGGCAGTTCACGAAGTAGGCGGCCGAAGTGAATCGGAGTCCTTGAGATGCTGGTGAGCATGAGTGACACGCAAGTATATTGTTCTCTCGTGTATTCATACGCTCTGAGCCTTCCTCCTCAGGTTGTATGGTGTAGAATTAAAGTAGTAGTAGTAGTAGTAGTAGTAGTAGTAGTAGTAGTAGTATAATATAGACAATACCAAACTATGAATAATTGAGCAGCACCGATCTTCACTAAGCATTACATGAAAATTTGCATATGCCATTACTGTTGGTTCTCGAATGTTGCGATATGACTGGCTCTGCCTTCGCACTCTCTGCTAGGGCCGTTTAGCCCCGCCTGACGTGATTGGAGATGGGAATGGCTTGATCGCGGAACGAATTGCTGGATTGAGTGTTCGAAAAGCACCGTATGGACGCCACTGATTACAGCCAATAAGTATTTATGACATAAAAGTTTTAGACATGGAAATAGGTTGAGAAAGTCGCATGGAGGAATTGCTTGTTGGGGTCTGTGTACATATGCAATACCCCACATAGTCTAGCATCAAGGGTGACGTCCCGATTCCATGAAACACCGGATTATGCAGAAATCAACAATAGAACGCAGGGGTATCCTTCAATTTGCCCAGCCAACGCCATAGAAAATCATGTAAAGCACCATCATTGCTCAGAACCCTCCGTTTCTTCCGTTTCCTCGGTCTGTTTCCATTCAAATTCTAGGAATCATTAGTATATTGTAGACCAGGTGTGTGAGGGTGACGAACTTTGGCGACACATGGGACACAGTCCCTTGGAGGATTCTTGCTGAATCCAAGTCAAAAGGCAGTGCTGTTCAATCGGTCAGTGGCCTACCATACTCCGGATCTCGATACCTCGTACCATATGAAACGAATGCCCACATTTGCCGAGCACTAGAGGCGATTAGTCAGGTCTTCGACGGGTTGATTGCGACTTACGGAGCGAACAGTCATCGCCGGGGAATTTGCAGGTCGGACAGGTTCCGTCGAATTGAACACGACAGATACCACAGACTTCATCCTCGGGCATGTCCCAATGCCAGGTGGCAATGGCATTCCATTCCTTCAGCTTTACTTTCATGATCGGATTGATTTGCGAGCAAGTGGTAGGAAGTTTGCGGAGAGAAATGAGTGGCTGATAAGCGCGGCTTTGTTTATCGGCTTTATCACATGAGTTTCTCCGCACCAAATCAACAACTCCACTCGTCATTCCACTCTAAATGTAAAGAAACGGTGCCTTTCTCACGCCCCTCAAAATCATGGCTTTCGCCGCCATCCGTGCAACGCGTTTGTTTCGTCCCGTTATGTCTTCTCATATCCCGGGTACTCGCCAAATCTCCTTCTCGTCATACCTGGTCACCCCCAAGGAGCTCAATGAGGCTCTGAAAAAGAACCCGCCCACTAAAATCTCCACTTCGCCACGAGTGATTCCACTGTGCGCAGCATGGTTTATGCCAAATGACCCTGAGGGACGTACTGGCATTGAGTCCTTCCGCAAGTCACGCATTCCGCAGGCCCGGTTCTTCGATCTTGATGGTATTAAAGACCAGGACTCGCCTTACCCTCACATGCTGCCAACATGTGAAACATTCGCAGATGCCATGAGTGAATTGGGGATTCGTCGTGATGACGAAATTGTGGTTTACGATACCGCCGAGTTGGGGATTTTCAGTGCCCCGCGTGTAGGCTGGACCCTTCGCGTTTTCGGCCACCCCAATGTTCACATTCTTAATAACTACCGCCTTTGGACTCGCGAGGGACTTCCGACTGAAAGTGGTGAGCCTGCATCCGTGGAGAAGAGCAAGTACCCCGTCCCGACCTATGACTCGAAGATGGTGATCTCCTTCCGTGAGATGAAGGAGTTGGCATTGGACTACGGCAAGGAGGGTGCCGAAGAGGTGGAAATTCTGGATGCTCGCTCTTACGGTCGCTGGGCTGGAACTGACCCTGAGCCACGCCCGGGCCTCTCATCGGGCCATGTGGCTGGATCCAAGAGCTTGGCTTTCCAGGAATTGTTAGACCCGGAGACCAAGACCTACCTGTCTCCCGAGGAACTGCGCAAAGTCTTTGAGGAGCGCAAGGTGGATCCTTCTCGCTCGATCATCAGCTCTTGTGGTACTGGCGTGACGGCGACTATCATTGAAACAGCTCTGGGGCAGGCCGAGTATGGCGATGCTAATCTGCGCCGAGTATACGATGGCAGCTGGACGTAAGATCTCTCTTGTCTCTGTTACTTTGCACCACATGCTAATATTTTCAATAGTGAATGGGCTCAACGGGTGAAGGAGTCGGATCATCTTATCAGGAAGGTGAAGCAGTAGGCTCAAGGCATTTCTTAAAGTTTATGATTGATAGGCTGGAGGAATGATTCCTCTTTTTCATTTGATCCGCTCTTTTTTTTTATACTGTTAGACGATATTCCCCGTGCGCATCGCATTTAGAAATCTCTACTTGACTTTCATCTTGATTTTTTCTTTCTTTATATCTTTTTCTGATCATCTTGTACTCTCTATCGGGGCTTAGTTCTAGGTAAGTTGCACCTCTTGGTTCGGCGCTTAGTCAGCGCTTCATCTCAGCTTGAAAGCCGATTCGATTCTCCATTGACAACTTGCAAATCCCACTCCTCAGCACTATCCTGGGTTGCACCGTCTTCAAAGATGCTGCAGATGATTCATTGTGGTTTACATAGTGCGTTGCCTTCGCATCCCGGCGTCCCGCTGCCCCCACATTCCCAGACCACCCCAAATCCGCAAACCTCCTTCGTGGGACTCTGCTGACCCAAACTTCCCCCTCCTCCAGTTGCGGCTGTCTTCATTTCCAGTTCCCCTGTATAGGGTAGGACTGCTCTCCGACCTCCCCCCGACCGACACTTGACCTCTCCGCCATGTCGACCGGACGCAAGGTCTTTCACTGCGCCGTGGATGAGACGGCTCTGACTACAAATATCAGCGAAATCAAGAAATGGACCACCAACGGGTCCATCGATCTTATTGTCCCTCTTTACAGTAGGTTCTTTTCAAATGTGAAACGAGGGCGATCTAGCTTCTCCGAGATCATTGCTAATCGCACGGTTCACTTCCAGCCCTTGAGCGGCTCCACGCCTTGAAACGGGCGGGATCGCAAACCGCCATCAATGCCCGCGAGGCCGTCCGCTTTCTCGACCGAGTCACCTCCGGCAAAGACACCATCTCCCCCGATCGAGTCGAGCTCCAAGGTCCCAATCAACTGTTCGAGCACTGGGAGGATGCGGAGAAATTCTTCCTGCCGGAATTCGAAGAGGAGCCTGAGGCCGTCACCGACGAAGCCAATGCGGTTGCCGACGCCCCGCGGTCCCCGACCAAGCAACAAGGAATCACGAGCGCATCAGCTTCGGATGACTTGTCGCAGATGCTGCTTAGCAGATTGAACTTCAAAAAAGATCCCGAAGTGACCTCCAACACCTCCGCTGGCTCCCCGAGCGGGCCAGCCTCGCGCACTTCGTCTCGCAGTTCGCGCACCAGCCCCGAATGCGCTCAGCATGAGAATGGAACTTCGAACAAATCGGAAAAAGGCAAGGCGGGCCATCAGCGCACCGTTTCGGCGTCTACGATTCCCGTGGCCCCTGCTGAGTTACGCCCGTTGCTGAGTGCTCTCCTATGGCGCTTGCACAGCGGCCCAGATGGTGAGAACTCTGCCAAAGGCTGTATTCTTGTGTCCAATGACCGGGCGACTCAGATCTGGGCTCAGAAATTCGGCATTGGCGTCAAGAATATCGTTCAACTGCGTACTGCAATTCAATACGAAGAGCGCGAGTACAAGAACCGCTGCAAATACGTTGAGAAGACCCAGACCCAGACCCAGGCTCCCGAACCCAAAACCCTCCTATCCTACGAGGATGAGAGTGACGAGGATGAATTGGTCTTTGTTCCTCGTGGTCGCGGCAATGGCAAGGGCCCCTCTCGGGGTCCGCGCGGCGGGGCATCTCGCAAGGCGGCTGCAAAGGTCAGTCCCCCAGCCGTCACTGAACCCCAAACGACCGTGATCGAAGTGCCCACTCAACCTATCGACCCGAACTCATTCAGCCGATCTATCGGTGGGGCTAAGGCCCCGCCTGCCGTCGATCTGAGCCCCCAACAGGGCGGTGGTCGTGGTAACGCAGCCTCCCGTCGCGGTTCCAACGGGCGCCGCGGTGGCGCCAGTCGTGGATCCAGCCGGGGTGCCCCTCGCGGTGCTGCACGAGGTAACGGACGAGGCCGAGGCAAACTTTGGGTTCCTTGATGGCATGAGCGGGTCTGCTGAGACCGACTCTGTTGGATCTCAGCCGACCAAGTGAACATGTTGAAATGAATGCATCCAGACACCGGACAGGTTTGTCTTCTTTCCCTTACAGGACAGGCATCTCGCACGAGGTGAAAGCGATTCGTTACTGTGCTTGTCTGCAGGACGTGTATCTTTCTCCCTCTGCTTCCCCTTCTCCTTCATTCCCACCCCGGCATGACTCCCAGGATCACACAACACGGTCGGAAAGCCGGACATGATACCATGGGAGGATTCGATTCGATTCGATTCCGATTCTCGGAGGGACTGCTCTATGGAGTTCTTCCTTGAGGAGCCCTCTGTCCCTTTTGTCACCTTGGAAATTCCTTTGGGAGAAGATATGGGTCGCCGTGTTTCCCCACGAGAAGTTGCTTTCTATCTTCTTTTCTTTTTGTGACTTATGGAGGCCAAGTAGATTTGTATTTCCCTAAAGATCTACATGGAATTTTGATTTATTTCCTGATTGCCCTTACATACTTACGTGTCAAATGTGAATTTCCCTTACAAAACTGTAAATTGTAAGATAAAGTTGACTTCCCCGCGTGACCCAAAACCTAGAATCACTTGACTTCGACTTTCCACTTGACCCTCCCGCCCATCTTTGCTTCCCTTTATCTTCTACTTCCATTCCGGTCCACATTCCTTCACTATCAATAATCCATTATGTCGATTGACGAAACTCCTCTGGGCACTGCCCCCTATGAACGCCGCAACTCGCTGGAGAAACACCTCCAAACCCGACCGGACCCGCAAGACCTCAAGGACCGTCACATCCTGCTGAGCACCAATGTTGCACCGTACGGGTCCCGTCCCGTCTACCTGCTTCTGAGCTGGCGTGGCTGACTGACAACAGATCTCTTCAAGCTGCTCACCAGGAACTCGCCCGCCAGCGCGCTTCCGACGAACTGAAGAAGAACCTGGGGAAGAGGCCCGGACGGGAAGAGCTCGTGGAGCGTATATCTCCCTCCCTTTTTACCTGATTTACCATCTGAACCCGTCTCTTTATATATATTTCGTTTAACCTCAGCATCCTGGCATACAAAGCTATTGCGACAACATACTGACTACCAAAGGCAATATCCTCCCTTCTACCAACGCCGCCCCGTCCTTGCAGGCCCAGGCTCGCGATCTCGAGCGCCACATGCTCGCCGATAACCTAGAGCACAAGATTCAGAATCGCCCTGATCCAGAGGAGCTGATTTCTCAGGGGATCCTCGAGGAAGACGAGAACCCACGCTCTACTTAGTTCTATACGCGTTTCTGCATGGTGGATACGAACCCTGATCTCTATGATTCTGCGAAGATTAGACCAGGACTTCGAGCAGGCTTAATGAGGACGATGGCGTATTTTCATTGCCCGTTTTTTTCAACTTGCTTTTACTGTTTCTTTGCGGGGTTTTTGTGATGGGGCTTGTCGCTCATTCCGCGGGCGGTGATGTCACCGTGACGATTGTCGATGTCGATGTCTGCTCCACATAAATTAGTTGTTGTTCCCCGCAAAGTCTATTTCTATTAACGATCAAAGTGTGAATCCTGTAGTTTTTTATTCCGTTTTGTAGACTGAACATGTTAAGAATTGATACATGGAAGTGGAGTGGTCCCACAGCGGGGCCAACGCTGGAGATCGCTATCAATAGATCTCAAGATAGGAATACTGCCAAGGTGGCTGCAGTATGACACATACTCGCTCTCGTCGAAATCATCAAATACCCAGTCTTCTCGGATGCCTTCCCTCTCTTCCAGTCTACAGCTATCAAGGTCTCCCTTTCTATATTTTCAACACGCTCTTTGACTTCATCAAAAATCTCCGATGGAATCTAACCATCTGAAAATTCTTTGATCATCAAAACAGCTTCATTCGTTTCAGTGATCTTAGCATCAAGTCCAAGCTGTTTTACACATTCTTTTTCCTTATACATGATCGGACAGGGAGACTCCTGATACTTGGGTAGAGATTCCGCAGCAACAAACCCATGCTCATTGTGGGACAGTCGAAGCAGCGACTCCGAAATCTGTAGGATTACGTACGGTGGTCTATTATGCTGGTGATATCTTGATCATGGGTGGTTGTTTGGTGTTAGATGTGGATGGCGTAGTACTGGACTTCGTGAGTATAGAGGTGTTAGGATGAGAAACGGTGCTGATTTGCAAGAATTATACAGGGATGGGATGTGGTCGAGGTGAAATTGCTTTTCATTGTCGTATACATCACGTCGGTCTCGCAGGAATGTTGCTGGACAGTGCATGTTGTGTAGAAAGCATCTCGTGAACTGTGTATTGGATGTCGAAACAGAATATTCTAGGATCAGAGATGGCGTTGAAGAGAATCGGGACAAGACGCTTGGGCTGGACGCTTGACTACGGGATATTGTACTTAGGATAGATATCGTAAGTGAACACAATGCTAATAACTTGGCTCACAGAGCTCTGACATTCGGTATGGCTAATCGTGTAACTTTTGTATGTCAAATCCGTTGGTATACGATTCCGCTTCCAGGTCAATGAATCTCCATCTCAACTGACGCCGACAAATCCGGTGTCCATCCACTCGGTCGCTCGCTCCCACGCACCAAAATACCATATGCCGCCCGTTCCACTTTCTCCACACTGCTCTGCATCACATCCACCTTCTTGAACAGATCACGCATCATATTGGACCGCGCCGGGACACTGAGTGCCTCAAACTCCGCCCGCATAGCTCGTACATCAACAACAAGCCCAGCCTGTGTAGCAGAAAGATGGGGGAGTTTCCGGGTTGCGTCTGTAGACTCGGCCTCGGTCTCATCCGGCTTTGACGCATTCCCAGAGCTCAATGCTGTCACGGCAAATCGCATCATCTCACCAGTCAAATCGAACAAGCCCATCACGTAGTCATCTCCGGTGACGAGGATCTCAGCGGGGAGTTGGGCTTGCACCTCGGCGTGGCTAATCAACGTTTGTGTACGCAGGTAGTGATCGAATGAGATTGCTTCGATAAATTCTTGGATACCACCGCCAATCTGGCGCTGGTATCGCCATGCATTGATTCCTGTGACATCTGGGATGATGGAGGTAAATAGGGCTTTGATCTGGTCGAGGCGGGCTTGGTTTTCTTGAGCGATTTTCGGTGGTAAGGGTTGGTTGATAGCGCGAACACGTTGGAGAGCGAAAATCCTGATTTCTTGTTAGACTGAAAGCTGGGGAATCTCAGTGACGAGCTTACATCTTCTTGCTCAGCGCGGTGATGTCTCGGCTGGCCTTGATGATCCGCTCGCGTCGGTCGTGATGTTGGTCGAGCTCATTGCGGAAGCCTTCGAAGATGGAGATTATTGGGCTGGTGGTCTCAGAGGTCATAGTATCAGCGTCTTTTGTGACAGGCTGGCCTTGCCAAGATCTTTTGGTGCCCATTGTATGTGAAGGTGGGAGGTGGAGAAAGTGAGGTTTGCGCGATAAGAGGTTTATCCTTATCGGCTTATCAGCTTCGCTTTGAACAAACAGGCGGCAGACTTTCGAAATCCACCATTGGATGCACTGAAGGGACTGAAATAAGAAATAAGGAAACTAGTAATAAGTTGGAAAGATTCTATATATATTGGAGGCCCTTATGCCCATACTCCTTGATTTCCCAAGTCGCTTTCCCACTTACTGATCCACCGGAATTCTCACCACCGCCCGACCCATGATCTCATCCTCAGTGAGTTGGCGGATGAGTCGAGGAGTTTCAGCAAGCTCAAATACTTCAATGGCTGGAGTAATCACTCCCCCCAAGGCAAGATTGAGCAGCTCCGTTAATTGGCTCTCAGTACCCACCGATGAACCCTTGATCGTGAGTCCTGTTGGAATAAGTATCAATTCATTCAGACCGGCTATTGTATTCAGGGTTATATCTCTCACCTCGAGCCGCACAGATGGTCGCAGATATTGGAATATCCATGTGATTTGGTGGCAAGCCCACATTCACAATAGTTGCCATATTCCGCACTAGTGACGGTGCCATTTGGAAGGCTTCCTTGGTCCCTGGCACAACAATTGTAGCATGGGCACCCTCCCCAGTCAATTCCAATACTCGCGCTACAACATCCTCCGTCTTGAAATCCAAAAATGCTTCCGCTCCAGAATCCAGACTAAGCTTTCGCTTGGCATCCCCGCTATCGATCGCAATGACACGGAGCTTCTTGATTCGTGCCGCAATTTGCACTCCAATATGACCGAGACCGCCGCCCGACCCCGAAATCACAATCCAGTCACCGGGTCTTAGCTCCTGATCAAGATGCGCCAAAGCTCCTGACATGGTAAGACCAGCACAGAGAATTGGGGCCGCAATTTCATCAGCAAGTCCTTCGGGAATCATGGTGATGAATCGTGCATCCGCCACAACGTATTGCTGCAATGTGCCGGGAACGTGACGGCTCGTGTTTAGCTGATTGGGACAGTTATGGGCAAGCCCACGTTGGCAGATGGAGCATTTTGTACAGGCGTTGTAAAGCCATTTGACTCCCACGCGCTGACCCATTAGCGATGGGGAAACTTTGGCGCCGGCTTTGACGACTGTTCCCACACCTTCATGCCCGATGATTGATTTGTACGCTCCCCAAGCTAACACCGCTCGTACCTCAGAGTGACTATTTATGTCAGAAAATATCTCTATAGAGGACATGCGATCTCACCAAAGTCCGGTGCATGTTAACTTGACGAGGATTTCTTCAGGCCCTGGTTCTCCGACGGGAATGTCATTGCGGAGCAAGATCTTGAAATTGTCGCCGGGGTCTTCTACGACAGCTGCTTTTTGATGAACCGGAATGGATGCCATTTTCCAGGATGATTGAATAGTAAGAAGTATGAAATTCTCGAAATATGTTTGAGGGGTCCGATGACTAACCTGTGGAAATACCGATAAGCTCTGCCGCATCACGGTTATGGTGATCTATAGCCGAATGCCGCCCAGATAACAAATCCGCGGGAAGAAATGTCAAGTGCGTTGATGGTCTATATTTCAAGAAATCTTGCAATCTCAAGTCGCTTACGTAGCCCACATTCAAGCATAAAAGATTCGCCAACAGACCATACTGTATTCATCCGGAAAGGAACTAAGCAGCCACGATAACCACTACAAAACCAATTACCATAAACATAGGTAAAACAATTGACGAATACTCAGTTCCTATATTTGGCAGATTGCTATTCCCTGAATCTTGAATTAGGTCAGATCCGGACAGCATCAAGGGTCCATCTGCAATTCGCAAAGCACGTCCTGAGAGGTGTATCATATCTCGCTCTCGGCATCAATCTTGGACAGATAATTGCTGTTACTCATGTGAATCTCACTCACTGGTGATCATATAGTAGTCCCTGTCTCATGAGGAAGTTACTTGAAGCAGCGAGTGTAGATGTAGAGAAAACGGGTCTCAAGGGGCCAATCTCGTTCAAAAGCCCTTGGCCAGAAGTGCATAGCCTTCGCTCAGTTCGTTGACATAAAGTGGGTTAATGATCTTGAGCCTGTGACCTACGATCAACAATAATTCTTCGTTCACGTTGATAGACGCTCCGGGGAGGAGAAGGAAGCCATCTTTCAATTACAACTACTTGAATTTGATCCTTCCAAAAATAACATTCGATTTTGGATGATTCAGGTGGCGTCGCTCGGTGAAGAAATATAGCCCAAGCCACTCAAGCCTTTCCCGAAGCTTTGTTACCTTGTTTTCCTTTGCCGTCGACGTGCGGGGTGGACTCCACAACAACTCCACAGATCCCCGGATTTTGACCTTTAGCGAGCCAATACCAATGCAGCACCGGACTCATTTAAACCGAGTTGACTTCTTCGGGTCAACAACACCGCGAGATGGGCTGGTCATCGTCAATCAAAATGGCGCAGAATAAAGCCTCAGGGCCCCTGGAGTCCACCTCATCTATAACATCTTGTGTTGAATCCGACCTTGGAAACCATCAAGGGACAAGATGTTTGAACTTCGTGGAAAATATTTGCACTGGGCTGTCACAGGTACGCGGAACATACGTGTTCATGTTTGATGCTGATACTGATGTCATATAGCGGCGAGCTGTCAGGCCTTCCTCCTGCTTGGTTATGATCAGGGAGTCATGAGTGGACTGATTGGGGCCAACAATCAATTTGGACAACAATTTGGGCATCCTGACGCTACTATGCAGGGAATCTGTAAGATCTTGACTTCTCAAACGGTCGACAAACATGGCTAACGAAAAGTTCAGTGACCTCCATCTATGATATTGGTTGTGCCGTCGGATGTCTGTTGAGTTTTGTCGTCGGCCATAAGGTCGGTCGGAAGAAGATGATTATGGCGGGAGGGACAATCATGGTCATCGGTACGATCATTCTCGCTTCATCCTATACCCGGGCACAATTTCTGGTAGGGCGAATCGTCACGGGCTTTGGCAATGGCATCAACAGCAGTACAGTTCCTACATACCAAAGTGGTAAGTGGAAAGACACCCTCCTTCCTAATGAGAGTGGTCACAGAGATTCACACAGATTTCAGAGATGGCCCGACCCGAGCGCCGTGGTAGACTTCTATCAGCCCAAGGAACCGTTACAATCATGGGATTATGTATCGCATACTGGCTCGACTACGGCCTCAGCTTCGTGGACTCCCCCGTTCAATGGCGTTTCCCAATCAGCTTCCAGGCATTCTTCGCCGTCTGTCTTGTTCTGCAAATGATACCACTTCCTGATACACCTCGCTGGCTCTGTGAACAAGATCGCAGCGATGAGGCCGGTCGCATTCTCGCTCATCTGCAGCTTGAGCAGCCTGCCGATGAATCGACTCCTGAGGTGATTCAGCTTCGTCGCCAGATCGAATCTGCTATTGAGATTGAGTCGGCAGGTGGTCCGTTCCAGTACAAAGAGCTTCTGGCTGGTGGCAAGGTCCAGAACCTGCGTCGCATGATCCTGGCTGGTCTGGTCAATGTCCAACAACAGTTCACAGGTAATATTTGCCCCTTCAAGCATGCAGGAATCGTCACTCATTTTATCTAGGCTCCAACATGATTAATTACTATGCGCCTACGGTCTATGAGAACGCCATGGGGCTTTCTCGAAACCTGGCATTGATTCTTGGTGGCTGCACTTCCCTTGCATATTTAGTTGGTTCGATCATTCCTCTATGGAGTATGGATGTGCTCGGTCGACGACCGTCCCTTATGATCTCCGCCGCTGGCCTTTGTGTGTGTTTTGTCTTGGTCGCTGGTCTGCTTTCAGTCGGTAGCACAGATTGTGCATATGCTGCAACTGTCTTCGTGTTCATCTTCCAAATCTTTTTGGGTATTGGATATTTGCCTGTGCCATGGTATGTTGCCTTCGTTCCCTGATTTCAAGACCATTATGTTTGCGACGACAGTATTAACCATATCTCAGGTTCTATCCTAGTGAGATTACCACTACACGCATTCGTGCTCGTGGGCAGGCATTTGGCGGCTTCGTCAACTGGATTTGTGTTTGTGAGTTGCTGATCTTGCCTAGCGCCTTTTCCTATTGCTGACCTTACTAGTCATTGTTGTCCAAGTGACACCGACCGCCATTGATAATATCTCATGGAGAACATTCATCATCTTTGCCTGCTTCTGCTTTGCATGGGTAAGTCTTCCGACCGAGAAGTGAATTGCAAGTTGACGTTCGTAGATTCCAATGGTGTATTTCTTCTTCCCCGAGACCAAGGGACTCGAGCTGGAAGATATAGACCATCTATTTGAAAAGGGCGGTCTTACTGGAGGTGTCTTCGAGTCTCGTGGTCGGCCTGTCCAGCCTGGATATCACCGCACTGTTAACACGGAGAGAATCGAGAAGCCTATCGATGAGCAACATGAGAACGTTGGCGTGTAGCTATAAAATTAGAGGATAGACCAGGGTGATTTACTTGCATTTGGCTAAATTCAAGGGCTAGGCTTCAAAATGGATTGGACATAGATTATGGAAGTCATTTTCGCGATTATCATCCTACCCATAACTTATAGAAGTTAGACAATTCCTTGAGACGTCCATAGATGAGATAGAAGGAACCATGTTGTCTAAATACGAACGAGACCGATCTACCAATATGTCCTATAAGTTCTGAATTCTACTTATTTCAACCGTTCCATCACCTTCAACAGATCAGCCATCACACACATCGCAGTGACTTCACCCCCACCACCCCCACCCTTCAAGACCAATGGGTTGGTTCCATACCGCTTGGTATAGATACTGACTATTTGACTCCCCTTGAGATTTGCGATTGGGTTCTCCCTTTCAAGGTGTTGTAGCCCAACTTTGATCTTCTGACTACATACATCGATACTGCCGATATAGCGTAGTACTTTCCCTTCTGTTCTAGCCTCATCTTTGGCTACCGCCATCAGCTCATCGAACTGCGGTAATTTTTCCATAGATCGGGAGATTCCATCCGCCGACGACGGAAGTGACTCTAGTTCAGCAGGAATCAGTGACTCGACCGGGAACGCGTCCGGCCCAGCCACTTGAAGACCCACGACTCGAGCGAGAATGGTAAGTTTTCGAGCAAAATCCATTCCGTTCAAGTCATCTCGCGGGTCGGGTTCCATGAATCCTATTTCCAGGGCATGTGCGACAAGTGAACTCCAAGTGGCATTTGCTGTTCCGATAGCGGGCATGTATGTGTCAAAAAGGAGTGATAACGTTCCGGACAGAACGCCTTCTATTTTCACGATTTCATCGCCCGTTGCTATCAGGTCGCGAAGTGTTGATAAGATCGGTAAACTCCCTCCGACCGTTGCCTGGTGGTATACCAATGCGTTCCCTTTTTTCGCAGAGGCAATAATATCATTCCATAGAGAAATGTCGTCTGAAAAGCCCTTTTTGTTGGGAGTCACGATGGATATCCCTTGTTTCAGAAATATGGGATATGCCTGTGCCAAGACCAGGTTGGAAGTATTGTCAATTAGAACAGCACGGCCAGGGACTGAAGAAAGGTAGCTCGCTATCTCTTCTGGCTGCAACGCGTCGACTGTTATTATCGAGGGCGTGTCGACAGCAGTTGTCCAATCCACAAAGGGAATCGTTGGCGAGTATGATGGAGTTGGCGCTAACAGAGTCTTTGACGAACGAGAAAGTAGAACCAGCTGAGGTGCATTTGGAATCTTTGCAAGCTGTTCCAACAATGATTTACCAACGCCACCGACGCCTGTTTTGTTTTAGCTGGGGTACGGGTCATCGTGGTGGTGATCTGGTGGGGTCGTACCGACAATACCAAGATAGATGGAGCCAGTCATTATGCCCAAGCTTCGACAGAGGAGACAATCACCGTATCAATTCATGGAAAAAGTCTGGACTTGAAGTGACAGAAGTGAAATTTCAGGGGCGTAAGATTCGCATGACTCATCAATGACTCCACCAGGACAAGTAAACAATCTTCCAATGGAAACATACTAGGATTCGAGCAGGTTTCGCATTCGCAGGTGATGAGACATTCTACATTGAAAGACCCCATGCAACTTCATGTGGTCGTGAGATTTGACTTGTTGAACGCCAATCTTGGTAGAGGATTGGATTGAACAGGCCAGATAAGAAGCTAAGCAGGCGAGACTCCCCGCATTTCGTTCTTGGGATTGCAAGGTGCAGGGCGATTGTCCAATGAAGGAGCCTGTCCAATGTGAGGCATGAGCTCCTCATTTAGATGATATAGTCGGAGAATCAAACAGCCATCTCAGAATTAACCAGTCTGCCGCTGTAGGCGAATGAATTTACATCAAAGCCAATATATTAGCAGCTAATGCACTGCAAGACCTGAAACTGGCGGCTCTTCGGGATTTGAAAGAATGGAAAAGATGCGCCTCAGCAAGGCGCCTGTTATTCGAGGCAGCCATATACAGCGAGATAAACCTGCATCAGATGCAAGCATGGTTCGCACCGCAGAACCGTAGCACCGTGCGCATGCGGGCACCCATATAACCCAGCCCACGTTGCCAAGCATCCCTGTATGCATGCATGGAACAACTCATCACTAATATCCAGTAATTTTGAGGCTGAGTGCCAGGTATGATCATTCTGGCTCCGAATCACTTTCAACTTGAGCCACACTTTAACGCGTAGACTTGGAGCATACCCTGGTCTTCTAGCCAGCTCCAATTTCGATAACTCGATATTTTTGAGAACAATAACCTTGGAAGAGGCGTACAATATGGACAGGGGCAAAAGTTATAAATTCCAGCTGTTTCCAGTCAAAAATATGGTTGATCAAGAATATTTGAATGAACAGCAACTTGTATCAATCTATTCATTATGTCAGTGGCAGTGAAGCCTGCCCAATCACAGCCAGTAACCCAGGATGTCAATTCATCTTTGGCGAAGAGCGACTCTCTTACGAGCGCCTTCAGACAACTAAAGGCACTTGCCTCTAGTGATCCGCTACAGAGCGCTGCGGAAATCATTCTTCAACTCGATCACCAGCAAGAGCAGATGAAGGAACTAAGCAAAAGAATCAACGAACAAGAGAGAAGCCATACCATTGCTACCAAAGTATTAGCTTCGACAATTGAGAAAGACAAGAAGACACAGATTGACGCGGATGCAGAAATACACTCCTTGCGCAAAGAGATCGCGGACAAGGAGAAAGGTCTTCGGGACTACTCGCAGAAGCTCGATGCAGCTGCAAACGACATGAAGAGACTCAAATCGGAAAAGATTCAGGAAACAAATAAAGCCATGCAATTGTTGAGCGACATCACGTCATTGCAAAAGGTCCTGAAAGAGAAGAATACCTCCATCGATCAAATGATTGCTTTTAAATCAAGCTTCAATGATCGCTTGGCTTCCGAGGAAAAAAAGACTGGAGACCTGAAACAAGAGTGCGAGTCTCTGCGAGCTGCCATGGAAGACGCACAAATCAAGTTAGGAAGGTTGGAGAGTTTCAGGGCCCCATATCAGGGAATGGATGAGGATTCCATGTAAGATGTGACTTTCTTAAATGCATGATCATCGTATGTCCTCGAGACTAACTTCATCAGGCGTGAACAATTTGTCCATCTTTGGAAATTCGCCACGGAGGAAATCTTTAAGATCTTGAAGCACGAAAGACTGGATGTTTGTTCCCCTACTATACATGAGAAGAACTTTTGACTGACTGCTTCACAGGATAAAACCTCATGGGAGGCGTTCCGAAAAGAAAGCGCACTGATGACGCCACTCCCTGTTCCTCTACCCGCTTCCAATAGCAAGGCTGCCCAAGGAATGCGACTGGTCATCATTCTAGCGATCTTGTCCAGGGAAATTGACAAACATATCTTCCAACCAAACTACCTGGACTCGGACGATAACCAGATGCGAGGCATACTCAGTCAACTTGCCAAAACGGACGGCGAGAAAGAAGCCTTTTGTCGCGCTATGTTGCTGTCAATTGATCCGGCAGCTCAACAGAAATCCGTCAAATCTAGGACTTCCCATATCTCTCGTGATATCACCCACCGTCTGTTTGGATCACTCACCGATGATAAGCAGAGCGAAGTTCGACAAACCATATCGAAGATTGTAAAACTGGCGATCGAGGCTTGGATGCCATTTCAACACAATCATTCAAAATATGAACCAGACTTCGAACCTGAAGCCTGGGATGATCCGGGCTGGCAGTCCTTCAACTTCCAGGGAGAGAAGACAGGAAATTCAGAGACCGGTCTTACCGCCGATAGTTATTTAACGATCTTCCCACGGATTTCGTGTGTCGATAAAGATTACCGTGATCCTTTGAATTATGTCGTTCAGATCCGGAGATCACATCCGTTATGGAGCGAGGCGGAGCAAGAGATGAGTCGAAGTCCCAGTAGCCCTACGACGGGTCGCATGCCATGTACTGGCCAGAGAAGAGCATCGGTCTCAACAAATGCTAGTGCCAATGGAAAAGTCTCTCCCAACGGAAAAGCCTCGCCGAATGGGAAGTCTTTTTTAAACCCAAAGGCCGTCTGATCGGACGGATGGTTGATTTGCTTATCAAGTATGCGAACATTTGACGGTTTGATATGGGGTTCTTTTTACCTTTTTTTCTTTTGTCTTGTAAGTTTGATAATTGATAGCAACCAGAATGTGATTTGATTTGAATTATTGTCTCATTCCGCCCCCATTTCCCGATATTAATTTCCCCTGCGTCGTTATCTCGGTTAGGCTGCAAGCCTACGTAGTAGCGTAGTAGCGACCTCATTAGGCAGTCATTCGAAGACCTTGGAAGTTCTGAATCTTTTAAACCTGTTCAAGCGCCGTTGAGACTGGTCAGAGCAGACTTTTCGTATCACCTTTCTATGTCACAGGCTGCTTATCTTCTACATCACGCAACCCCGCATCCAACATGGAATTCAATCAAAAGGGGGAGCATCAGCCAATCCAGCTATCACAAAATAGGTCCACACGATGGATTCACAAGGTCTTGCGACCAGTCGCCACTGTATTCATCCTAACACTCCTGTGGACTTTACAATATTATCGGGACAATCTTACGGGTTCATCGGGAGATACATCGTTAACTGATAAAGGCTTCAAGTGGGAGAGTGTGAGTAAGATCCATTGCTTGACATGAGACGTGTTGACAAGCAGCAGATTACACCAAGCAAGCAACTGATTTATCACCCTTGTCATGGCGAATATCAATGCGCTCGCCTTAAGGTACCAATGGACTGGAATCGGACAGACGGCCAAGGTGCATCGGTCGCAATAGCAATCATCCGACTCCCCGCCAAGGTTCCTGTCACGGATGTGCGATATGGTGGTCCCGTCATTATAAACCCGGGTGGACCAGGTGGATCTGGGGTATCCTTGGTCCTGAAAGAGGGGAAGGATATCCAAAAAACCGTGGATTTCCAGAAATCGCCCGACAACCCGGAAGTGCAGTCAAGTGCAAAGTATTTTGATGTCGTCAGCTTTGATCCGAGGGGAGTCAATAACACTACTCCTCCGTTTTCTTGCTTTGCCAATCCGGAGACGCGTCGGATGTGGAAGCTTCAGTCAGACACAGAGGGGAACCTGGACAGCTCAGATGCTTCGTTCAATAACCTCTGGGCACGGGCAATTGCCTTTGGTGAAACCTGCTCTCTACATGGTGCTAGCGCTGGTGAGCCGGAATGGATAGGCCGTTTCATGAACACGCCCCCCGTCGTGGCAGATATGGTTGAACTCGTCGAGCGACATGCTGAGTGGCGGGAGAAAGAGACCAGTCGACTTTTGAGGAACGGAGTGCAAGTTTCCAAGCAGAAGCAAAGAGACATTCAGCTGCGGAACAAGTGGCAGAAGGGTGAGGAAAAACTGCTTTATTGGGGTTTCTCATATGGAAGCGTCTTGGGGGCAACCTTTGCCGCGATGCAGCCCGGTCGGATCCATCGTTTGGTGGTGGACGGCGTTTGTGATTCACGAGACTATTATGCTGGCAACTGGCTCAAAAATCTTCAGGATGCAGACTCGACACTGCACAAATTCTTCGAGTACTGCCATGAAGCAGGTCCTGAGTCATGTCCGTTAGCACTTGACAATTTACATGCGACCACAGCGGGTTATTACGATATCCTAGCTGACGTGGCAAGCAACCCCGTTGCTGTCCCCGAATCAATGACGAGGGGGCCTGATATCATCACTTACAGCGACGTTCATGCGATGGTTGTACAGTCACTCTATAGCCCCATGGCCCTGTTTCCAACCATGGCGCGACTTCTGGCGGACCTTTCCCACCGCAACGGGTCCTCCTTTGCAGAATTCAAAGCCAAAGATCTGAAAGCAACCCGTGAACCTGGGTACAATCCCGAGGCCCTGTCGGGTGTTTTGTGTGCGGATGGCAAAGATATCCATGGAATTGCCAAAGGCGAATATAGGAAGTATTGGAAAACTCTTCGAAATCAAAGCCAGGCTGTCGGAGATGAATGGGCCACTATTCGTCTGCCGTGTGCTGGCTGGCATGTGAGGCCAGCTTGGGCCTTTGATGGTAGGTCTCGTCTCAACATCTTGACATTTTCGCAAAGTTCTGACCCTTTCTTTTTTGACTAAAGGGTCATTTGTTCAAAATACGTCCCATCCTCTACTCTTCATCGGCAACTCTTATGATCCAGTGACTCCAATTCGAAAGTGAGAGGGTCCCCTAACAGACAGCCATCTAGCCATACTTACATATTGTAGTGCTGTCACGATGTCCTCTGGGTTTTCTGGTTCTGTCGTTTTACAGCAAGATTCTCTTGGCGTAAGTTCTCAGTGAAACATCAGATTTGTCTTGTCGATCATGTAGCTTTATAGGTTAATGCGGCTTACTTTCGCAGCATTGTTCACTTGCGGCCCCGTCCAAGTGCACAGCCAATTTCGTCAGACTTTATTTCCAGACAGGGAAACTCCCACCCCGGGGGACAATCTGCGAGGTGGACGAGCGACCCTGGGCTTCCAGGCGCGCAGGATCTTCAAGGTCATCAACGGGAATGCATCAGTGATTTTGGGATGAAGGGCAATGGCCTTTTTCTGCCCCATATTTAGCCTTAGCTGTATTCCACAGACCTAGGAAGGGGTCTAGCCTAGCGCCCAAAGCTCGTCAATTATTTTTCTCTGACTATAATTGGGCCCCTTCGATAAGAAGTGAAGAATACAATTTCATTTTGGTAAATAATTAGCGGCTCAGCTCTCATCCTTACCAAGACCTAGATTGACACACTCTGAGTAGATTCCTCGTGTCCCAGGTACCTGTATATCAGGTTCGATATGTCCTTCGAGAACCCCGATATAGTCACCTGTTGTATATCACCAGGAACAAGGTCCAGTGCGTTATCACTATATTTGATTCCGTCTTGCTCCTCGAAGACAAGGCATTTCACTGGTTTCAGGGCCGCAATTGTCACGGTCCGAATTTTATCCGTGTTGGATATCGGGCTCAGGGGTTTGATCTCAATGAGCGGTGTTGGAAGATCAATGTATTTGAAAGGCTGTGGCCAGTCAACATCCCGGGCTACCAGTTCGTCGTTCACCCACACTCGTGCAGCCAGAACATGAGGGTCCGACTCTGCAACATGATCGATGATCCCGTCCGTGATGATATTTGTGGTGCCATTACCTGCAATCAGAACATCCCGACGGACCACTGGGGGGCGTATCTCTTTTCCAGTCTCAATGGAGATAAATCGCAGCTCCACTGTCCCACGGACATTCTCGGACTTGTTACTGACGACCCATAATTCATACTGACTAGTCAGCGCCGGCTGGGCATGAACCACACTCCAATCATGATGCTCGCGTTGTACGCCTACAGCAATAGGGTTGAGCACCCGCTTGACCGCATAATATGCAGGTTTTGGTCTGAGGAAATAATCCACGATGGCCCAGGAAATAGTCGGCCAGCAGTCATTGAGCTGCCAGAGAAGGGCTCCTCCACAGTGCCGTTCATCGCCCCACTGGCGCCGCCAGCCCCGATACCCAAACATCATTGTCTCTGCCTGTACAGCTTGAGTTTGGTAGATGTGTGCCTAATGGTACCTGAGTCAACACATCAACTAATATGCTATAGGTCGAGGGCCTTACCTCGAGACTTCCGCCCTGTGAAAATCGGAAATTCTCCACCAAGTAGGTTGCTATCCGCCTCTCGTGGCCATCCGCCTTGTTGTGGAAGTCCATGACCTGAGATTGAGGGTAATGATCCTTCGGGTTTCGTGAAAAGGATTTGATTGTCTCCATGTGCGGGAATGCCTCCATGCCGAATTCGCTGTTAAAACGGCCACCCAAAGTCTCGAAGATTTGGTATTTCTCCTGGGTCCCATGCCACACTAATACATGTCAGCCAATTCCCGACGGTTGAGATAAGCAAACATACCATTCCACTGATGCATATCCCCCACTGTGGGATCCGATGATATTTTACCATCTCCCCACGGACTGCCTGGGTGATAGAACGTCCCTGGGCAGTGCTCCGAAGTCACCTCCGGCAGCAGCTTCTCATAGATGTACCGTGCGGGGAAGTCTGTTTTAAGCCAGCTTTCCGGATCTTTGTCCTCAAAATGATAAGTAAGGCCAACTGACTCTTGGACTTGATAATCTTCGTTATTACCGACGTAGATAACAATGGATGGGTGGTGACGTAGACGCTGCAAATTATAAATCGCTTCTTGACGCACAGATTCGAGTATGGATGGCCATGTGGGATAGTTGCCGCACCCAAACATGAAGTCTTGCCATACAAGCACTCCTAGCTCGTCACAGGCGTCGTAAAACGCATCGTCTTCATAGATACCACCACCCCATACCCTATAGTCACAATTTTAGTTTGAATCTCTTTATTCGGGGTCTATACGTACCGGATCATCACTTGTCGACCCTCCACCATCAGCTCGATCCACCTGCGGTACCGATCTGGGGTGACGTTGGTTAAAAGACTGTCTGCGGGTATCCAGCAGGAGCCTCCGCAGAAAATATCCATTCCGTTGATACGAAAGAAAAATGATTTTCCATGTTTGTCCGGCTTTTGGATGACTTCGGCTGTTCGAATTCCAAATTTTTTGCATGCTTGATCCACGGTCTCTTCGCCGTGAAGCAGCACCACTGACACTTTGTATAGGGTTTGATATCCATATCCGTGGGGCCACCAAAGTTCAGGACGATTGACACGAAATGCGACTTGGGCCTTCTTCTCACCGGACACCGGAATGTCTTGGCGAGCAATCTCATTGCCGTGCAGACTCAGACTGAATCGAGCTGTGAATTCCTGAACACTTGGTGTTTCGACTTCAATTGTGGCAACCACCTCAGCCGTCTCCTGATCTGCGGAGAGTTTAGTTTGAGGCCACAGGTCAGCCACGCGTGCGGTATAAGCTTCTAGTCGCACTGGACGCCAAATGCCCGCCGTCATCAGCACTGGTCCCCAGTCCCAGCCCCAATGGTATTGCGCTTTTCTGGCAGCCAGACGCGACATATCTCCGTTGAAGCCTACCCATTTGTGGGATGAGTCCTGGCTACGCAGTTCACGAGCCTTGAGCTCGGCACAGTCGAATTCAATTTCCAGTGTATGCTCGCCCTCTGTCTGCATTGCCTTCGTGACATTGACTCGATGACCAAGAAACATATTGTCGGACTGCAGAATTACCTCATTATCCAGTTTGACGGTAGCAAATGTGTCCAGGCCATCAAAGACCAAATCAATCGCGGCATGTTGGGGGACGGTCGGTCTTTCAAACGTGTTGCGGTATACCCATGACTTCTGGTTGACCCAACGTGCCTTGACCTCATTCAGCTCAGCAAATGGGTCTTCCAGCCTATATTAACTCTTTTAATGTCCGAGATGAAGATCTCTTTGGCTTGCAATGAACTTACTTCTTGTTATCAAGTAGGTCCTGTTGGACGACAGAAGGCACTGTTGATACGGGCATCCAATCTTCTGTCTCCCTGTCCCGGAAGGACCAGCCTGTGGAAAGAGTGTAGCTATTCAGCTCCATTATGTTCGAATAAAATCTCAGACAATATTGATTCTGCGACAGCTGTCTAAGCTATTTAGATGAACAGTGAATATCTTATCGATAAGCTACCCCACGCACTTTCCCCTTCTGGTGCGGAGACTCCGAGCACGTGATGCAGACACCTCGTAGAAAAGGCACTCATTACTTGGGCACCAATCAATCTCTCACGTCGCGTGATCTGGCCAGTCCTGATGCTGCTTTTGCTAAGGTTTAACGTACTAGGTGATACACCTGTGGCAGGGTTTCCAGAATATTGGAAGACCTTCACTTTACCCCGTCAGACACGGGATAATCTCCGTCCAGCTTCAGACACCACCAACTCTCCCCTTTCAACGGAGGACACGCCTCTCATCCAGGAGTCAGCCACACTAGGCAGCCCTCTTCCTCATGTCTCTGTATAGATTGCTTGGGTCAACAGTATTCAAAGTCAGACAGCTCATGATCACAGAAACCACGGGGAAGCCAAACCGATGCCACACTAGTGTTCTTAGTCCCTCTGACCGAACCAATGATCGCTCACGTCTCGGAGTCCGGAACGCAACGGCCCTTGGTAGTTTGGCTTTCTCATCTGAGGCGACATTTGATTAGACTTGGCGTGACAGTTCCCCTCAAATGTCCTGGAATTTCTACAACACTGCATGGGCTTTCGCAAGCCATGCCTGTTCCGTTCTCGCACAGCTCGTTTCCCGGAACTCACATCCAAGCAGCTCGGCACTGGAGATTGGGGTTGAATTTATTGCCGCTGTCTCCTCTTTCTCCTCGGACCCTTGGCCCAAAGTGGATATCGCGCCCGCCTTAGGGTCTCGGCTTGACAGTGATTGGGCAAATAATGGCACGTCCCTGCCCCGCCTGATCAATATACGAACGATGTGTTTCGGTCCCGCACCGCTTAATTTCCCTGCTTCCATGTCCGATCCACGAGGTTTCCCCTATGGAAATTAGCCATGGAGTAACTTCAAATCCCCGCGCAATGCATGTGTTCCATACAGGGGTTTGGGGGCCCAAGGGCCGAACTCCCGGACTAATGGAGTATCTGATATTAGATTGTTCGCGGGGCAAAATGCCAGGACAGGTCTCCCCCCAGCAATGTGGTCTCAAATATCGTCCCCAGGCGATCATCCGGTGTTCTGCAGGGTTCGTTCCACTTCTGCAACCTAGGAATGTCCTGCTTTTAGCCGAGTCAACAAACCTGGGGAATTTTCCCCTCCTTGGAACATTGTGACAGGGGTTCCGGCGCGTGGAACTAACCAGTGGCGTTCGAAGAGCATGCGCTCCGTAATTTGCCCCAGTGCCATTCTCATGAACCCTGCTCCTGCTGGCGCGTGGCACAATTCGGTGAAAGTAGGCCACCGGTATGTCACTCGGGATTCACTTGATGCTCCACTTAGGCTTTTCATCAGTATCTACCGGCGTTCGGCAATAGCAATGCAAGTGGACTATAGACACTCTCTAGACATCGAGTTTTGTAAGACTGGCTTTTGCAAATTCCATATTATTTCGTCGACAGTATAGCGACATTAGTGCCGATAATCCCGCAAAATCAATCTGAGTGACCTGTCCAATAAGCGAATCCCCATCCGGGGACACCGGGGGCAACAAAGACCCCAGACTTGAAATGCGGGGGAGAATTAGGCGGACCAAACACTACTAACTTCTATTCGGTCTTAGCTGCTGCTCACCTAGCCTCGCGCGGGCCTTCTCCCTGGTTTTCTCCTGGTCCTATCTTTTCCTACTTGTGTTCATCGACAGATCCCATTCTGACGCGATATGATCTTCAGGATCAGCTCAGAGCGTCAAAGCCAGTCCCTCTTCTCCCTTGCAAGACTTGAACCCGTGTCATTGTTGCTCTGACACCGCATCGTACGACTACGGCTTACGCCCCACCAATACTATCAACCCATTGCCTTTACAGTGTCTAAACTATGTAATTCGTGACTTTTATTCCGTGATTCTATCCCGCAGCTATGTTCCACACTTTTGAAAGTTTCGAGAATCCGACAGCAGCGACTCCTGTCAAAACTCGCCCCGCAACCGAGCGCCGCGAGTCAGTCAGTCGCCGTGTTACAACCTTACGCGCATGTACATCATGTCGACATCGGAAGATTAAATGTGATGGCGAAAAACCATGCGAGGCATGTCGGTGGTATAAGAAAGCAGATCAGTGTCATTACTCTGACCCAAGGCCATCCAGAAGGTGGGATTTTGGCTGTGCAGCACTGAAGTACTAGAGTACTGGCTAAATTTTTATGGAACAGGCATGTTGAGAAGCTTTCCACGACTTTGGATGAATATCGCAGCATTCTGGGGAGGCTCTTTCCCAATGTAGCCCCCGAGTCCCTTGTCAATCTGTCACGGGAAAAACTACTTGAACTCACATCAGCATTGCCGTCAAACTTGCCGGCACAAATTAATACGCACCATGCCGCTTCACCTTCCACATCGGGTTCCATGGAGGCCCATGTATCTCCACTGTCTAATGAAGATGACAACCTTGAGTCTCTTCAGAGCATGCCAGAGGAACTAGACGATGGCCGCCATGGTCATTCTAGCTTCTTAGTTGAAGGCGTCTCTGATGATGTCAACGCATTGTCTTTGTCGTCCAGACAGCCTTCATCCTATCTAGGGGTATCTTCTATTCAGGCCGTTCTCAAAGTCATTCTCTGGCTCGATCCAGGATGTGCCTCCTTCTTTGCTCGAACGCCAGCGGTCCATCCGCGCGACGAGGTGGATCTTGAATATGATCCCCAAAACGCATGGCCTCCTCAGCCGCCAGTAACTCCGCCCCCACCTTCTATTCCACCGAGTGAAATGCAGATGCTCGATGCGTATTTCTGTTATTTCCAAGCATTTGCTCCGATGATCGATGAGAGGTCATTTCGAGAATCTTATATGACTGGCCATCGGAAGGATGACCATTGGCTGTCACTGCTGAACATCGTTTTAGCACTGGGTAGCATCGCTGCCACAAGTCCAGATGATATGACGCATCAGACCTACTTCCTGCGCTGCAAGAGCCACTTGAGCCTTAGTTCACTGGGCAGCTCTCACATTGAAACTATTCAAGCTTTCGGCCTCATTGGTGGTTGGTATTGTCATTATATCAGCCAGCCGAATCTGGCTTATTCCGTGCTCGGTGCTGCATTGCGAATGGCAGCCACACTGGGATTGCACAAAGAGTTTTCAGAGAGTCGACAAGCTCCCGGTCATGTGAAGCTTGCCTCCGTGGATCTCAAGCGTCGAGTCTGGTGGTCACTGTTTGTCATGGATACGTGGGCAGGTATGACATTGGGCAGGCCTAGTATGGGTCGCTTTGGTCCTTACATCACTGTCAAGCCACCAAATTGCCGAGATAAGGTTCGTTATATTACCGAAGCTAACGCCCGTTCTTGCTAAGTCGTCTGTAGGAAAATTTTCTCGACATCCTCCCGCTTGTAGAAAACATCCGCTTCGCCAAGATCGCAACGCAAGTCCAAGAGTCTCTAGCTGCTGCGCCACTAGTCAAGCATCAGGAAATGGCTCATGCCGATGCTCAACTCCTTGATTGGTGGGAGAATCTTCCACCCATTCTCAAAGACCATGAACCGTGCACGGAGTCGATTAGTACCGTTCGCACCGTCATGCGATGGCGATTCTACAATCAGCGTATGCTTATTTATCGTCCTACACTGCTGAGCTATGCCATGCGCCGTGTGCCATACATTGCACTCCGAGTTGAAGAGCGCACAGCAATCGTCAAATGTCGTGAAGTCGCGGAGCTCTCTATACAAAATATCGCAGCTACAGCACAGTTCAACCAGCTGTGCGGCTGGAATGCCGTCTGGTGGACTTTCCAAGCATCCTTAGTACCCCTAGTGGGGCTATTCCTCAACGACCCCACCACAGACGATCCTCGCGCCTCGATTGAATCTTGTCAAGCGCAGGTTGAGACTGCCATGACCACCCTCGCGCGGATGTCAGCATATGGTCATACTGCAAAGCGATCCCTGGATGCCGTGTCGCGGATCTACGAGGCTAGCAAACGTGGTGATGACTTGGCTACATCCACTGCAGGAATTATCCCAACGATCATGTATCCTGCCGGCCGGGACTTGAACTCCCTTTTCTCGCTACCTGAATCTGCGCGTCTGGGAATGGCGTTGAGTGAAAGCGGGATTTCGGATCCTCTTTCTGCCCCATTCATTGACGACTCTGGTCAATATCTTTGGGAATACCTGAGCTGGAGTGACAATAATCTCTGGCCTGGGATGGACCTTGATAATCGTGGCGATGCCATGGCTGTCTTGACACCGGACCATGACAAGGGCTCTAAGTTTGCGGCGCAGCCATATTTCGAACCCTTTCCAGATTCATATTTTGGCAATCAGCCTTCTTATTACTGAAGAAGCTGTCGGAGTGGGGTCAATGTAGCCACCTGGAATCAAATCGACTTTCAACGTTACGAAAGAACTGGAATACATACTGAAGCTGGGATGTACTACATTCGGGTGCTGGACCATGGGTTGCGTGATATATATTTTGTAGCTACATTCGTGAACATTTCGACAACCCTTGCGTCAATCTAACACTCAACTGCTTGCAAGTCATTGCTAGTCTCTTCAAAGTCGCTCAAGCATCTTAGCGAGTGAATACCTTTATTCAAAATAGAGAATTCCATCTGTCCAAGCGTGCAGACCTCATTTTTCGCAGCTAAAGGGCCAGGTGATATTTAAAGCGGCGCCCTGTCAAGGACGTGCCTGTCGAACGGCGTTAGAGCGGCGAGACGGTCTAACCACGGTTAGTCAAATTGCCAGATCAGACCTCGGAGTGCTGACTCAGCTCCCTGTTCCACCGCGACATTTCGACGTTGAATCCAGTAAACATCGCAACAAAATCCCGATCTCAGTGATGAGATAATAGGGTCAGTACGGAGCTTTGCTGAGGCAAATTGATTGGTCTTTGTTTGACTCGGGCATATTCGTTAAACTGCTGTGCCGCTGCATTATTAACAACCCCCGAACGCCGGACCAATTGGCCAGGGGAGCTTCAACATACTCCAAAAGCCTTGCCCCAATACGGGAAGTGTCCATTGACAGCCGCTGCCCAGGTGCAAGGACAATGGCTCTTTTCGACTCTGCGCCCCGCGTCTTTTTCGCGGCCGCGGCCTTGCGCCTCGTCTTGCTCGTCTATGGTGGCTGGCAAGATGCTCATTCTGCCGTGAAGTACACTGATATCGACTACATGGTATTCACCGATGCCGCGCGCTATGTATCGAAGGGAGAGACTCCGTATGCCCGAGACACATATCGGTATACGCCTCTTTTGGCTTGGATGCTTCTCCCCACAGCCTGGGAAGCACCCGCGCCATGGTCGTCAGTGACCTTTGCCTTCGGAAAAATTCTCTTCGCGCTGGCTGATGTCCTGGCTGGATGGCTGGCTGTACAGCTACTGACCCGATTCTATCGATTGTCACCGGAGCGCGCTCTGCGGTATGTTGCGGCTGCTTGGTTGTGGAACCCGATGGTCGCCAACATCAGTACCCGTGGCAGTTCAGAGGGCTTTCTCGGCGTTCTTGTTGCCGCACTGCTATGGGCTACCTTGACAAGGAAAGCAGTTCTTGCAGGTTTGATCCTTGGTCTGGCTGTCCACTTCAAAATTTACCCATTCATTTACGGTATTTCGATTCTTTGGTGGTGGGATGCGGAACGTGATGGCGCTGTCTCTGCTCGTGACATTAGCTGGATATCTCAGGCTCTGAGATTCATCACCCCTTCAAGAGTGAAGTTGTCATTGTCCGCGCTCATCAGCTTTGCTGCCCTGAACCTCGTTATGTATTATCAGTACGGCATGCCCTTCCTCCACCACACCTTCTTCCATCATCTCACTCGTATCGATCACCGACACAATTTCTCTCCTTACGCCACCCTGCTCTATCTGTCTGCTGCTGGAAATACCGAATCCCATTTCGAGGCACTCGCGTTTCTGCCACAGCTAGTGCTTGTAGTTGTCGCCATTCCACTGGTACTGGCGAAAAAAAGCCTCGCAACCACCATGCTGGCTCAGACCTTTGCTTTTGTCACGTTTAACAAAGTGTGCACAAGCCAGGTATGTCCTTGTTGGTCCTATTTCTCGTCCTTGATTTGATCTAACGACAGCAGTACTTCCTTTGGTATCTCATCCTACTGCCATTTTACCTCCCCTCCTCTGAATTCATCCGCAAGCCTGCTTTGGGAATCTCGGCTGCCCTTTTGTGGGTTATCGCACAGGTACTTATTGAAATTTTCTGTTGGCTCATGGGAATTATTTGCTGATTAAAATGGATAGGCTCTCTGGCTCCAACAGGCCTACAACTTGGAGTTCCTTGGTCTTTCCACCTTCGTTCCTGGTCTCTTTCTCGCTTCCCTATTCTTCTTCGCTGTCAATGTGTGGATTCTGAGCATCATTGTCGGCGATGGAGGCGAAAGTATGGATTTATATTTCCAAGACAAGGAGTGAAGGTCTCAAACCTCGTTGTAATCACTACCCAATTTCCAAGGCTGTCGCTTCATCAATCTTCTATTAATAGCGTTCAAGTTGCGAACATGTATGTATCTAACTTTCCAAGAATCTCCTGTGTTTCAGCAAAGATCATTGAGAAGTGGATTGTGGCTGAAATGTAATACCGCTCCGTAGACTGCCCTTCTCAAGAACCCCCAAAATCAGCGTGTAGACGCGCTAGACGCATAAAGTTAATGATGTCCTCGCTCCGCAGACTAGTAAAGTGTATCTCAATAAAGTAGAAGTGAGTATTGATGTGCTCATTCTCACTTCCGAGATCAAAGTAACGAACATCGATTGCTAAAAGGTCGAGGAGATTATGGGTAGCTCGACTCGCAGCCAGCGCTAACTGCCCGAAAGCAAAAGGTAAAGCCCAAATGTTCCAAATCTGGGGGCGTAGCCGGCTCTTGAGTAGCGTCTCCGGCCACAGCAGGGTCGTTCAGGCGGATAGAGGAGCACACTGACTCGACATTCAAGCGGATGGACCGCAGTAGACGAGGTGTGAAGACTTGCGTTGCTGCAGAAGGGCTCCTAAGAAATGACTAAAGATCCTGCCTGTAAATTCCAAGGCCATTCTAGCCTGCCAACTTGCCCAATGATTCACAGATCAGACTCATGCCTCCGGTAATCTTCATCGCCAAATCTTGCATCAAGGCAAACGAAACAAGAAATTCAAGAGGGTTGAAAGCATTACCAAGTAGAAGACATTACAAATGTATGTAGCGTGGGTACTCAGCAATTCTCGGTTGAATACCTGGTTTTCTCCAACCCAAGTAAGTGCGAAGAAATAGCCAAGCAATTTACTCTACTTCACGTGCAGCACACCGCTGGGATCAACCATATCTCATTTAGTCATATGATCTGGGGGTATCAATGCATTTGAAAAGACGCTATAAACTATGGGACACATCAGAAGTGTTGTAAAAAGACATAAAGATCAGCGTTTGCGCCTAAACCGGAATCGCAGCTCCTCATCACTGTCGGAGTCACGAACTTCTCGAGGCCGTTTCTGGGTGCGACTGCGTGAGAGCGCAGGTTGTGGATCGGGGGTAGGCTCGGGACTGACAGACAGAGCCACTGAACGTTGTGACCTCGAAAAAGTGCGGTCACTTGGAGGGGCCGTGGGCTGATCCTCTTGGTCCATCGGCTCTTCATTCGCAGGCGCCTTGTGACTAGTAACCCACTGGTGCTCACCAATACCCAAGTCCTTTCTCGTCACTTCTTCCAAGGGAACGATAACACTTTGCACTCGTTGGCGTGCATGGCGCGGCTCTCCCTTTCGCCGAAACCGCTTGAAATTCTTTCGGCCATTCCATTGGTCATCCCATCGATCATTGCCGAGATCCTCTCGGGAGACTTTCTCGCGCATGGGAATCTCCATTTCTTCGACGATGGCTAGATTCCGCAAATTCTCGATATTGCTATCTTGGGAAAGATGGGCATCTTCTTCGGCCTTTCTTTGTTGCTCTTCCTCGTCGCGGTGCCTTCGTGCGGCTTCTCGAATGTCTAGCTTCGCACGCTTCGGCTTCGGAGCAGCTTCCGGTTCCACATGTGCAGGTCGACTATGACGACCTTGATCCATCTCTTCTCGCCGCCTCTTCATCGCCCGTGCGCCAGGCAGTAGATCTGTGACCACGTCTTCTTCTGCCTCTTCCACCTTTTCCAGCGGCTCGGTTCTTTGACAGGGTTCGGACTCATACTCCATCACCGGAGTATCATTGGTATCATCATCGGGCGTGTACACGGGTATGGAAGCCATATCAAAGCCGTCATCAAATGCCTTCATCTTGCTTACAAACTTGCGCACCCGAGGAGCTTTGCGTTTTGAAAGGCCCATTGACGTGGACTCTTGCGCAGGAGCAATCGGTGGTGAAGGTAGAAGGGGATTGTTAGGAACTAGTTGCGGCTGGGGCTCCGCTGGAGTTGCGACAATTGATGTTTGACTCGATCCTTCCTCACGTGGAAGCGGGCGACAAAGTGGAGAGGCGTCATTACCCAGAATAGCATCTAGGAACTCCCTCTGTTCAATCACACGCCGATCAATCATTAAAGCGACCTCATTGCCCAACTCAATGGACCAAGTTTCATGTTCCCCTTTGGATCGGAATCGCACAAGCACGACTTTTCCGGGTCCATCATCTCCAATGTCACCGCTTTTTTGGCCGGCGGCCTCTCTCATGAATTTGACGATCTCGGCTGCTGTAGTAGCCCCATCTTGTATTTTATAAAACAGGGCCTTGCCTTGTCCATTATTGATGGCCGCTTGCAAATTCTCGAATTGAGTGGCATCCCCAAACACAAAGGTGTAGCCTTCGAAAACGCTTATGCGGGTTGGATTGGGCGCAAAGGCAGCTGCCGGACGAGTAACAGGTTCGTTACCCGGGGGTGGAAGATAATCTTTCTCATCTGGCCATGCAGCATCAAAATCGGTCTCGAGCGGGGATAAGGCCTCGTCGTTCTCAAAGTCAGCGGGGGTGGTGGCATAGACCAAAGCGTCAATGTAAGAATCATTGACAATTGCTTTTCCATTGGTTAATGCCTGGAGACCCTTGGCTGTATTCCGTTTACTCTGGACAACATGGGTGGTCTGATCCACGATATATGGGATGATGGTCTTGATATCCAGGTCTTCTAATTTAGAGCGGATTTTGGCAAGGGGGTCTTCCACTCTCATTTCCTTGGAAGAGAAAGAGAAGCTAAAAACCACTGGTTGCCATCTTATCCTGTGAATGAAAGGTGTATCAGACCAAGTTTCCGCATAGATCGGCATGGTGAATACGGACCGAAGAGGATGGCCATAGCGACCTAGTTGAATGATGTGCTCATCACCACTCAATACGCGGTCACCACCTTGTATTTGTTCTCCATCCACAAGAGTACCCTTCTTTGAGTTCAAATCAGTCACGGTGACTTTGGTTCGTGCGTGTGGACGAGTCTGTGTTTCTGTCAGTCGGTAGGGCCGTCGAGGTTGGATAGATTATCGTACTCCATCGCGAGGAATGACGCGAGATACTTCAATTGTGAGGTGTTTGCGGGAGATTGTATTGGCAGTCTTCACATTTTCGGAGATAGCGCGGTGTGCTGGCCAATGTTAGTTGATATCTTCTTGTCATCGTGGGAAGCTTGACATACCGCCATCTTGCGGGGGTCGGCCAAATAGATACTTCTTCCCGGGCCGCAACCAGACACGCTTCCCTGATCATGGTGTCAGCAATACTCTGAATATCATACCAATAGAATGTCTCATATCTAACCATCCAGGAAGTCGCCCGTTGAATCCAGGATCCACATGGAGAGGGTGTTGCTAAAGATCCCAAGAGTCAACCGTGAGAGAAGTTGCACGTGAAACGAAACGCGTGGGCACGTGATCAGGCGTCAGTGCCGGTCGTTGCCTGAACTATACTCTTTTCTCTGATTCACACAGTTATCAACCTTCACCTCATGGGCAAGTGCTGATCATGGAGTCCCCTGGTGGACCTGTCAAAGACACGAAGCCGGATTCGGCACAGGGGGAAGAGAATAGCGACACTTTGAAATACCAACTACTCGGGCCCTCTTTAACCAAAGCGGGTCAAGATGCGGTTGATCAGCAAAAGGTCTGGATTGACTGGTACGCTTGATGACTGAAACCTGCTTGCTAAGAGAAACGTGATAGGTATCTGAAATTATTTACGAAGCATCTAAAGGCTCCAAATTTTTCAACCATGAGCAAGACCGCGATCGGAATTTAACCGTCAAAATTGAGCGGATTCTTAAAGAAAAAGCTCATCTTGAAAAATTGGATCTCAGTCAGGACTTACGACGGGCAGATGAATACCTGGCCGAGTTAGAATTGACTCGAGATCTCTCTCAATACGTCATCCATGTCGACTGCGATGCATTTTTCGCCGCCGTCGAGGAACTGGACCGGCCGGAGTTGAAAACGGTCCCCATGGCCGTGGGCAAAGGTGTTCTAACCACTTGCAATTACTTGGCTCGGAAATTTGGAGTTCGCAGTGGAATGGCGTCTTTTGTGGCTAAAAAGCTTTGTCCTCAACTGATTCTTCTTCCAATGAACTATGACAAATATACGGCGAAAGCGAAGGAGATCCGCGAGATCATGGCCCAGTACGATCCGCTATTTGAGAGCGCCAGCATTGATGAGGCTTATTTAAACATCACTGCCTACTGTGCTGAGAACGAGCTGGATCCGGAGGAAACTGTCCAACAAATGCGCGCTGAGATCCTGCAGACTACCAAGGTGTCTGTATCAGCCGGAATTGCCGCAAATGCGAAAATCGCTAAGATTGCATCTAATAAAAACAAGCCCAACGGCCAATTCCGGGTTCCGAATGATCGGGCTGCTATCATGGAGTTCATGCGAGAATTGCCCACACGCAAGGTCAATGGAGTAGGCCGGGTCTTTGAACGAGAATTAGGCTCCATCGGCATTGAAACCTGCGGTGATATCTATCAACACCGCGCACTCCTGACCAGGTTGTTTGGTGAAAAGGCGTTTCAATTCCTTGCCCAGTGTTATCTGGGTTTGGGCCGAACAAAGATTGAGCCGGTTGAAACCCATGAGCGAAAAAGCGTGGGAACTGAGACCACCTTCCACGAAATTGGGGACAAGGGTGAGATTCGCGCCAAACTAGACTGGGTTTCACGGGAACTGGAAGGGGACCTGGCGCGCACACAGTTCAAGGGTCGAACGCTGGTTCTCAAAGTGAAATTACACACGTTTGAGGTATTGACCCGTCAAACAGCTGTATCTCGGGCCATCTCGCAGGCCAAAGATCTGTATAATTTTGCACTACCCATGCTAGCCAAGTTAGAGAAAGAAATTCCTGGAATGAAGTTGCGATTGCTTGGTCTACGTTGCACGAACTTGGTCAGCACCAAGAGAGCTGGCATCAACTTCTTTGGTGCCGCAGCTGTGCAGGCCAGACCTATCTCAGCAGAGAGACTCGACATGAAAGCTGCTGATCATGAAATCACGGCCGAGGAGGCCTTTGAGGGTGCCGCTCGACAAGAAATCCAGGATGAAATGAACGATTTGGAGCAACTCAGTCAAGAAGCAGCTATTCTCCCTGATGCTACTGTGCCAACTGAACCTCCGCCAGCTCAGTGGGACTGCCCAATATGCGGCCGAGCTCAAACAGCCGATGATCGGGTCTTTAATGATCATGTGGACTTCTGTCTCTCCCGACAAACCATTCGTGAAGCCATTCAGGATTCTTCCGAAACCCCGGAAGAAACGACTGTCCATTCAAATCGAAAGCGGAAACCAACATCCCAGGCATCTTCCTCTGATGTCGACCCTCGGCAGAGACGTCTGTTCTTTCATTGAATCCATAATTTCAGACGGACGTCAGTCATAGATTGATCTGCACTAGTTGCAGTTTCACAAGATACACCCCTGCCAACAACGATACCCGATTAAAATATCTTCAAACTGCGTTCAGCTAATCTCCTGTGAAATATTTCACTGATGGAGCTATAAACACTCGGTGACTTGCTATGTTCTCCCTTTTGTGCATGGTCGCGCGGTCTTGCCAGCCGGGACCGACCGGCCAATTGGATGATCAAGTGGAGCATCAGGATACCGAACCCCATCCCAGGACCCATGCATAAGGGGTCACGTCAACCGAAAGAATTACCAAGTCACTGGAAACAGACACTTGAATATCTATACCCCATATTGATTGAAATTCAAAACAATCTACTTTATTTTTATTGACGCTCTAAGCCATAATGAACTTAGTGGAATTCTTGATGCGGTGAAGACTGGGCGTGACTAAACCCGTTCGGGGCCCAATGTTTTTCTATTGATCCCACCATCTCCACCACTACACCATCTTTAAATCACCCCTTCCTTCACATCAGGCCACTAAGCGAGTCTGAATATCACACACGTCAATCACAGACTTGGTGGGCCGGTGCCATCATGCTTCATTGCTCGCGGTCGCAATGCCATCTCTTGCACCCGCGCAACTATGACCTCCGATAAACAAAACAACGGCTACTCCGCCAAACCATTTACGCCCACACTCAGTGCGGCCTTTCACCGCTCCAACAAGTCTCCCCTGACTCCGAAATTAGCCAGTCCCAGTCCAGGCCATCCTGCTTCTCGCCGTCTCGCCAATCCTGACCATGCTCATCCCTATTCGACTCCATCCAAGGAGGACCTGCCCGCTGCCACTCCGAGCTACCTCGGTGTCAATGTCACCCCTCGCTCGGGATCTCGAAATACTCGCCGCGATGTCGGGTTCCCATCCCCAACAAATACTCCTCCCCTCTCGTCTCCACAGACTCCATACGCCCAACCCACGGTAGGCCTGGGCCTCAATGGTGTACGACGGGAACGCAGTCCGGCTCGTGGGGTGAAGTTAGAGCAATCGAGCAGCTTGAGGGCAAAGACACTCAGAGCAGAAGGACAGCAAGTGTCCCGTCCAAACTCCTTTACCGATATGGCCGCTGGCTCGCCCATGTTTTTTCATGCCACCGAATCACGATCGTCCAATTCCTCCGATGTTGAACTGTCTCGTCCGAAACAGGGGAAGATGCCACCAGCCTCGAGTTTCATGTACGCCAATGGGGATCAAGAACGACACTCGTCACCAGAAGGATCCTACGTCACAACTGCCTCTTCGCGCCGGTCGGGGGGACTCCCTCGGGTTGCTCCTACCACCAGACAAGGTCCTTCTCCCGCTCCGCGCCTGAAATCCCCTCGTGTTTCAGACGCAACGTCTCCGCTTATCGACACCCAGAGCAATTCTAGTCCGAACCTAGATCAGACTGTTGAGGGCCTTTTACCACGATTCGGCTCTCCCCCAAGCATCGTATCAGATGGACCGCAAGTCCTTTCCATCGGGAAACACCGAAAGTCGTCCAGCATGGACTCCTCTAGTCAAACACATCACCCGATGTCGCAACGAAATGGAATCCATGCTAGCCCAGTTATTATGCCCAATATTCAAACACACCACGCCGAAGGTCCCGCCCCTGTCTTATCCGACCAGGTCCCGCCACTTCGCCCCCGTCTCTTCAGTAACGGTTCCTCCGTCTCCACTGACCCATATCAGTCCAGGCCTATGAGCCCTGGGAAATCAGAGAGTGGGGAAGTTGCTCTGAATGCTCGAACGGAACGAAAAATCATGGATTTGGAAATCAGCAACTCTTCTCTACTTGCTATCAACCGAACCCTGGAGCGAGAAATGCGCAAGCAAAACGCGGAACTTCGCCGGTTCCGGCGCTTAAGTCGCTCTGGTCGCCTATCCATGGCTCCTTCTACTCGCTCCTTTTCTGGCACGGCGCTGTCAGTAACGAGTGAACTGGAAGAAGGCACCAGTGAACTTTCTTCTTCACGATCTCACGATGAAATGTCCGATTTCAGCGACGAAGACTCTGTTGCAGATGACGGGGTCGTCAGTCCCGACACCCTTGCTGATCATGATGCAAAGCATCGTGCTCATGATGAGAAACGATTTATGCTCGATCTATCTCGGCACCAGGAGTTCCTGGTGGACAGCCAGAAATTAAATCAGAGCCTCAAACGATGTCTCGGATGGACTGAAGAGCTGATCAAGGAAGGCCAGAAGGCCCTTGAGTACCATGTGCATGTCCAGGATGTGGCTATAGGCGGCCGCGTCCTATCTCCAGAGGAGTTGGGCGAGGTCGGCGAAAGTGGGCGATCTCTTCTCAGCCCATCGGCCCACTACGGCTCTTTTGTGGCCCCGGAATTACCGTTTGATGATTCTACCTTAACCGACCCAGCTTCACTCCCTTTACCATCGTCTCCTGGCGGGACCGATTAATTTTCTAATTCTCTCATTTCACATCTTTCGTTCGCAAAATACCCCTATCTCATACAACATTTTTGAGACTTGTTATGCCTTATCTTGATATAACGCCTCCCCGCATGCATTCTGTCCTGGTTCTTCTCTCTTTCCGGATACACCCTTTTGTTCTGCGCGTTGACCGTCGGCGCTTTTCTTTCTTTGGCTTGATATATCCATCATTGAAGCTGGGTGATAGATCTGGCCCTGATATAGTCGGCCACCTATTGTTTTGATATTTGTGATAGATACCCGATGTTCCATTCTTGTCCGATTATGTGCTGTTGAGTCTAGATGCCTGTGATACTTATCGAATAACCATACGATAGACAATTATCTTGTATGATTGGTAATGGAAACAACAACCTCAAAATCTTTGTTTGTCACTACTGAACCCAGATCTGTAGTTACCATCCAATCATCGAAGGCAAACATAATTATGAAAATGGACATTGGCCCGTTCGCTGCATCCGAATACTCTCCTTGATCAACTCCAACTCCTTGCGCCCCTTGCCTTTGAAGTACTTGGGACCCAGATCCGGGGTATAGTACCCCTGGGGATAGTACTTGTCCCCACCATCTCCAGGCAAGGGCTGTCCCAGGGCCCGCTTGAACAACGCCACGGGACCCCAGCGATTCCAAATCGTGGGCTGCACATAGAACGGTGCGCCTTCGTAGAATAACACGAAATTCCGACCATTCTCATTTGGTTCTTCGGTAAAGACATCCAGGCGCATGAAGGTTGGCCTTGGGAGAGCCACATAGCGTAGGTACAGTCTGCGCAACTGGAGCATTGATCCAAAGAGCGCGGCGAAAAAAGCCGGGGGCCGATCAAGCCTGGCATGTCAGTGGTTAGCATATATGTTTTGCATCAGAGGGGCACATGTATACATCATCGCATTCCGAAGCCCGTCGTCCATCAGGCAACAAGCAAAATACACACCCAACGGCTTCATAAATACCGGCAGGTTATATACCATCACATCAATCGTCTTATCCGCAATCTCCTTGTTCCGTGGATGTGGTTTCATATGCTGGGCCTCATACGCCCGACTCCAGATACTGACCTCTTCCAACCAGTGGATCCCATCCCGAAACCCAAGGTTCCCGGACGGCAATATAGCATAACTGATATCCAGTGCATCACCAAGACTCTTCCAATATGTCCCGACTGCACAGCGCTCCATCTCAGTCATCTCGCGCCACTCATACAACTTGACGAAACGGATAGGCTCCGTCGCAAAGAGGCTCAATGTGTACAACATATCGTCTTCGAGAATCTTCCCATTTGCGCGATATCCCTTGTGCAGGAACTTGGTTCGGGCGATGGCAGTCTGAGCACGTTCGGAATTGGGGTCAAAGGCCATGAATTCACCTATCAGTGTTCCGGTGTCGGCGTAGCGTTTGAATGAAGTTGCCGAGTCAGAGAACTGCGAGGTCTTTAGTAGCAGAGTTGATATGGTTGGAATGCCATATGTCTGGCGGGTATATCCCTAATTAGCTTCTTGTGAATGTCCACTTGGGGCTGTAGGGATGCTTACTCGGAAAAGAGCGAATTGGAGGGATTTAAGGACGATGAAGGGAAATTCCATCTGGAGAATTGTTTTCTGGATTGCCCAGGCGTCGTGGTTGGTCATCTTCCTCATTGAATCCCGGGTTTGGTAGGGGTATTTCTTGTGCAGGGCGCTGCGTCGGCGAAAGCGGATTGATGATACTAGGACAAGATATGCAGTGATTGCTGCTAAGCTACAAAGGAGTTTCTGCTGGGGTGTTGCCTCAGCTAAGGCTTCGATCAGAGCGTGGCTCCTCATGGTTGATGTATCTTAAACTCCACGCTATCATTTGGGGTACCCAGACAGGTACCAAAATTGGAAGACGTACATGCTTGGAATGACTTAATATTTATGCTTGCCCAGAGATTTCTTGGAAAACAAATGATCTGCACCTTTTGCGTAGAATCCAATGTTGGGATGTATATTCCGCTTCATTGTGATGATCGCTCCGCCTGAAATGTCAGACTAGAAGAGTTTCCGTATCGTACGAGCCCGTCCAAGATCGCGCGGACCGAGGAAGATCAAGAACCCCGCGTTGGCACGCCGGCCACTGCAATGAGAAGAGATGCATGGCAAACCACGAGCATAACCCAACACGTTCCATATGTGAAACTCGCTGGTAGTGGCGTGAGTATCCACTCTAGCCGAGGAGCGGATAGTTTAATCGCATTTGTTAAGCATGCATGGTAAGTGGACGAAATCTACACGGTAATACACGGCAACTCGGAGAGCAGCGCACCGAGATCATACGATTCATGAAGACCGAGGGATCGACTGAGATGATTGGTGAAACCGGTTCCCCCGCATCACATGTACTGTAATGCCATGTGAAAAGCACGAATATACTCATATCACACATCAGATATCAAATATCAGAGAATTTGGGAGATTGGTTTTGATTTCCAACCATGACAGTCATGTACCTCGTAAAGCTCTCGACTCTAAGCAGTAAGTAACTTGATCCCATTCGCAACTTGCATCTGGTCTGCGCCAACCACTTCCGTGACTTTCTCTCCTCCCTTGAAAAACATAAAAGTAGGCATCGCCCGAACATTCAGTTCTTGCGCCACATCATCTGCCTTGTCGACGTCGACCTTGTAGAATTTGATGTGGGGGTTTTCATTGCTCCACTGCTCGATCAAGGGCGCGATAGCCTTGCAGGGGCCACACCACTCAGCGAAGCAATCGAGAACGACGAGATCTTGGGAGTTGAGGATCTTCTCGAGGAAGTCAGGTAGACTGGTGTCTCGTTAGGGGTGTGGTGACGGGAAAGGGCTATGTCTTACTTTTTGATCTCGTGGATGGGCATAATGAAGATTGTTATTCTGATCACGCAAAGCTTGAATGATGGATTGAATGGAGGTGAAATAAGAGTGTACGCGGAGCTGGGAGGTTAGGTGAAATAAGTTGGAGAAAGTTGGAGAAAGTGGAGTGAGGTGATGTTGATCAAGGTGGGACGGGCTGACGTGACGACATTGACTTTGCGTTGATTGGTGTTCATCTACATCTCACCACCTGGCACCACATTACTTCGAATCATTATCGTCGACACATCTGTTGAAAGTATCAAATCAAACGTCAATCTTATTTATCATTCCATGATCAACTAGACGGACCCACCATGCAGCAACATTGTTGACTGAAGGTAGTTTATGCCTGCTCCATGATATAAGGGATCCCAGTCAATTTGTACGCCCGCTCACTTAGCACAGGGTCATTCACCGGTCTATCCCGATTATGAGGATCATCCACTCCATCTCTTTGAGCAACATTGGACCCGGTGTGTTTCGCATTCGGCCAGTGGGTCGTTCCAACGCGACGTTCAAAGGCTTCCTTCTTTCGCAGTAAATCGCCCTGCGTGGCGTCGGCAACGGGCATGAAGCAAGTATAGATAGCGAATCGAGGCTGGTGATCCTTGGGACTCAAGTTATAGTGCGGAGTGCGCGAATCCCACAGAAGCAGATCGCCTGGCTCAGCACACACTTTCTCCCACTTGCAGCCATGGTCCTCCAGCCACTTCATGCCTCGCTCGGTGAAGCCGTACCACTCCGGTGTCCAAGCTGTAATACGCGCTTCGTCGGCCATGTCATGATGGAATCGCTCGGATAGGAGATGTCCGCCTGATTCCTGGGTTAGCTAGGACTTTGGGTCCGTCTAGGGTGTCCATCTCTACCTCGACAAACGATCAAGCCACCATCATCCGGTCCGTTGGGCAATAGGTTGACAAGTCCTTGCATGCAGCGGAATCCATGCTTCATGGGATCCTGATCCTGGTGTGGCCAGGGCTTGTTGGAAGCGATATCTGTCCGACTTTTAAGCGTCAGACACGCACAGTCATCATGTTTCGAACGGGGATATTACTTAGGAAACTGGAAGTTGATCGCGTCGAAAGACACAATCAAGTCTTCATCATCATAGATCTTCTCAAATGCGTCAACCACACCTGGCTCGCTGCGAACATCCCATACAAAGCTCTCATGGGAGAGACCATAGTGGAGACACATTCCTTTCTCATTGATCATGGGAAGTTTGTCTTTGTGTACCGTGGCAGGGTCATTGCGATCGAAACCCAACTGACTACCGGGCGTCAGTATCTACAAAGAACCTAGGAGGCTGTAGACTTACAAATCTTCTAGCCAGGAGTACATCGCGTCGGCATATGTCAGAGCTTTCTCCCGGGCAATGGCTCCTTTGACAACAGCAAAGCCATCCCGAGTTAGGTCGTCACGGAAATCACCGAATTTTTGATCGGTCCCATCCATACGCATCCGACCGGAGCCGTGGTTGTTTTGGTTGACCTGCGTCTGAGTAAAAGTCACAGTGGTAGACATGTTTAAAATTGTACTGTACCGGTGAATCTGAGGTTTTGTATCTGAAGGGTTCGTAAGACTGTTTATAACCTGTGCTGATTAGAGGAAGACTAGAACTGCATGCATCCCCGGAAAGCTCCACAAGTGGCTATTGCCAGTCATGTTATCCATAATTCGCGCCAATATTCTAACTTGTTGCCCAGTGGCCTATGGTTCGGAAAGTGGGGGAGTGGGGGTGGAGGTGGAGGACTAGCCGTCGTCCCCATGATCATCATGCTGGATCGTTGGAGACAATAGTGTCTTGAGCTGCCAGTCAATGAGCTTCACTTCCTAGCTCGCTTACTGGACAAGATGTCATTTCACATTATCATTGTGGGTGGTGGGATTGCCGGCTTTGCCGCAGCCATTGCTCTGCGCGGACCCAATAGACGTATCACTATATTGGAACAATCAAACTTGAATAAAGAAATTGGAGCTTTGATTTCTTTTCAGCCAAATGCATTGAGGATTCTCCAATCAACTTGGAGCTTGGATTTACGTGATGCACGGCCATTGGTGGATGAAGGATTCCGTATCTACAACACCGAAGGTCGATTGGTCAACAACGTTCCACTACTGAAGAAGACGAGATACGGAGGAGATCGTCTGTTATTCCACCGGCGCGATGTCCATGATGTCCTTGAAATCAGCAGTGACTTCCCCGTCTTCTGGCCTTGTCGGCGGTTCTGTGGAAATTCGGAGTGCATCGAGAGTGATCAAATGCGATGAGCACCAAGGAACGGTGACACTTGAGGATGGCAATGTTTTCCAGGGTGACTTGGTCATTAGAGCAGATGGAATGTCGGTGACTGTCTTTCTCCAATTCACTATAACAATATAAATACATACACAGTCGCAGTATTGTCCGCAAGCATCTCCTGCAGGACTCGCGTCCGATGCCAACCGGGCTATCAGGTGAGTTAAATAGTCCTGGTATCAAATAACCACTTACTGGCGCTGACACTCTTCTTAGCTTATCGTCTAATGGTGTGCCACTATTCGAGAAATGTCATTATAGCTAACTTTGACAGATCCCTACCAATGCCCTTGAGAAATACGAACCGGAGTTCTGCTCAAAGATCAACCATTGGGATCCATTCACGTCTATGATAGTGGCTCATGACTGTCGGTTAATCATGGGACCTGGTAGACAGGGAGAGGTATACGGAGTTGTTGCACTCGTGGCAGATGGTAAAAACTACCATCTAGCTTTACACGTTTGAACTAACCAGCATAGAACAAATGAAGGAGGATCCGAACTCCAATCAATTCTGGGTTTCTGAGGGGAATTTGGACAAGATGCTGGAGACCTTCTCTGAACATCCTACTTGGGTCACAAATATTTTCAAGTAAGACTGCTTCATACCGACCTTGCCTGCGAGAAGATTCTCACAAATGACAGACACTCGGCAAATTTCGGTCCATGGCAGCTGCATGATTTGGTGAGGCTGTTCCGGTGTCATACTTTCTCTACTTCTTCAATAAATTACTAGGATCCACTCAAGAAATGGCATCCTGGCCGCATCATCCTCATTGGCGACGCTGCACATGCCATGTTGCCTACTCAAGGACAAGGTGCTAGCCAGGCGATCGAGGATGCCGAGGCATTGGGCGCTTTCTTCGAGAATGTTTCGGAGCCACCGTCAACGAAAGCTCTCATCAAGATCCTTGAAGTGAGAATAGTCATGGAAGTCCGAAAAAGATACAGACTTACAAGTTCAGGAAATCTTTCAAGCGCAATATTCCCGTGCTAGCCGAATCCAAGCGTTTAGTCGACAAGCTGCGAAGCCTGCAGCGATAGAGGGCGACAAGACCGTGACCATGTACAGAATTTGAACGAAATTCCTTACGGATCAAGCTGACGCCGATTAGGAGCCCCGCCGAATTCATGGACTTTAATTGCATGTACCGAGGCGCTAAAGCATGGAAGAACCAAATGGATGCCACCGAGTCGGAATGAATCGTAGGACCATGCCGTACCTAATTGGCTGTGAAACTTAGACATCCTTTGCAATTCCACTTTATAAAATGATAGTGACATTGTTATCTTCATCCCATCAAGTCAAATGACTCAAGCGTCCCGGTCAAAGCGCAGCCCCACCATGCGCATCTAGATTATGGGGAAAGTGGCCCGCATCTTGGACGGTTCCCGACGCGTTCTCTGCATAAATGGCAACGCTCGTCCTCTTCAGACTGTATCGCCATGTCGGACAGTCCCCAGATACCACGACGTTCCCCACGTAAGACTACCGCTAGTCATCGATGCCTCCACTGCGACAAGGCTTATGAGCGGCCGGATCATCTTGCACGTCATTTAGATTCTCGTAAGGCCCCAATTTAGCGATTGAGATTTCAGATAAGCTAAACTTTTGAATGCAAGATCGCAACCAGCGTGTTTACCAGTGCCAGGTCTGCCAACGCGGATTCAATCGCCGGTAGAGTTGATCGGCCCAGATTGAAGTATTCTCCGCTGAACGCCAACAGGGATGTCTTACAACGGCACCAAGCGGTGCATGAAAAAGAGATCTCGGACGGTAAATCTTCCCTTCCTCGCCATAAAGAGCGCGCAATCGAGGCTTGCGAAGCCTGCGCGTCAGCAAAGCTGAGTTGCGATAACGAAAGGCCTTGCAATGTATGCTACCAAGTATATGTGACTTGGTTGAAACGCTCCGCTGATTACCTTGCAGCGATGTCGGCTGAAACAGATCGATTGTGTTGCCAGGCCATCCAGACTACCACGTCGGAACCAGCGAGGATTGATATCCCATCTTTCTTTACCAGTATACTGTCCCCGAGAATTTACACATCAAATGACGAGTTCATTTGAAGTCTCTGCGTTGACAGCAACTCCAGAGTCCGACCATTCAGGATTCAGCGCCCCTCCGCCTGCCTACACTGGAAGCATTCATGATAGATACGATCCATCTCTTACTACTCGACCGGAAATGACACTAGATAACTTTCTCCCGGCAGACCCGGAGCCAGTGCATTCTTATGCAACTCTTAATCAGTTCCCTGCTTTCTTTGAACAAGTCATGCTCCCTACCCTAGGAACGGATAACGGGCTTCAAGGGACCCAGCAACCCCGCGCCTTTGACTTTATGCAAGATATCGACTTTACTTTATCAGAGAATGATGTTTTCGGCACCAATTTCATCCCTGATCTAGACAAGATTTTAGACATGGCTGGGCCTTTTTCCGATGTGGACAAACAGCAGTCATCACTCGATGATGTAGAATCCGCAAGCCAGCGTGCTGCGGCTTTTCAAAAATCTCTCTGGTGAGTTCCGGTTGACAATCTCCCTTCTTCAGGTCTGTACAGTTCAATGACAGATTGCGACAGGCTATGGATACCGGAGAAGAATCAGCACGGGTTTAGTGAAGAGCGAAGGATCCCGCTACGCGATAGCGACAGTATCCCATCGACACACCAGACCCGCCTTGATGCGCTTAAAATCCCCGGTAGGCTTTCAAATCAAGCACGAGACGAGATATTCAAATTGGTACTGCGAACTGCTGGCTCTCGGCTTTCTGTTTCCGCTTTCCCATCGTCCGAATACCTTGACACTCTCATTAAGGTTGGAATTGGGAAAAGAGTTGAGACGGACGCATGGATTCATCTATACACATTTTTTGACCAGCAATATCAACAGCTGCGCCCAGAACTTTTAACTGCGCTGGTAGCAGCAGGGTGTGTTTGCTGCGGTGTGCCCTCGATCAGCAAAACGGGGATTATTCTTCAAGAGATCACTAGGGTCGGCCTGGCGCAGTTAGTATGTGGTCTCATCTGCCATCTGTAGGATTCATATTGACTAATTCTTCAGGTTGAAGAGGATAACAGCGTTCTACGTGATCTTCAGTATTTGCAGGCATCCATGTTATGGTTGGATATCGGGATCTCATGTGGATATACACGCAAAATGCAAATTGCTGAGAGCTATTTACAGCCACTCTGCACGGTGATTACACGCCTCCGGTTTACTATGGAAGCCCGGGCTAACTTATTAGGCTCTTCGGCGTGCGGCTGCTTTTGACAGATCAACATACTCTTTGATTACGCCTTATTCTCATGGCGACGACGAGGCATCCTTACAGCGCGCGTGGCATGGTTGGGTGCGCCAAGAGTCACTCAAGAGGTGTTTTCTTCAAAGCCCGCTTGGAATATATGGAATATATTGGTTTGCTAACGATTACTGTAGACTTGTTTATCATATTTTCGGTCACGATGTCGAAGTTGCTCTATCCATGAACCGACCTGTGATTACATCGTACACGGAATTTACATTACCCCTTCCTGCCGCCCGAGATCTATGGCTAGCCCCAACTGCTGCTGCATGGAGAGACATATGGAGAAATCACTATAGATCCACTGGCTTCTCCGAATTTAATCTATGCGACCTCCTCTCGGATCCATCTCTTCTTCATCACATTGCATCCGAACTTGATTGCGGCATCGCAAAATCGGCCCTCCTGCAGGGGCTTGCACTTCAAGTATGGGAGTTCTGCCAGCAAAAGCGTTTATCGGGATCTCGCGCCAGCACTCTGTTATGGCTGCAAAGTAGACAAGAAGACCTGTTAGACCCCCTCTGGCTTTGTAACCGAGACTTACTGATTTTGTGACCTCAAGTTACGCGACCCTCAAATCAATACAGGAGGACTCACCAGATTCGCCACCAGTGACTGTCTTAATGAATGAGTTTGCCTTGATGTACCTCCATATCGACATTGACGCGATCCAGCGATTTGTCGGCAAAATGGGGGAGCAGGAAGCTCGCCGTGCATACCCCGGCCTACGGGAGTGGAGCCGCACCAAGGGGGCTCGTGTCGCTATCTGGCATGCGGGTCAAGTTCTCCGAGCTGCGCGTACGGTGTTGGCTTGGCAACTTCGTGGATTTGACTCTCTGTCCATCTATCATGCTTCCTTGGTCCTTTGGGTCTACGGATTATTGCAGTGTGGGGAGAAAGGAATGGAAGCACACACTCCTATGAGTGAGACTGATACGACACCAAATATTGCTCTGGACGGAAGAGAGGACCATTTGACTAGAGCTTTCCTGAGTCGAGGCATAGGTCGGCCTGGGTTGACAATGCATCAAGATCGTGGTTCGCATGCTTTTTGTGAGTTAAGTCGGCCTCGATCTGTGATGGCTATTGCGCGCCAAGTGTTTGAAGGAAACTGCCCTCTTCCTTTACCAGACGATATTTTGCCGCCCATGATCCAGAATCTTTGTTCGCTTATTGAGGACTTGGGGAATCTCCCATAATGCTAGCCAGATAGCTTCGTGATAATCAACCAATAGGAATCCATCTTGCTGTGTCGGGATGTGGAGGATCCACCCCCACAGGGAACTATCACGGTCAGCGGGGGAAGACCCATTGAGGTCAAGATCGCGTAGGCCGAATGGGAATGGTCTTGTCTGGATCTTTGCATTGACTCCCCCACACTGTTTCAATGACGGTGCTTTAGGACAGAAAAGGCGCAGTGTCGCCAACTTTTTTATTTTCTTTTCTTCCGGAGCTGCTGCGGGTCGAAAACACACCAGCACCATGTCTGTTGTAGACCGGAAAATTAACATTGAGCTTGTAGAGGATATTCAGCCTCCCCAGACACAGAAAGATGATATTCTGGTTGACGCTGCAGGAAGTATCCAGCGACTGCCCGTGCCCAGCAATGATTCTAACGATCCTCTGAATTTCACAATTTGGGAGAAGGCCGGTGTGATTGTCAGCTGCTGCTGGTTTTGTGAGAGACTTCATCCCCTGTGAAGCGCATGGTGTCTAACCTCCAATTAGCGATCATGTCCCTCTCTGTGGTTGGTGGTCTGGGGGCCATTCTTGGTGCCTTCATAGAGATGTACGGCGCTGAGGGCGTTAGCACAACTCACACAGTCTGGCTGAGCACGTTCCCTTCATTATTTGTCGGCGTTGGTAAGAAGGCCCCGGGAACTCCACATTTTATGGCTTTTAACAATAGCAGGGAACTATTTAATCCTTCCTTTGGGTCTCATCTATGGTCGCAGGTTTGCGGCAATCTTGTCAATTCTTGTCAATTTCGCTGCAACTATTGGGTGCGCAGTATCCCAGAACTTCCAACAACATTTCTCTCTGCGTATCATACAAGGATTGGCGACAGGGGCCACCGAGTCCGTAAGTCACCTTTCATTGAAGTGACATGCATTGAATATTTACCTATATCACAGCTTCTTCCATTAATGCTCTCCGAAGTGACGTTTATCCATCAACGAGGATTGGTCTTCGGTCTATACTGGACAACTCAGAACGTTGTAACCAGCTGCTTGAACCTCGCTAGCTCATATGAGGTTGTGGCCCTTGGATGGCGATGGTTCTACTGGGTATATGTTATTGCGATCGGCGTTGGCCTCGTCTTGGTTGTGTTTGGTTGTTTTGAAACCAAATATCAGCGTCGTACACAATTTCTTGATGGACAGGTCGTCGTGACAGATCAATTTGGTATAACGCAGGTTTTCACTGCGGCGGAGGCCCAAGGCTATCTGCAATCACTAGATGCGGACGATGACATGAATATCCCGGACGAGGCACGACCTAAGAAGTCATACCCTCAGATGCTGAAGCTGTGGCAGGCGCCTGCGAAGAATCCCGTTCGAACAGTTCTCATGACCTGGCTCCATATGTTTGAGGCATTTACTTCCCCGGGTATTTTATACGCTACACTGTTGGCATCGGTGGTTCTGGGTTGCTCTATAGGAATGTCGCTAACGTATGATACTGTGCTCCAAAGCTACGGCTGGCCTGCCAAAAATGTGGGCTTGATCAATCTAGGAGGAGTATTTGGTGGCTTTGGAGGCATGTTATATGCCGGTATATTTGGTGACTGGTATGTTTTGCACATGGCCAAGCGCTCTGGTGGTGTCCATACTCCAGAGCACCGACTGATTCTATTGATCATCCCTGGAATCCTCATCGTCATCTCCCTTCTCCTTTATGGCTTCACTGCAGGTGGTGGCTGTACTTGGGGTGGGCCTTTCATGGGTTGGACCATTCTTCAAGTTGCTTTTGTTTCGGTCTTGATTCTTTCTACATCCTTTGCGGCTGAGGCATGGGAGAAGAATCCTGGACCTGCCCTTGTAGCTGTTGTTGGCACCAAGAATATCATCGCCTTTGGCATCAGCTATGGGCTAATTCCAATGGTTGCAAAGTACAGCTACCCGACTGCTATGGGTATTCTCACTGCTGTCACAGCTGGTGTTTTTCTCCTGGGAGTTCCTGTGTACCTTTTCAATCCTGCCGTAAGTGACCCGCCTTCAACCATAAATCTCAAGGTTGGCTTTCCTAATGAACGCAGTGGCGTCGGTACATACAGAGGCGAGAATCCTCGAAGCCAACACTATGATCGGATGGATTTGGTGGTTTTGTTCTATAGTTATTGTGTACAACAAACAATGCAACCGAAAATTCCAAACCAGAAGCCAAATTTTAGCATGTCTTCTAACACAAGTGTACATTAATCGGTAAAGCAGGACATGATTTTTGTATGGTCATCTCCAGGGTAAAATCGTTGCTGAAAAGAGACTTAAGAATCAAATGATTAGAGAGGTCCCATTATACAGCCTATGTGAATCCGTACTTAGGATGTGATCGGGTTACCGTTGGAAACCTGGCTGGTAATGTTGTAGCTGCCAAAGCATGCCTCGGCGTACATGGCCTCCTCGGTCAAGGCAGGAACAGCACCAAGGAACTTTTCGACAGGGCAGAACGCATTGACCGATCCATTGCAAGCACCCAGCCCTTCCAGCGACACGGGAGCGCTGTTGAGCACGAAGCGAATGTAGTCCGTGGTGTTTGCTGTGGAGGATAGATCAGGGTTCTTGTACAGCTGTTCCTGTAGGTTCTCGAAAGATACATCGCTGGGGCAAGTCCAGATTTCAGAAGCGAGCCAAGAGCCACAGGGAACAAGTTCCGCTAGGTTAAAGGTGCGGGCGGGTGGAGTGGCAACATTGCCAGGCAAGCCATTGGGACCATAATTGAAGTACTTCAGGTTGAGAGCAGTGAGCACAGAGACGATCGTGTTGTCGTGAGACATGTCCATGTACAGAGGCTGGTTCAGTGGGAATGTCTTCGTGTTGTCGTCCCATGTCGAGTTGATACTGGAGCGGCTGACCGGGATCACACGTCCCTCCAAGCGGGCTGCCAGCTCCTGCACGTAACCGATACCCTGGGCACGACCGCTAGGAGATCCCCAGCCATAAACGCCGTAGAACTCCAGGTCAAGGGCGTACTCGAAGCTGCGCCATTCATCTTCGGTGAACAGCGAGCAGAAGGAGGAATCACCTAGCAAAGCAGATTCATATGGGCACAGGTTCATCATAGCGTAGACGTCCACGGCTTGTAGATTGAAGCCACTGGGGAAATACTTGGTAAGACGCTTGAGTGGGGTCTTGGTGAAAGTGGCAATAAAGGTTAACAGAGCGATTTCCTCGGCGGTTTCGCCTTCAGTGCAGGCCTCATACGAAGCAAGGGTGTTGTTGAAGCCAGCTACTTCGGGGATGCTGACGAGATCGTAATCGCCCTCTGAATTGTTGGCGTCCGTGTTTGAAAAGAAACCGCTCAAGAACCACATGGCACTCTCGAAGACTCGCGGGTAGTTGGTTGTTCGGAAGATAGGTTTCGGGCGAGCAGTGCCATTGGGGTATACATTCATCGAGTTTTCCCACTTCCTTTGAGTCCGGTCGGCACGGTAGAGCAGGCGGCCGTACCTGCTCCAGAGCTCTGCGCCCGAGCTAGCTGAGGTCGAAGCACCCATTGGGAGCAAGCTGTCCAATTCCAACAAGTAGTCCCAGTAGTTCAAAAACACCAGTGGGCCAGTACCTATCGCGGTCTTGGGATGCTTCGCAGAGAAGTTGGCTAACTTTGAGGCAAAGTTCTCAATGATGCCACCATCAATCTCATTGTAAGTAGGATACCGCTCTCCGTGGCGAGCGAGCAGGTGTACCTGAGAGAGCTCACATTGCGGGGGGAGCCTTTGGGGGCCCCGTATCCATCAGAATCAGCATAAGGAGCCAGGTTAGCCCAGGTGCTCCGGATATCAAACCCACTCTCGAATGTCGCGCCGGTCTTGGCTGCAGCGGCAGCCGAGCTCGAGGTTGTTAAAGCCACGGCAGCGGCAGCATTGCTGCCAGCAAGAGCTAGCAGCACGATTGCTGATGATAGGATTGCCATGAAGAAAGAGGAAAATATCTGTTGAGATACATCATGTAGATATCATGGGCCACAACTGTATCTTAAATACAACGGTCAAGGATCCCTTTGGATCAGGGTTGTGGGTCCGTAGGATCAGCCCCCAATACGGAGTTACAATTGGTCCCCACAGTAAGCCTAATTTCTATTTCCATATTTAGTAGTTTTGAAGAGCTTGGGTGTCAATATGCCCCCATTTCGAGCTATGTTAAGGCAATGGGGGTTTGGTTTGAATCGACTCCGGTCTGATCAAGCATCATGAGGTTCGCAATCTCCCTGGAGTTGCAATACTTTGCGATGGAGCTGGCAGTCGGGTAGGATGTTCATTTTACTTTCTTGCCTGGGGCAAAGTGGAGGAACGAGTGAGATACAATGTCGAGAACTTTAGAATAACCTTAGAGCATCGAGGTAATTGTGAAATTGTAGAAGAGTGGTTGACGGAACAGTATGACAGGATCAACGTTATTCCGTCGATCTCAAGAACACTAGCATCCTTCAAAATGTTTGCACTAAAAATAAAATCCATTAAACTTGAAACCTTGGGACTCCGTATACCCAGGTAATTTTTTGAGGTTTTGGCTTGCCGGTTTTCTCATCCGGTGGATCTGATGCCGAGATCTGTAGGCTTCAAGATGCAGAAAAAAGGCAGCCCAGGCGACCTCGGTAAGCATTTAATATGTTTAAATCTTTAATCCCAGTCTTGGGAGTTGCAATCATACATGTAGGGGTATTTCATTCCAAGGTTCATCCTATCTGGGAGTCTAAGTCTTTCCGAATAAAAATGGAGACACTTGCCCAGGTGTACCTATCAGCAAGTGTGGTTAGAGATATATATTTTGTGTCTGGACAGCCTGGAAACACCGATATGTACAGCTTTATTTTCATTCGGACTCATGAATGAAGAAGATGTCCTTCTAAGGTTTAAAATCTATCTTTGATCCAGGACAGGAATAACCTGACAAAGTCCGACTCTAGAACAAATTTTGCAAAGACAGAGAGGTTCTCGACACTTTTTATCCGTGCTCGAGTAGGCGCTACCACTAACCTTGATCCGGTTTCACCCCTTAGGTGACTCCCCACTTGGGAATAGTCGCCTGTCGATCACTTCTCAATATGACATCGCAGCAGTGTTTTGGGCTTTTTTATTTCTACTTATTTTCTGGATATATGGGGCCATGGCGCAGGAGACTAGGCCATATATCTACCAGAGTTCGCACCCCACACAGTGCTGAGTCTGCTGACTCAAATTTGAATGCGAGGGATCACAAGATTATCAGATTTAGACCCAAGCTGGCACTGACCTCCGATTGATCACATAGATCTATCAAAAAATTCCAGGCATAGGAACGGGTGCCATACAGCCCAGCCAAAAGTGCAGCTCTGGACCCTGAACCCTGAGCCGCAAAAGACCCTGAAGATGCCGTGACACCGAACTTTCGTTTTTTGCTTTATCTTCATGGAGCTAGCTTGAGCCACGTCTGACAGGGAGAAGCATCCCGCGAGTTTAGAGCCAAATTAGCCAACCGATCATCAGCCGTCCCAACCCACCACTCGCTTACCTTGTACCAATTTGGTTCGGGAAAGCGCCATCACGATGTGTCCACTCGTATTCGAGAGCTGCGATTGGAGCCAAGACATTCGCTCTCCGATGGCGCCCAACATCCGGTCTAGGTTTGTTATGAGAAGTAGTAAGGCTGAGTTCGGATGAGCCGCTTAATCTATTCAGCTCTTTCACACGTGGGAGATGAGAGATGCATACAATAAAGAGCAAGGGACTTGCCCCTGGAGTCGCCGTACTGTTTGTCCTTTTATTTGTATTTTTCCTTTCTGAATAACATTATCTGTTATTTTCCCAATCCCAGTGACACTTCAGGGGGTATCGTTGAGGCACCATGATAGCTCTTCATATTGCTCTCTATACAATCCTGGCCACGTCGTTGGTCTTTGCTATTATCGAGCTTGGGCTATGTGCCTATGTCACTGCTTACTATGGCGGCACGTATCAGGAGTACTCCTATAATGCCTCCGGGGGTTACAGTTACCAAAATGTGAAAGTCAGCACGCCTTCCATTGTGGCCTTTCTTATGTTCTCCGCCGTCTGGACCATTCTGATCACCCCTGGCGGAGGGGTGCTGTCATGGTTCTATACTCGCAAGGGTGTTAGCGAGAAGATCAGCAAGATCTTGGGCATCGTGTTCGCCGTGGTCTACTTTGTGACAATGGTCTTTTGGCTGGCTTGCTTCGCTGATATTGCCTCATACCTCGACGGATTCACCAGCTTTAATGACTACTACAACGCGGTCATCGCTTTCGCGGTGCTTCTCTGGTACAGTCCTCCGGGTTTCTATTGTTACAAGTATATGTTGTGCTCACATCCCTTATTTACAGGCTCCTCTTCCTCGCCCTCTTTATCTTGTCGGTATTATCGCTTTGTGGTGTCTTGGTGTCGGATTGGGTGGGTTATCAGTCCATGCGCAAGTCACAGGCGGACAAGGCTGGTGCCCCTGCGGCTGACCCTGAGGTGCCGATGAGTACAAACCCCGTTGCTCCTCCGTCAGAGTTGTCTACTCGGGATGCTGAGCCTCTGCATGACCAGCCGAACAATCAATCCCTTAGCCCCTCGTCCCCTTCGGCCATTGCTAGCGCCGAGCTCAGCGGCGATAGCGTTCACGATCACCATGCGAGCAAGGCGTGAACGATGAGACTCGAACCCGTCATCGGCATATTTGTTTTTCTTCTTCTCTGTGCTGAGGGTTCGCATGGAAATAGCGCTATGATATGGACTGTAATGTTTGGAGCATGTCGAGGATACCCTGGATATTACCTGATTTTCTTTAATAATGGCCTTGTTGATATTTGTTTGAATCAATTTTCTCGTCTGACATGAATTTCATGGTGAAACTGGCTGTAGCCAGATAAATAAGGGCAATCTATGACTAGAGCTATACGCGTAGGTTTGTTGTTGCGGAGACAAGGCTGAAAAGGGGGATATGATCTACTCCCCTGACAAAAAGAAACGGGATCCAACAATACAGGTATGTCCAAGCATGGGGAGCAGAAAGACAAAAGGAACGAGCAATTATGAGGTAAGAAGGTGCCTAGGGAACACTCATGCCGCCGTCGGCTTCTCCTCCGACTCCTGATCCTGGGAGTCACGTCCATGTTTCTTCTTTTCCTTCTTTTTCTTCTCGTCCTTGCCCTTCTTGGTCATGGCTTCTGCCATCAACTGCTCGAACGCCATGTAATCGCCCTCCTCTTCAGGGTCACGCTCGGCCTGGGTCATCCTGGTTAGTACAAAATCAAAGAGGCGTATGGTTACAAAGGCATACCTTAGCATAAATGTTACCAGCCAAGACCAGTGCATGGGCGCGTTCCACGCGTTTCTCAAGGCGAATACGCTTATCACCCAGAATCTGGTCGCAGACGTCGCGCAGGACGCTCTGGATCTCGAACTTGCTGCCACGCCATGCGGCGGCCAGAATTTTGCCGGTCACCTTCTTCTCATACTCAGCCTTCTTCTCATCGGTCCAGTCCTCACCACCACGCTCTTCGAGCTTGGCCATCTCCTCCATGGTCATCTGGGCATCGATAGCGGTCGAGATGGTGGTCCAAGTCTCCTTCGCCAGAGTACCCTTATCCTTCAGGCGCGAGAAGAACCCAGAGATACCGAGGAACTTCTGGGACTTGAGGAACGAGGTACCCTTTTGAACATAAGTGGCACCGACCGCGTGCAGGATTTCCAATCCAAACGACTCCATCTTCAAGTTCTCGACTTCAAGGCGAATCTTCTCCTCGAACGCATGGGTGACATCTTTACCCTTGTCGGTTTCAGTCCAGACACTGAGACGGTCGATCAGCTTGTTGGCTAGGGTGTTAACGCGGTCCTCCCGAGCCTTTCTTCGCTCTTCCTCGAACGCGGCCAGGCGCTCCTGCTGCTCCTTTGACAGACCCTTCTTCTTCTCCTTCTTGCGCAATTCCTTCTCCTCCTGGGACAGACCAGCTGCATCCATGCGCGCCTCTTCCTCCGAGCGGTCCATGAGAGCCTGCTGGCCCATGTACCGCCGGGGTGTGCTGGTTCCAGAGCCGTGACCAGAGGCTTCCGAGGAAGCTTGGGGAGTATCTGCGGGTACTGACGGGACGGTCGGGGCGGCTGTCGAGGCGCCCGCCGGAGCATCTGTCGCGGACGCATCCTCGGTTGCCGCCTTCACCTCTTCATCGTGGATATTGAGCTTCTGTTCGGCGGACTCAGCGAGCTCCTCCTCCTCCATTTGCTCCATGGTGATGTCCATTGTCGCAGTCAGGTCTTTCATGAGGGAAATTTCTCCGATGAGGTCAACGAATGCTTCGCCTCCGAAGATCATACTGAAGAACTCCGAAGGATCCTCTATGGACAAATATTAGTTTTTCTATGCAGCGCCTCGGTTGCCTAATCGTGAGATTCGGGGACAACTAACCAAAGCCGCCACCAGGAACCGCGTCCTCCTTTCCAAACTTATCATAACGTTTGCGCAAATCTTCATTGCTCAGAACTTGGTAGGCTTCACCGATCTATGATTGATGCTGCTATTAGTCGGGGACTCCGGGTAGTCACAGTTGGGATTCCGGCGTACCGCCTGGAACCGAGCGTGTGCGGTTTCATCGCCTGGGTTCTTGTCTGGAGGTGAGATGGATGTTAGTATCGTGCGATAAGAAGAATGAACTGTAAGTCTTACCGGGATGAGTGACGATGGCGAGCTTCCGGTAGGCCTTCTTGATCTCAAGCTCGGTAGCTGTTGGCGGGACGCCCAAGGCGTCATAATAGGCGGTATCAGCGACCATGATGGAAGCAGAGTGAGGACTCTGCAGCGGTCAATAAAATGATATCAGAAACAAAGCGACACCAGTGCTTGAAGAAGTATTCGGGAGACGTCTTTCAGTAGAATAGCGCAAGTCCTTATGAAATCAATAATCGAAGACTTGGAATCACTTTTTCCCCGCCAAATAATCTATCTCACCGCGTTCAGTCACGTGGGCCCGGTCTCTTTGTTCTTTTCCTCATTTCCGCTTCTCGTTCCCCCTTTTCCATTTCTGCTTCTCAACAATTCCTTGGATCTTGGACTTGATCTTCCTTTTCGGTTTTCTTCTTCTTTGTACAATTTTATCGTCCGCTTCTTGAGATCACTGGGATCTCCTCCTTGGGTTTCTGGTTCATCTTCTGCCTTCTATTGGCCCCGGACATCTACGTGTCGTATCTTCCCCACTCATCATGGGTTTTGTTAAGAATGCTCTCTACTACACCTTCCATCCGATCCAATTGAGGTCAATCATTCAATGGTTGGTGTTCCGCTCGGCTTCGGCAGGGTTTGCTTTCGCATCGCGGCTTCGACTAACCTTGTTATTCTCATAGGAAGGTTTGGCACAACCCGCCGCACGAGCGAAATGATAAAGACGACACCGTGACGCAGAAGAAATGCTTCGAGTTCTTGGACTTGACCAGTCGCAGTTTCAGCGCGGTCATCAAGGAGTTGCACCCGGAGCTACTGTTCCCCGTGTGTGTTTTCTACCTTGTTCTTCGTGGTCTGGACACCATTGAGGACGACACCTCCATTGACCTCAAGACAAAGGAGCCACTTTTGCGCGGCTTCAAGGATATCCTGGAGCAGGATGGCTGGACCTTCAACGGAAACCGCCCCGAGGAAAAGGACCGGGAACTGCTGGTTCAGTTCGACAACGTGATCGCCGAGTTCAAGAATATGAAGCCTGCCTACCAGGCTATCGTAAAGGACATCACCGACAAGATGAGCAATGGTATGGCCGACTACTGCGTCAAGGCGGAGAGCGACGATGCGAGTGTCAAGACCATCGAGGAATACGACATGTACTGCTACTATGTCGCCGGATTGGTCGGTGAGGGTCTGACCCGCCTCTTTGTCGAGGCTGACTTGGCAAACCCTGCCCTACTCAAACGCGCCCGTCTCCACAAGTCGATGGGCCTGTTCCTGCAGAAGACCAACATTATCCGTGACATTCGAGAGGACTTTGACGACGAGCGACGATTCTGGCCCCAGGAGATCTGGTCTAAGCACGTCGACAAGTTTGAAGATCTCTTCAAGCCCGAGAATCGGGATGCGGCCCTCAACTGTAACGCCGAGATGATTCTCAATGCGCTCGAACACGTTGAGGACTGTCTATTTTACCTGGCGGGTTTGCGGGAGCAGAGTGTGTTCAACTTCTGTGCCATTCCTCAGGCCATGGCCATTGCTACTCTGGAGCTGTGCTTCCGCAACTACGATGTCTTTGAGCGCAACGTTAAGATTACCAAGGGTGACGCGTGTGAACTGATGGTGCAGTCGACACAAAACCTGCAGACTCTATGCCAGACTTTCCGCACGTTTGCTCGTAAGGTCCACAAGAAGAATACCGCGAAGGACCCGAACTTCCTGAAGATCAGCATTGAGTGTGGCCGGGTAAGATCTCCATAATTGGCCATAATGTGCATGTTACTAATTGTTTTCTGTAGATCGAGAAATTCATCGAGACCATCTTCCCTACCCAAAATGCTGCCGATGCCCAACGCCGTGTTACTGGCGAGCTTACCGCGGAGCAGGCCAAGAAGCGCGAGGTCGATGCCGAGAACAAGTCCGATATCTATTTCATGATGGCCCTCATGGGTGCGGTCATTTTCTTTGTCGCGGGCACTATGGTAGGTTCCTCGAAATGTCGCTCTAGTTTTACTTATGGCTAACGTTCGACCAGATATTTGCGGCTTGGTGGATGGGCGCTCGATTCGATCTAGCTTGGCAAGAACTCAGGTCGGGCAATCTTCGTCCGCCTCCCCAAACCCAGGAGAAGATGGCGCGAAAGCTGGCTGCTGCGTCCGCTGCTGCCATCGGCCGGGACGAGCTGTGATCCCCCTCTGTTATATCTCCACGGCGTTACGACATGTATCTTCCTAATATTCGATTCCCCCCGTGCCGGTGGCTTCTTGTTTCATTATATCCCCGCATGCCACCTCTTGCCACCGGTGGCACGATGTGTATTGATAATAATCTAACATTTTATTCCACGTCCCACTCGGACCCAATCCGTTACTGACCCATGAGGCAAGCAGCATTATCCACAATAACTAGCACGGATGTCAAATTGCGATCTAGCCCTCCCATGGCTGTGGTCGTGCCGAAGAAGTGCTGAAATTAAATGGGGGATCCTTCAAGGTTCTCTCTGACCAGTGATGTACTAGATTTGTGTCTGACGAGTCTGGTTCTGCCAGACCGAGATGGCACACGTCCATTGAAGATCTGGGACATACGTAAAACTATGTTAGTGCGGCGTGTATATTTCAGAAAATAATCTTCATTTTCGTCTTTCTAGTCAAACGTTGTAATGCGTCGGATTTCTCTACAAATACTATTTTAATTTCCCCTATGTCTCTAATTGTTGAAGCCGGCCATAGATTACACTTGCCACAGGTCCACTGTACCCAGCGTGGGGCAGCTTCCGCCGAATCAGAAATCTCTGCTTTATCATCGTCCCCGGATTCTAAATTATAACATAAAAGGCTGTCCTCTTGGCGAGGTTTTTCTTGCAACATAGACTACGGCAGTCATTTTCTCTCAACTGCCGTCTCATGCGCGTCCTGCGAGCCATTGTGCCCCCATCCTTCTCACGGGCGCCTATCAGTGCTCGACTATACTCTTCTGCTTCTGCTCGGGTTTCTACTCCATTCAACATCATGGCGAAAAACAGCAAGGCCTCCAAATTGGAGGACTCTGGAGAGCCACTTCCCAAGCTATCTCCTAGTGAATTCCGAACATATAACCGGTTGGCAGAGCAGATGGATGCATTTGTAAGCCCTGAATCAGCGTGGGTCCGATGGGTAATCCTGACTAACGGATATTTAGCACAATCACTTCCGCATGACTTGGAATCAGCTCTTTGATGCCTGCAATGCTGCTGGAAAGCGGCCATCGGGACTTTCAGCCCGCCAAATGATTATGATGGGCCTTCAGTTTTGCTCTCAATTGGACTTTCATCACTCCATTGAAGAGCAGCATATCTTCCCAGTGCTGGCGAAGAAAATGCCCGAATTCAAAAAAGAGCTTGAACTCTTGCGCCAACACAAGCAGATTCATGCAGGTCTGGAGAAGCTGGAAGCATATCTTGAGAAATGTCGATCTGGCGAGGAAGATTTGCGACGCGAAGAGGTGAAGCGATTGATGGAGGGATTCGGAGAGGTACTGTGGAAGCATTTGGACGAAGAAGTAAAGACACTGGGTGCGGAGAACATGCGCAACTACTGGTCGGCTGATGAGATGCGACGACTTCCAATGTGATTGACATCACGGGTGACACTGGGCTTGAATTAACCTTTTTCTTTTACATTTATTTACCAATTTCTGCCATATATTCACATGACGATGATTTACCACTTTAATGAGCTAGAATGCATGTTCTGCATCTCGTATGGCCACCTGAGCTATAAAATTAGAATTGGATCAGTATGTAGAAGGATCAGTATGCAGACGATAATGAGCCTGCTTCTTGTTTTACACTCGAAACAAAACTTTGAAGTCCTTGCTTGTCCGTTCATGTTCGCAAGCTTGAGGGCGTGTTGGGTACTGCCGCTGTTGCCTCCAGGGGCCGTAAACCTAGGATTGCATTGGGCCCACTAATTCGAAGGAAATCTCAACAGGTTTTGTTTCGAAAGCCAAGAATGATCGGCAACATGAATTGGTTGCGGCAAGTGGAATATATGGGCCTCGCATCACGATTGGCAGACTCATGGTGAGGAATGCCAGCATTCCTGAACTGGTATGCGGCCGGCATATGATTCCGATCACGGCTTCTAATTCAGCATGCATGGAATTTTTTCAATCCCTCTTTAGTTGTGAAGCAGACGTTTATTACGCATGGTTGCTATACATCTCTCAACTCTCTTAGCACCAGCGTGGCAGATCTAGATTTAATATGCCTCTTTTGTTTTTTTCACTACAATAAAATTATCTCATAACCTTTACTTTGCCGTACAATAGATATTCAAAAGAGAGGGGCAGTAATGAGGGTAATACAATTTCTGCACTGATGCATGGATTCAAACATATTCAACAATCTTGGTATTATGACGAGGTAAAGCAAATTGGAGTATCGGGAATTGGTGCCTCGTGGCTTAGATCGGATTTATTGTCGATCCTTAGTCAATCCGTCATGGCTGTGCTGTCAGATGTTACTGTTCCTGGAGAATGTTTCTGTCACCCAGACGCGCAAGCCGATCTTATATTTCAAGCTTTTTGAGATGCCTGATCGTTTCGAGCGCCGGTGATCACGAAAGCGCATCCCCCAAGCCCGCTACAGAGGAAGCGTTCTCCACAACCATCGCAAATGGGCGAAGATCAACAGACCCCAAACTTGATAGAGCCAATCAATATGAAATGAACGTTGAACTCCTATCACGCTTCCCAGACCCTGTTTCTCCACGCCTCCACTCAAAAGCGGACCCCGAGACAATGCTCTGCCAGGACCCCACGATGGGACTAGGCCACAACAGCACGAGGTCCACTTCCTCATGCGGTTGAATCACTGCATGCAACCTTTTGAATAAGTGAATATAAAGCTGTGTGAATCCTATATGGTACCGCTCTGTCTCGACACGCTGCAATCATCTCCTTGCTGTTTCCATTCTCTTGCGCAGCACCGTGCCTTCCATCTTTCGTCGCCAATATGAAATTCACTACAGCAAGCCTTGCCACCGCTATGCTGGCGACAGGTACCTTCGCAGCTCCACGACCTGGATTAGTTGAGCGTCTGCAGGCACGTGGCGTCTTGTCGCGCCAGTCCACACCCGCCGAAAAAAACGGCGTTCTACTCAAGGATGGCGATGAGTCCTCAAAGGTCCAATACAGCAAAAACTGGGCTGGTATAGTGCGTGAGCAGCCTCCTGCCAGCGCCACCTATACTGCCGTCTCAGCGACTTTCACAGTCCCCAACCCCACGGCAACCGATGACTCGGGCAATATGCAAGCCGCATCCGCCTGGGTTGGTATCGATGGTGATACATATACCAACGCCATCTTGCAGACTGGTATCGACGCCTACACCCAGAATGGTGAGCAGAGCTTTGATGCGTGGTACGAGTGGTACCCCGACAGCGCAGTGAACTTCGATATTGATCTCTCCGAGGGCGATGTGATCGTCGCCATGGTACAGTCTTTCTCGCCTAGCAAGGGCGTTGCTATAATCGAGAATCAGACTACTGGACAGAAAGTTACGAAGAGCCTGGATGCGCCTTCTTCTTCTGCTACACTTGGTGGTCAAAACGCCGAGTGGATTGTTGAGGATTTCAACTCCGGTTCCGATATGGTGCCGCTTGCCAACTTTGGCGATGTCAATTTTATTGGTGTGCAAGCTAAGGCTGGTGGCCAGGCATATGGAGTCAGTGATGGCGAGGTTTTGGATATTCAGCAAAATGGCCAGGTGCTTGCCAAGGTCAATGTTGAGAGCAACACTGAATTCACTGTGTCCTACCAGGGATAACGATTTCAAATGTAAATAGAGTTGATTTTGTGATATTCGGCGTTTGGCGTTTTCAAGGATGGATAGACCTCCAGGATCTCCTAGTTTGGAATCGTTTTAATGGTGTGGCAAGATGGTTTGCGATTAAATCTGTTACTTAACACGTTGTCACAGTCTGATATATGATAATAATTGAAAGCATCATTCACATTTCATGCCGTTATCTCGACTTTCTAGATATTCAAAGCTGCACCAGGGCATTTTCAAACCTGTTGAGTGGATCATAAAGTTTCTTTATCGCCTTGATGTCCTCATACTTAGTTCCATAGATTGCCTTCATGTCAAGACCTCTGGAAGGAGTCAAAGAAATGTAACAGAAAGGAGGGATGTTCACTGCATCTGTTTGTGATAGCTCAAGGTGAAAACTCTGAGCCCATTTCACTGCTTCGTCCACTCTTTCAGGTGATTGCGATATGGGAATGATCTCAATAATCACGTGTGGACGATGCGAATAGAAAACAGAATTTGTGTCTGGATATGGAGTTCCTGCACGCAACTCATGGATGCCATACATCACGTCAGGACTGTTTGGCTGCAGCGGCGCATGCTTGCTAATAACATTTACAACCTCGGGAGTAAGGTCGTAAACTGTGGCGGCATAAATTGATCCAAAGACCTTCTTTGGAACCAAAGAATCCGCTATTTCATTGAATGCCGTTAGCGTGGTGGGTATGACCGCGTTGACTGCCACGGATGCCCATGAAGAAACCTTGGACAGCCAAGACTGCCCCTCGTCAAGGTCTGATGAAGCCCACACAAACAGAACAGTAAGAGTTTTACCGACTGGGCTGTTATTGACTAATTGATATAGGCCAAGTGCAGCTGGCAGGCCCTGTTTTTTAGATTCTCGGAGCTGATCATTGAATTTTTGGATCGTGACGCCGAGGTCATTAGGTTCATATAAGATCGCTCCTGCAAGCACCTGGGAGGTTGTCAGATAACGAATGGGGTGTTGACCACATCACTCACCTGGTCTAGTGGATAAATCCTGATTTTGAGCTCAGCAATAACACCCACTGTTCCCCCAGCTCCGCGAATGGCGGTTAACATTGTCTCGTCCGCTTCACGAACGACTCCCTCTGCATCCACGACAGTGGCTCCTAGGATTTGGTCCACGCCAAGGCCATACTTGCTGCTAAGCATACCATACCCTCCATGAAGTGCCCAGCCAACAAAACCCACGGTTGGCGTGACGGGATGTGGGACAACCATTTTGAATCTTTCCAGTTCCTTAACCAGATTGATCGATATCACTCCCCCACCCACTCGGGCTGTTCGGGACTCGGTGTCCACATGCACATAAGTGAATTCGCGCATGTCAATCGTGACTGCACCATCTACCTGACACCGACCGAACATGTCATGTCCGCCTGCACGGATCGTGAAGGAGAGATCATTAGCAGTGAGGATCGATACTAACGCACCGACATCCTCTGCTGAACGGGGCCGAACAATCATGCTTGGTTTTCTCGTTTCGTTGAGCACAAAGACTGTGCATAGATCAGCAAAGTCGGGGGACTCGGGAGTTGCAAATCGAATATGGCTATTTTCGGCCAGAAATTCTATTAGGGAGTCCATCTTTAAACCGATGATATCTCACAAAAGCCTTGAAATACTGTGTTAAGATTCATGTAATCAAGGGACAAGTGTCATGAGATCAGAGAACCTCCTTTTTAGCAGCTGACTAATATCGGCGTTTCAGACCAAACTCATGAATCACGACATCCACTTCCCATCACATTGTCAACGGAGGAAGAGTATGAGCAAATGAAGAATGGGGGAGAATTCTTGCAGATTAGCAGTGATCCCTGATCACTTGTGTTCGAATGCCTTAATTTGTAATTCAATCAATCAGTCAGCGCTCCAACCTTCTGCATGAGTCATCACGTTAGCGATCCTTTCTGAATTCCGTGTTTACTTGATCATTCAACATGGCAGTCTGTATCGAGCTGGCACAATTTCCTCGCGATATCAACGCAACTCATACCTTGTTTTCTAGGTACGCCTCATCATTGGGCATTGACCTCACCTTTCAGTCATTCCAAGACGAGCTTGATTCTTTACCGGGAAAGTATGACGAATCCCAAGGAGGTGCATTATTAATTGCGCGAGCACAACGAGACTTTCCACCAGACCAAACAATCTCCAGTGCTTCCACAACCAATCCGTCATCCTCACATGCCCCTGTGGTGGGCTGTGTGGCGCTCCGGCGGAGCTCCAACAACTGGTGTGAGATGAAACGCTTGTATGTCCTGCCCGAAGCAAGAGGACTACGGCTTGGCGACAAACTTGTGGTCGCCATCATGGAAAAAGCAAAGAGCTTGCATTATAGTGGTATTCGGCTCGACACGCTGCCAGAGATGATCGCAGCTCAGCGCCTTTATCTTAGGCATGGGTTCGTGGAGATCGACTCGTACTATGATACACCTATCGAGGGTACAATATTTATGGGTTTTGAGTTCACCCATTGATATTAATCTTCGCAATCATCACTTTCTACGCTGCAATAAAAACACACTGGGGAATGCTGTCCGTCAAGAGTTGCATGTTTCGGGCTATCATTCCTTCCGTACTTCCGTCGGGACCGATCTCGAAATCCTGCAAGCTTAAAGAAGAGTGGACCTTCTGTCACAATTCTTCACACGTATCATGGCATCTTATACGATCTATGGCCCCATACATGACCAAATTTCTTGATCCCGCAAAATAAAATATTAAAGATCTGCATCTGCCAAGCGGACTTGTCATCGTGGGTGGTCGGAGATAGTACTCGGAGTTACCTGTTTGAGAACAAGATAGAGCGAAGAGAGTATTTATGTCAAGAACACGATGATCTTGAATCAATCTGCTATCTATCCAAGATGACTGTGGAAAATAAGCCTCTAGATGTGCTCGTGATCGGAGCTGGTGTTGCTGGTCTTTCAGCCACCATCGCTCTAGGGAAACAGGGTCATCGCGTTGTGGTTTGTTCAGCGAAGAAATCGATCATTTACCTCATACTAATCAAGTGATGGCACTAGATTCTGGAGAAGTCAGCATTCCTCAAGGAAACTGGAGCAGCTATTCATTTACCACCGAATTGTACCGCCTTGTTGCGTTGGATGGGTGTCGATCCTACTGAATTCGGGGGTACTCTTCTGCACGAGGTGAGAAGAGATATCACAACACTGACCATTCTCAACTAATCAGTGAAAAAGATTCAACGGTATGGGTCTGCTGGTGATTTGAAATACAAAAAAAAATTTGCCGACATTCGCCATACATGGCAGGATGTATGTGATCTACCTTGGAACTTGACATGGCCGTCTTAACAGCTTTCTAGGAGTGGTATCTCGTTCACCGCGTGGATTTGCACAATAATCTCAAACAGCATGCTCTTAAAACCGCGGCTCTGCACACGAAATGCACAATCACGAGCATCGATATCCATGCTACTCGTTCCTCGGTCACCCTTGAGGATGGACGGACTTTCGAGGCTGACCTCTTGCTTGGAGCAGACGGACTACATGTATGTATCTGCAGAGTAAGCTTCCCAGATCAACCAATCCGAACGTTTAACCAGATTCACTCTTAGTCTCAGGTTCGCGGTGTTATTGCTCCGGGGGCACCTGCACCGTACCAAGCAGGAAAGTCGTGCTTCCGATGGCTGCTTCCCACTGAAGATCTGCAAAAGCACGAATGTACCCAGGAACTTGTGCAGAATCCAGGGATCTTCATTGAATGGGCGGGTGATACTTGTCGCCTCGTCGCATACCCATGTTCTGATAGCAATGTGTATAATCTGTGTGCTTTCGTTCCCTCTAGTGAGGTCAAATTTGACACCCAGACCGATGGTGCGTTTCTCTCCAATATGTGTCGCTCTCATGTCGGCTGAAATGATTTAGGCTGGCAATCAGTGGGCAACAAAGATACCATCGTTCGGATGTTCTCGAAATTCGCCCCAGCAGTTCGGAAAATTATTGAAAGGGCCGACGATAAGTTAAAGGCCTGGGGTATGTTCGACATGGAGGCTTTGCCGACATGGACGACAGGCACAGCGGCACTTATCGGCGATGCTGCACATCCATTCCAACCATGTAAGAACCAATCTTGTGGTATGCTTGGTACGATCGACTAATACGCGACAAAAGACATGGGCCAAGGTGGAGCGATGGCTATCGAAGATGCCGTCGGTATTGCAGCGTTACTTCCACTTGGTATCAAGGCACAGGAGATTCCTTCGCGACTGAAACTTTACGAATCCAATCGCCGACCCCGCGTAGAATTGGTTCTTGAATATACCCGGCTGAACGGTCGCGACGAGAATGATACTGCTGGTGCTCGGATCACACGTGAGTCTTCAATCTTCGTCCGTCCTGACTAGGAACTCGCTGACGAAGGTAGCGGCTGACATGGTGAAAATGATGGGAACAATTTTCTCGTACAATGAGATTGAGCAGTGTGAAAAACTTCTGGGAGGCCAGTAATCACCGAAAGAGGAAGGCGATGGGACTATTAGTGGACGGCGTCGTCTTTACCCAGGGCTAGAAATGATCTTTGTATGCTATTTTGCAAACTGCAGCTCTCATGCGCGAGGACAAATATTCAATTACCCAGACCTTGCTGTCGTGGTACTTCGAACCGAAGGCCCCTAATTAGTCGGGCCTGTCTTGAAACGTTATTAGGATGGTCACAGTGTGCATTATATATGCCGTTGGCGATAATATTTGCGATTTTTCGTCTGTGTAATATTACAAGGAGCCTTGTTCTTCTTTCTGACCTCATTCTTGAAGAGGTTTTTAGCAATGGCATCCATATTCAGCACTTTTCATTGATCCAGACTCCTGAGTACAGACAATGTCACATGTTCATGACACCTGAGGCACCATGATGACTGATCATGGCGGCCAATCCAATCGCATCCGCGGGCGTCAATGACGATCGCGATACCTATACGGATGCCATGTAGCTATGGCGTCTGCCACGTTGCGGCCGGAAAGGCCGCCAGATTCGTTTACGATCAGACGCAAGCCTGTATCAAACCCGAACCTACGACAAAGTGCAGTCGCCCAGGCCCCAGCGTTGGGACATTCCACGACCTCTCCCGCTCTAGTGCCATCATCCTCAGTGTACCCTCCATCCTATACCGAACTCTACGGGCCTGTGTCACATGGGTCTCGTCCCATTAGCCCAGTCCCACGACCACGTACCGCAGGAGGCACATCGCCTTCCAAAACGCCACCTCCCCCTTCTCCAACTCCTGTCCAAAAAGCCTACGGTGAAGCTCGACACTTCCTCGGAGGATTGATCAACCACCCGACGGAATCTAATAAGCATGTTACCATACTGCGCCACTCCCACGGACTAGTATTCTATCGTGGAGACTCTACCTCGGTCGCTATCTCGATATTCTCCGATACCCCCTTGCCCCCAGATCGGACAATATGGCTGCAAAGTAAAGGATGGACTGGCAAGACTGGAATGCGCGCAAAGGCAATGCTTCGTCTACACGATAGCTGGCTTGATGTAACCCCGGCAATGCCATTGCATGCGGATCAAATAAACCCAGATGACGAGCGAGCCTGGCAACGCGACATCAAGAAGTTTCGCAAGAAAGCGCCTGCCCGACCACGAGACACTCATCTATTACGAGAAACTGCCGTGGTGCGAATACCTGCAAATGGTGGGGATGGTTACTTCCAACTCGTACTCTGTCAGGGCCCTAAGAAGAAGGTTATTGGTAATAGTCCTGTGTTCCGTGTGCTTTCGACATCAACCAGCCCCAGTTCTCTCCGTGGCGCAAGTCTCAGCACTCTACCCTTGGAAGTCGGGGCAATGGTCGTTAGTCTTTATGCAAGGACGGCAGCTCAGACCATAGTATCGCCTGCTTCCTCAGCTATAACAGCCAAAGTTGATCCTTATCGTCCGTCGTGGCTTACTCAAACGGCAGCGCAGACCGCTTATTCAGCTAGTGGTGTCCAGGACAGAGTTGGAGGAATTATGAATGGTTCTACAAGGTCTCGCCAAAGAGAAACTGCCCAACAATCCCATTCGGTAGAAATTTTCAATGGTGTTTCTCCAATGGAACTTGGTCCTCGGCCACCCTTTCCGATGACATTCAAAGCCCGAGGCCAAGTTCTAGAGCCACCGTCACCTAATAGCATCGGTGATAGCCCAAGGCTTACACTTCATAAGGTACCAGACTGGGTGCCTCAGCAACTTCGAGGCTATTTCTTTGGCTGGGCTCGATTCGACTTTGAAACAAGCAAAGAGTCCAGCGTCAGCGGGTGGTATCCAGCCGTGCTTTCTATTCGCACCCTAGATCCATTGCAAACCTCTCGTATTGATATAGCCCAACTTGCAAAACTTGTCGTGAAACTACGCTTGCTTGATGACGTCCCTCCTCAATCAAGCAAAATAGAAGTCCGTGTCATGGGATATCTTCGGGCTGATATTCCACCCCCAACGGGCAAGACCAGCCAAGAACTGGCTGATGCACAGGCTGCCGCAGCGGAGGCTGCTATGCTTGCAGATGCATATGACGAATCAGTTGTGCTGAACACACTGGCCGGTGCAGCCTGGGCCGCGGAAATGCAAACCCCAGTTGAAATGTCACGATCAAATACTGGGTGGATTGATCGAACCCGCGATGGATGTGCCAATGTGCGAACTCGCGGGCAGAAGTGGGTGGAGCAAGTACCACTCCATCGCCTTGGAGTCCGCTCGGCAACTGATGATGCGAGAGATAGCCAAGTCGCGGTGAACGGATTCTACATTGTCCGGTGATTTCAGTTAGTTGGCAGTGGGGTAACCCCTTCTCCTACTTTATGATGTTGGTCGCCTAGATCGTTAATATTTAATATGTATATTGGTTCTTAGGAACGTTGGTGCCGTGTCGATGTCTCAAATGGCGCGCGCTTAGTGATTTTAAGGTCGTTAATACATGAACAAATTTAATTGAACGCTTGATAACCAACACAAATCTTATAACAGCTCGCAGCTCCATTAACCAAATAAAAGCGCCACTTTTTCCTCACGCCATGCATCTAGTTATGAACAAATATCTCAAGGTCCCATCGGAGGTTCAGAGGCCGCCAAATTGCACTGTCGGAAAATCCGTACTTCATCTGGCTTGAAGGCGCCAACGACCGAATGAATGACCCCTCGGTTATTGAACAGAACCAAATCGCCCTCTTCCCAGTCGTGGGGGTAAACATACTGGGGACTAATGGCTGGTCTCTGCAACTTGTAGACGATATCACGCACACGTTCCAAATCATCAATGACCGTGCCATCAGCACAGTGAATCCGACGAACTGCTGAAGGGTGGATTTGCAAGGCAAGCTTTCCGGTTACTGGGTTCTTCCAGACCATGGGGAATACCATAATCTTCTTCTCATCAATAGGCGGCAGTTCGGAACTCGGTAACTCGAGACCTTCGGAGTGTAAACCCAGACCGGTTGAGCGGGAGTGTGCAGGGCTCATCCAGATGTATCTAACGGATCAATCAGCTTTTGTTTCGCGGGTATGAGGTTTACTGAAGTATCTCACGGATGAGGCGCATATTCCATTTTGCTCGTCCGAACAAACTCCTTATCCTCTTCAGACAACAGGTCATACATCCGCTGACCACTGACGAAGGCAGTCGTGCCCAGCGGTACATCCATAGTCTCTCCGGTTCCATCATCATACAGCAATGTTTGACGTCGGCCCTTAGGGACAGCCACAGCCAGCAAGGTAGTAACCTGTGGTGGGTACAAGTCATATAGAGCGGCATCAATGTGCCAACGATAAAATCGTGTAAAATCGTAATCCTGTTCGTTGGGGATATGGTCCTTGTGAAAGGTTCGGTGATGTGGGTGTTTCAACTGTATGTTCTCTAACCCTTCGTATGAGGGAACAAACCCATTTCCAATCACCTGGACTTGTGGCTGGTGCGGTATTGTCTTCAAATCTGGGTGAAGAATACTGCGTTTCGCATCGATAGTCTTGCCGTGGCCGTAGTTATCAGATGCAGGATCGAATCGCTTAGTCAACTCATACTGTGCTTTAGGAGATAGCTTGTGTTGGTTCTTTAGTACAACTACGTGGTAGTTGTAAAGTGCGTTTCGAATGGTTGTGAATTGCTCATCTATAGAAGTTCAGATTCCGTATAGAGTTTTCGTAAATGGAGTAACAAACCAGTCAAGTTCTCCAAGTCGACACCTTCTACCTGAGCCCCAAAATCAATATCGGAGCCCTTGGGTGGCTGAAGAGGGCGAACTGTAGGGGGTAGTACGGCAACGGCCATGATTGATAAATGGAGTTAAGATGTAGTTGGACCGCTTGGTGAAGCTAAGGTTTCGACGGGATGTTTAGAGTTTTTATATTCGGGATCGAGGACGTAAAAGCACACGATTGATGGGTGATCGGCCAATATATACGGGCTACGGCGTATACCGAGGGTAAATCGGATGAGTTGAGAGAAGCAAGGGAGACGATGGAGATGACAAGTATTATAGTGTAATTGCCACTGGTTACAGGATAGAGCGGGTGAGTGCGGGCCGGTGCGGATGAGTGCGGGTTTGGATAAGATAGCTCCCCGATTCCCGAAATGCGGAGATTCGGCTTCGAGATTTACGGCAATTAATGATAAGAAGGATCGGTAATGTGATCGGCAAGGCTATGGATTAGCAAAGCGGCTCTTCTGATGCTTATTACGAAAACTAAATACAAAACTCAGGATCTCAGGCTAGGTAAAAATCTAGGTCGAAGCAAAAGCTTCCGACAATGGTGCCCACATTGTTCGGCATATCATAAGCAAGTCGGTCGGCCTTTACCACATTTTCCACCATGGCCCCGGTGGCCCAGGAGGAATCTCGGCATCAATGATCTCTTGCAGACCCGTATGCATGTCTACTTCTTCAGGGCGCCAGGACCACGGATCATTCCAGAATAGAATGCGGTGGCCAAAGTATAGCACCAAAAACGCAGGAATTCCGACATACGCGGTGAAAAAATTACTTACAGACCATTCCGAGGGGAAGAACACAGTGAATCCGTTGATGAATAACATGAGTGTCGATCCAGCCATGCCAAAATAAGCTCCATATGGTTGGAACCGCGATCTGTATGGCTGTTCGATGCCTTGTGCTGACACGGCCCTACGAAACCGAAAGTATACGATGCAGCAACAGATCCACGAGATGAAACCAGACGTATTAGTGAAGTTCACAAACCAGTTGAAGACGATGGAGCCTGACGTGCCGACGGTTAGATAGGCCAATGCTGAAAAGCAGGCCGATACACCGACGGCGTAGTATGGGACACCCCATCGGTTGCAGGACTTGAATATACTAGGCGCGTTGCCAGACATCGCCAATGAGTACAGGGACCTGGATGACATGTATAAGAACGAGTTGCCTGCGGACCAGGCCGATGTCAACACTGCGGCATTGACGATATGATCAAGGACTGTCCATATTAGTCACTATGTCTTTCTTAGCTGGCAGTTGCTCACGCACCTGGGATGCCAGCATTCTGTATTCCGACCACAAAGGGCGATGACTTGACCGTCCCATCTCCTTGTGTGAGTTGTGAAGCGTTGGAAGGGCAGATTACACCAATAGCCAAAACACCAAAGATGTAGAAAAACACCAATCGATATATGTAGCGACGAGCAGCTCGAGGCACATTACGCCGAGGCGACTCCATTTCTCCACCACTGATGATAATCAATTCTGGTGCGAAGATGAAAGCGATTGCACTGGAAACGGTGCATTTTAACAAGCCCACGAAACGCCCGGCATCTCCTTGCACAAGGTATTGATTAAAGGAACCTGGATGCTTCCAATAATGGAACCCCAACAACTGACGATTGGGTCCGCCGCCCCAGAAAAGAATAAAAGATACTATAAGAAGACCAATCAAGGTGATAATCTACATTTAAACATATGTTAGCGGATTATGCTCCCCATCATTATCAACAACTGCTTTATAACAGGGTCATTCACCTTGATTCCCGAGAACCAAAATTCCGATTCGCCGTAAAAGCGCACGGGTAGGAAGTTCAAGGCAATTATCACGACCATCATGATAGAAATCCACACGGCGATATTTATCGTCCCATTGGGGTCCCAGTATCCAATCACGAGACCCGCTGCAGTGATCTCATATGGAACCAAGATCCCTAGCGAATACCAGTATAAATATCCCATGGCGAATCCCAGACTTCGTGACACATATCTAAATCCGTGGTAACTCATAGTACCACCATGAACAGGTAGGTATGCCCCGATCTCAGCGATCGCAGTCACCAGGCCGTACACAACTGCTGAGATGAAAATATACCCGAGGAGCAATGAAGCAGGGCCACCGGTGGCCAGGGACTGACCAGACGATACGAACAATCCTACCGTGTACTTTGTTCAGGATTTTCCAAATATCAGAAGAGTGCAAGGGATAGGGTCTTTACCGGTTCCGATAGTGCCACCCAAGGCCATGAGTTGGACGTGACGGCTCTTCAGTCCTCGTTTCGTGGTTTCGTAGCGTTCATCTAGGAGATCAGCCTGGACCAGATGGCGCACAGTCTCGCCTTTTTCTGTCATGGCCGGTCGGTCAGTCGAATAGCCCATAGTGTTGATGGGTTCAGTTGTGGCCATTTCGTGAGGTGCCTATCAGCAAGAAGATATAAGCTGAGGGACCCATTGCGCCGGGGGACTATTGTTATTTATACGTGTCGCAATCTTCCACAAAATACCACCTCTCAAAGGCCTTCTCATAATACGGGCCGTGGTCACACCTCACTGGGCGCCACAGGGCCCGTGATAACTTAGCCGACAGGTTAGCCAAGCCCCGCTAATGCGAATGCGAGTCTGGGGTAAGCACGAGGCCGAGGCTAGATAAGGTGGGAAAATATTTATTTCCTTTGTTTGGATTGACTCTCCCCTTGATTCTCCAATACCAACATCTTCATGTCATCTATACAAACCGCCTTCGCTGACATTGAGCCTGTAAGAGCGACATACACCTCACTATATTTTCCTTCTCAGGAGAACAGCCTTGGAAATATTCATGGAATTATTATCGCTTGCACATGAGAATTTCGCTGCTGAGATTCTCAGCCACACCGGGACATGCCCGGTCAACCGGCATGTTGCTGAAGTCTCCTAGGCGCGAAATGAAGAACGAACACCTTGCCCTGACATCTTAGGGCACCGGTCCGGAGACCGGTCCGGCGAAAGATAGCCCAGCAAACTAGACCCTACCAGCTAACGGGAGAGGCGGCCTTTGGGAGCATCTCGTCTTATCAGCGCTCGGCAAACATGCAGGGATTCGAGGGAGGGAACGGGAAGACAAGGGACCATACTTGTCACTAGTGTTATGTAGGATAAGCGTATGCCATCTGACCAATGGTATTCTCTCAAGATGATTTAGCGTCTAAACCAGCCCCGAAGTGGAAACATCTGCTATCACAGGGTCTCCATTTGCTAGTGCTATCAGAAAAGAGTTGTATCTACTTAGACGCAAGATTTCATCTAGGAATGATAAATGGTAACATTATTGATTCAAGGATGCAACCTCACTCCTGAAAACGACCATAGAGAGTGTCTTTTCTCATCTGCCCTCTCCATTCTTCAGCATACCGTGGAGTCGTCAGATTCCACCTGAGCTAGGTGAAGGATCCACAACTTCGTAATCTCTCAGTTGTTGAACCAAAAATTCCACGGTACGCCAGAACTGCCTCAAAGAAAAGGCGTTTGCACACATTCGTTCTCTCTCCATCTCTGTAATAGCTGCGTCTCTCAAAAATGGATATTGTATTCCGATTTGGTACAGCAGACGCAACGCGGCGTGGTAGGGTGTAGGCGCCAAGGCCCGGCGTTGAAGTCGAAGATATGACTGACCGAAAGCCTCCACGTACTGCGAACCACGGGCAAAGTCCGAGAACTTTAAGTTTTCAAACCGGTTGAATCGGTCAAAATCAACAGAGACTTGATGGAAGTCCATGTATCCCCAAATCAGATTCATGCAGTCGTCTGCCAGACTCATTGGCTGTGAAAAGGATCTGAGCTGCTCCATCAAACCGGCTGAGATGGTGCCGCGGAGCCATTTGGCCACGAGGACTGATGCCTTAACCCATTTTCTTGCCCCTGAAGTTAAGGGACTGGTCATTTGGGGGCGTGGAGTTTCGATTTCGATCAGGACTTCCAGATTGTATTTCCTCAATGTTCCTACCGCTTCCCAGTACCAATCGTCGAAGTTGTCGGATGTGTGGAGAACATGGCTTAGGCCATCAATTTGTATCTTTGCGATTGTCTCCACGGGGGGCAGCCCATAACTTTGATCTGGCTTCTTGGGTCGTGGAAGCCATTCGCAAGTGGGTACCGGGAGATCTGCTGGGGGAATTGGCATTTTGGTGACAAGATTGGGGCCTTTGGTATCCTTGTGAACAGGAGAGGACGTGTTGTCTATCTGAGGCTCTGGCCTATGGTACATAGCTCTCGCGCGCCACGCTCATGCCTTGTTAATGTTAGCCCGATAATTTTAGAACGAATCGGTGTACTGTGCCTGGATTTCCAAAGAGGAACGCGACTCGAGGGAATTGTATGGAGAGATGTGTGAACGGAGGTGAAGAGGCTGAGATTCTAGCGAGACAGAGAGGGAAGTCTACCTCCCACACTGCTGGTTCCCGTGGCGACTTGTGTGAACAAGCTCATAGTCTGTGTGAGAAGTAAGGACGACAACATTCGTACACATATCTTTCCCTTATACTGTATTGATAACAATAGCGAACGTAATTGGAACCTTGGATTAATCCTTCATTCCTCTGAAGGTTTCTATGTTTAAACGAACTATAATTCCCTTGATATCCGAAGATGGTCTAGTTGGGGATGTGGGGGGTGCCCACATCCCCCACACGCCACGGGCCGGAAGGCGCAAAGAGAGGCTGAAAGTTAAAGAGGTCGGACCATCCCCGATGTTCTTACAGGTCACATGTATCATGTACTTCGCTGTACTGTCCGATCTTCGGGAGCCACGTTTTTATATCACTAGTATTTACCGTATTCACACCCTTGTGAATACTTGAACCTAACATGAAGGCTATTGTCTATACGGGACTAAACACGGTCGCACTCCTCGAGCGACCCAAACCGACCATCCAAGACCCCACGGATGCCGTGGTACGTCTACTCCAAGCCTCGATTTGTGGTACAGATCTCCACATTCTCAAGGGAGATGTGCCGAGTATAAAACCTGGGCGGGTACTTGGCCATGAAGGAGTGGGGATCGTGGAGGAACTCGGCTCTGCAGTGCATAGTGTTCAGATTGGAGACCGTGTATTGATCTCTTGTATGACCTCATGCGGTGCATGCCGGTTCTGTCAGAAAGGAATCGCCTCGCATTGCGAAACTGGAGGATGGGTTCTTGGGAACCATGCCGATGGTACTCAGGCTGAATACGTACGCGTGCCTCATGCAACGCTTTCACTACATTCACTACCCGAGGCCATCAGCTCCCACGATGCACTCGCCGTGTCCGATGCGTTCCCAACCGGCCTTGAGTGCGGTGTTCTCAGTGCGAACGTGCAGCCCGGCGGATCAGTGGTGATTGTCGGGGCTGGACCGGTCGGCATGGCGGCTCTCCTCACTGCCCGTCTATATACACCTTCGCTAATTGTGATGGTTGATCTAGACCATGACCGTTTGGCGACCGCGCGGAAACTCGGTGCGCACGCTACTGTGGATTCCTCCGCACCCGATGCTCATCAACAGCTCATGGGCCTGACTGACGGCCTTGGCTTTGACTCGGTCATCGAAGCCGTGGGAATCCCCGCAACCTTTCAATTATGCCAGAAAATAATTGGGGTGGGAGGCAGAATCGCCAACGTCGGCGTCCACGGCACTAAGGTGGATTTGCATCTGGAGAGATTGTGGGATCGAAACATCAGTGAGTAACGGAGGGATTCCGCCGACAAACCGGATCTGAGAGTAGGGATATCGATGCTGATCTCATAGGTATCCACATGTCGCTGGTGAACGCCACGACAACACCCCGCCTGTTACGGCTTGTGGAATCAGGAGCATTGGATGCCGGTTCCCTCGTTACTCATCGTATGTTGTCCCGGCACGTGGTACTGCAGCCCTACTGATCTATTTTGCTTAGATTTCCCCTGCGACGAAGCTAGCCGGGCATTTGAAACATTTCAAGCCGCATCTCAGCATCAGGCGCTCAAAGTGGCCATTGACTTTTGACGTGGCAGCGGGGAACCACCGAGAGATATGGAGTTTCATGCTGTTCGCTAGCCTTTGTTTAGCCTAGGCCAATGCTACAATGGACATTATCATGCCCCCATTTTTTATTGCGAGGGGAAAGGAGGGAAAAAACCCGCGTGTTGCCCCACACCCGTAGGGGATAGCCATAGGCTGAATCGAATGGAGGCTTTTCAACCGGGGATTACCACCTTTGGTAGGCTTGGCAGTCGCTAAGGAAAGAACCAAAGTTTCCCCCTTGTGAAACCTGATCTGATCCACGATTCGGTTTTCTTTTCCTCCACATAATTCCCCTTTGACGTCATCTATTCTTCGTTCTCTCCGAGGAAGCCGAGATGAAGAATCTTTCATAAAATAAGAATTAGAATTAAGGTCTAAATCGGAAGGCGTTCAGGGTCAAATCAGATCCCGTAAAAGACACGCAAGCCAGTGATCCGATCTCGTCCGGCTTGAAACTTCCGCCCCACTTTGAAATCATGGCTTCGAGAAGGCTTCGTCCTAAGACGTTAGTGGCGGTTAGTGGCTTTTTTTTTTCTTCCACACGGTTGGTGTCCCTGTCTGGACTTGGGACGAAAAATCTACGGTTAATGGGACATTGTTCTCGGAAGGAGGTTAACCAGCTTTCCCCACTTGCCATTCCCCTTGAGCATTTCTATTTTCTATTCCTATCTCTTCTCTATTTGCTGGATTGATTATATTTCTGTCTTTTGTTCCTTTTGTTCTGGTTCTGGTTCTGGTTCTGGTTCTGGTTCTGGTTTTGATTCTGGTCAATTCAACACATGCACAGGTTGTCACAATAACTTCCCAGGATGACAGCTGAAGGAGAATCACGCCGTCCCTCACGGATATCGGTCAAGAATGCTGAAGAAGGCATCACCGGCACCAAGGCGGACCGTACCCTGGAGGAATTTGGATATACCCCGGAATTGGCGCGCAATCGGTCTATCTGGCAGGTCACCTTTATGTGCTTCATTCTCTCGTCGGTCCCTTATGGCTTATGCACGACCTTGTACTATCCTCTAGCGGCCGGTGGTCCCGCTAACATCATCTGGGGTTGGGTTTTGGTCTCGTTCTTGATTCTCTGTGTGGCGATTTCGCTGGCCGAAATCACCTCCGTCTACCCAACCGCCGGTGGTGTTTATTACCAAACATTCGTTCTCTCCCCACTTTGGTGTCGTCGCGTCGCAGCCTGGATCTGTGGCTGGTCCTATGTCGCCGGCAACATCACCATTACACTTGCCGTCAACTTCGGTGTCACTTTGTTGTTCATCTCCTGTCTCAACGTCTTTGAAACAGACGGCGTCGGCCTCACCGAGAATTTCCAAGCCTACCAGACCTTCCTCATCTTCCTGGGTATCACTTTGTTGACCCACGCGATCTCAGGCTTTGGAAACAAATGGCTTCCCATGCTCGAGGTATGTGACAGTCCCTAACGGAAAAAAGACCGTTTGATCGGGGGGGTTTTTTTTGTTTACACGTGCCCCCTTTCCCAAAATGGAAACGTTCTGACGATCTTCGCGCGCATAGACATTCGCGATTTTCTTGACCATTGTTGGTTCCATTGCTATCGTCGTGGCTCTTTTGGTCGTGGCAAAGGATGGTCGCCGCTCCGGTGCCTGGGTCTTTGGAAGCTTTGAACCAAATGCTGGTTGGCCCGCTGGGTGGTCATTCTTTATTGGTTTGCTGCAAGCTGCCTATGCTACCTCGGCTACTGGCATGATTGGCTCGTATGTGTTCCGAGCGATACATGTGGATAGACGCTAATTATATGATAGTCTCTGTGAAGAAGTCCAAGAGCCTGCCGTGATGGTTCCCAAGGCCATGGTGGGTACCGTGGTCATCAACACCTTTGCCGGTCTCCTCTTCTTGATCCCCGTCTGCTTCGTCATGCCCGATATCACCATGCTGGTTGATCTCGCTTCTGGACAGCCTACTCCGGTCATTTTCCAGAAAGCCCTCGGCAGCGACGTAGGTGCATTCTGCTTGATGATCCCTCTTCTGATCTTGGGAGTTATTTGCGGTGTTGGCTGCGTGACTGCCACCTCCCGCTGCACCTGGGCCTTTGCTCGTGACGGTGGTATTCCGGGCTCGGGTTGGTGGCGCGTGGTTGACAAGAGACTCGATATTCCTTTCAACGCCATGATGCTCAGCATGGTGGTCGAAATCATCCTAGGTGTTATCTACTTTGGATCTACTGCCGCCTACAACGCGTTTTCAGGCGTTGGTGTCATCTTCTTGACAATGAGTTACGCCTGCCCCATCCTCGTGTCCTTAGTCTTTCGTCGTCGGGAGGATATCAAGACTGCCAGCTTCAATCTTGGCATCTTCGGCGCTATTGCCAATGTCATCGCTCTCGGTAAGTTTTTCTTTGGTCCCCAGATTGGCGAGTGGTCTTGGAACCCCGGTTTACTAATTCCCCCTCAGCCTGGAGTGCACTTGCCATTCCTCTCTTCTGTATGCCTACATTGGAGACCGTCACACTGACCAGCATGAACTACGCATCCGTGGTGTTTGTTGGAGTTGTGGTTATCGCCGCTGTTTGGTACGGTGTCTGGGGCTACAAGAACTACCGTGGTCCCCCTACCGATGCAGTAGAGACCGACAGCGACTCCATGCCCGAAGCGATCGCTGAAATTGAAAAAACAAAAAGCCGATAATTGTCCGACTGCAGCGCTGGCCTTGCACTTGTCCAATTCGCCCACATCACTCTCTTCCGATCGTCTACAGTCCAAGCGCCCTATAATCTCGCCATTGCAGCACCGATTTACCCCCTTTGCAGTCACTCCCTACGAATCCGTGGTCCATTGCAGCTTCTCCCATTTCCGACCTTGAACCCAACCTTCCATATGCACCACCGCCTTGCTGACCGGATTCCCGACCTTCCACATGCGCCATCGTAAGATTTTCAGGATTTTTGCTTTCAAGCGCCTAGATGTACATATAAGCAGATCTTTGCTACGTCAGATATCCATTTTATTTATTTGTTCCAGTCTGCACTTCGAGGTCACTTTGGCCGTTCTTAGGGCACGTTGATCTCTCTTTTTCCATGCGACTGACCGACAGTATGAGCTGGGGTGTCGGGCACACCAATCAAGATACCATGTACCCGAGCTCTCCTTGAAGACCCCCTGGAATAGTTGACCTTCCAAGTGCATCGTGGAAGTTTAGAAATGTAGACTGAACAAGTTTCATGAAATTCCCATCTGTTACCTAGGTAGTGCCCTGTGAGCCCAGGTTCCCTGGAAAGGTGTGCGTTCATGCATGTTTCACAGCGCCCGAGTTGTTTTGTGGACCCCTGTTTGGGGGCTATTTAGAAAGCTACGCACCCACCTGGGCATGGAGCAACATAAGATGGATCGCAATTAGTAATGGGGCGGCAAGTATTGAGTCGATGACCAGGTTTAACCAATGGCGCATCGTCATTTTAATGGATTTAATGGATTGAATATACATTTATTTGTGCGTGATACAGGGTCGGGTCCACTGTTGGGTCAAATATGCACCCAACCTCCGACCTCAGCCCTGTAAAAGGGTCCAGAAACGAACGGGAATTATTGATGTCGTCATTGGAAGCACATCAGCCTTTCAAGCTGGAGGTTGATATTACGTGACATGTCTCTTATCTTTCAGAGTTACTGTAGTCCTGGAAACCTTGGGAGGTTTGATTGAAAATTCGAAGCTTCGAAAGCCCTGTTGTTGGGTAGGTATGTGATTTGACCTCGTGAGCCGTTATATATATTCCACCACCTGTACAAGTAAAAAATCAAATTTCTTGGACAAATACAGTATGTAATGAAAATTCAAAATCTTACTGCCCAGGTGGACACGACTACCTAATTGTTTAGCCAATAGCAGCTATGTGGTCCGTCACAAGGCATGTAAAGTCCGAAGTTCCATAATAGATAGTATTGCCATCATCCGGGGACTCCCCAGTGCTGATACTGTCGCCATATTGCCAGAACATATCACCAGCTACACCTGTCGTATCAAGTGCTGTTTGTTGCCATGGGGCCTCTACAGCGCAATGGTTGGAAGTCACACCATACTCTTCGAGAAGGCATGGCTTTCCAATTGCTGCACATGCAGCCCCATGGGCTGTAATCCACCCATCACCCCATGCGTAGGTGGTCCCCCCTAAAAAAACTTCAGCAAAGAATCTTTCAAGTAGGATGATTTGATACGTACAGCTATCAGGATATAGATGGAAAGTGCCAAAGTCGACAGTGTCAATGCCTAGGTTCCTGGTAAAATTCAATCCCTCGCCGATCGTATATGGGTAGCTGCCATCCGAGTCGGTATCTAGCCCGAACCCCTCTGGAGCCATTGTCAGTGAAAATGAATCGCGAAAACAGAAGGGAATGTCCCACCATCACCAATGCAGACCATGTGATTCGCATCGAGGGATTTAATATACGCGCTGGTTGACACGACCCAATCGTAAATGACAGACGTGTCGCAACCCTGACAGCGAGGCTCGTTGGCCAGTTCCCACGCGAACACGGCGGGAGAGTCATGATAGCGAGAAACCACAGCCTGAATATAGTTGCGATAGGCTGTTTGGATATCATCGTTCGTATACCAGCCCGTCTGGGTGCCGCCATAGGCAGTGACATATGCGGCCATGCCACCATAATCAGACCAGTTATTGACAAAATTGATGATCAGCTTGATATTATGCGCTTCCGCGGACGAAACAACATAGTCCAGTCTTTCTAGTCCATCGGCCCCAGTGTTGATGGTGGCTGTACCGTCTGTCAAAAGCTGAAAGTATACTGTGCCGGAAGAGGGGACCGTGTTGACATCGTTGAAGCCCCAGATTCGCAAAATACGCAGGTCGGACTCATTGAGGTGGCTCATCACAAGGTCCACATCATCATTGTCAGTAAGGAAACCGATCCAGTAGGAGTTTGTTCCAGCGTAGTAGTTGGTTTGCCCATCGATAGTGAATTCCAGTCCATTCGCACTGGAAAATCCAGTGGAGGATGGCGCAGTAGTTGAGGTAGTTGATGTCGAACTTGTAGTCTTGGTGGACGTTGTCGAGGCCTTCGTGGTGCTGCTTGTCGTTGATGAAGTGGTAGCTGTGGTGGTGCCTGTTGCTGTAGATGCCGAACGAGTCAACACGAGGTACTCTCATGTTGTTTTGATCACTCTCACCTGCGACACATTGGCTATACCACTCGTTCTGATATTGACAGACCCACCCCGTCTCGCAAGTCGTGGTGCCTGTATAACTACTTCCACCACATTGTCCGTATGGTGCTACCTGGGCAGAGACCAGACTCGCGAGAAACAGTATTGCCAGCGACTGCATAATGTACATCTTAGAACTTAGATGGGCTACTCGGTGAAACTAAGATCGTTTTATTTTTCATTATTATCGTAAAGCGATGAAACCGAACCACAAGAATAAAACGGACACGGCGCCGCAGTCAACACGGGACGTTGAATTGGCATGCTCGAAGTCCTATGGTCCCCCTTGCTCCGTGTTGTTTGAGGAAACAAGAGCGGGGAAAGTACGGAGTAACAGAGTTTGTTTGGGATTTATGGCAACAAGGACTTGGATAAATAAGATTCCTTCATCATTAGAGAATAACATGATTTATTATGATTTATCACCGGTGGAAAATTCTGCAGATCTTCCAGCATTCCCCTTATTCAGGGGAAGCTTGAATGCGCTTGTCTTGAATGGCTAAGGACGGTCCATTCCGAGCCAGATTCATTTGACTGCACGGATAGCAGTCCACTTAAATTTTTTTCTTCTCTAGATTGGGTTCTGCATTTCTTGTTTGGAGCAATATCGGGACGAATATCCGAATCGTGCCATGTTGTCTCTGATCGAACGCATTTCCCCACGATCTTGGCACGGAGACTCCACGCCAAGTAACGTCGTCTACGTATGGTAAAACCTTGACAGGGAACTTTTTTTTTTCTTTTACGTGTCAACCTCGGATGAGATTTCTTCATCTAGAAACATGAGCTGTTTATTATCTTTTTCCGTGAAAAAATTCCGTTGGAACTAAGCTGCCGATCTGGGGCCAATTTCGCCCGACCGGGAGACAACGCCAATGAAGAGATCGGGTTCCTCTAGCCGAAGCACCAGGTCCCGACTCAACCGGGGCGGTCGGGGCCTTACCGACCATAACACCACGCGGCGGGTGTGGTGTGATGGGAACGGAAGAGGCGTTGGATAAGTGCTACTCCGCGCGCTTACTCAGCTATATAATCGTTCCGGAATGAGGGTTTTCAGCTCCGGATGAGGGATATTATTGCAGACATATAGAATATAGAATACCTATAGGTTTGAGATAGTAGATCATAGAGGATAGACCATGCAAACAAACAAGTAAAAACAGAAAGAAAAAAGACAGATTGGGCATGTTGATGGCGATCAGTGAACTGTGTTCTTTGCAAACTCTGCAGTGACGTACTCGGTACCAAGGCCCGGCTGTGGCGGCGCCACTGACGGTCAACCGCCGAGATGAATATCGAAAGTTAAAGCAGATTTTTTCTACGAGGTTAGTAATAATTGTGGGGAGTCTTTGTTTTGAAGCAGAATCGGAAGGGGACTGAGTGTATTTGAGTGGGGATGGGAAATTAGGGGGACGAGAGACATTGGGAGCCACGCGAGTTTCGATGTGATGCCATAGACCCCATATCAAGGGACGTCACACATGCAGGAACTCCAGACTCCGCATTTACCCCTCAGAAATACCTGTTGGTGTTGAAGTAGTGCGGGCAGTGCGACTCACCGAGAAACATATCGGGTATGATTTGGGGGGAAGAAGTCCGGAGAATGACTGGGGTCGGAACCTTCGGCTGCCAATGAAGAATGGCCCACAGCTTCTCCAGAATCAACTCCCGAATTCCATAAGGAAAAAATCCATTCAACAAAACATTTATCCGTGTACTGAATACTCGCCTAGTGAGATTCCGAATCGGAAATTCGATAAAAGTTCTGGAAGCGAGATCAATCGGACCCGAGATTCGTAGAAAATGCCCCGGATACCGAGCCAGGAACGTCATTTTCGGCATTCTCGTGCCCGGGTTTGCCACTTTTGACGGGAACCCGAATACCAATAACGTTGCCGGCCACTCCGCTGTTCCTCTCTGTGACTGGCGAACCACAGCCGATCCCTTGTTGGAACTCCTCCTGGCTGGCTCTCTCCTGCCCTAGTGGATTCGTCTGGCCCGCGCGAGTCGGCTTCGGCCGGTTGCTTTCCTGCTGGTCATTACTGGGCACATCCAACACGGCTTCCGGCCCTGGAGAGTGGCCATCGTGCGCGTCTTGCTTCTCCACAATGTCCCCTCCACTTGACTCTCCACTCGGCGAATGATGGCGGGTGACCATGTTTTTTTCGTCCCTGGAGGATTACAAAAGGGCCCTGCTTTCCCCCGAATGTTAGTCTTTTCTCCTTTCTTTTCCCCATGGGCATTTGAACCCTCTTATATCTTATATCTTATTCTTATTTCTTGAACCATTTGGGGTTTGGTTTTCTTTTCATCTATACTACACTGAACCGCCATAATGGGTCTTGAATCCGAATCCTACGCTCAGCATGGCGAGTCCATCACTCCCGCTCAACTCTCCGGTGATGAGACCTCCTACGTCAACAGTCCCGTGCAGAAGCCCATGAACCCTGTGGTGGACACCCCGATCCCCCGAATCACCCTCAAGTCCTTGACCATGGCTCTCTTTGTCTCCATGGGTGGTCTTTTGTTTGGTTACGATACTGGTCAGATCTCGGGCTTCCAAGATATGGATAACTATTTGCGCCGCTATGGTCAGTACATTGACGGATCGTGGGGCTTGACCGACGTCCGTGCTGGTCTGATCGTCGGTATGCTTTCCATTGGTACTCTGGTTGGCGCCCTGGTTGGCGCTCCCTTGGCCGACTTCCTGGGCCGCAAGTGGTCCATTACCCTCTGGAACATGGTCCTTATCGTTGGTCTCGTCGTCCAAATCTCTTCCCCATCCGGTCACTGGTACCAGATGGTCATCGGCCGTACCGTTACTGGTCTGGGTGTTGGTGCTTGCTCACTCTTGGTGCCCATGTACATGGGTGAAAGCGCTCCTCGTCACGTCCGTGGTGCCATGATCAGTTGCTATCAGCTCTTTGTCACCCTGGGTATCTTCCTGGCATACTGCATTAACCTCGGTACCAACACCATGGAGGGTACTGCCCAATGGCGTATCACCCTGGGTCTCACTTTTCTCTTTGCCTTGATTCTCGGAGGCGGTATGGCCCTGTTCCCCGAGAGCCCTCGGTTTGAATTCCGTCACGGCAAGGTTGAGAGTTGCCAGAAGACCTTGGCTAGCCTGTACGGTGTACCCGAGAACCACGTCCGCATCCTTGAGGAGATGGATGAGATCCGCGAGCAGTTCGAGGCTGAGTCCGGGGATCAGAAGTGGCACGAGTTCATCACTGCCCCCCGCATGTTCTATCGTATTGTCTTGGGTATGGCCCTGCAAAGCTTGCAGCAGCTGACCGGCTCCAACTACTTCTTCTACTACGGAACAACCATCTTCGAGGGTGCCGGAATTTCGAACAGCTTCATTACTCAGGTTATCCTGGGTGCTGTTAACTTCGGTACTACCTTTGGTGGTTTGTATGTGGTTGAGAACTTTGGTCGCCGCAAGTCGCTCATCTTCGGTGCCATTTGGATGTTTGTCATGTTCATGATCTTCGCTTCCATCGGCCACTTCGTGCTGGACATTGAAAACCCGGAGAACACCCCTGGCGCTGGAAAGGGCATGATCGTTGTCGCCTGTTTCTTCATCGCTGGTTACGCGATGACCTGGGGTCCTATGATCTGGGCCATCGTTGCCGAGCTTTTCCCCTCTAAGTACCGTGCCAAGGGTATGGCTCTGGCTACTGCCTCCAACTGGGCCTGGAACTTCCTCATTAGTTTCTTCACTGTCTTCATCACCAACGCCATTGACTTTGCCTACGGTTATGTTTTCGCCGGTTGCCTCTTCGTTGCCACGTTCGTCGTCTACTTCTTCGTTATCGAGGGCAAGGGTCGCACTCTGGAGGAGCTTGACTATATGTACGTTCAGAAAGTCAAGCCCTGGAAGAGCAGCGGCTTTGTGATCCCCGCTCGCCACCAATGGGAGGACGACTGCCCTTCCGGTCGCAAGAAGGAGCAGGCTCCTACCCACGCTGAAAACGCATAAGCATAAGCGTTGAGCGCCTGATACCATTTCTTCTTCTACCATATATACATTTTATTCTGTTTTTTATTCTGTTTTTTCCCCTCTATTTTGTGAAAAGTCGTTTTGTTTATAGATACCTCCTTATCATCCACGTTGGCATGATGCATGAATTATGCGCAATTGCATTCTAGAACTTTCCAAGATCCTTACTATTCATGAACAAACAATAAATCTCATCCGCATTTGTCCTACTTCAAACCTGCACCTTGGACTAGCCAATAAACTTCCATTATTGAAGTCTACAATAAAGTATAGGAATTCTCTGCGATCCGGATGTCTGTGGACATATCCCACCATCGAAGATTTCCATCTCCAATATCACAATTTAGATCGAACATCCTCCCTACCCACCAAAAGTCGGTCTTGGATGCTGGCATCTTGCTCGAGTTGTCGCAAGACTCGACGAAGGATCTTGCCGCTAGCACTCTTGGGAATTTCCTTGACCAGCTCGACCTCGGTTATCCACTTATGGCGGACTTTTGTCTCCTGGACATATTTAATCACCCCTCTCAGCAATGCCAATATTTGTTCTTTGCCTTTGCCCTCACGAGATGTAGGCTTCAAGACAATATAAGCCTTGGGACGCTGCCCTGTATAGTCGTCTGCGATTGCGCCGACAGCAACATCTTCGATCATCGGGTGTCCAAGAAGCAAGTCTTCTAGCTCGGCAGGGGCGACAGCAATACCCTTGACTTTGATCATTTCCTTGATGCGATCGGTGATAGTAATGAAACCTTCCCGGTCAATATATCCAACATCCCCAGTATGCAACCAAGCCTCGGAGTCAAAAGTTTCGGCCGTAGCTTTGTCGTTGTTCAAATAACCCATAACAATCTGCGGACCACGGGCGAGAATCTCTCCCGGCTCGCCATAACCAAGCTCAGCTCCCGTCTCAGGGTCCACAATTTTGACCTCGGTATTGGCAACAATACTGCCGACTCGGTTCGCATATTCATATGTGGACTGCTCTAAAGGGTGGGCGGTGATGCAGCTGCAGGACTCCGTCATGCCGTATCCCTGCTTGAAGCCCGTCTGGGGAAAGCGACGCTGTAGCTCTTGGATGACTTCGGCTGAAAGTGGAGCTGCTCCAGAGGAAAATCTGCGTATATGAGATAGATCATAGTTCTTCACGATGGGATCCCGCAGCAGCCGAATCAAAATGGGTGGCACAAGAAGGAGCTCCGAAATTTGATACTCAATCACCGTGTCCAGCATGGTCTTCATATCGAACGCCGGGAGCATATAGACCTCTGCATTTATACACACGGGCATATGCATTTGATGCACGAGGCCCGTTACTGCCGATAATTATCAGTGGGATAATCTCATGCCATTCAAGTGAGTGGCTTACTATGGAACAACGGTAGAACAGCGAGTATTTTCTTATGATCCTTGGGCGTGAGCTGCGAAACTTGTAGACACTGTGCCATCACGTTATGGTGTGAGATCATAACCTGCCTTTCACTTAGCATGGGAATCTCGACGACAAATTCTCAAGTCGATACTTGCTGCCTTGGGGAGACCGGTGGTTCCACTGCTGAAACTGAGAAAGCCACATAGCCATTTGTTTGATTCGCCCCTTTTAATTTTCAACGCCGGAGTTTGCCCATCTGCACCAAAGCCTCTGCCAAATTTGATGAGGTCGTGAACTGTGGCAAAACCTTGGTGCTGCCCTTCGAGGAGTATGATACGATCCTGTGGAATGCCGGCGTTCTTTGCGGCTGGTATCGCGACTGGAAGCGCGGAAGCCGCAGTCATCAAAATCCTTGCCTTGGATGTTTTCAAAGCATAGGTCATTTCTTCAACGTTGTAAGCCGGAGAGGCCCCCGAAATCATCCCGCCTGCGTTATCAACAGAACCATGTCAGTGGAGCTTAGTTCAGATTGTTGTGGGCTTGAGCAATGTCATACCAATCCGTATAGTCGCAAACATTGCAACAGGATACCACACCGTGTTTGAACTAAAAAGAGCGACGCATTCTCCTTGAGAGAAGCCAAGCTTCCGCGTCAATGCGGTCGAGATGGTAACCGCATGCTCTTTCACCTCATCATACCGGACACGTTCTTTCGTCACAGCGTTTGTAAAACCTGCGACGATTGAAGGTTGCCGGTTAAGAGGTGAGTCTGGTGATTCGAAAAGCCAATCCCATATGGTAATGTTTTCAGGAACTAGGACGATATTCAGTGAGTATTGGAAGAGCTTTTCATGGTCTTGTATAGTCACTACCTGCAATGTTTGGATGCGTAGAGGTGAAAATCATTTTGGATCAAACAGTTGGATAGAGTTGTAAGTTGAGGAAGAACAGGAAGACAAGTGGAAAAGCGCAGACTTAAAAGAACGTGGACTATGCTACCCTACTTTGATAAGGTGGGGTAATGGTTCTATAGGGAATGTCTGACCTCGGCATTGCATTCATGCACAAGTAGTCTAGCACAGGGAGTATAGTCTTGGACTCGCTGCTTTTCGGATTGGACTGACGAAAAATCCTGGTATAAGGCATTTAAATGTCACTGAAACTCTATATTTCACACAGTTACAGAACATCAACGAATCTCCCAATTCGCATCCACAACCGGCTATTCGGCCTACATATTCCTAGATGTGGGGAAGTGCGGGGATGTTTCTAGAGAATGACTACTAGTTTCTCTCCACTCACACCTTGTCGCATGAGCTCCAACCCTTTTTCTAGCCCCTCGAGACCCTGTCCCACAATCCGCACTGGCAGTGGTAGTTTATACCTGCCTTCGCGGATTAATGTTTCTAATGTCGGCACAATGTTGGCATTTCCCAGTAACTGTGGCAGGTCGCGTCCTCGAAACATCACTGAGTTCACTCCCGACGGAGTCTGAACCTGGTCTTTCCCCGTCCATACTTGAGCATACTTTTGTGGTCCACCTTTGTCCAGGACATTGAAAATGTCTGGTTGCATACCTCCGGCGCCAACGACATCAATGATGACATCCACTCCCCGAGAGCCCGGGGTGACTGATTTCACATCCGTGATCAAGGAGGCAGAGCCCCTATCGAAAGCGTGATCGGCATTGAGGTAATTTGTCAGATGAGCATGATGCCTGGGCGAACTTGTTGTCAGAATCATACAGTCAGGGATAGCGAGACGGAGCAGTTGAATGGTGGCCGACCCCACTGCTGAGCTGCCACCCAAGATAAGCGCGGACGAGGGCCTTAGACCCGAGATGGGTCCATCCCTCAAAAAGGGTAAAGGGGATTTGAGACCTATTCCCAGTGCCATAATCCCGGTCAGATAACAGACACTATGGGCATCGATCAGTCATCGCTCTTCGGAGGCCGGAAGTACAAATACATACCCCAAGGATGCCGCATCCTCGAACGACCACGAGTTCGGAATTCTCGCGACCGATTTCTCCTCAACCACCGCAAATGTTTGATATGATGCGGCATAGTCTCCAGCAGTGAAAAGTGCCAGGACTCGATCGCCCAATGCGACGTTTTTCACGTTGGCTCCAACACCCTCTACCACGCCCGCGCCGTCGAGACCCGGAGCCAAAGGCCATGAGTTGACTCTATGACCCTCGTCAATCATTTTGTAATCGGCTGGGTTGATGGCCACCGCTTTGACGTGGATCAGGACTTCCATGGGGGCGATTGTGACCGGCCTTTCGGTGACGGTCGCTACCAAGGGCCCGCCCTGTTGGCGGGCAAGATACCGGGTATTCTGTGATTGCATTCTAACACACAAAGAGGCTACAGTCCACTTTGTATGAGTCTGGCGTGTAAGATATGCCCTTTTGGTCGTTTGAGATGATTGAGGGGTTTGAGCTCATGGGGCGGGGGGTGTCTTTTTCTAACTGGCCTCGGAGTTTGACAGGGACCGGGGATTTAAAACCCGACTTATCCCCGAGCCTGAAAATGCCGATATCGAGGGTGGAAATGGATGAAAGATGTTAAAATCTTGCGGCGATGCTTCCAATGTTCTTTTGTTCTTTCAAAGTAGAACGCCCGAGTCAACATTGGGTGCTGGCCTTGGACTTCGGGACACTATGCATTCTATAGATTCGGGTATTAATTGGTTTACCCCCGAATATATAGAGGGATGTAGTTGAACTTGAGATATTGTAAGAGAACAACTCCAAGCAGTCGCTCGAGTTGTCGAATCACAGCACAATATTTCGGTCCTGGCATACTAGATCTAGCCCCACGGTCGGCTATTCGCACCACATATCCAATCGGACACTAGACCTATCTGAGTCTAGCGGACGACTGTCACATTCAATCCATTCGAGTCTAGATTCGCGTGGAATCCTGATCTTTGCTGTGAAACATGGGGTTCTCTCTCTAGCCGAAATTGTCACTTTGGGGTTAATACATCCGCAATTCTCGCCCCCCTTCCCTTCCATATTTTTTCTCCTTCTACACCCTCCCCCTCGCCCCCCCCATCACCCCCTATCTCGTCCCAAATCCTCTCGTTTCGCAGTCACGATCGTGCTCGTGCTGGTAGGCGCGACGTTCAACACCCATGAACTGCGTTGAATACGCTGCGGTGGGATGCGCATTCCTATCGCCGTGCAGCTCGCGCTGCTGGTTCTGCTGACCACATTGCTGGGGATTACCGTTCTAGCCGTTGCGACAGTAAGGATGCCGATGAGGAAGAGATCGACGAGTTCGCCAAGCTAACTCTGTACCGAGTAGTGGATCACCACATATGACTTTGTGATTGATGTTGAGTAAGAATCGCCTGTTTTCCATTACAAGCCCACGCCACAATCCAACACCTGCTGACTAGGCCCTAGATCCAAAAGTTTGAGGCTGGTTGCGACAATCAAAGCCAGCCAGATTGCGTCCGACCTCGATCTCATAGAAGTGACCTGCAAGACCATCGTGACGCGCCTGTTGGTCCAAGCGGCTCTTGGTCGGTATTATGCGGGCAACACCTCCGCAAGCAACTGGGTGACTTCCAAAGAGGATGTGCAATCGGCCTTGGGCAGTCGAGGCTATCTTGATCTTTACCAGGCTTCATTATATTCGAGTGAGGCAGGTTCCGGAGATGGTCGGCTACTCAATGTCACTAGTTCCACGGTCCCCGAAATCACCCTTCCATACACCTATCCAAACGGGAGCGCTGTGCTCCTGGGAGATAATGGCCTGGGCTACCCGCCTTCGCTCTATCCAAATTTGACGTACACCACCTCGAGTGACGGCGACTCCAATATCGTTCGTGCCTTTTCGGATTATACCCTCGGGTTGACGTCGGCATTATTATTGGGCCCGCTCGCAATCAATACCTCCTTCTCCCTGTTGTCCCTAACCATTCCAATTGTCAACAACACATCCGACACGGACATTCTGGGTTATATGACGTGCGATGCCCTCTGATCAGCCCAAACTTTGTGATTAATACTGAATATTGGACCCTCGATAGTGTTGTTGCTAGCGCTGCAAACGTACAAAGCGTTCTTAGCTCCCGCGATGGAATGGGAGATACCGGCCAAGTGCTTCTCCTTGGTCCCTCGAGACCCGAAAATACCTTTGCCTCCACGGCACAGCCTGCCTCGGCGACATCCTCTCCGAACGCAGCCGCCCTCAAGAAAGCAGAAGTACACTATGTTTTTCAACCCACACCGCTACCGGGTCAGACCAATCGACATCCCGGAATATCCACCTCAGACTCGTTCGCCCTCTCGCATTACCATATAGCACTAGATTTGATGCTGCAGTCTTACGAGGATGATCACAAAGCTATCAGCGATCTGTCAACGAAAAACGAACAAAATAAGAGTGTGGCCGTGGGCGCAATTCGACCGCAAAGTTCGCTAGCTCAGTGGATCTTGCTGGTTGAGGAGACTCACACAGAGGCATACTCCCAAGTGGCACGGCTGAGAAAGGTCATTCTGGCCTGTGTTTTTGGAGCCGCTGGCCTGATCCTCTTTATTGTTCCGCTGATGACCCATTGGGCAGTCGCTCCCATTCGCAGATTACGGGAAGCAGCCAGAAATTCGGTGATTTCACAGCTCGTACCGCCCCCGGGCGACGCACGGCGATCCGGCCACCATACGACAGATGCGATAACGCAGAGTGCCGACCGAGATGTCGGAAATGAAAGCAACGAGAAGGCTCCCTTCGCCTTGATCAAACGCTTTCGTACTCCCTTAGAGAGGCTGAACAGCTCCGCAAATTTCAGCGCTGAAGGGGCTCAAAGTCCTTTCCAGATCCCACGTAGAGTCAAGGAACGCAGCCACTGTGTGACAGATGAGCTCACCGAACTCACCAAAACATTCAATGAAATGTCCGATGAGCTGACCATCCAATATAATCGACTGGAAGAGCGAGTGATCGAGCGGACTCGAGAGCTAGAGAAAGCCAAGCTTGCGGCGGAAACGGCGAACGAGAGCAAGACTCTGTTTATTGCGAACATATCTCACGAACTCAAAACACCCTTGAATGGAATCTTGGGGATGTGTGCCGTTTGCATGGGAGAAGAAGATCTTTCGCGCATCAAAAAATCCTTGCAGGTGGTCTACCAGTCCGGCGACCTTCTCTTGCATTTACTCAACGATCTCTTGACTTTCAGCAAAAATCAAATTGAACAGGCCATCCAGCTGGAGGAAAAGGAGTTCAAGATCTCTGATGTCCGGGCGCAACTCGCCATCATCTTCCAAAACCAGGTGCATGAGAAGAAAATCGACTTCAGCATTCATTGTGTTACCGGAAGCAGTAGTGGACCCGACGAAGGAGCTGGCACCATTTGTCTGGATGATGTGCATCAGATTGATTCAATTGGCAAGCCCGCAACCGTGAAGCTTATGGACATGGTGCTCTACGGCGATCAGCATCGGATTCTTCAGGTATTGATCAATCTGGTTAGCAATAGTCTCAAGTTCACCCCAGAGAACGGGAAAGTAGAGGTTTGGATTCGTTGCCTCGGCGAGGAGGACGGTTCCCTCCCATTGAAGTGTGACACCAAAGAGAGACCTGCCGTGCGCACTCAGAGCCTCAACAGCAGGCTTTCTTCAGATCAAACCGAGAATTTCATACACATGCCCAAGGATAAGCTCTCAGATCAGTCCACCTCACGCCCTCTGGTGTTCTTGTTTGAAGTTCGCGACAACGGCCCTGGCATTCCTCATCACCTGCACCGACGCATTTTCGACCCTTTTGTGCAAGGGGATCTGGGGTTGAATCGCAAATACGGTGGAACAGGTCTTGGTTTGAGTATTTGTGCGCAGCTATCTCGAGTCATGGGTGGTACTGTTCTTGTGGAAAGCGAGGAGGGTAAGGGGTCCCTGTTTACTCTACGGCTACCATTACGATTTGTCAAAGAGGTTGCCCCAAGCTTTCAAAACTCCAGCAACCCAGGGTCGCGAACGCCGAGTATCCTATCCCTGGAAGAATTTTCCAATGCTGCACGGACTCCCTCAAATCAAGGATCCACTAAAGGCGAGCCTATTGCTACCAACTTTGAAAAGTCAGACATCATTCAGCCTAGACTGGTTGGTCTCAGCCAGCCTTTCTTCACACCGACGGTTCCTTCATCTCCGAAGTCACCTGCGTCCAATCACCCATCAGGTAAAGGCAAGTCTGAGACGGATGAACGCTCAAGAAAAACCCGCGTCCTGGTGGCTGAGGACAATAGGGTAAACCAGGAGGTGGTTCGAAGGTTAGATGCCACACTATCCTTGCCAGTTGCACCTACTAACCTTTGCCAGGATGCTTGCACTCGAAGACGTCTATGACGTGACCATGGTCAAGGATGGGCAAGAAGCCTACGATACGGTGAAATCCAATATGGAAACGGGGACCGTCTTTGACCTCATTTTCATGGACATCCAGGTATGAACGAGCCCCATGATCGATTCGGTGGACTGAGAACAGACACTTATTCTTGGTAATACAGATGCCCAATCTGGATGGACTTCAAAGTACCCGCCTCATTCGAGAAATGGGGTATTCTGCTCCGATTGTCGCGTTGAGTGCATTCGCGGACGAGAGCAATGTAAAGGACTGTATGGAGTCAGGGATGGACATGTTCATTAGGTGAGATACTACTTTGGCAGCCTGATACTTGGACTTCACTGACATTAAGATAGCAAACCCATCCGACGGCCTGCACTGAAGCAAGTCCTTAATAAATTTGCAACGATTCCAGAAGAATCCTGAGTTGCATATGGATGACTGAAGTGGGATTCGGCAGATAGCATCGCGGAGGATTAATCATTTTCGAATCCAAAATAGCACATATAACAGCTATAGTACATATAATTGACATCAACTGTATATTCTCATTGTGCCGCAGTCAATCGTTGACGTAGTGATCAATGAAGTAAAAGGTGAGGCTTGGCACCGGAGATACCGGAGTCCCATGGCAAGCCCGAAAGCCGAGACTGCATCGTTGTTCACCCCTGAGATTATCCAAATGCCTTACTGACGTGACTATCCCCTGGGGCACCATGATCTCACAAACAAAGAATATCCGAAAACGCCGACGGCCCGCTCATTCTTGTGCTGAATGCCGCCGTCGTAAAGTCCGATGCGACCGAAACAAACCATGTACCCAGTGCACCACCCACAAATTTGTGCCATGTGTCTATGAAGACGGGAACCTCAGCTCCAGAACACCAAGAGAATCACCGATCATACATTGTGAGGAGACCCGGCAGATAGATGGCCAAACAATACCAACGTCAGGCGAATACCCACCACGCGCCTCACCACGCGCCTCACCACCAGCAGGCCCGATACGTGGGACGGTTTCCAAAACAAGGATTTTTGGCCACGGCCACTGGATGAATACAATATCTATGGTAATTAATTACTCCTAGGGGTCGGTGATACTCGGCTGATATTCCCCTTCGCCGAAAAGGCACCCGAGCTCTCAATCTTGGGGCCAATGTCCCAATTCAATGACGGTTTATTTCAGCTGGACAGTAAGGAGCCTTACGATGAAGTGCCTCGAATGATGGCGCAATGTAAAGAGCTAGCAAGGGAAATCAAGAAGGACCGTCCGAACCGACGATCTCTCCCTGCAGGTTTGTATCGAACATTCCCAACACGCCAAGTCATCGATGAATTGGTGCAGTTATACTTCTCTACAACTGAGACCTGCTACCCAATTCTTCACTATCCCACATTTATGTCAGAATATGTCGCTTGCATTGATGCTCTGGAAGGTGCCAAGGGCTCCTTTCTAGTGGAGCTACTCCTCCTCATGTCTGTCACCGGCATGATGCATAGCGATGACGATGTCCGCCAAGAGCTGGGCTCAAAAATACCAACATGGCTACCCATATCTCAGACATGGCTTTCTGCGCCCATGGAAAAGGATCGTTTGACAATCAAGGGAATTCAAGTACATTGTCTTCTCCTCCTCGCTCGCCAGGTCAACCGGGTAGGTGCCGATATCGTATGGATTTCGGCGGGGTCGCTCGTTCGAATGGCCATGCAAATGGGACTGCATCAGGATCCCGACCACTTGGGGGACATGAGTACTGGGCAAAAGGAGATTCGCAGGCAGCTTTGGTACACGATTCTTGAAATGGATGTGCAGGCGGCCCTTGATTCGGGAATGGCTCCTATGATAACTCATGCGGACTACAACACGCACCCGCCATCTGGCCAAAAGTGCGATTCCATAGCTCAACCTCACCCATCTTTTCAGCACCTATTGGTCGAATCTCTCCCACTCAGAGTACGAGCTGCCATTGTCATAAACAGCCTACAACAGGAGGCAGAATATGATCAAGTATTGGCATTGGGGAATGAGCTTTCTCTGGCATTCCAGAAGGCTGCTGTGGCAATCGAACGTGAAGCATCGCATAGCCAGAAGCCACCTAGCCAATTTACGCAGAGCTTTTGCAGCCACCTTCTCCGCCGCTTCCTCTTATGCCTCCACTTCATGTACGCCGTGAAAGCTCAAAAAAACCTACTTTATGCCCACTCACATAAAGTGTGTTTGGATGTCGCGCTCGATCTTATCGCACTTCTGAATGACCGTCTTTACTCCCGCTTGCTCATTAAAGGAGGAGGCATGTTTCGGGATATCATCACACGGGGGGCACTGATGATCTATCTGGAGTTAAACTCTAGCACTAGCAGCGAAATCTCAATATTGGCAAAGAGCAGGCACCGAGCACATCGGCAAATGTTGATCAATGATACCCACAGAGTAGTTAAATACGCAAGGGACAGGATGTCTTACGGGGAGACCAATGTGAAGGGATATTTGTGTCTTAGTATGGCAACAGCTCGGGTTGAGGCTTTGACTGAGGGATTTTCAGTGGAGGAGGCTATGTCGAATGCAGCCCAGGAAAGCTTAAACACATGTCACCGAATTCTCAGAGAGCTAGCCGATCGCAAAGAAGATTCTTTGATGGATCCAGAACTTGAATCATGGATCTATCATGACACTGTGACTCCCCCGGGAGCCATCGACAGCGACTTCGGGTTTTTCAACGACGGCTCTCTCAATATTGACTTTGGAGACTCGAATCTGTTCCAGCAGTGGATTGATGATAGTTGATTGACTTCGCCCAAATCAATTATAGTCAATACATGGAACCACGAGGACGAATGCAACGGTAATCTTATTCAGTAATAGCACAATAGTATATTACACTGAGTGGAGATGGTGTAAATTTCAAATGCAACATGTCACGCAACAGGCATATTTGGGTACACAGGAAGGTCCCAGTTCTTGATATCTTCGCGAAGAAACCACTGAGCAATTACATCAAGTCTCAGGTAGGATGTTACCGCCAAGACAAAATAGCAGATGGTGATGGTAAGGGACTTGGATAAAAGCCAATCCCAACCAGTCCAATCATTGTCTGACAGCCCTCCCTGGACTTGATTCATAAACGGTCGAAACTTGGCTTCATAGGACTCGAATGCAGCGTGGATCTTTCCCCCCGATACCTCTTCAGAAGACTGGTCAAATGCTTCGCTAATCTCACCAGCAAGTACATAGGAACCAACGAGAGCAGATGTTGTTCCCATACCTGTCATGCCGGATGATCCGTATGCTGCGTCGCCGACTAGAACAACACGTCCGCGTGACCAGTAGCTCATCTTGATGAAGCCACTTTCGTCCCCGTAGAAATCGTCAGCAACATCGAGTGCTCGAAGAATGTTTTCACTTTCCCAGCCAGCGCCTGTGAAGATATCTTTCAATGCGTTTTTTCCGCAACCGGGGCTGCCCCTGCTGAACTCGATGCGTTTGGGGTCGAGCTTGCAGAACATATATGCCTGGATTCTCCAAGGGTCATGTCTGCGCATCATAAGGAACCGACTCCCTGGTGCGATGTAGGCAGTCGCCGCATATGCCTCATTTTCTTGCATATCTCTGGGGATGGTAAAGTATCCACCATACATTCCCAAGGAATGGAAAGGATCTTCCTCTCCAGGGCCCATTATCAACCCGCGTGTGCGTGACCGCTGTCCATCAGCACCAACAACCAAGTCAAAGCAATCACTCTGACCGTTTGAGAATGCCACCTCTACAGAATGGAGTTGTTCGGTGATGCTTTGAATAGAGGTTTCGAAGATGTATTTGACGCGGCCTTCGGTGGCATCATGAAGCAATCGGCATAAGTCTCCCCGCATGATTTCAAAATCGGTGCTGAAGCTTTGCAGGCCTTGGCCGGAGTGGTTTGCAGGAAAATAGGCCCATTGTCTTCCCCGGGAATCGACAACGCCCAGCCCCTCTTCTTTGATGGAATGAGCTCTAAAATTTTCCTCCAAGCCCATCTTTTGTAAGACCGCAATGCCGTGTCCCCGGAGGTCGATCTGTAGGCCTGTTGCGCGGAGCTCATGGTAACGCTCGATGACTGTGACCTGGTGGCCAAGCTTGGAAAGCCAAAATGCGACGGCGTTTCCTGCTATTCCCCCTCCGCAGATCAAAACTTTCAGCAAAGGCATAGTTCAAAGAAGTGAAGTAGAATGCTGTGTTAGAATTAGAATAAAGCCCTATTTATATTTTTATTGAATACTAAACAGTTTTGTTTCGGCCGAGGTGTTATGTTTATATGAACTTAGCGCCGATATGACCGATATGACCGACAGTAAAGCGAAATCCGCGTTGAACATACTCGGACCCGTCTGATGTCAAAGCGTGTATCAGGCGGGCTTCATGATTCCAAGAATATGAATTACGAGTCAGTGTAAACAGTGTACCCTGGCTATTGTTTGATTTTGACCCAAGGTGGGTGCGGGCCGTGGATGGTGTTATCTTAACGTTGACTAACTGGAAGTATGGATTGAATTCTTGTCAATTGATGATCAAACTTTGGGTCATGAAGCTCTCAGTGTAAATGCTACTGAATTGATCATGAGAAGGTTTAAGTATACCAGATTCAAGCCCTGATTATTATAGACCCTGATTATTATAGAGTACATTGACGAACATCCCCTCTATTCGCAAGAGCTGCAGAAGCATACTGCAGTCCCCATTCTCGCTGCTCCTATTGATTTGTGGTGACTTTGATCTACGACAAGCAGCATCTAGAAATGATCAGACAGACTGTTTCACTCCTAGTAAGCTTTCTGATCTTTGTATCGTGCTGACCAGCACTGTCAGCACAGCAAATGGCACTATCTACGGTTAAAGAGTCACACCCTTGTTCTGCTTCTTGTCCACGCGGTAATGTCTCCACATCAGGATTGATGGAATCAGAAGAATGACCAGGCAGGTAGCTGCGACTGCCTCGTACTTTTGTGTGTATCCCCAGGCATAATTGATAGCATCACGCACTTCAGTTCCTGGGGTGTACCCTAGCTGTGCTGAATATCCGCCGAGGTAAATAGATTGCCATTCTGATTGAGCACTTGCGGGGAGGGCTTTGCGCAGTCCTTGGGGAAAAGTGTTTGTGTAAATCGCAGCCGCGACGGCATCTCCAATAGCACCCCCAACACTGGAGAATAGACCAATCATTGAAAGAATGATTGGAATATTATCACGATCCGATGCACACATTCCAGCCATCTGCTCTCCAATCACAAGCATAGCACCGGAGAATGCAATGAAAATTTGACACATGATCACATAGCCGATGTCGGAGTCCTGTCCTCGAAAATGAATCATTAGGCCAGCTCCCAACAGCATGAGAGGAACAGCAAAGAAAAGACAGGAGTATTTAAACTCCTTCACTCCACGAATCCAAAGACCGAAGATCGGCGACCAGAAGCAAGACCCAATGGTATAGATGGAGGTCATATAGCCAGTGAGCTTCACGTCTAGGTTGTAGACCACCATCACGAAGTAGTAGAAATAACTATCCCAGCAGTAGAAACCGAAGTAGAGAATTGCAGCTACGAAGCATGCCCCTAGAACGGTGCGGTCGCGCAGGAGCTGGTAGGGAATGAAATGAGTGCGGGCGAACCACTTTTCCCAAGCTGCAAAAACGAAGAATAAACAAAACCCAACCACCACTTCAGCAATGAAGGACGCGTCGCGGTATTGTGTCCGCCCATAGGTTGCCAGGCTGAAGGGAAGGAGGAAGAGAATGAAAGCGGCCATCAAAATCAGAGCACCGATGACTTATTGTTCTGTTAGTCCGACATGCCCATATAAGTGACCGGAGAGACTGTCTTACCGTCAAACTCATGGATGTAGTGAATGATAGATTGTAGGATAGTCCGACCGCTGGGCTGCCGGGTGAGTATACCTGCCCTTCTTGCCTTATTTTCATAGTATTTGAAGGTGATTATCAATGGCGTAAAGACGACGGGTTGGATGAGGCAGAAGGCACCATAGGCCCACCTCCAACCCCCAATTTTTAGGAAGGAGGCCGCGGCTAGCGGACCCGTAAAGGCAGTGCAAATGTAAGGAGTAGTGGAGAATCCGAACGCAAAGGCTCGATTTCGCATGCCGGACGTATCGGCAATGAAGATCTCCAGGATCAGATAAATGGCGTCAAATCCGACCCAGTAGAATACATACCCAGCAGCAAAAGACTTGGGGCCTTTGCAAGAGGCCAGCAGTATCATACCCACGAGGTAAACCACCAGGAAGACCATGAGACCTTCGGCACGTCCCCAGAGCCCAAGAAGTTTGCCAATGGGGAGTTTAAGTACACCACCAATGATATTGGCCAAGATGAAGGCCGTGGTAACTTGCGGAGCCGAGTCAAACTTGGAATAAGCGTAGTAAAGGACATTGCTCCCGATATACTCATGGAGCGATAGCATGAAGTAACAAATCCAGATCCTGGTCAGGGTATATCAGCACGATATTCTTTGAAAAAAGTTCCCGATATCGCACTGTAGCTTCACTCACCATGCGTAAATCATGTAGACTGCTTTCTTGCTCCACATGAGAGCAGCTGCCTCCGCCTTCTGAACACCCACCTGGGCTTCTTTGGTGACCGCATCGGCATTGGACTCATCCTTTTGGTTGGATGCTTCCAAGCTACTAGAGTGAGGAAGTTGGGCATCAGTCTCGTCAACGGGACGAAGATCATCAACGGTGTGAGTCGCCTTGCGGCCCTTTAGTCGGTCGACCACCGAGCCCATGATGTCCGTGCAAAGAGTCCGGTGTCAATTGAAAAAATGGCTTTGAAATGGGAAAAGAGACCCAGAAAAAAACCCCCCTTTCCTCAAGGTGTAGAGGGCCGAGTGTTATTTAAATGTGGCTGAACGTCTATCTATTGCTAGGTTATCGGCGGAATTATCTTCTGTCGCGCTTATTCCCGAACCAAGAGAAAGGAGATCTAGGGCGCTCTATGAACTTCGGCACAGGCACAGCTGATGGAATCGATTTTTCTTCCATCCTGAGTGGATCCTGCTTGCCTATCAATCAGCCCCGCTGTGGCTCGAACCCTTAAGAAAAAGGAAAAATTTCGTCTCTGCGCTACCACATTAGGCTAAGAAACAGATTTGACAGTGCCGACAGATTCCGAGAACGTTTGGGGTTAATCCAAGCGACGGATCAGTTATCACTCAAGCTAGACTGATCTAGGCCAGGTGGCGTGTCCCGTCTGACATCCGGCATGGTAACTTGACTCCGAGGTCGCAGTATTTTTAATGAAAAGTCTAGGAGACAAGTCGATGTGTGTGATAGCTTTGAGAATTCTCATGATCCAAAGTTGCGTGGCTCTTAATTCATGCAAACCAAATGGGGCCTTGATACAAGGCATTGTGGGCAAAGAAGGTTGGTACTGCAAGGTCCAATGTCAGTTGATTTAAAATAGGAAAGGGTCACGCATCCTGCTTTGGTTTTCGTCTTACGATATTCCCACGACTAGCACCCCTTGACAATCATCTGATTGATTAGATTTTTCTTGCGGTCGGAAAGGATAAGTCGGCTTCTGAATCCGTGGGTCCATATCACCCGAGTCCAAATCCCGGCATCTAATCTGATTTAATTGTATTCATCTGCCGCGTTTGGCTTTTTCGTTTCTTGTTTGGCCCCCTCCTTCTCCCCTCTTCTCAAAGCCCATCAATGGCCTGAAAGAAGAATGAATATCTTTTCCTAGGTCAGGCTAAGAATGAGAAGTCCACACGTGATATTCCCAAGAAGTGTTCAAAATCTCACTACCTTAGAGTTGCCAAGGTTATAGTGCACAGTGCTTGTGTTACGCGTCAAGGGTAATCTTAGCGCCCCACTTGCCCGTCTTGGTTAACACTCTGGACTCTGGACTCATGCCAAGCTTTACTTGATGGAGTAAGAATTTCAATTGCGAACCTGAGAAACTCTGGAATTTCAAATTTTAGGTACAAGAAGGTACCTAGCAAGAGGGTATGATTCTTTCTATTGAGCCCCGGAACAAGGTATCATTATACATATGCACAAGCCGTCATCCTATCCGTGCTGGGTATTTATATACTGAAGATATACAACACTTCTGACCCCTCCGCAGTCTATCTACATCTCCGCCCAATCTTCACATCTATTCAAACACGACACATCCGACCAGAACTTGAGACATCCCAAGAATCACTTCCCACGCCCTTGAGTACGTAGAAGAAAGAGGTGGGATCCCACTTGCGCTTGATCGAAAGAAGGGGGCTGTAGTTTTTGCCGAAGAAGGTTTCCTTCCAGTTCAGCTGGCGGAAGTTGCCCTCATTCTGGTAGCAACCACTATCGGGAGTGACGGCTTCTAACTGGGGAACGTATTCGTTGGTGATCTTGAATTGGTCGGCTACCATCTTCGACCATGGCGCCGTCTCATTCCACGCAGTACCGATTTGCATCGTCACAGCGGCGTTTCGCAACGCGGGAAAGACGGCGTTGGAGACGTTTCCGGGGTTGGAGACGTCCATGCCAACACCCACAGCGATCACACCATGGGCAGTCAAGTTGCCGAGCACCGTTGCCAGACTGGACGAGTTGTGCTCCAGCACAGTCCGGGGGATCAGGCGACCGCCATACTGGTAGGATGACACAGCCAGATTGCCATAGGGCAAAGGACCCATGTACTTGTTGTAGTGGTCGTAGTATGTGTCATACTGAGTATAGGCCACCTGGGCGGTAATGTTCAGCTGGGCAAGACCCGAGATGAATGGTTGAAGGATAGTTTTGACATCGTCAGAGGTCTGATTATAAGCTGTCAGGGGGCTGATGGCGAAGAAGGTGGAAGTCATCTCGTAGATCACCGAGGCGCCACTGTCAATCATCTGAGGAAGGAGATGGTGGAAAAGCGAGACCGCCTTCAAGAAAACCTCAGATGTGATGCCAGCTGCAGTAAACTCCAGAGCAGCACCGCCAATAATAGCACCTGGATGAGCCTTGACGGTCATGGACATTACCACGCCGTAGTTGCCAGCACCACCGCCACTCAAAGCCCAGAAGAGATCGGCGTTTTCCGAGCGAGAGGCAGTGACTTGTCTTCCAGCAGCGGTAACGACCTCAAATTCCAGGGTCTGATCAGCGCCCAGACCAAAGGCAGTGCTTAGAGCAGAGTGACCACCACCCTGGGTGTAGCCACCCGCCAATCCTACGGTAGGACATTCACCACTCACGACGACCAGACCTCTCGCGGTGGCAGCCTCGAGGATCTGGTATCCGAGAACTCCAGCTCCGACTTTAAAAGCGGGTCCCTGATAAGTCGAATCAGACCAGTCTTGGTAGTCAATAGTGTTCAAGTGGTGTGTCCAGACAGAGAGAGCACCGGCGCCGGTGGAACGGCCCATGTAACTATAAATGGTCAGCTGCGGCCTTGATAAAAGATACCATGCTTCGTGCTCGTCTCTGACTTACTCATGTCCGGTGTTACGAACCACGAAGCGAATGCTGTTGTTCTGGGCGAACTGAATTGCCGACACAACATCCTCGCTTGTGGACACGTTGACCGCATAATTGACGTAATTGCCCAGCAAACAAGGACGGTCCTTGGCAGTGAACGCGTCACAGCTCTGATTGGCGAAGTATGTTTGCATCACCGACGAGGAAGAGTCCAGGCTGATCAAATGTTAGCATCTTGATTTCTTTAGCCTCATATAATCACATACTGAGTTTCCGGGAGAGTCCAGTTGGCCTGCAGGGTAGCACATGCGGCAGCATCGTAGGTGGGTGCATGGCAAGGACTCCCAATTGGGACGGTTGCAACCAGACGACCTCCGACGGTTTGATTCAGGGATGACCAGTCCGACGAGGAGGGCCAGCAGTCATCTCCAGGCAAGCAGCGACACTGAGACTCAGCAGCGATCGCCGTGGAGGCTAGAGCCACGAGGGGTAACCACTTCATGATGTGGGGTTGGGAAGAAAAAGAAAAAAAAAAAGCGCGAAGATCAGCAAGTTTGTGGACGATCAAATCTAATTTATGGGCGCAAAAGAGGCCACATTCTTCGAAGGTCCTAAATTTGCCCCCTCGCTCTTCTATACATGGACAGTTCGGAGGTATTCCCAAGTGCGTCTAGTATTTCAATAGTATCTTATTCTAGGTGAACACTTTTGTGGATATGAGGGAATTCACCGGAGTAAAACCGAGTGGGAACCTTGGATGGAGTTGCATCTTTAATATATTATGATTTCCATGGTACCAGACTATTAGGCGACTCATTCAAATGCGGCGTGCTGCCCGGCACATGAGGCAACCATGAACCGAGGCCGGTGGATGTCACAGACTGGAAGTATGCAGCGATCAGAATTTTACGCCCAGATTTGGAATCCCCGTGGATCTGAACGAACTGTGGCGGACGCTAAATAGTGCACGTTTGCCGCAAATTCAGGGCCCGCTAGCCTTCGATCGATCAAGTGTCTCAAATTGGTAATAGAATGGAAATTAGGCCCGTGAAGTGGATTGAAGTGGATATTGACCAACCAATCGTCTTGCTTCTGCCGGATATGCTCCACTCACCCTCTCTGGACCGAGATCAGTCCTTGATCCCCATTGGCTGCAATCCAGACCCATCGCCCAAATGCGGTGGCTTTTGCTCTCCGGGTACTATGGCTCATGGGTAGATCAGGGCAAGGAAACCATGGAAAGGCAGTTGTTCATGCTCTTTTCCGGAATTCGCCCCGATACCAACTTTCAGCTCCTTACCCCGAAAAGTTTATTGGAAGCACGGGTTTTCTCTTTAATACTTGAAGACGCGAGATTTTTGGACCATGATCGACTAAAATCCCCTTGGGTATTGACCACCAAGTCCTACCAATGTCACAATCGAACGATGGGGGCCCAGCTCTAGAGAAGGGGGTCTGGGCCGCTGTTTGCATCGCCGCGGTGATCGTTATTTTAAGGATCTTTGCCAAATTCAAGATCAAACGGTTCAACGTAGATGATGTGCTGATGATCATTGCTGAGGTTTGGCATCCCCTAGTGTCCATCCTGCTTGCTCCGCTAACGGTTTTCTCCTGCAGATCCTTGCGATCGTCGCATGTGTCTTTTTGACACTATCGGTTGATCATGGCTTTGGTGCAAAGCTAGGTGATCCTTTCACGCACGATACCTCCCTGGTCTTGAAATATATCGCCATTCAAGTCCCGATTGTCACCTTGAGTACTACGATTGCCCGCTCAGCCTTTATCATCTATCTCTTGGGCATCCTAGGCACCAATAAACACTATCAGATCGCGCTATGGACGGTGCTGGCCATTCAGTTGGCGGGAAATATTGCCTCGGCCGTGTTACCCCTTAGTATCTGTCGCAATGTCAACATACTATGGGACCCCACCGTCAAAACAACCTGCGGCGATTTAGTCGCGGTGATCAACTTTGCCTATTTTTCGAACAGTAAGTTCACCTGGGCTGCGACAACCAGAGATTGCATAGTGCGCTGACCCCGCTCCAAGCCTTCAACTCCGCAACGGACCTATTCCTCGCCCTTTTCCCGACCGTGGTATTCTGGAACCTCAACCTCAAACTGCGCATTAAGATTAGTTTAATCGTGTTGCTCAGTCTAGGAATTGTGTAAGTCATCCTTCTCCTGATGAGTAACGAGATCTGACGGATTTAGGGCCATGATTGCTTCTATCATCAAAACAACAAAGCTCGACCAAGTACCCAGCATCACGAACCTGGGAGCGACTGGAGGACTTGAGCTGATTCGCTGGGCATATGTTGAAAACGCCATCATCATCATCACGTCCTCCATTCCCTGCATCCGCCCCCTGATCATTTCATCCGTGCGAAAGATCTCCAGCGGTGGCTTCTCTCGATCCTATGAGCTTAGTCGCCAGACCGGTCCGAACAAGTCACGCCAGTCGCAAGGGGTGCGCAGATTCAAGTCCCACAATACGAAAAACGACAGCGTTGAGCGAATCTTGGATCAAAGCACCCAAACTAGCACGACGATTGGCCGCCCTGATTCCCCCACGCAGGTTCATGAAGGGGCCACGGGAATCACTAAACAGATTGAGATCTCGGTGTTGTCGGATGATGGTGCGCACGATGCCGGAAGACATGTTTAAATATTTTAATTAATCTTCAAAACCATGTATAAACTAAAGATATCCAGCTCTTGGCGTTATTAAAGTCGAAATCGCAATAAATGTGTCGAATTTACTAAATCGGTGCATTATAGCTTCAATTGTTTGCTATCACTGTAGTGCGAGACTAGATAGCCCTGCTTTGTCTCGTGCACCCTGCAGAACTCGGTGGAAAGGAAAGATAATCAGATTCGAGCTCCCGAATCAACGACAGCAAAAATGTCCGTCTATCGACACAGATAAGTTGAGAGAAGCTGCGTCTTGTAAGGAATGTTGCGCATGGTAGCTTGAGAGAGCTGTGAGACATCAAAAGCAAGGCAGCATACACCCCGGACCTATGCCGACCATGACCTTGCTGATCTTTTCCTAGGCTCATAAATTGGAAAGGCTATGGATGAATTCCAACAGCCGGCCTCGAGAAATTCGCCCGTGATGTTCTTCACAGTGGTTTGATTGCCGAATTCCAAGACAAGCCCGCCATGTGGTGCACCAGCATGAAAAGCCGGCCACCCTACCGCGGAACTAACCGTTGATGAATCTTTGAGAAAAGCCAGAATGTAGTCCTGCATCGTTTCAGAAGTCATGACTTCTAGCTCCGAAATATCACCGGCATCCGTCATGTAGGTACCAAAGATCATCAAGAGGTCGGACCAATGGAAGGCTCCAAGGTAAGACACTGGACTAATATTGGAAAAGTTCCCCGCCCACAAGTATCGATATGTCTCTAGCCCCAAGGAAGCACGCAATATTGAATCTTCATAAGCAGTGCAAATCCATTCGCCCTCAACCTCCATAGTGACAGATTCATCTGCGTTGGCCTGCTCCCTAGATGCGTCCGACCGGATAGCGGGTCCTCGGGCTACCTTGCCGGCAAGATATCGCGCAGTCTCGTTTGAAAATATGTATTTCTCATCCGCTATCGTAGAGAGTCAGTGAAACAACACTATCAAGATCTTCATGAAGGGCTGACGAACGGATATAGTTAGTGAATGCCAACGAAGTAGTGCCATTATACCGATTTATGTACTCCTCGATTTGGACCCAAGAAATCTGGCGCATACACTCAACCTCTGCATCCGCGTCGTCCCCGTAGTTACAGCCAAGTCCTTGGGCCACAATATGAAAGTCTTCATAGACGTCATCTGTCTCAGTCATGTTGATGGTCACTGTAGGCGGCTGGGATATGATGCCGAACTTGGCAGCGAGCGGGTTGTTTGGGAAAGCGAGGGTGTATAAGTGGGTCAACGCGGCACCTTGAGATTGGCCCCATAGCTAACGCGGGAATGCGAATGTCAGATTATTTGAGAATTACGGGATTCCAAAGCAGAGAAAGATACCACTCACCATAATGTTTTCGGGATCACCCCCAAAAGCCTCGATATTCTCCGATACCCATTCCACAGCAGCGCGAACATCCAACAGGGTTAGTGAGCTCTCCTTGAGGGCTTTCGACTTGGGATCTGGAAATGGAGGACGTCAGGAAACAATCACGCAAAGGTGTGAGAAGACGCCATTAGCTCTCACTTCCGAAGATATTCAACCTATAGTTGATTGTGACCACAATGTGCTCCTGAGAGCGGGATACCCAATGCGACGGAAGCTGGGACGGAACCTCGATGCCACCAGTAACTCCGCCACCGCCAGTGACGAATAGTGCAACGGGAAGTTTCGAGGATTTATTGGCGTTGGATGGGGTCCAGATGGCCAGCGACAGACAGTCCTCAGCTGAAGACCAGGCTGTTGAACCCTGATTATCGGCTTCGCCTACATTGAGCAAGAGACTTGTTGGCTCGTACTCGGACCACATGCCATCGCTTGAGGCAACGTATTGCGGACATGCTGATACAAAAAAAATGAATATCAGCACTAGTTATATCCGCAAGTACGGCACATAGAATATTCGGAAGTCGGGTCACCTACCCGGGCCGTATCTGGTCGAATCGATTTTTTTCGAGGAGTCGGGCAACCGATGAGGGGGGAGCCACCGGAGATCACCAACAGGAGGCTAGCGAAGATTGAATGAGAGCTGTTAAAAATTGATGACGTTTTGGAACAGAATTTGACGCTTGTTCTCACCTGGGCAAAAGGAACACGTAGGAACTGCCGGACATTGGGGTACGTGTCATTCAACATGCCAACAAAAGATCCCGTGCGGGTTTGAACGGTGAGATTTGACCAGTTAGACAGTGTGCGAGCCGGCTGCCACGTCAAATCGGCATAGTATGGAGGGTTTAGTTCGCAGAGAGCGAGAGTATAGAGCCCTAGCAAGGCGAAGCCAATCAGCTGGACCATGATAACGACGATGAAAGCCGGAGAAAAACGACGTCTATGCAGATACAACCATTCAAAAATATTCTTTTGTCTGCTCTATATGTGTTTATATGTCTGATCAAATATCCCGGAAAATCCGCGCATGGGACTACCTAGGCATTCCCCGCACAGATTGTGGGGATCGTGGAGTGATAAAATAATACCCGGAAACAGGAACCGGACTGTCGGCTTTCCAGATTTGTCTCTCCGTTGGTCCTCTAGACCTTGATGGGTTATGCAATAAGCTCGTTTCAAAGAGGAATAACACCACCCTATCTGTTAGCGCAATGGTGCGGAGAGTATAGTTCAGCGGCGAGGACGGGACCACGGTGACAGTGACGTGGAATTATCCGCCCCCTGCAGCCTATGGACCCAAATGACTGTAAGGACTTTGAGTCCCTGATATCGGAGATTATTTAAGTTCCGATGTGGGTGGGGCGTGGGGGTTTGGAGCGTCAAGTCAGAGCACCTTCATCGTACCTGAAGGTAGTATTGTGCCTCATGGAAGCGTGAGATTTACGCGGAGGGCTATGACCCTGGTAAAAATATAACCGCAGTTTTGACCATCCTCAAAGGGTTTTTGATTCTGTTATATGTGAAAAGTAAGGTCTGTAGACCGTAAGTATAAAATGCAACATCAAATTATAGTATATTTGCTAAGTATGGGTACATAGAGTGAAAAGCTGATTTGAAGATCTGCTAGTATGAAGCTCTGTATGTGGTCATGTGTGTACCAGAGAAGAAAAAAGTCGATAGGAGCAATCGCATATGCGTTCTAGCAGAAACATGAGCAAGAAAGAATAATCTAGAGGATGGAAGAAGCTTATTTACGGCCCCCAGGGCTGACCTGAACACCAGAGATCTCTAGCACGATCTGTAATGGAGCAGGTTCTATCTCAAGAACATTATACTCCCAGAGAAGGCAAGATGGCTAGCTTTAGGGTAGATGAACAGTGTACGGAGCCTAACAAAGTGGACGGCTACCCTCGAGTCCAACTTGTTATGCTCACCGTCACCAATTTCATCAGAGAGCAATAACACAGCGAAACACCAACGCTTTATTTCTTGAACTGTATGCGCTACCCGCAAAGACAAGTACATTCAGGAAATAACCGAGATATTATTCGATAAAAGCACACAGTCGCTTACCATCGACAAGACAGGTCCTTTGCCCTGAGGAGCAACCGTGTGATTATAGGTCGGATTGAACGCCATCAGTTGGCCTGGTGTGGTGCCCAGTTTGACAGCCAGGTCTTTGTAGGTGCCATAGATGAATTCTCCGGGCCGGACAGTGCACTGACTGGGACTGCACTGAGGTAGCTTTATGCTCTGTCCCGTTTCCACCGGATCAGTGGAAGATCCCATATTCGGAACCCAGGCAGTGCTTAACAGAGCGTCGACGGTAAGATTGAGCTTGAGTGCAATGTAGGCCATTGTATCACCCGCTAGGGTAGTGTAGGTATGGGGGCCACCAACTATGCAGTCCGCGTAAGTGGCATTCGGCTTTGCCACAATCAAACAGGTGGAGTTATCCGGTTTGCACACCTGGGGTGGGATCAGGATTTCCTCATTGGTCGTCAGAGGGAATATCGCGTCCGCCATGCGGTTATACCGCGCGATATCGCAGGCTCCCCGCTTCACAGCGTCGGCAACGTGAAAGATTGTCTGGTTCTCTTTCGCATAATAGACACCAGAGGTAGTGTTGAGTGTCGAGGTGTCACAGGAGGTGTGAGACCGCTCTAAGAATGACGAGCCCAGGCCAAATGGGAGAAGGAGAAAGATCAATCCAGCACTTTGGAAGACCATCGCTGGGATGCAATATTGGCAATCAAAATATATCAGTTGTAGGTGGGAAGTAAAACGACCTTGTAAAGTAGCAGGGTTCTATGTTGGTTAATCAGGGCATCGAAGACACCAAGTATTTATCGCTGTGCCCCTGGACGCGGCTTGGGGGAAAACATCGCGTGGGGGCATGTGGGGATGATCGCTCCTAAGATCTCGTCAGTTCATGCCAGGAAACTGACATCTAATAGGCTCATGTCTAAACTGCATATGACCTCGGAAAGAGCTCACACCCGGGCGTACCGCAGCCTGGAGGTATAGCTCGACTCTGATCAATCTCCAGTAATGGAATTCTTGTCCGTCCGACAAGGGAGAATGCCACGCGTCCGTTATTGGCCAAATTTACCTTCTCATACGTTTCAGTGTACATATTCTACATGTAACCAGCGAAGATCTCCTTCACATAAAAAAATCATGACCGTCGCCAGGCATATAGAAATAGACATTAAGTGACCTCATCGAGTAAGTGATTTTCGCCATTGAGAAGTTTGATCGTTAAAGAATATATTGCGTAGATGGTGATACTGGGCAGATCGAGTAGAAGACTCTAGGCCAGGATCAAACTTTCTTCGGGGCTAAGGCGATCTCACTCACCATGGCGCGTCTATTAGACAGGTCGGAGACAAGTTATCCTCCGACCTCCGCCCCCTTTGAAACGGGAGAATTCAGTTGTGACGTAGCGATGAAGCCGACTGTAAAGGGACAAGACCGAGAACGTTAAATTAAAGACACTGGGATAAATCGGAGGACAATAAACAAGACGGAATCGCAGTGACATCAGCGGTCCTTACAATGCTCTGGGGCGATTTTTGACTTTTGTTACTGTAGATCTCTCTCCAGGGTCTCCTTCGCTCCTGTACTGGCGATTTTTATGAGTTCTAGACTTGATATGAGGTGTCCGATGACAAAAGATGATTCATGCAATTTTCAGCTTCGGCATTGGAAGCATTCGACTGATACATTGTGACTGCGATTTGGTTTACATGACCACCTGACCTGACGAAGGTCGTTTCACAAGTCACCTGCCCTCATATTCTCTTAAGCTGATTTACACTCTCATTTCCTTCTTATTGGCCGCAGTCGTCTTGCTATTCTGCTTTTGCTGGCATCCAGAAGGAGTAAGTGTGCGATCAAAGATTAATTAAGACACTGAAAGATTATCTGGCACGTGACCTCAACGTCAAACTGGCAGTGAGCTTATCGAGCGACGCCGCAGTTCCTGGGGAAGATCCCCGCGATGTCCAACCCCTTAAAACGCTCCCGCCGATCCAAGGTAGCATGCGAGCCATGCAGAGATCGAAAGAAGAAATGTGATGGTCGACAGCCTTGCGAAACTTGCAGTGACTTCGAATACGAGTGCTTTTACGATATCACCGGTCGCAAAAAAAGGAACAAGAACCCGCTATCACCACCCCAAACACGGACCGAGCCCAACAAAGACCAGGGGAAAGAGATTGCTTTGAACCCTACGTTACAGCGCAGGCAATCCCTAGGTCTTTCCCCAAAGGAGTTACAATCACATTCCCTGGAGTCGAACTCCGGAGCAGCTTTCGTGCGGGGTCTGGGGCTCCAAATCGACCCAGCCAATGCGCCCGAGCCCAAAGTCTTTGCCTGGAATGTCGGTGCTCGTCAGTTGCCAGGGAACTTTGTTCCTCTGTCCATTCTGGATATTGTATCCCATGGGGAGATAACGAGCCTCGCAAGAATTTACTTCGATAAGGTAGACCCGTACTACGGTTTCATCGACCGTACGACTTTCTTCGCAGGTCTGGATTCGAGGTGGTCTCGAGAGTCAAAATTGGAGCCTTACGATGCGATTCTATGTGGAGTGGCGGCAATGGGTTACCTCTTCTCCCGGAGAAAAGCTATTGCCGCAGAATTGCATCTAGTTGAATCCGCTCGATCAACCCTTGAACAATTCTCGATGTCCGGCTTACCATCATTGACTATAATTTCAGGATGGGCCCTCAGACTAGCCTACCTGCGACTGACAAGCTCTCCACACACTGCCTGGATGGCTAGTTGCTCATTATTACACCTAATAGAGGCATCAGGGTTCCATTTAGAGTCTCCATCCGGGAAACTTCTACTTCGACGGCCACAGAGCGTTGACCCCGACATTCGAAGACGGCTGGTTGGATTTGCCCAATATATTAACACTTGGATATCCTTTGATTTGGGTCGATCAAGAGTAGTACTGCGTGAAGCGTCCTACACTTCGCCAACCTTCCGAGAGGGTGATTATACAGCTGAAATGCTGAACTTGCTTCCCCTCTCAGAGACACTGGAACCAAATAACGCACTCGACTCTACCCAACTCACCGCAATGCTGTCTAATGTTCTGGAAAGTTCACATACAGAGCCCCCATTTGTTCTATCACAGTGCAATCTTATGCTTTGTGTGTTTAGACGACTGCGTGCACTTCATCTCGAAGTATGCGGCCCAGACATGGATCGAATTCTATGCCTCATCATGAAGTCCCTAGCCTGTGCAAAAGAGTTGGCTTACCAGAATTGTCCCTGGAGTCACGTTGCAAATGTTCCCTTCCAGATCGTCAGTACACTGCTTGCTATAGACAGTGTCGAATCCCTCTCTCGATTAGATGAGGCTGTAAAGACCCTTAAAATCATTGCAGAAATTTATGATACTGCTGTTATGAGGGAGGCATTCCGAACAGCAGGCTTGTTGATTCTATTACAACAAAAAAAGAAAGAAAGGTGACGCCCAAACTCTCAGCGGTGTTTTGGATGGCTACTTCGATGCCTCCTTTGAGTACTGCAGGGAGCATTCGCGCGATGAAGTACGCAATTTGCACGAGGCAGAATCAATAGTTCTCGATGAGTTGGTAGCAGAGATGCCGAATTTGAATAACTTTGACTATGACCAATTCTTCATCTCAGACAACCCTGTGGACTTTTTCGAAATGGCTTTCTAGGAAAATTCATTGCCTTCTCAGATATCTGACTTCTTAGAGTACCGGTTGCGTTGGGTCTTCAAGGTTCTAAAGCAACATTTTACTTGGTGATTATTACTACGCGCGAACCATGCAGCAGCCTATGCATGGTGACAAGATATATTCTACAACGAACCTTGTTACATGTAAAGAAAAGTTGAATCCAGCTGGTTATTTTGCTTTTTCATGCTCTTCTCCAAATTATTTCTCAATTATATACTTATCAATATCGGAATTTAGCGGAAGTAAAGGAATGACGGGTTTATTTGGACTGCCACGATCCCTATCTTGAAAAGCCTAAATCAACAGTCAAAAACTAGAAACCAACACTTCAACTTATCACCATATCGTTTTCTGTTACTTGAGAGTCCATTGATAAAATAATGAGAGAGTGGATGACTCAAGTCAGAACGGCGAAGATATATCGAGCAGAACAATATTTTCTGGACGAGCTTTCCTAAAGTTGTGGGGCCCACAACCTAGTTGCAATCTCCCACGTGAACATCTGTGTTTTCATTAGCTCGAATCTTCCGTAAGGTCTGTCCAAGCGTGTGTCATTGAATCAAAGATTAAGCTTACCGCACCCTCGAGGCTTGAAGTCAAATTTAACCCACCAACCCTTTGAGTTCTTGTACCAGTTTCTTTACAGTTTGTCAGTGCGAGAATACTAAGACAATGTAGAAATCTTACTGGTACTTGCAGACGGGTGCAAAATTGTCACCCACGTTCGACATTCCAACAATGCCGCTGGAATCACAGGGGTATTTGTGATAAGGATAGCTTTGCTTCACCTTGCAATTATTGTCAGGGCGATCATGGCGGTCCCCACCTCCGCCATTTCCTCTATCTTCGAGGGAAAAACCTTCGGCATCCGCCACGGGGCTTGCCGTTGCCATTTGCGAAGCAAGCGGAAGTAGGGCAGCAAGAATGTAGAGGAAAGACTTCATATTGGAATATAGTCAATAATTGAAAAGTTTTGAATTGGAAGTTTGAATGTATGAACCCATCAACCTTTGTTAGTGAAGGAAACCCAGAAGAGAACCTTCGGAGTCCTTTAAATATTGCTTCCAGGCAATTTCCGGAGTCACAACCTTGGAAGGACAATAGTGAAGTTGTCATCGATAAAGCCCAGGGTTGAATGCACACCTGACGGGCATTGGCTATCTACATCATCGATAAATTATACAGGATCTATCTGTTGTAGTGCAAATACCAGCCACAGTTCAGACAAACCTTGGGAGGCAAGCCGGCGCAACCGGGGAACACTGAATGTGATCAATAATATACCAGATTAGTGATGCCACCAAGTTCTTGGCGTGTATCAAATCCCTCATCTCCAGCTGTACGAATCCTCAGTGAAACAGATGACTGCAGAATTTGAAGACCTAGACCAGAATCAGCCGGATTACAAAGGCCTACTTTCGCCAGGTATACGAGCAATAAGACATGCCTGATCAAGAATAGAATTCTGGGCTTTGGATCGATCGCCATCATCTCCTTGGCTTTCGCGAACCAGTTCAATTTGAGTTGGAACAGGCTCAGCCATGGCATAGATTCAGAGCCAACACAACTAAAATTGGCTTTTGAGCTAAGTGTTCGTGTTGACAAGGTTCCAAGCAAAACAACCTACGCCCATACGTGGCTTGGCATGACTTGGCGTTTGTCAATGCATCTCAAAATGAGCCATCGGCCTGTGTATTGGCAAGCGCTGAGAAAAACCCGCAATCGACGGAAAGCTTGCTTCTCTATGTTGCAAATATTTCGTTGGTGAACCGAAAGATTGTCTACAGTGATTCATGCCATGAAAACTTGGATAATATCTCTAAATAGACTACGAAATCACGCTTCAAAAGAATACCGGTACATCCCGTGGCGGAGCGGAATTTATTCCAGCTGTAAAAACAGGTTTCTTAGACCTCGAGATTCAAGCAACGCCAAGTACTAAAACTTGGCGGTGGTGATACTGAGCGGCGGACCGCCATATGCGAGAGAGAGAGCGAGGGCGAGCGAGAACCGCACCAGAGAGTGTTCTTGTAGGGATACGAGGCTGAACCAAGCGAGATCGACCCACGGCAATGCCATAGAACCACTCATTCAACAGATCACCACCAGATACGACGCATTCCAGCGCCTCACCAGTTGTGATTGGTCACTATTTTTGGAAATCATTTGTCTCGTATAGGTGCGAAGCTCTGAGAATCCCCAACTAGGTCTATGGACGTTAGGAATGTGATACAGCGTGAAGAATTACTGTCACGCATAGGCGTGTATACATTTAACTGGATAAGTCGCAATTTATTCTTCCTGGGCTTCAATAAACATGGCGCATTGTTTAGGCTCCGACCGGTTTTCGCTATTCTAAAGTGTTCCTCTCGTCTCCGCTTTCGTTCTAGAGTCTGCTTTCCCTACGAGCAAGACCTTGAAAAATCGATCGCCCGCTCTGTCATTCGTACATCACTATGGCCTAAGACCCAGCAAGGATTAGTTGTGCACATGTTGACAGAGTAAAAAAGATAGATTCTGTGTTCGTAAGAAGAGTGTGTCAGGAACTCGTTCTGACTACCTAATAAAGACGAAGGTCATGTGACTTGCTTAGGTGGACCGGGTGGACCACCCACTTTATCACCTGATCGCCTACACTCTCCAGTTTTGAAGATAGACAATCAAATACATTCTCATCGTAGCTCCTTCCTTAATAATATCTGGCCATTTACGTCCTGTTTTATAAAAGCCTTATCCTATTATAAATCCCATCGCCAATTGAAGAAACGAGAGCAAAGTGAAATCAGTGTATTACTGGCCCTTTAAAAAGTGAAACCCATAGTCCTGCTTTGGTACTGGGGCTGAGCAAATCCTACATGTGGATGTGGAGGCGGCTCATAAATGCTGAACCAGGCAGAGGTGATGGAGAGATTCTTAGTTGCGCTGTAGATCCTAAGCATCTGCCAGACGTTGACAAGCTGACAACCCCCTATTTTGAGTGGAAATGTCACCTCATCCTCGGTTCCATAGCAAGAGGACAGACAGATAGAAGACGTCACGTGATGTACTCATGGTGCTGTATTTCTGCTATCGTATAACTCAAAGCTTATACTCCTTTCTATTCTCTTATCTCGAGGAAGACCAATTATCTTCTAGGTACTGCGAGCTAGCCATGTCGGAACGATTGGGTTTGGGAACGTTGACATGGTCAGCAAGCAACATATGTCCACTATTTCATCTGCTGCCAATACTCGATCTTAATTTCTAGCACGCAGGAATGGTCTATATTCCGCGACCCGCGTAGGCTCCAATATTTGGCTTTCCATTTGAGATTTCAGCTCCCCAAAAGTCCTTTCCACCGTCATCATCAACAATTGTCCCTTTCTGCAAGGCTTCGCTCCCTTTTTGGAGCTTGTAACCATTCAAACCCTCCAAGGTGCTGCTGTTTTGCCCTGCTTCCACGAAGTCCGGGCTCCCTTGGATTTTTAGCCATGAAGGCAATTTCATGTTCTGGTACAGATTTGTCTGGTAATCAACGTTCGCGCCAAACGGAAGAGTGGAGTTCTCGGTCGCCACAACAATATTGTTCCAAAAATTGGTTGAAGGTGGCAAATGAAGTTCGAGGTCTTTGTTGGGGCAATAGACGACATTATTGTAGAACCACAGAGTTGGAGCATCACCATTGCTATAAATCCGGCAGTCGTTTTCAAAAATGTTATATCTGACAATCTGTGTAGCACCGCCAGGGGAGGTGCCACATCCGTCACAGTTAAGGAAGATTCCCCCGGCGTTATCGTGGCTGTAATTGTACTCGACTGTGCATGTTCCGGTATTCCCCCAGTCGCAGTCGAAAGCTTCGCTATCAATCTCAGACATAACAGATCCATACACAATATTGTATCGCATTACCGCATTGTAGCATCCGAGCACCCAGATGCCAGCGAAATTTCCACCGGAGTAGGGATATGTTCCATAACCAAGGTCTCCAGCAACGTTATGGTCAATCAAAGGCGATATCGCATAGGAGACAACAATACCGTCTCCACCAACTTGTTCAATGGTATTGTCGTGCACTCGTAGATTTTTACCCTGATTATTGAGTTGGCCAAGGCGCACCTTGATACCACCCCCGCCACAGTTGGACATATTGTTACCATATATCTCAACATCATCATAGCGGGAATAGTTCGTGGTCCCTTGGAGTAAAATGCATGCTGAGTTGCTGTAGTCGCTTGAATAGAGCCGTTTGTTTGTATTTCCAGCAACGTTATCGATTTGTAAATTTTTGATTGTAATCCCAGCGTGGATGCGACCGTCAGTGGCCTCCACATCAATACCCTGGCGTCGACTTTCTTCCTCGGCCGCGTTTGTGAGAAAAAGATCAGACACAATCCAGTAATCGACATTTAGAAGGTAGACGGTCGCATTGAATTGACCTTCCGCATCAATCACAGGAAGACCCCCGTCGCCATATCGACTGATAGTGATAGGATAATCCTTCGTGCCGCTGCCCTGGGGCACCAGTTGACCAGTGCAGTTAACCTCTGATTTGAAGAGAAGTTTATCACCGGGACTGAAGGTGAAATCATTGACTAGGGACAATGACGTGTAGGGATGGGCTTGTGAGCCATTCCCAGAGCCGTTTCCAGAACAGTCAACATAGATCGATTTAGCCGATGCAAATGACGAACCTGCCAGCAACACTGCCAGGAGACCAAGTTGAGCTTTCATTCTTGAGTTGTCTTTGTGTAAAGGATGATTTTCATGGGTTTGTTTTTGGTGGTTTATATGGCTATGAAGGCTGTTGATATACACATAGCTGGAAGTATTTCAAAGATGCCTAAAGTATACAGTGTAACCTTACTCACATCTCGGTCTGATAAGACCACTTTGGATCTCAATCATTGTAACCCATACTTACAGTCGCGTCTCTGTGGCTCATTCTTTTCTTGTATTTGCGCCAAGAACACTCCGCATATTCAAATGAAACCATCCCCGCTCGTGGCTGGGTGTTCACTGAAAAGCTTTCAACGCGATTGGATATCAGATACGTGGGGCTGTTTTTAAATGATGAATTGTTCCCCACAATCGATAGAGTGTGCACGCGGCAGTGTACGGAACTTAATCTGCCTCGGTAATCTAGAGAGATAAGAAGTGCCGTCGGCATTAATTACCCCATCTGGGAAGATAAGAATCCTGGAAAGTAGTCAATACGACCCAGCCATTCGCTTAGTGGAATTAAAGTTGGTGCTCCCTTAGGAAGCAACTTTATCATGTTGATATTCATCTCTGCGTACCTGGGAGTTCTTGAATATCACTGTTCCATTCCATCTTCAAATCTGTATAAGTCAATCACCTGTATCTTCGCGCGCCATGTAGATAGACCTCGTTCCTTTCTCAAGCCACATCTTTGTGATCATACCGTCCCACTACGATCCACACGTAGATTCGTAGAACTACCACGTTCCTGATTGATGTCCAGGGCGGTTTGAGGTAGCAATATGACGTACGTAGTGTTTGAGTAGTCAGATGATGAGATGTTTGAGATATAAATATGCCAGTGCTCTGTGCTTTTCTTTTTTTGCCTTATTGGAGTGACAGCTTATTCTCACACCCATTTCATTCAAATCAAGCATATCCTCCCACAATGAGGCTTATCCCTATTCTGAGTATCACCTCGTCTTTTTTGATTAGGACTGCAGCCACCGCTCGCTCCGGATCTGAAATATCCAACCCCGACAGGGCTTTTTGAACGTCGTTCGACATGGGTCCATCCCGGTGTGATGATTAGCCAGGACCAGATCGATTATTTTAAATCAGAAGTGGCTGCCTCTTCGTCGCCTTGGCTTGCGGCTTATGACCAGCTTCTTGACCAAACCGCAGTCGCCAATGCAACATATACGCCCTCACCAGTACCAACCGTTGTCTGTGGATCGTACAGCATCCCAGATGTTGGATGTTCCGCCGAACGCGAAGATTCTCTTGCAGCGTATGCCAATGCCTTAGCGTGGGTTGTTAGTGAAGAGCAGTCGTATGCAGATAGAGCTATTGACATTATGAATTCTTGGTCATCGACTGTCCTGACTCATAACGATTCCAATGCTCCCATTCAGTCCGGCTGGGTCGGGTCAGTCTGGGCTCGAACGGGAGAGCTTATTCGTTATTCTGATGCTGGCTGGAGTACTAGTGAGATCGATGATTTTGAGGTAATGTTGCGCACAGCCTATATGCCATTGGTGATTGGTGGTTCAACTTACAACGGAAATTGGGAGCTAGGTTGGTGAAGGCACTCGTCACTTCCAAGACGCGGTCACTAATACAGGTTGCAACAGTCATGACAGAAGCTGCGATGTTTATGGGTGTATTCCTTGAGAACTCTACTGCATACAACACTGCCATGGACCTCTTCGAAGCTCGCGTTCCTGCCTATATCTATTTGACTTCTGACGGCTCGTTGCCCGTTTACCCTCGAGGTATCAGTACCGAGGCTGCACTGATCAGCTATTGGGAGGGTCAGAGCACGTTTCAGGCCAGCGGTATGGCGCAAGAAACATGCAGAGATCTGGAGCATACGGGATATGGGCTAGCATCGATCGCACATGTGTCAGAGATGTCACGCATCCAAGGCACGGATTTATACCAGACTTCGATTGGGACTCGTCTTCAAGCAGCCCTGGAGTTCCACACGCAGTTTTTGGAAGGTATTGATGTCCCTTCGTGGCTCTGTAGCGGCACCCTCGACCTTACCTTACTCTCCACCACGGAAATTGGATTCAATGCATTTGCGACAAGAATGGATTACAACAATTTGACATATACGAACGAGTGGACCGTATCACGCCGACCAGCCGGGAGTAACGGACTTTTCGTGGCATTTGAAACTCTCACTCATGCTAATAACCCTTATTAAGCGTATGGCATTGCGAGCTGGATTAAATGCATGAACAAGATCTTTTTCTCGTCCCGCAGCATTTATATTGTATGAGAATATAAATCAGCTTTGCTATATTTCATCCTGCTTCTCGTTCTTGTGACTAGGTCGTCTAGTTCTTACTCTTTGTGCCCATCTGGGTTGAAGGACGAGTCTCATTAAATTTCCTGCATCAATTTACCTCTCAACCTGTGCAGTCGAGGATGTTTGAAAGGTTAACTCGAACTCGCATTTCTTGCAGCCCCCAGCCCATGCATACCGAAGGGCGGCTCGCCTTCGCATTCTTTGTCTCCACCAGGATTCAAGCGCACATTGGGTATAGATGGAGTGGCTGAGTGGAGAGGAAACGGATGGTCCGAAACTGCCCATGATCTGCGATGATAGGCCACCGTGTAAATGGCTCGCTCCACTTTTGGCCCCACCTCGGGTATTGTGATTGACGACCGATGATTACTCACATTGCGATTAGTCCAGTTGGGTGAGTTGTGTCACTACACTTGCTGCGAAATATAGCTCCGTAGCTAGTAGCGTATCAACCGTTTGCTGGGTTATCAAATATTCTTGAGGATAATTGCTGTAGTATGTCAACATCGCTGGCCTGGTCATCTCTGAAGATCGTCCAAACCGTGCTACGATCGGGATTATCGAAAACAGGGGTTCCCCACCAATGATTCCAAGGTTTGCCGGGGCTGAAAGAACAAATGATGTATCATTTAGCCGTCTCATCACATATCACACCGCTACTTATATGGCGCTCCTAGCTACAAGTATTTACTCGGTGCTGAGCTGCAAGGGCCAATGCATCTCGCCCTAGATTATCATGCCTTATGTTTACATTACTATTTATGTTGACGGTAACATTCGAGCGCTGGTCATAATATCGCTATTAACTTGCTTGAAAATAATGCTTTAACCAGAGTCTGACAAGAATAAACAATCCGCATTTAGTTTTACATTATCAGATCACTTGATCAACCCGTCCCGGTGACTCTATAACATCCAGCATACTCCGAACAAGAGCCAACAAAAGCAATTCTAATAGAAACCGTATTCTGCATCTCGTCCCACATAACTTGAATACATAAATAGAGCTACAAGCAACTAAAAGAATACATTTCTAGTCCTTCGTCTTGTCACTGCTCACGTTACCTGCTGAGTAGGTCAACAACGGTAAGTTCGCCAGGAATGGTCCTTGAGCCCTCAGCTGGTAGTACTTGCGTCTCGATTTTTGATCTAGTAGACCAAGTGTGACTTACAATTCCTGTTTCGCGGTAGCACATCTGTGTAGCTCATGCAGTGACTAAATCAATAAAATACACATAAGAATACAAAGAAATACTATCCCTTGCGTCTTTAAACTGATGAGTCTTCCAGCGCCGATCCTAGTCGTGGCGATGTTTCACTGCAGTATTTTGCATTTGATCGACATGGTCATGGAGATCTAAGACTATTGGAAGGCCGGCTAGTCGGGCCCTAAATACCCTCATCACCCGCTGGCTGTTCTACGCATTGCTCACTTGACTCAAAGCTTCACGCATCAAAACTCTCCAATACCCACTACACATACACCGGAAATCATGACACGACCGTATCTTTTACTCGGTTTGCTTGCTGCTCTCTGTCACCAGGTTTGTGGGGTGGCATTCAATGATAGAATCAAGCAAGATGTTGGTGGTGTATCTCTTGCATTACTCCATGATGTTGGGGATCCAACGTCGGTGAAGTTTGGCGTCCCGCCCGATTTCGACAGTCAAGCCTGGCAGTTTAACACTGAGGGCTTTAATGATGATGAAGCTGTCATCACGCCCCTCAATTCTTCCAAAACCCTCGTATGCGAGATGGATAGTAAATGCAGGCTGGATCTTGGAGAATCAAAACAAGCCTATCGGGTCACTAGAGCCAATGGAAAGGGAGCGCTTTTCACGTTTCAAGACCTTTCTACTTCGCTCTATGTATCTCGAACTTCCGGCCAGTCCCTGGAGCTCACTGATGTCAATTCTGACTCCATCTATTTTCAATTGGAGGCAATCCGAGGTAAGGATATTCACTGTTAATGTGATACCTCAATAGGAGCTGACATGAACTTCTAACCTAGCTCTACATCAAGAAATCTAGGTAATGAAGGCTAGGTTTTTGTAAAACTTATATCCGCAGCCTTTGTGGGGAGCGTCGTGAAGGTTGATATTTCGGGGTCTCGGGAACCAAATCTAGTGGGAAATAAGATGTATGGTTGCAGAAGGGCTATTTCTTTCTCGATCGCGACTGGTATGTTTCCGTCATTTACTTGAGCTTCATTTCCTCTTCTTCTTCATTACTGCATTCAAAATAACACAGAAGTAACCTTGTGCTTTGCTACAATCGCCATTGAGGCTCGTATAAACCACTTTATTAGTCTTCACCTAGATATCTATTAAACTTGCGGTAAATTTCCGAGCACTAGTTCTCAGATTTTCACCTTCGCCACCTCCAATCCCAGTCGGAAGTCGAAAATTTCTCTATCTGCCATTTCGAATCCAGATGCCGTCACATTAGAAACTTGGCGGTCATTCAAGATAGATTAGAAACTCCGAGAACGATCATGGCGTTTAAAGTCTCGTCATCATGCTTTGCAAAAATAGCAAACAACCACGCCTTATGATCCCAAGCTATCATTGTCCAGTCTATTATGGAGGATGATAGGTTCATGATGGGCGCCCTTAGTTATGAGGCTGTCGCGGTTCTAATATGCCGAAGTCGCGCAATCCCGAGGACTCTTGTAGATCGTGGTCTCGTTTTGTATGAATGGCGAGGAGCCCCATTGTCTCCATGGCTTGACCTAACTTGGAGTGCATTATTCTCGAGCGTTAGTCAAGATCTTGCCGTTCGGGTATTATAGGTACTGTGGTCATATCCTTAGTTCTCAAGTCATACTTGCCTTGATACTATAACGAGTGGATTAGGGAATCTCTCTTTACTATGGAAGCACATACAAAATAGACATAAGCGTATAATGGGGAGTTACTGGTATTGAAATCATTACGTCACGAACCAGGAACAATTCGAAACTTTCGTTACAAGAGGCATACTGCAGTTATGACTTTAGGCATTATTGTTTCCATGAGTGAGCTTCCTAGTTGGGAATGCGCACCTCTATATTAAACTGAAATAATTGAGCATTCTGAAAAGTCGCATATTGATCTAGACACATGTTTTTTTTAGTCCTTTGTTTGTTGACTGAGCAAGTCAAGTCTGAGCTTGGCATTACCATGTCGGCTTGCAGGGAAATGGCACAACGTCATCATAGAGTTAGGAACAAATTCCCCTATTATATGACACACCTCTTTTCAAAATGGCGAGAGTCTTTCATAAAGTGCCGATGGCTGTTTCATGCATAGACACTAGCCGTGATTTTTGAGTCCCCTCTAAGATGAATGTCCTGTTTACCAATGTGTGACAAAGGTCTCCAGAGATTCGCGAACTTTCGTGAGAGCAGACGAACCCTCGCCACTTGGTGCATCGTAGTCAATGGCGAAGACAGTCACGGCACTTTTGCAGGTAGTATAGGTGAGGTTGGTCTCTGAGGGAAGATAGCAATCACCATTTATGCAGACATCCAGCGCGGGTGCCGAGGTAATCTCGCGCTCTGTAAAAGAGTCCAGTAGCCTCGTTGTATGTGACACCAAGGGTCCATGCTCCTCCAGTCATGCGAGTATGAATGAACGGAGGGTTGATACATTCATCCGAGGTCGCTGATGTAATGTCTGGCATATTGACGTTAATTCCGTAACCAAGAGGCAGGACCCGCCCTCCCTTCGTTTTCTTGATTAGATCATTCGCAAATGTCGCTGACAGCTCGCCTGCAATAGTCTGAGGGTCTTTAAGACCGACAGAAGTTGTAGCATTGACGTTTTTGTAAGATGCAGATGCTGAGTTTGCTGCCGAAAAGGCGATGGCGGGTATTCCCCGGCCAATAGCATAGTATGTAGCACCGATAGTGCCGGAGCTAGTAAAGGCAAATCCACCAACATTGTCGCCGTAGTTAGGTCCTGATATCACAAGATCTGGACTTGAAACTCCAAATTTGGGGAGAACATAGTCAATTCCAACAGAGGCGGCCGCAACAGGGCTACCGTCGTAGTACCAGATGTGATCGTCCAGAGGGTCTGGACCGACCGATGGAGCACCAGCTTTAACAAGGCCTACGCAGGGTCAGAAAACTGTCAATTTTAACAGATGAGAAATCGGCTCACCAAACTCGGTATCTTCAGTCAGGTTAGCTGTAGTAGCATATGCCAGTGATCCGCCCTTGCCGCTCTGGTCCGTAGCGGGGGCGACGATAAAAACGATATGCCCGTAAGCCTTCATGGCCTTGTACATTTCCCTGATATTACCCGTTCCGAAGCCATCATCATTCTACAGACTGGTCAGAAAGATTCTGTTTCAGTACTGAATTTCCCGTAGCGCTTACAGTTATAAGGATATTGGCCCCATTGACGACAGAGAAGAAAGTGGCGAGCACAGCAGCGCTCGATGAAAATGTCAAGAGATACATCTCCGAGCTGATTTGATTTGATTTGACAGGCGATGTAGGAAGGAAACCAGATACAATTAAAAGATGGATGATGTAAGTCGTTGTGCAACAATGCTCTTGGGCCGATATTTATATGTAGATTAATTATTAGCACCTTATTGTTCCTCCGAGGTGAATGCTCTAGCCATGCTGCCAATAAACCACTAGCAGCGATAGCGAATAGTGATAAATATAAAAATTGAGCTTGCTCCCACCGTGCTCACGAGAGGACATGGCATTGGTCTCAACTTTTGCTGCGATTCGAAGTATCCGATAGATTGTATGACTAAGTCAAGACACGAACATAGAAATGTTCAGCTATGCTGGCACGTGGTGTATAAAAGAGCGCGATCAAGCGAAATTACCTGCTGAATGCTTCCAGCTGGGGAAGAGCATACTGAGGGGGGGGATAAGGGTTAAGTTCGACTCTGCCGAGCATCGTGCCTGGGTGAGGACACGACATTGGTCTGAGTTTTGCCGAGTTCAAAGTTTTCCGAGGCTAGAGAACCGAGCCAAGAACCAAATAGTGGGGCTGGTCATTGTAGCTGCATTTGGTGTATGCACTAATGTCCGGGGTAGCGTAGCTTTACTCCGGAGACCTCCCTTAGGTCACAGGGACGTGCTAAGCTATGTGCTATGGCATTTTGAAACAAAATTTGTGCTACCGTAGCAAGGGAATTAAGCAGAAGCGACCGAGCTTGCCAGTCTAATTGACGCACTCCCGGCCTGTGGAGTGGGCTACTTCTTCTGGTGTCTCATCGCAGGGGCTGTGCTAAGCGATTTCCTAGGGGGCGAACGGGGGGTTGAGGGGCCATCACTCCTCGCCTACTGTAATGTAGACAGGGCAAGCACCTGAAAACACAATACAAAAGTAACCCAGGAGAGAAACCTGTGTATTGGTTATTGGCGTTCGCCATTCGATTAGCGTGCGGAATTCCGCGCGCTAGTTAAATAATTCTAAGCTTAGAAATACTGTAGGTACAAAACCCCCTTTTCTAACCACCTTTGGTTAGCGCATATTATATAAGCGAACATCAGCATTCTAGTTAATACGTATCGATAACTCATTTCATTAGGGGATCGCCAACCCAAGGTAGAACCCACGATGAGCTCCTTATTTGCAACAGCTTCAATATGCGCGATTGTAGCCCAGATAAAAATCCTTAAAAAGTGTGTTTTTTTCTCGTTCTGGGTAATTTGATGCCAGAAGGAGGTGCTTTGCCGCTGGCCGGAATTGCACCCATGCACCACTCCATTCAATGTATTGCAAATATTTCTCCAACCCCTAGAATGCGCATTTTGGAGTCAGCTCTATGTTTGAGCATACTTATTCCACTAGTTCAAAACTTTCAAAAGATGGATCCTTAGAGCAGATCAAATGGTATAACTGCTTGATATTCCCGAAATAAAAGTGCCAGACGATGCCAAGTGGGGGAGAGTGACCACCAAGCACGTTGGCGATCCTCTGCAAGAAAGATCCAACAATATTACTGGTCTCAATAATGGAGAAATTGCAAAGGCAGCTATCGGATATCCGCTCGGAGACCTGCTGCCGGCCTCCTATCACAGTTTCAGCTTCTCTGGGTTACGTGGTTTTCCTATCCTGGCATGGTCTTGTATTCCTCTGCCCGTCCAACGTTCCCTCAGTCCTTATTGAAGATACCTGGCCAGACCTAAGATGCGCATGGTGTGCCATCTTGGTAAATATCTATGTCTCAAAAATGTCCTGAATCGCCCCTGACTTCCAAGTTGGCGGAAGTTGCTGTCAGCGCTAAGTATTGATTGGCTAACTGGGTGACTGGTTAGGATGGAGGTGGTTTTTCATTATAGGAATGGCCATTGCCACAAATGGGATCTAGTGCGTTATTGCATTTGTGCATAAACCTCCATTAACTAATGCTTCAGTCATATCGGGCACAGCAACTAATCACAGTCTTGAAAGTTGGCAGTTTAACTACCAGCATTGGGCTCGGTGTCAAGCAATCCTACGATATAGTTATCTTTGGTTTAATCCCAAACCAATATTGTGGCGTCGGTATTACTCCAATCTCGTTTGAAACAGTACCCCTAGCGGCCCTCAGTCCAAAGTATATGTGCAATTTCACTCCCCATGCAGGTGCGGGTTGGAGATTGACTTATCATCTTGAGATCATAAAAAGTGATGTCAACAATGTTATTCTAATTATGCTATCCCACCAACATACACTATGCTATACGCACGGCTCGCAAAAACCCCCAGATCGAAGATATTTAGTTTTTAGGAGCCACTGTTTTCGCGGGCGAATTGATGCTCCTATTATTTGGCATGATTTAGGGAGGGGAATATTAACCATGGAAATCAGGAAGATTTATTGCCGTCTTCAAGCGCTCGGCTCTTCATGTCAGACACAAAGCTCACGAAATGTTGCGGTATCCCGTCGCCATGATGAGAGCATGGACTTAAATAAGACACATTGCTACATTCATCAAACCACGGCTTTCGGCGCTCATAAATTTCTTGTATGTCTTGTGGAAATTGATGACGAGTCTTATCCGCAAGGAGATATTCGGCTACTTGTTTCATATCACGATGGACCAGAAGAACGATGCCCTTGTTGTGCCACTCTTTCAGCAAGCGGCGTGCCTCTTCTGTTTCGACAATACCACCTCCGCATGAGACGACATGACTTCGTGGCTTTGTTCTCATTATCTCTTTCAGAGCGGCGACCTCGAGGGGTCGGAAATGTGCCCAGCCAAAGCGCCGGATCAATTCGGCAGATTTAATTTCATTTTGTTCTGCAACCATCTCGTCAAGGTCGACAAAGGTCCAGGACAACAATTCCGCAAGCCACTTGCCCATTGTCGTCTTGCCTGTTCCCCTCATCCCAATGATAAAAATAGATTGATGGTTTGCCATATTATCATGAGGGGCAGACTTTGACCAAAACTTGCTTTTTGTAGAGAAATTTTGGTAGTTGCTCATTTCGAAGTTCAGTACGAATGAACTTTAAATACTGACGAACCGACCGTGTCTCGGCCGGCAGTGAGTACCTAACGAGGTTTCAATGACAAGATCAAGATCTGACAAAGGAGGATAGAAAGTTTGAATAATTGGCCGGGGGTGGTAGTGATTTGGCGGGCAGGGTGGTTATCCCTGGCGAGTATTGAAAATTCAGATGGAGCTATGTTCTGACTCAACAGCTGCGGACTAATGATCGGCAATCTCAGCTTTTTACAATCCGACCCACTCGGATAAAGATACGGCCATAGAAATGACGTCATTTAACGTCAAAAGGCAGGTATCATTTTTAATAGTTTCAAACCTTGCTTCTACTAAGGAGTTCATATTTATCAAGAAACGGTAGCAATAATTTGATCAGCCATGATTACTAGGAAGAGATTGGGAAGAGCTCCGTGAGAGGAGAAGGCCAAAATCTCAGTGCTACTTATACGTCCGACCGCTGTGTTTTTATTTATGTATTCAGATTATCGCTATAACCATAGGTTAGTAGTGGCCCACCATGTTAGGAATATAGGCAGTAAGCATATCTCTCCTAGCAGGGTGGCTGTCACAACTATGAAATAATTACCAGTGTCATGAGCAATACCAGAGTAAGAAGATTCCCAGCAGCATTCATTGATTAAGGCTTGGGCAACGCCATGGATGTCCGCAGCATTAGGAGCCGTGCCTTCAGGAAAGGAAACCATGTGAGGATGCAGCCGCCGGAAGTCCATTTTGTAACATTGTTACCAGAAAGAGATTCTGACGTTGGCATTTGATTGAATGCTGCTATGCAGTCGGAGCCTTTTGCTTACAAGTAGGTAGCGCACTTGGTAACTTCAGCCGCGTCGATACCAAGTTCGAAACAATGAAAGAAATCTCTAGTGAGAACTCATGAGGTCGTTAGTGTATTCGTCTTTCACGGGCATGTAGCCGTGTGTGTCTTCGCGGACGTACTCTTAGTAGCCGGTGAAGTCTCCATTGGCGATGACTTAGGAGAAGAAGTAGTGGGCGGATGCGTGGGAGAGGAGGCCCAAGGACGCAAAAGTGCTCAGCATGAAGCTCTTCATAATCAGTGGGAAGAGCGAGAAATAGGAATGACAAAAAGAATGTGAAAAGTTCCGAAAAGCCACCAGGGCTTGAAACGTCTGAATATGAAAGGAAAGATACTGAATTCATGATTCAGCTTCGTTGGATAAGTTTTGATACTTGTATGGACGCCTGCAAGGCTTGATAGTTACCCCGAATGCCATTTCTTTCGTCTCGGAATTGGTACACATAGGGTTGAGAATGACTGTCCCTGCATGTGTTTAGAGCGAAAGATGAAACAATATCTCCTGTGTTTCTGGTCAATTGGTGTGCCTAGCCCCATAGCTGAGCTTGACAGCCTCAGGGGTATTGCTTCGTGTCGGTCCCTGAAGGTTCGCCGGCACAAAAGTGCACATGTTTGCATAACACGAGTCATAAGGCGAACAGTCGATCCAAAGATCTCCGGGGCTTAAAGTGAATACCCACAACTCCCGGAGATGATACAACGTCGTAGTTTAGAGTGGAACCCTCGTCAATCCCTGTCCCGCTTCGGCAGTTGGTAATGCCCTGCAAAGGGTTGTAAGGGTAGCCCGCCTCGGTATTATTGGGCTGTCCGGGTTTCGAGCACGAGGGCCAGGCAACTTCGACGCTACACACCGGGAGGCGGATATAGCCAGGGGTGGTAATGTCCTGGTTGATAGGTCTTGCAGCATCTGCACGTCCATAGAATCGGCAATGGGTCCTCCGTTGGCGTTGCCGTTCGCGCCAAAGGTGTTGACAGATCCCTCGATGAGGTCAGCCAGAGTAACGCCTCCCCAGTTTGTACCACTGAGGCTGTCTAGACCTGGCGGGGCAGTGAAGTAGCTCAGGGTGCACGAATCAAGGCTATCGGTGCAGCCGCCCAAGTGCCATCGGGGTAGACCAGATAGTACAAATTACCATTGTAGTAGCGTACGTAGGTGGACTCCTAGGTGTCGGCGGTCATGTAGTCGGACAGTGGGTTCTGTGCGCTGCATGGATAGCCCGAGTCAATGATGAAGGCGGGAGTACCTACGACGTCCCACACGGCCGGAATAGCGAACCCGAAGAGAGCTTTGCTGATGAAACCCGCGACGGCGGAGGTTGTTTGCTTGTCTGTAGTGGAACTGATGGTTGATGATGATCCATTGACACCGCTCGGGACGAAATTACCATTGGCAATAATGGTGGTCAACTGAGTGATGGAGGTGTCAGTGCCATTGAACAAACACCAGAGTGCATTATCGGAGGTTGAACTCCAGCCTGCCATTACAGAGCCTATAGTGGCAGTGAAGTTCTTTTGAGCTGCCGCTGTCCATGTACCACTACAAAATTCTCGTCAGTAAGTTGACCTCGTCGATATAGACCCAAAATTTGCATGAATGGATCTCAGGTTCTGAGATATGAAAGGGAATGATGATAGTACTTACGGGGCATCGTCAGGGAGTGCAGCGGAAGTATCAGAGGCTCCGAACGCGATGGTGGCATAGGTGATATCTTGGGCGGTTTGAGCGCCCTCATCTCCCAAAGCAACAAGAGCCGGTAGAGCTCCGAAAACTATGAGGTGTCAGTATGTGCGGGCGCCATAATTAAAAAACCTCAAGCAAGAATGCAACGTGAGGATTTCAAATTGGAAACTTACCTCCATCGAAGAATGGCGCAGCGACCGCAGTGAGACCGAGACCTACCATGGAGATGAAGATCACTAACCACTCGTCACTGGGAGCCGGAGGCACCGGAGCGAAAGTGTCCTCAAATTCATCGAGCTGGTCGTCGATGTATAATGCAGCGGCTTCAGTGATAGCGTCTACAAATTGGGGTACGGGTTTAAAGGGTATGTAGACGGTAAATTAAACTTTAAAAAAGGACTTTTTACTAAGATATTTGCTAAATATTTTGTTTTAACACTTAGATGTTCGTTTCATCTCTTTTCCGCCTGGTTGATGAGTTTCTGTCAGCAAATTCCATCATAATGGCACGCGTTTCCAGACACGACCAGAGAGGAAGCAGGGAACTCACCGCGTTGATAAGCGAGAAAGAATTATAAATAAGCATGGCGGCGGGCCCCGAATCACCTGTACCCTCACCGAAGCCTTCAAAGTCCGCGCACTCTTTGGTGTCGCACTCGCCATTTCTTTTTCCACAGTTAATCGAGCTACTGAGATGCCAAGTGAACATGAGGGATTCACAGAAATCGCTCTCGGTACTTCCAAGTTTCGGCTCATCGATAGTCTTCCAGACATTAATGGTGTCTGACGAAGCGTTAGAAGCGTCCAGTTCTGACCATTGCTGCGCGGATGAAATGAACAGATCATCTTGTATAGCAGGACCAATACAAGTGAGAGTAGTCCAATTGCCTGTTCGTTTGCCCTCTTCATAAGGATCTACTTCCAGGAGGACACTGCCAATGAAGCCATTCCAGCTGGTGGAGGTGAAAGGTGCATCATTGTACTCTTGCAAGTCGGTAGCCCAATCGGTCGTACCGCCCATAGCTAGACCCTTGTAGGCAGTTGCTCGTAGAAAGGGGAATTTACTAGTAATCTAGACATGCAGATACACCAAGATCAAACCAAGAGTGAGTGTGATAGGTGTACTGACACCAGGATACTCCCAGTCAATATTTACGCCATCGAGGTCATTATCGTTGATGAAGTCGGCAATATTGGTAGCCATGGTCAAACGATTGGCAGTAGTGACACCATCACGGAAAATCATATAAGTGCCCGGGTCAGTGGAGAAATACCAGCCACCAATTGACAGGATACGCGATGTGCCTACAAGCTGTTTCAACAAGTCGAACTCGTACATGGTGTCGACTGTAGCGTTAGGGATTTGGACCACATAGGATGAAGAGAGCAAACCACAAGCATAATATATGTGTGTGTAAGAGGAGACGTCAAGCTGAAAGACGTCTTGGTAGAGACAAGGTCTCTCCAAGTTGTATCCTTCGTAGTGACCAATACTTCTGTATGTGGCAGGCGGACTACTTAGTACGATATTTGTACCGCAGTTGGAGATAAAACCGTTGGTACCATTGGCCGCGGTTCCAGGGGCACCAGTGCCGGTATTGGTGCAAAAATCCGATGTAGTACCGCACTGAGTTTATCGTTAGCACAAGATCTTTCGAAAGAGTGTCAAATAGAGCGTTGATTGATTCCAGAAATTTACTCACCTGCCCCCAAACGTCATAGCACGCATTAAGAGGGCACTCGTTGAAAGGAAATATTCGTCCCACTTGCAGGAGTGATTGTGCCAGGAGCCTGAGGCCCACAGAGTGCGTTGGCTACAGCGGCGGGCATTGGTGCATCTTCAGTGCTCAGGTAAATGATATTACCGGGGTAGAGGAGACTGCACCCATTCCAAGCCCAGGTGTCGGTGTTATAGTCTTCAATTTCATCCCCCGTGAGGCTATATGCAGCAGCAATTGTGGCACAGTTGTCATTTGCCTGGATGGTATAGGTCGCACAAGTGCCATCGGCTTGCGGCTGAGGAGCAAAGTCCGGCAATGTACCGGCTGAACAGCAAACGTGCTCACCCACCTGCAGGGTAGAGCACTCGTCTGTTGCGGAGTTATATTCAGTGAACTCGGCTGCAGTGATGCCACAAGATACAGCCAAAGAGCCACAGCTATCACTGGACACGACCTGGACGGTGGAACATGTAGTCCGAGGTGCGAGAGCCCTGCGAACAGAGGTCGCGCTGGCATGAGTCGAGGTGGAGTTGGTGATGATCTTGGAGGGAGTGTACAAGGGCGTCAGGAGTGGGACTGTGCCAGTGACATTTTGGACCAGCGGAAATTTCAAGCATTCTGCTTTTGACCATTAAGTGAGAGTGGCCTGTACGGCAGTGAATGTTCCGTTGCCAGTCGCAATCAAGCCGAAGGTGTGATGAGAAGTCTGGTCAGGCTGGCAGAATTGCATGGCCACAGCAGCGGCATGACTAGCACTCGATGTAGCAATATAGCCTTGCAAATAAGCAAGCGCATTGTATGCAATATGTTGGTTCTGTAAGCCTTGACCGATGTAAAGTCCGATCGAGGTGGAGCCAAAGCTGGCAAAGAGAATGGTTGGACGGTTTACGGAACCGAATCCATTGGTCAGATACTGACGGAACTGATTAACGAGTGGAACCAGAGAAGAAGACACATAAAAACCTGGAGCAGAAGGCCAGGATCCAATCTGATATGTGCCATTCACGGGACTTGGGGCTCCTGACGACTGTGAGTCTAGACTCGATGCGTTTGCAGGCAGGTTTCCCCCGTCCGGGCCAAAAGACGTGCAAGTATAGATGCGATGAAAGGCATCGGCATCATCAACGGGATCGAGGAAAGGGAAGGAGTAGAAGAGTGACTCTTGGCACGAGGAGATTTGGTCGAAGTTGTGGTACATAGACCAATTCGCAGGGTTAGGTCCCGATATAGCACATCGGGTTGGACAAGCACTAGATCTGCCTTGGTATCCGGGACTCGCAGGGAGTCGCTGGCTAATGGGCAATTTGACAGCAGGAGATGGAGCAGGAAATGACAAAGTTGCAAGAGTGATATGAAGGAGAGTAAGAAAAGCATTGCGAGGCCTAAACCAGGCAATAGAATTGGCGCACAACATGTGTTACAGTGGAGGGATATCCACACCACACGTTCAAGCTGTGATTAAAGAGAGGAAGAAAACATATGATGAGCTTGTCTAATCTGTAAAAAGTGGTGATGTGAGTATGGACTTTATACCTTTGAAGGATCGAAATTGTAATGAGTGGCTTCGTGAGGACCGCTATCGGAGGTGTGCTTTCGCCCCCAAAAGCGACTCTATATGGATGATTAGCAATTGAATATGCCGTCGTGGAGAATCCGACGACACTACGACGACTTTGGGAAATAACCTCCATAGCCGAGTTGCAACTTGAACTTTTGAAGGATCGTGGCGTTGAATCTTCCAAGCCCTGTTGGAAGTGTACCTGAGCCGTACCGGTACTAGCGTAAGTTATAATACAGCCTCCTGTACCTCACGGTTTTCCCCACGAAATCGAATTTCCCTTCGGGTTTCTCTTTGTCTGTTCCACTTCAAGTCTCCTTTTTTTCGTTTCTTCTTCTTCACCTTCTGGATCCTGAGCCTCGTTACCGTCAATTTGTTCTTTCCTTTCCACACCTCCAGCTTCCTCGGCACTATACGCTCGCAATCTAGACTTCTCCAAGCCGCGCTGATAGCCGGCTGGAGGCCGTTGCCACTGCCAGTTCTAGCGTCTTTGAAGTGGACTTGATATACCCACGCAATGAAACCTTCACTCCCTCACTGCTCATGCCTATGGTGTTTGCGGTTCAGAATCCGGATATGGCTGACCAGCTGGGGGCCTTTATTTATTGGTCATCTTTGGAAGGAGGCAACAGTAGTGCCCCAGGCTCCGTTCCAGGCGGGCTCCTCGAAGTGTCCCCGATGAGCTTGTTGAACGTCTCGACTGATTTTGACAAGCTTACGCTGGACATCCCCGGTTACCCTCTTCTGGTCACCCGTTACCTCGACACCTTTTCCTTCCCCGACGGCACTTGGAATTTTGAATGGACTCTGCAAGTCTATGATTGCACTTCTGGGATCGAAGACCATCAAAACGGCTTGCAGGTGACGAACTACGTCACCTTCAACACCAGCAAATCCGGGAAAGCACCCGATCTTGTGGCAGCAACATCGGCTGGGACGTGCGACACCACGGAAGGCTTTGCGTTCAACGCGATTTCCCTTGAAAATAATTGCGGCGTACTCGAGCCTACTCAAACCACCAACCCGTGCGCTGTCACCATCGATTCGACAGCTGAATCCAGTTTAATGGCATTGGCCACCGCCCAGGCCTGCTCGATTCTACAGCACCCGATAAACCCCAATGTTACCTGTCCGTCTGCAACGCCCTCAAGCAATACTGCAGGTCAATCTCGCACCGCAGCGGCACCGGTATTGCTTATGGTACTAGCCACGCTGGCCACAATGGCCCGTTTTGGATGAGAGAGATATATGCACTGCAATCCTGATATGGAAAAGGACCGCTAGCCTTTCCACCCATGTAGTAGTCCATGTAATAGTCCATGTAATAGTCTATAGTCTTAATATTGGAGTTTAGTACTTTCCTTTCTCCAGGGTAATGAACACCTTTGCTGTATTTTGTAACGTTGCAACCGCCTCCCTGATTACCTAGGTAATATTGTTCTATATAAGTGTGTAAGGCTCACCAGTATAAATTTTGGATCATAAGGTACTGCTAGTACTAGGTAGCCCTGGAGGTAGACCGTAGCGGGACAACGGAAAATCACACTTGTAGGACGAAATAACTGCTATGTACGGTAATATACAGCTTTGAATACTGCAGTACTAGTAATTTCAGGGCGTAATACCATAAATCCGAATCCGAACTTTCCAAATGGTCAAATAGCAAGTCAGACTAGAACTTGCTAACTAGTGAATTACTATGGACCATGTTTCACGAAGAAAACCAATCGGGATGGTAAGATGTGGACTTTTTTGCCAGCATTCGAACTACCTTTTTCCCACAAATAGGCAGCATAGCATCACCCACTTGCGCGGAGATGTACATATCCGCACTAGACTAGATTAGCTTCGAAATCCCCCGGGTTCCCCTGATCCCTAGCCATTTTGCCAATAATGCCTCCCACTGGACTGACAAGGGGGAGGGGGGAAAATTTCGTACCCTGGGAATAGGATGAATTGTTTGTCATAACAATTGGTCGAGCTCGCTTAATATTCAGGCCCCCGGTGTCAGAAGACTGGTTCGACTAAGGTCGCTGCAACGTTGTTTTTACAGCGTTGCAGCGCTACCATTGTTAGTGCATTTGTAGTGCATGTTTAGTATGTTGAGGGGTGCTAGACGGAGTCCCTGATTGAATCCCCTAGACCCTGAGACCCTGGGACCCTGAGAACATTTTTTTCAGCAGAGGCTCAGCCCGGGGCCGTCACGCTACTCCGTAACCTTGGAACCTGAGTATGTATTTAAAGCAACCATTGAGGGAAATCAACTCCTTGCAGAGTCATCACATATGCCTGTGTATTTTTGTGTTCTCGATGGGTCTCTGTTTTTACCGTGTATCCATCCACGGGTGTATCCGAGTACATACGGATCCTGGTCCATACCTAGTGAAGAGGGGAACGCTCGAAGGCAGCACACTCGAGGTGTGCGGGTCGATTCAGCTTGACAAAACAACAAGACCATTAGACGCAGGTTATACGAGAGATCTGTGGTCAGCACCAGTATGTGCACGTAGAGAGAGGTGTAGAAACGTGTTATTCAGTACTATCTCTCTTAGCTGCTAGATATACTACCCGTGCCCAGCATACCAGTGTACTGAAACCGGGCGTCATAGTACAGGTCGGAAAAACCTCTTCCGGTCTATCCTGTAATATCCTGTAATACCAAGTAACAGTCCCCCACCACACTAGGTACTAGTGTACAAGCTAAATAGTAAGGACCAACACGAAGCACAAGGATACGATGTAGTATTATGGAAGTGCGGCAAGGAAGGAAGAAGAGGATCTAAGAGAAGTGAAGCTTAAGTAGTGCAGGAAGGAAGGTACTAGTCCTAATCAGGACATCAACAACTAGTAATAATGCTGTTCTAAGGTTGATGCGGAGGCGGCGGCCCCGGGCGGCCGGGCCCGCTTACACGGTTATAGTACACTATCTCCGAATTGCCAAGCTGTTCACATCTAATTTTCCACGGCTACAAAGCTTCGCAACGGATTCTCCACTCTAAAAGGGCTTCGAAAACGCTTCGGACGCTTAATTGAACCAGAAGAAAATAATCTCCGACATTGCACTCACCACGCTAGCCCTATGCCAAGAGTGCTCTAAGTTTCTGACTAGGCTTCGGCATATGGTGTGGTGCCTATGGGGTGGTGTGGTGTGGGCCCAAAAATGGTGCACCATTTGACTTTGAAATGGGCCCGGGCACCATATGGTGCACCATCTCGGCCCATTTTTATGGATCTAAAATAATGTGTATTTTTCATTATATATGCAGAAATTTTGGTTTTTAAGGGGTAAATTACCACTTTAAATACCTCATATATTATATATGAGGTATTTAAAGTCAGCATAATATGAGGTATTTAAAGTCAGCTTTCAAAGATAAGAAACTCTATGATTCTAGCTAATTTTTTCAATTTTTTAGTTAATTTTAATATATATATAGGGTAGTTGTGACGAAGAAATATATATATGTTGAAAGAGGTGGTGAAGCTATACGTTCTACATATATATATCTCCCCCATTAGTGTAGATTTCTAATCAACCACTTCAAAAATTACCACCCTATATTATACCCAGCCACCATAAATATAGGGCAATCTAGGGTAATATAGTATAATAAGCTTATATTAAGCTATATTATATATAATTATAATAGGTGTGGTAGATTATAGGAGGAAAAGTGGTTACTATACATATATAGACCAGAACGGATTGTAATAAATAGAATGTCTTGGCAAAAAAATACAAAGTCAGGCAGGAATCAGGCAGAATCAGGCAAAATCAGGCATCACATAGGCCCATATGGGGGCCCATGGGCCCCCATATGGGCACACGGATTTTATGGTGTGGTGTGGGCCCTGGAATTTTTAGATGGTGCACCATATGCCGAAGCCTACTTCTGACAACGTGCATCTCTGTGAATTCCTTCAAAATCCCAAAATCCCGCAGTCTATTCCCTTTGGAGACGCTAATGAGCGCAGTATTAGCGTGAAACGGAACTTTGGAGCCTAACACCTGGGCAATATACTGCCTCGTGAAATGGCGCTGCGAGCTCCGGGGACACCTGCACATCCTTCCCCGCTGGTTGGGGTTTGACCTTGGCGACCTTTCAGTCCCTCAACCCAACTGCTGCCTGCCCGACTCTCGTGGTCGGTCAGAGCTATTGCATGGTTGACACGGTTACAGCCGCGACTACGACTACGAGCTCTACGAGCTCTACGTCTTCCACCGCCTCTACGACCTCCACTTCGTCATCGTCGTCCTTAACCTCCACGGTTTTGGTGACCACGACTTCGTCTGCTTCTTACCAGCCTCCACAGACGGGTACGGCTGCCACTTGCAGCCAATTCTACCTCGTTGAGTCGGGCGACTCGTGTGTGATCATCGAGAACTTGTTCGATATCACATCCACCGAGTTCTTCGCCTGGAATCCCTCCCTCCATCAACTCCGGTAAGTCCCATTCTTCTGAATTACCTGTGCTCATCAGCACCAAGCGAGAGAGAGAGAGAGAAAAAGAAAGAGCCCGTCACTAACCAATCCCGCAGATTGCACCAACATCCTAGCTGGCTACTTCTACTGCCACCCTGGGCTTGGGCTACTACATCTGCGTGGACATTATCGGCAACACGGCGACTGCCACCACGACGACCTCGGCTGGTAACGGAATCACAAGCCCCACGCCTTTTGAGCCTGGTATGGTTAGCGACTGCAATAAGTTCTACTTCGTTGTCTCTGATGACACGTGTTCGGGTATTGCTACTAGCCAGGGTATTACGGTTGCTGATATTGAGCTGTGGAACCCGCAGGTTGGTACTGCTTGCACTGATATCTGGTTGAGTGATTATATCTGTGTGGGTGTTCGAAAAGCGTCTGTGGAGAATGCGAAAGTATAGCTGTCCGTGGATTAAGGATGTACATGTGTTGGAATCCTGCCCAGGTGAATGACTGTTTATGTGAATAGCTGAGGTCTATGTTAGGACGGGTGTCCTGGGGTGAATTGGATAGGTGTGATAACACGAGCAGTATATACGTATGCTGTATATATTGATATTGATGATAATATAATCACTAGAGAACTCTAGGGGTATTCTCCCGTGATCCTACTTCTAACGTATTTCATAAGCTAGTTGGCCACCTGGTCGGCCCGGCCACCCCATCAAATATTGATAATTCAATTCAACATAATATGATCAAAGCAATGTAATATTTCATATATAAGCTATTCAACTAAATCTGAACAATGTGTGATCTTATGCCCCTGGATTCCACAATTCGAACACTTTGGTGGAGCTTGTCCGCGTGGTTATTGACTAGGCTTCGGCAAATGGGGCCCCACTCTAAAATTCTAGAACCCACCCCCCATTGGGGGGCTCCATGCCTAGCACAATTAAGTATATAAGTAGAATGTAAGACTTCAGTTCCGAGACTAATATTGGCGCTCTACCAGGCTCGTTGTATAGAGACCAATACTTACGACAGGCCTTTCGCACCGCTGAGCTAAGAAAGATTGAACTGGCTAGCCAAGTCCCCGTGAAAAGGTTCACTTCGTCTCTATCTAATATATAAATCGTATACTCGATAAGGAGGTACGAACACCGGAGCTTTTGTGTAAAGAAAAACCTTTGCTCCAAACTAGATTTTAGGTTCAATAGTCGGTTTGGAAAGAGTAACGCAACGATTTACAAAAAGATAAAACAAAAACACCCTCATTCGCAAAAAGTCCAATTATGGTTTCAATCTTAATAGGTACAGTCCAGTATCCAATGACTGGGTACCCACTATCACCAAACGTAGCCCCTTTGGTTCTTCATGATACCTGCTCGAAAAGTGGAATCCCAAAATTCTTTCGCCGGCTCATCGCAAGGCCGATAGACAAAAAAGAATTTCTCTAGTATCGACATCGCACTTTTCCAATCTTTCAACGACAATTGCTCTGCAACATCCTTTAGTTGTGCTACAAACCATGGACTGGACTTCATTCCCTTGGATGCAAGGCTGCCTATAAAAAGAATCCAGAAAAGCAGGTCAGATGCTGTACTTCTAAGGATAGAGAAGCTTCTAAAGAGGCTTTGTCGAAGCATTTCAACCAGGCATTCGAGGCATGGGATTCCATAAAGATTCCAGATCCGAACACAAGAGTAAGTCAAGATCGAGAGCCGTAAAGTTTCTTGAAAGAAATTGAGTGGACACTGATATGGTAGTGATAATAGTCGATAACTTATATAAAGTAAGGAATCGTTTTCAACCGACATTGGTTCAGCATGAACGTTGTCAAAAGTCTCATAATAAGAGACGAGCCGTTGAAATGAGCATATGATTGACTTAAGCATAGGGTGGATGTCTCGAGACCACGAAGTGGTGAAGAAGCGAGAGCCAAAAGTGTGGGTTTCCGTGAAGTGATCATTCGCTTTGAAAAAAGCGGACTCTTTGAGGACCCTACTCTGAAACTTTGTGCACATCTCGAGCATTGGCGGTGATCTTGTCATGATGCCTCGCAAGAATTCACAACTACACAATGGACAACAACAAATAAGTGAAGGCCACTAATACGGCTTATCGCGTGTCTTACCAGTATAGCATAGCAAGTGTTCCATGCCCTAGAATGTTCATCCCGCCTGATGCGGCAATTATTCTCTTCAAGCCGTTCATGTGCGTCTCAGCAGCCTCCGAATTGGCCTCTAAAGCCTAAATCACTTATAATGAGCCAGAAATGTTCTGTAATCCAGTTTGAAGAAGTGAATGGTAGAGGTAGGCTCTTACCTCAGCAGTAATAATGTGAGCAATGATGAAAATAGTTTTCTCAGAGTATACTGTGGCTGCGCTTTGCAGTAAGGATTGAAGAGATTTGATTGTTCCAACACGAAGGCGAAGTGCATCCTGCGCCGGTTTCTGCACAATTGCCGTCGAGGCACCAGATGCGGTTAGAATCGCAGCTCGATGGGATGCACTAATCGATAATTTGATCTGCATCAATGTGGGGTCTTCAAGTGCCTTTTTCCAAAACCAAACTGTCACATCGTTGGAACAGAGAGGGAAGCAGGATCTGGCGCTATGTATTCGGTCTAGATGCTCGGTTAAAAAGACACACCAAGGAAAGATTAGCACTGTCTGAACGAGAGTAGGAAGTCCAACGTCCAATGCAATATGTACTCACAGTGATGAAAATAGATGTTCGGATTTTGTTTTGTGCTAATAGCCAGGGCAGGGCCTCCATCAAGGACCCCTGGTTCGAGAGACGATGACAGTACTGCGGTCTGCTGAATTGGACACTCATCATATTCATCACTATGATCACTCTTTGAAAGTCGATGGCGGTGGGTTCTTGAGCTATGAGCTCCCATGGTATGGGGCTTTGGTGGACAGTGTCCAGTGGAGAACGGTCCGGTGGAGAACAGTCCGGTGGCAGTTTCGCATTGCTGCACCTGTCTTTCTCTCTGCAGCCGATGATGTCGGATCCTCACAAAGGCCTGTCTAGATCGGAGAGATTCGCGGCCCTTCGACTGGTCATCCTGGAAATCCACCCAAAGGAATTCTCGTGCCGGTCGGATTGCTACATTTCGGGTATCTGGCACAGCTTTAGCATATGTGGCTTGTGGGGCCCGATCTGAGTGAGAACCATATTGACCTGAAGCCATAATTAGGCCGGTTCGAATGAAAGATAATCCTCTAAGGTGCACTTTTCAATGACGGATCGTTAGGTGCAGTGAGGAACATTTCCCCTGAAACCCCGCTCGGTCCAATATTTGCGTGCGTGCGCTGGCGCCGTTGCCGGGCTCTTCGCGTAGGTCGCAACTGACTAGTCACTAGTCCCCGCTTTCGGCAAAGACCTGCTGTCTCAGTAGTTGTAGAGTTGCGCTGTTTCGTATATTCTTGTTGTTGTCATCTATTGCCCTTCTCTACACTGGCTGAAATTGTATTGCAGCATAAATTGATTGAGCATAGGCAGTTCCCGAAAAAGTATATCCAGAGATTGAGGTGCACACCTGGCGGCTGGCTCCTACCAGGCTTGCTGCGCCTTCGTCACGTGATGGATTGGCGGTGGCTTCGGAAATTAGTGGGCGACTAGGGGAGATACTATTCCATAAATAGAGACATTCAGTATTTGGAAGTATTCCAAATTTGGATATTTTCTGGGAAGGTCCTTTAGTGAATAGGTAACGGCACATTCCGACAAATGTTCAACCAGTCCCAATGACAATCTAGAACATCTACTCTGTGTATCATTTTGAAGCTGCACGCGTAAGGGACACAGAAGGGGCCCACTGGCGATCAGACTCCCGGGCTGTGGAGTCGCTCATTTAGGAACATTTCCAATCTCGTATGTTTAGAATCGCAGGTCTGAGGTCGAAATTTACTAGTAGCTCACTAAGACAAACGTTGACCCCCATGTGCCAATTCCCGAGTTTTCTAATAAATACTCAAGCTCTTCTTAGTCTAGAGTTCGATGTCCATTATTTTAAGAATACTCCCCTTGTCCTTTGATCTGCGCAGAATGGTGTGGCCAACACATATCAGCAACCACATACAAAATCCCGAGCCTGCGTTTCATTGGCCTAACGCAGACCTGGAGAGCTGGAGAAACGATATGCTTCCAGAATTACAAGGTTTTCACATGTCTTCTCTAGACCAACTACCAACTACTACTGTTGCCTTGTCAACAGCCCCCTCTTATAGCTACACTATGCCACCTCTCTCATATCCTGTCTCACTTGGCGCCAGAGCGCATTCTATTTCGACCAACTCAAACCCAAGTACAATCCCAAATTCTTCTAGCGGGGTGAATTTCAAGCCTCCTTCAAAGCAAACAAACGCCATCATTCCAAATGTGAGCCCCTGCGATGATGGATATCATAACAATCGGGCAGGCCTCATGGCAATCCGTCCGATGACAGTCGAAGCAAGTGAACCAGATGGCTCTCTTAGCTTCTGCATAATTGAGAGCCAAATGCCCTTCCACTCCCGCCCTAAATCAAAGAAGAGGTAAATTCTACTTCTACTTTGTTATTTGGTAGTGGCTTTTCTAACCATGCATAGGGATATCAAATCTGGAACCTTGAAATGCGAGTGGAAAGGCTGTGGCTATGATCGGTCGTTCTCACGCAAAGGAGTTTTGATGCGGCATATCGAGATGCAACATATCAATCCAAGGTCATTTAAGTGCCCTTGGTGTAGCCATACCACGAGTCGGCAAGAAAATATAAAAGCACATAGGCAGGCGATCCATAAGGAAATGTTTTGACCTTGATGATGGCTAGGCTTCAGAAAATGGGGCCCTATTTCCAAATTCTAGGGCCTAACCTAATCCAAAAGATCCATGCCCCTATTTAGGGCCCTCCCAATTTAGGGCCCTATGGGGCCCCCATAGGGGCGCTTTTTTAAGATAGGGCAAAACTGATGCCTGACCCTACCTGATTTTGGCCTGATTCCTCCCTTGTACTACCTAAATTTATGTATTCTTTTTGCTAAGATTTCTTTTTGATGATATATAGTTAAGCTTTAGTATATTCTATAGGTTTAATTAACTAAAGTATAAGGAGTAGAAGGGCTATGTAAGAAGATAGTAAAAGAGACCTAAAAGAAATATGAAATAGTACTAATATAGTATGGATTTAAGGTCTAAGGCAATATAGATCATATTAGTTCTAAAACTAATTCTTAAGGAAGGAAAGAATTAAAAGAGAGAGATTCTTCTTCGTCCTTAATATAGAGGGAGTAAGAGCTAAGTAAGCGGTTTATAATAATCTTACTCTAAATATCTCTTTATTATAGACTAGCTCTAGATAAGTCTAGAGCTCACTCTTAATCTAGAAGCTGAATTAGAAGTGATTTAGTACTATTTTGGGATATCTAAGATATTCTATGATTTCTGCCTTAGAAAATGGGTAACTATCTTTTCTTTTATAATAGGTAGTTAGGGGTAGAAGGATTAGAATTATTAAGATAAATATATAGACTAGGTAAGATTAAGATATTATATATAATTTAACTATAGAATTAATAAAGACCAATCCTTAAAGAATTAACTTATTCCTTAACTATGGTAGATATATATATAATAGGGCAGAGCCCTAGTTAAGCGAGTCATATAGGTGCTCTTCGAGGGTAGATTGGATAGGATTAGGCACTATATCGACCTATTCTGATATCATGCCCTAATAACGGAGTTACGCCGTAATAGGGCCCATGGGCCCGCTATGAATTTTATGGGTTAGGCTGGGCCCTGGAATTTGGAAAATGGGGGCCTATTGCCAAAGCCTAATCCTGAAACCGATCCAATCAAAGCACTGATGTTATACTCCTCGAAGCTTCTTAGCCGAAGTTTGACCAATTCCTAGTTTGCGTTGTTTGTCTAATAGTCATCGATTTTATCTGCTAAAAGTATCCCCTATCTCTTCACACCTGTGTACATCACATGAAATGAATCTTGCTCTTAATAGGACTCTCCGCAACCGGCTATTTCGAAACTTGAGCATCTCAACAGTTGCGTCGCGCACGCTTCGTGCTAGGCAAAAAAGTTGCCATCTGAACTTCGCCCTACAAGGATACTGCTCGTCAATGGCACCTGCAAACCCTATGCAAAAATACACGCGCCCACCAGCTCAATATCACCCGGTACAAGAACTATCTCCACGCCACCCACACTGCAGCGCACAAAACAACGATGCCGACAAAATAGAGAAGTGGCTTCGTGAAGATGGCCATCGTATATGGGGTCTTGTTATCTACCGCTCTATATATCAGAGCGACGCAGACTGGGACGAATTCATGCGCCGTATTCTCGCTGATACCACGGAGTCGCTGGAAGCGATGGCAGGCATTGATCTGCTTGATAATCTGGCTCTGACCGTGTTTGACGACCCACAGAAGTTTGATGGTGCCACCCCGGCGGTGATTCGGGACCATTTCAAGCAGTGGGCGGCAACTGCCGAACAGGAGGAGCAAGGCCTTGAGTTTGATCCGGAACGAATCAGAGTTATTGAGTCACAGCGATATAGGTACTGTATCCAGGTCACGCAAGAGATGCTAGAGTCGGCTCTTGCCGACGAAAGAGAAAACATGGCGATTGTGCGCATCATTCGGGGGGATTGGCAGGAGTACAGTCCATACGACGAAGACGGGTTCAGGATTGACGATGAAGGGGAGGCGATTGAAGGGTGTACCCTGAATGATGTAGGGTGGATAAACGTTCCGTTGGAATGTCTGGTTGGCACTTATTGTTACTTGCGAGGCGAATGGGAGACGGAATATCGTCGTCCGCCAGAAATATCTTGTTATCCATGAGACGAGTGTGTACTACGCTATAAGAGAGCAAATGACACTAGTCACATATTTGAATCACCTTTTGAAATCTTCCAAGGAGTCACTGGTTGCTTTTATACCAATTTTAAAGTGACGTCAGAACCAATCGTGACATCCTCGTCCTCGAACGTTTTATCGCATCCAAAAACCCGCATCCCACTAAATTATGTCGGACGATGGGGAACGAAGTCGTGCAAAAGACCTGGGGAGGTCGGCGAGCGTTGAAGCGCCTCAACATGGCCGCTGTGGAAGCTTCACATCAGGGAAAAAAGTGGTCATGTTATCCAGCTCTCGCAGACGCTCATATTGTTGGCTTAATTGTAGGGAGGAGGGTCCGGTCGAGTATGCAAACGATGCGTGTCCTCCACTTATCCTATAGCTCATATCAATCCTTGACATTGATGAAACTGCCTCTAAGATCGTAGATTGGGCTCAACTGCTCCTGGCAGCTGAATCTGTTCCTAGAGGTCCAGCTTTGGTGGTTACTGTCGAGGAAAGTTGATCGAAAGTATTTTCTTTTCTATTGGAGCAAACGGACGGTAGAAGAATGTAAGAAAGAAGTAGAACCAATCGACCTGAACCATATATGTCGGTACGCTGATCGCAGCTTATTCAATGGAATTGACGAGACGGTTAAACACCTTAACCTCCTGAGCCTTTATAAATAAGGGCTCGATGACCGCAAAAAATTCCTGCATATAACCTACTTTAAGCCTCTCCTATGTGTATCCGTAACTCATTAGTCCTATTCATCACAGGCTTGTAAAAGAGTTGAATATAGATGCAAACCATGTCAACGTACAGCCATATAACGCTCTAAGGGGGTTTCCCTATAAATTAATAACATTAGTTCCGAGTGAAACTGGGGAGACTTGAAAGTCAAGTATCTGAACGGACCAGTCTTCTACTAGAAGTATTTGTCCGGGGTCGTCAAGCAGCTGATATACTTGGAAAGAAAGACATTCAGGCTCGGCTATTGTTCTCTTGTACACCGATTTTAATGCTTCGAGGACTTCCGGTATATCTTCCGGAACAAAGAATAGAGTGGCCTGAATGTTGAACCCAGTTTGGGCTGCGTTAAACATGTTGTCTTGGTAATACCAAGTAAGGGTCAAGACTTTGGAAAATGCCGCTAAGGTATACTAGTAGAGTAGAGGGCTTTTATAACAGAGCTCACTACGCTGTATGTCTAATCAAACGGACGTCAGCAAGAAAATGTTGGTTAGTGATTATTAACTAAGCAGTAGTATTAAACTTCGGCTTTTGGAGGACTATTGCTATGAGACCCCACTCTCAGACACTTCAGCTTTTGCACACCTGTTGTTGCTTGGGAACTGTACTTGTAACTCTAGGAACAATAAGGCTCCTAAGACCTACTGATACGTTCCTGGATTCACTTCAGCCAGTCCTAGGAACCTGTAGTAGATATCTTGGAATAGATCGAGCTCCTAGAATCAGTATTCTAATCTACGATTATAGAGGTGATCTTATTAGTATTAAGGATTAATATAAAGTATATATAATAAGTAGTAGATATAAACCTATATAGCATATTAGGGCTCCTCTAAAAGTAAGGAAGATATCTTTTCTTTATTTCCTATATTATAGTGGTTAAATACACTTAACCCTAATATATTTCTTAATATCCTAATTAGTCTATTTTATATATACCTATTATCTATAGTTTATATCTATTAGCCTATAAACCTTATTTAAATCCTTGAGCTCTTAGTAGCGAGAATTTATTACCCTATGACTTATATTATTTATATAGTATTATTCTATATTTATAAGTATTATAATTATGTAGTTTATTATAGAAATAATTATATTAAAGTCTATACTATAGTGGTTAAATATACTTAACCCTAATATATTTCTTAATATCCTGATTAGTCTATTTTACGTATACCTATTACCTATAGTATGTGTCTATTAGCCCATAAACCTTATTTAAATCCTTTAGCTCTTAGTAGTCGCGAGTTTATTATTCTTAATATATTTAGACTAGAAATATATTAAAAAATAATATAAAGAGGGCGGGAATAATAAGACTTTACTAAAAGCTAAATATATTATTTAGAGATTAGAAATATATATAGGAGTAAATACTTCTATAGTATAATCTACTACTACCCTTATACCTAGAATATCTATAGATATAGATATACTATAGATACTAACTTATTAATAATTTTTATACTATTTATAGTATTTATTCTATAAGGGGAATCATAAATATATACTTACTATAATATAGGCTTAATATTATATAAAATTAGTAGTAAAGGAATCTCCTATCTTTAGCTATTTAAAAAGTACCTTTATATTTAATATTAAAAGATCATAGCCCTTATAATCTATATTTAAAGTTAGTACTTATTAGTAGTCTTATAGGAGTAGGTAAAACTACGCTAGTCCTAATATAGTAATAAAATTCTTACGCTTATAATCTTTAATATCTCGCCTAAAAATATATTATAGAAGCTAGAAATTTAATAGGATCTAATATTTATAGGCGACTAATATAAAAACCCCCTTTCTAACTGTATATAGTTAGCGTAGATTATATAATCGAACACTAGTATTTAGGGTGGTTAG